CTGAAATACACTTACTTTATTTTTGTGTGATCCGTGGACAGAACTTTAAAACGGTGCTTGTGTTTAAAATTCCGTTACTTGAAAAGTACATGAGTGATTTGAATGATTCTTGTACAGTGACTAAAAGAAAGCTTATTAAGTTGGGCTTTCAAATCCTAGATTTTGAAAGTGCTACATGCAGAACTTCATTAAATAATCATCCTGTCCGCTGGTCTAATTGTTGTGACATTAGAGGGCGCACTATGCACGTCCGCGATCACTGTCGTCTTGCGCCAAGACTATAGGGGTGCAACAGTGCAAAAACATTCCCATAGACATAGTGCTAGATGCCCATACTTCAAAATTCTTTTAAAAATACTCAGAACTCTCACGTGTATTTAAGCAGAAAAATGATGATCGACATGTCATCTTTCAATTTCTTTTCATTTTTGGTTGGGTTGACCATTGATTTTTCGAGAAATTCTCGCCCAACGACGACGACCCCTATTTTCCCAAAAGCGGAACGGGTAGCCATCTTGTAAAACGATGCCTCCACAAATAGCGCCACTTTCGAGCCCAATTGCATCCAAAATGCTCAGAATTGGAAGCCCCAAGTCCGGACCAGAGGTTCATTACCATATCTCTTCAATTCTCATAAATGTTATGGCTCTCAGAACTCTCTAACATATAATAATTTGAGGGTACGAGCTCGGCGGACGGGTTTAGGCCTATTTACAGGTGTGCACCCATAGGGTGGAACAGGTTGTCATAGGCCGTCAGTTGAAAACTGCATCTTTCAACTTCGTCTGACATTTTCTTAGGCAACCTGATTCCGGGGTTGTGGATAGCTTTGACCATGCTGAACACACCCTATGAGTTCCCCGCTCTGAAATTGCATTTTCACCCAAAATAAGGCCCTGATTGTACCTCAGGGACGGATCCAGGAATTTTCGAGGGGGGGGGGGGGGGGAGGGATTCATCAGCAAAAAATTCTGAACATGTCCACAGGTTTTTTTCTCCGGACCCGGAAAATCAAAAACTGGGAGGGGGGGGGGGGGGGGGCTGGTACCATATGTCAATAGGGGGCGCTGTTCAAATTCGCTGATTATTTAAAACTAGATTACAGAATGGTGTACCAGATTTAAGTAACCAAAATTATACCAGTATAACTTTTTTGGGGGGCGTCACAGCAGGGGGGGGGGTGTTTCGACTTATTTTTTAGGAATTTGTATAGAGCTGGGGGGATTTGACCCCCAAACACCCCCCCCCCTTCTGGATCCGCGCATGTATCTTACAATTTACTTAGGGGCAGAACTAAATATAATGGAAACGCAACATAGGCACAGAACTTGTAAATGTACATCGGACTCTTTTGGTTAATCATTACAGCTGTTGTTTTCTTGAATACCTGAAACAATAATATATTGTAAAAAGAAATCATTCTCAAATATCGAGAAGTAGAATCAATATCTAATTAAGATGATAAGTTACTTGATTGATTTTTTTATTAAATCGTTTGCTAAACATGACATAAACATGTTCTTGATATGTGTGTATCGTTACAGTTTAATAACACGTATTATCTTATTAACTTCAATATTGGCTAAGAATTAACTTCGATATAAAGGCTAAGAATTCCACACCGATTTCCGATTAAAATTGTGTTAAAAATACAAAAGCATGTTTTTTACATGACTAGCAGAGTTACAACTGCAGTATTACTTTTAACATTGTTCTGCTTAATGCTGATTATAAATAAACGTAATAAAGTTGTGCTTAGTTTATTAAATACTGCGCTGGATTCAGGTCTGTAGTTCACCACACAGGATTCAATTCCATACAGCCGAGAAGCACTAACCGTTACTAAGCAGAGACAATTCTTGCTTAGCCAAAACAGGCCATCAGCTAAAAAGGCCTTAACATTATTATTTACAGACTTTACTAGAAACAATTAGCATACTTACAATAATAAAAACTGATTTCAGATAAACTGCTTATATTTATACATTTTGAAAAAAAAAAGCTTTACAAGCAAACAATTTCTTATCCACAGCATTTTTCTTTTTGTCTTAATAGATTTTCTTGTGTTTTATTTTAAAAAAAAAACCTAAATTCCCCTTCTTTTTTGGACGTCTGCAACCCTCTGAACAAAAGTTTTTTGTTTTGGGCAGACTGGCTCCGGGTCCATACATTATCGATACTGATTGTGGGGTGGGAACCAGCCTACCCTGCAAAAATAAGATTGTCTGGCCGAATAATTCGAATTCGAAGTTAATAATTAAATAACTAAACGTGGACAGTTTTTTGCGTCGATGTCCCATTCCAAAGTGAAGAACTTAATAGTGAAAAACTGAAAAATAACTATTTAGAATAGGAATCCATTTTTTTGGGATGATACTCGAAAAATAGCACGGGGAACGCAAATTTAATTACAGACTTTTTTAGAAATAATTATAAGAATAACTAGAGGTTGTAGAAACAACAACACGGTGTTGGGCCATGGATTACCGCAAACTTTGCATGACGAGACCAAGACCTGGGGAGCCCTGAAGTAAACCAAACTCCCCTCCCTGCTCCACAGTCCCAGCGAGATAGTGACTTGTGGTTAACTGAAATACCACCTGTTAGCCACACTGCTTTCTGGAACTATACTTTCTGGCGAATTGCGGTTTTATGCAAGCATAACAGTAAAAGATCGTTCTCAGCCATTTATTCACGGATTTTCACAGTTCAATATATTACAGGGGTGTGAAACCTCAGCTTTAAAGCTGATTTCAGCTTGATTTGATTTGGATTTCAGCTTTTTTCCCTCACTTGCTGTGTACAAAAGTATAGGAGATTTCCAAAGTTCAGCTTTTTTACACCTTTTTCAGCTGTTTTCAGCTATTTTTATCAGTGGTCACTCACACCCCTGATATAAAACAAGTTAACATTTCAGGTACGTCATTATGATAATACTTTTGTTGGCCGACAGATTAAATTTAGCAACCAAATATTATGCTTGAAATCTCCCAGGCAGAGTGACCTTCGCTCCTTTTAGGAACCAATTATAGAACGAGTGATAATGCATTTTTGACGTTTTTTAACCTGCCGCTAGAGGGCGCTCTGACATTTTATGACGTCACCCGTAATATATTGCTGTAGTACAGCCTAGACAGACACTCACATCATTGAAAGCAAGTTCGCATCTTCTGCCAATTTCAAATAATAAGGCACTTCCGGTTTCGACCGGAAGGAAGGGTCAAGTGATTTTGCACTTAATACCAAAACTGAAGATCCTGCAATATTGTATCAATTGCCATAAAAACAAAATCAAATCTGTAACAGTTGATTTTATATTGATTTTCAAAGATTAAATCTAGAAATCTTTGATTGCTTGTAATACGATACTTGATGACGTCATTATGACGTCATTACCAGAAAGTTCAAGAGCTATTTTAACTGCTATATACAGCCAAATCTTGATTATATCTATCACGGTATATTTTCTAGCAATTTTTGAAGGTTTAAAGGTCTTTTTATTGTAGCTTCCGGTCTGATGACGTAATCATTTTTTTTTCGCGCACAGGTGCTGTCTGCATTAAGGTCATTATGTACATTAATTTTTAAGCGATTACCGCAAACTTCGCCACAGACATCAAGTGAAAATGCGTTTTTGAAGTTTTTTAACCTGTCGCTAGAGGGCGCTCCAACACTTCATGGCGTCACCCATTATTTTTTTTGAAAGGTCAATCCAGGAAGACACTTCAATCGTTAAAAGCAAGTTCATATCTTTTTCCACTTTAAAATTATTAGGCACTTCCGGTTTCGACCGGAAGGAAGGGTCACGTGATTTTGCACGCACAAGATAAAATGAAGATCATGTATTACCATGTCGATTCCCGCAAATTTCAGGTTCCGGTCTCTAACGGTTGATTTTATATGGAATTTCAAAGATTAAATTTATTAAACTTTGAAGTGACGTCACGTGACCCGTGATGACGTCACGATTACGTAATTGCAAAAAAACACATCTGCGGTAGGTTGTGCGTTCATGTATTGACAATTGAAGTTCATATATGTTTTCATTTTGACACACAGTTCTGGAGAAGGAATGTGTATAGAAGAAAACAAAATTTCTAAAAACCCTAGCAAAAACAATAGGTTTTGGGCTAAAGCCCAACACCTAATAACCGATTTAAGATTAAGGCTGCTTACATTTGGCAAAGTAAAATCCTTTATAATTAAACAATCAGTTTCTTATCCACATCACTGTGGAATTAAAATTCAGGAGAAAACCAAGTGATGACAAATCGGTGGATAGTGTCATAAGAAAGTGTCCTTGCGAATCAAAGACAATGTTTGACTCTTTTCAGTTTATGCAGTACCTAGGCCAACTGTAAAACTAGCCTTGGTCAATGCTCTCGTCGTTATTCGTCCCGTACGCGGTCAATCGTCGGCATATATCCTCACGCGCTATGTAAAAATACAGCGCGAACAGCGACCTCATGCGGCCACTATTTTTTTATGCAAATCAGTTGGGGAAGATCTCGAGCCTTGGTTCAATCGTCGGCAAAAGCTTATGTTTTTCTTTATTTTGCGCTGGATTTCTAGCGCACGACCTCGTATGCGAATACAGATAAGTGTAGGCGGGGCTAATATGTGGAGTGTCCAATCACAACTTGGTAAATCCGGACGTCATCAAATTATTTGCAGCTATTCGTCTTTTGCGGACGTGACAGGAACCACAGTTTTTTTGCATTGGTGCCGTGTGCAGAGACACACAACGTGTACATGTACGTGTATGGATTATGTACGGTGCCACGTTTCACTATGCAAGTTTCCACGCAACGATCGACCAATAAGAAAACGACATTTAAAGTCAGTTAAGGCTATTAACATAATGAGCACCACCCCCAAAACCTCACATGGACGATTGAACCAAGGCTCTCGATCGTCCCCAACTGATTTGCATATAAAAATAGTGGCCGCGTGAGGTCGCTGTTCGCGCTGTATTTTTACATGCATGTGCATAGGGCATGAGGATATATGCCGACGATTGACCACATACGGGACGAATAACGACGAGAGCATTGACCAAGGCTACTGTAAAACAAGAAATTCAATATATACATGTAATTGAAATTTTTACAAATTCATCATATTATTGTCATTTTTGAGCAATTGAAGAAGGATTTTTTGACTGAAGAGTCAGAAAAGATAGCTCACTCGATCCCTGTAATACTGAGCCTGCCTGTACCATTCATAACCTTGTTATACAAGTTTTGTTACACAAGTGTTTGTTTTGAATAAATATTTATTTTACAAGAAATGTATAGTACTCGTAAGTTGTAATTCAGTCAATCCACTCTACCTTTAACAACTGCTTAGCAGTAGGGGATTCTTTTCCTATAAAAATATAATTTCACTCTCAATCTCCTTTCACTGTTACATCATGACTTTCTACCCGACTTGAAGTGATTCTGGTTTTGCATTCGTTTTCGAATAAATCCAATTACAATTCAAACCTATTACAATCTTGAGGGTTACCTTAATGTGTACAACTCACTAAAGACATTTAATTGGTGTTCAGTGAAGAAGGGGCGTGGTTTCGTCACTAGAAGAGCTTGATCTGGGGGCGGAAGAAAGAGAAGACAAACTTGTTTTTATGTCAGCTGTTACAGATTTTACGCTTAACCCTAACCCCCTAGGCCCTCTGGCTAGGATGCAACCTCAATCCTGCAAAATCCTCCAATTGCCACCAAGCCAAAAATTAGATTCAGCCTCAATCCTCCAAAATCATCTGTTATTTCTTGAATTCAGTCTGTGGAGGGTGACCACTGCCTGAATCCTTCAACATCCTCTGCCAATTACTGCTATGGTTCAAGGCAGTGCGAATGGCGTTTAGAAGCAGTGCGGACGAAATACAGGGCTGATTTATGCATGGCTGAACATAACCAATGCAGGATATGGCCTTCTGGCCTGACGTAATGCATCCTCCACAAAAAACGTTACATCTTTGCCATTCATCCTCAATCCTCTAAAATTATCCAAAACCTGCAGAGGATTTTAGAGGATTGAGGAGGATTAGGGTTAACCCTGTTCAGGTTTTTTTTTTTAACAACAAGTAATGATACCAAAAAAATGGTCAAAACAATTCATTTTTGAGAGTAAATGTTTCACAAGAATACCCTACCTGCGGCAGTTGCAGAGTGACTTCCAGGTCTTCCGACGTTTCTTCTTCTTCTTCCGTCTGTAGCAGCCTGACTCTGGTCGGTCGTCGCATTGATCAATGAACGCCTCAAGTTCGGTGTGGCTACGGTGTCTTCCCTGGCAGGCCTACAGTCAAACAATCAATTGTTTGATAAATCAAATTAGGTTTTGCCCTTCACCGACGTTTAAACACTGTAAACTCAGTGTGTTACCTCCCGAGTGAAAGGTGGAAAAAATCACTCGGGTGGGAATCGAACCCACGACCTCCTGCTTTCTAGTGCAGATGTCTTACCACTCGACCACCAAGCTAACAGGATCAGTTGGCTGGTTTGAATATAATGTACATAGTAGTGGGTACTCGGGAGGTAACACACTGAGTATACAGTGTTTATACGTCGGTGAAGGGCAAAACCTAATTTGATTTACATCACCCCGAACGCAAAAATCCCATCTTATGAATAATTGTTTGATAAATAAATCAATCAAGTGTTGGCGTCAATCAATTAACCATTAGTGTAAGAATAAGGCATGCACACCCAATAAAAATTGTTGATTTCACATCAGTCAGAATGTTATGAAATCTTTGCCATTCCACAACCAATAGAATTCTTCTTCTACAGCAAAGGGCTATCCGTGTTGTTAGTAATTCTCATTACCTAGCCCATACCCATCCTCTCTTCAGCCATCATAAAGCTTTAAAGGTCGCTGACCTTTTCAATCTTCAGCTGGGTGCATTCATGTTTCAAATGGCTCATAACGAACTTCCGAATAGCCTTGCCTCTTTGTTTACCAGAAATTGTTCCATCCACTCTCATTCCACTCGCCAAGCTCTACAATACCACCTTCCCCTTACCCGTACCAGCCTCTCATATAATACCGTCAAGTTTGCAGGTCCCAAACTCTGGAATTCTTTAGACATATCTTTTCATACTGCTCGTTCACTTAAGTCATTTTAAAAGTAAGTTCAAGCGTCACGTTCTTAATAACTATAATATGTCTTAATGTCATTGATGTTCTTCCTTGGCCTTATTACTCATTAATTTTTTATGCCTGCTGTCCTGTATCCTGATTATATATTTATTTATATATATATTTTATCTGTCAGTCGCATCTTTTGCGTTCATTATTATTGACGTGTTTATTTTGATTTACCTATCCAATATTTTTTTGCATGTTCACATGATTTACACTTCTGTTTTTGTTTGTTTACCCTTATGTTTAATATTCTAAGTTTATGCATTTCTCTTTGGCCATCCTATTGTTTGCCTTAATATGTCTCGTTTTAATATTTGCTTTTTAATAGTTTCTTTAATTTGGGTCCAGATCGTTCTGACTCGCCCTGTAGTTCACACATTTGGGCTTTTAAGTAGCACTTCAGAAGTTAGGCCATTGTTCATACTCAGTGATTCAGTCAGTCAAAGGACAGTAAGCTGGCCCTCCAAGTTCGGTCTTACCTTGACTGTCTCATAGGTATCCATGATGAGAGCAATGAACAAGCTAAGGATGACGTAGATGAAGAGGCTGATGAACGTATACAGGTAGATTCGGCTGTAGACCCAGACTACAGTGCTCTTATCAGACATCTCGTCAAACGTCGCAAACATGTCATCGCCGTTGATCAGGCTGTACATGCACTCAATGGCAACATTGAAGCTGCGGAACTGTGCCAGACGGAAAAGGGAATATTGTAGAGATACAAGAACAGGATTTCCAGATTTTCCTGTGATATTTCCCTGAGAAACTTCCAAAATTCTGTGAGAAATATTTTCACTTTAACGAGGTTGCTGTGAAGTCAAGAGATGGTGTAGCACAGTCAACTGTTATTGTCTGGAGAGGTGAGTAACAGTACTGCATAAACACTAAAAAGCCACCACAGCCAGTCAGTTGATTGCCACAACTTGGACACATGGCACAAGACACACACACGCCAAACTGGAAAAAACCTTTCCCTTCTGGGGCACTGTCAGATTCCTCGCATTTTCCCGTATTTGTTGGTGTTTTTTTTCCCAAAATTCCCTGAGTTTTGCCTGACCAGAAAATGGGAACTCATTTTCAATTTTTTTTTTAATTTCCAGCTTGGCTAGGAAGCCTGAAGAGACAGAAACGATTTCAAGTTCAATTGAGCATCATTGGACAACTGGTGGTTAATTTGTGACGTAACTCACGCCTGACACTTATAGTGACATGCGAACGTCTCTAATCAGTCGATGGTCAAAATGTCATCACAAAAACATGTTGGTCCTGGTTCCCTGGTAGGCATTTAGATTTGGGGAAATGCTCCTTCAATCAGCCTGTGCCACATGTCCACATGTTCACACAAAAACCCACCCAACCCCAAAATGGAATTGACATTTGGAACTGGAAAGGGTGATTTCACTCAGGCTGTGCCGCATTTCAGTTGGTACAGCCGGTGTTTATGCGTACCAACTTACTCCGCCCATTCTCAAAAGGGGAGTAGACATTTGGAATGGGGGGGGGGGGGAGGTGCCTTCAATCAGCCAGTGCCACATGTCACTGGGTACGCGCGAACACCGCCCATTCCTAAATAGCAATTATCATTTGGAATTCGGGCGATTCACAATGCAGTGCGCCAGCACGAGTTGCCATGGAGAGTAAATTTTTCCCAGTGCACTGTGGGAGATGGTCGACAAATTCGCAGCGCGGGACATTTGAAATTGTTAGTTTTTCCGGCCAGAAGTTTCGTAAGCGTATGATTCGAGTATCGGTTTGCCCTTTTGTTTTCTTTTTATCAATATGGTGTTTTTTTGTAAGGCGGCAGAACGCTATGCCCAAATCTATCAAATTATCTAACAAATTAGCTCAAGTTGTCTACTGACACTCATTCAAATTGTTCATGTTTTGTCGACCGTAAACTTGAAAAGTAGACTCTCCATGGCAAACTTTTGGTGGCGTACTGTATTGTGAATCGCCCGAATTGGGAAGGATGCTTCATTCTACCTGTGTAGGTCAAACACACAAACGCAGCCCGTTTCCAAATGGGATTGGGCATTTTTTGGGCGACTTACTTTGTGATGGTACGGTCCAAGCACAATCCAGCCACAGAAACCATAGGCCATGTACAGAATGACTCCGCAGACCATAAACCGCAGGCAGTTTGGCATGGCACTCTTCAGTGTTATAATGGGTATCTGAAAAAAAAATACAACAAATACAAGAATCATTATTAAAAGAAAATTTACAAACAAATTAATAGTCTCAGTCTTGTGATTTGAAATGTTGCAAGGATGGGCTGGTTTGTTTCGAGTCAGGGTGTTTTTTAAGCTTTACATATCATTTCAATGTAAAACGAAGAAGTAATGAAAACCCAGGAAAAACCAAAAATTCACAGGTTTCTTAAAAGAAATATTTACTGTTTTCATTCCTTGAAATTGCACAATTAACTTTTAGGATAAGAATGAAATAAAATACTACAACAGGAACTATAATCTCAAATGGATGAAAAATGTACCACTCACACTTGTATAAAGGTTTAATATAGTGTATTATTCCACTAAATGTACCATTCAGCAGACATGTTATCGTAATTTCTTCAAACGGTGGGAGACATCAGTCATTAGGGTGACATATTCATGTATCCCTGACCGTCGCAATTGGGTGATTTTTGTTGCTTGTGGTCTAATTAGTACACATACCGTAATTTATCGGGGGAAAAGGACTAGGAAACATTGGGTTAGGGCACATTAAAGGGAATATACATCATTTGCTTTTGCTGTAATTTTCAGAAATGGATGGAATTGGGGGTTGGAAATATATAGCAAATATAGTTACATTGACTTTTTTGAGGTTTTGGGTTCGAAAATGCTATAAAAACCAAGAAAAACAATCATTTTCCTGTAGTCTGGTTCCCTAACTCCATATAAGAAGAAACAGAGCAGTTTACATACATTGGGGAATTGTAAGGTCAGGGAACCAGTCTAGCTGGCTTGTACCCGTTCATAGGTGTGTAATCGATTGCAAACAAGTGCGATGGTCAATTGGGGCCAGTATTTGAAAAAAAGCCAGTTTTTTTCCAACGCTGGTCTGCCGACCAGCGTTGGAAATTAATACAAAAATACCACTTTTCTTGAAAATGACAGTATACCAGGTGCCATGATTTTACAGGATGCTTTACACTGTCATTCACTAACAGTCCAGCAAGGTTTGCAAATGTTGTATTTTCCCTTTAAAGTTTGAAAAATGTTGTGCACAAGTCTATGGGGATGTCTCCCAAATGTCCAATCCGAGGTAATTATTATACTTACATTGTACTTTGGGAAGAACCCAAGATATCTGAGAACACCGAGCCATACTAGGAAACATCCCGTGCCCAGAAGTATGCTGCAAACGTCATAGTCGGTGGTTATCTGTCACAATGAGATATCCATTCTCAAATATGTAGAGTGTTACTTATTTAAAGAGGTTGTGGAATGCTCAAAGACATTTCCGTCATTTTTCAGGTGTACGTAGCCTCGTTTATACTACGCTGCATCGGGAGTCCTGTTTATTACGTCACGATTTACTATGTTTTGTTTGCTGCCCCCAACGACCACCTTTACACAAATTGCACGTTCGGGTCGAAACAGGGCCTGGAAAACAGCTCTCAAAAGTACCTTTTGTACTCATTTCATGACAGACACAATAGTCGTTTTTATTTCATCACACCTTGGGCTACATACACCCGAAAAATGATGGAAATGTCTTCGCGCATTCCACAACCTCTTTAAGTCCCATCCGGTGCCACACAGCACGATCCAGCCACGCATATCATACGCATACAAATATACGCAAATATAGTGGTGTGCATTTACGAGTAGTACTAGATTCAGGTACCATATGGAAGTAAAAACACGGGAAGCCGTAAAATAAACCCAACCCCAAAATTCTAATCCCGGAAGTTGTCTGAAGGTTTTTATAGCTTTACGATGTAAACTGCATCTTTGGTGAGCGTCATCTGTCACGCATTAAAATTCACATAAACATGAAATCTGTTTTGGTTTTGCATATAGCCTAGTTTGTGAATTTTTTAAAATTTCTCACAAATGGCATTCCGAACATTTCCTTTTCACTGTCTGGGAAGTCACTGGGTAATTTGTAAGGTTGGTTACGGGTACTCGATTCCATAATCTGGAACCGGTTCCTGACATCGGCTGTCAGGAACTCGGGTACCCTGTTCTGATGCACCAGCCTCGACTCCAGGGGCGCGTGCTCATTCCTAACACTAACCCCTGGCTGTGATGATGACGTAAATGACGCTGAATGGCTATTCACAGCGTCCTCGCGGGCATTTCGAAGATTGCACACCGGGCACGCCCATAATGTGCTCACGCTCGCGTGCTTAGCTTTGCACGTAACGTCACGTACGAAAAAAAACATTATGATTCAAAAGTCGCAATGCCTGTATGATATGGATTATGTCAGCCACGTTTTTCGCTAAAAAAACCCCCCTGTATCTGTGGTTGTAAAGGCACGAAAGGGGTACGTACATTTGATACAAATCTTTGCTAATAACACAACGTCCAAATGTTGTGTTTGAAAGGATTGATTCTTCAAAATCACAACTTTTAACATGTCAAAGATGGCGTCGGCACGTAAAACGGATAAACTGCAGCCCTAATTATAATGTACCATATTTTGGCACATTTAAATTACACAATTCCAGGGGTTATGATTGCGCAAGGCATGATGGGAAACAACATGGCGCTGCAAGATCGTACCCACGGGGCACGAGGTTGCTGATGCACAGCCTTAGTCAGAATATCATGGGGGGGGGGGGCCCTTAACTGACTGGTCGATCAATGTCTCAACTACAAAAAAAGTTCAGTTTAGAGAATTGGTAGAGTCAGGGGTGTGAGTGACCACAGATAAAAATTGCTGACAACAGCTGAAAAGGTGTAAAAAAGCTGAACTTTGGAAATCTCCTATACTTTTGTACACAGCAAGTGAGGGAAAAAAGCTGAAATCCAAGACAAAAAAAAGAGCTGAAATCAGCTTTAAAGCTGAGTTTTCACACCCCTGTAGAGTGCAGTTGTCAATTTTAACAATGGCTTTGGTAAGATTTGCATGGTGAATATAGCAATGAGATTTAAGTTTTCAGTTGTTCCATGTGACAAATCTCTTTTGTTTGCGAGGTTCTACGTAACCACTGGAATCTCTCAATCTCCTGACGACAGGCAGAGCACACTGTCCTAAACGTTGAGTTTCCCCTGGCTCTTTTCAAAACGTCACAAACTCACAAAAGAGATTTGTAACATGGTGCAATCTTTAATCTAATATCAACATTCTGTGTTCTCCTTCACATGTGTAACATGATTATTACTTCCATTGCAACTTGATAAGCGCTTGAAAATACAATGTTGCCAAAAGTTTGAGAGAGAAACCAAAAATTATAATTAATATTAACACTTTAAATATTTTGACTTGTTTACAGTCATTGTCGGAAGACTGACGATAATAGGAAAATTAGTCAAAACATTTTTTTTCAAAACATTTTTTTTCACTTAATAAGCATTGAGAAAACAGAGCTGTCAATACAATAAAGGTAGCACTTACTTTGTTTCATTTGCCCTCATTAAGATGACTTACCAGCCACTCAAGGAGAAGCTTGACGATCGATCCTGAAATAGTCAGGAGGTCGCTAATGATGATCATGATGTACCAAAAGTTGAGGAACTCCAACTTTTCCAACCTGGTGAGCTTTCTGTCGTAGTATCGCTTGAAAAATGTCTTCGCTCTCTGCCAGGGGAGAAAGAAACGCCTCGACTTTTATACAGAGGAAAGGGCATTTGTGAGTAACTGTACCCTCATTAGGCCTTTACACACTAGACAAGTCTTTGGGTTGCCTAGGGATTGATATGGGGTTGACGCAGGGTTTCACATTTTTAAAGTTCAACCCCGCATCAACCCTGCGTCAACCCTGAGATTTATTTGGCCCCAGGTTGAACTCAACCCTACTCCAGACCAGGGTTAAAGTTTTCAACCCATGTTGAAACTCTCGCCAGGGTTCAAAACAGTAGAAATAAACTCGGTTTGCACGAGAAGACAATTGTGAAACGATGCGGGGTTGAACGCAGTTCAAAAACTCAACCTGGGGCAGCAATGGATTCACCCAGGGTTGAGTTCAACCCGGGTAGTTCAACCCGGGTTGAAAGCCTCTAGTGTGACAAGACCGGTTAATAAAAATGCAACTTATTTCACTCATGCACCCTGCAAATGAACAGTGAATAATGCTTTCTCACCACTTACACAAACTTCTATGGGAGGGACACACCAAGCTTTTTATGGCACAATGTATAATGTACAACAAAATTGTAATGTTTGCATAACGCTTTCCATTATATCAACAACCTCAAACCGCTTTAGAATTATCCAATATTGCTCACATTCGGTCCTCCACCCTCACAGGTACCCATTCGTACTCCTGGATGGAGAGGGGCAATTGTAGTTAAGTGTCTTGCCCAAGGGCACAGACACCATGTTCCTGGCAGGGTTGGAATCCACGTACCAGCGTACCTGAGTTAAACAACACTAGAGGTACCTTTTTCAGTCGTCTTCCTCTCTGAAGTGATCTACAGCACAGTAGTAGAGAGAGCAGACACAGGAAGACAATGAAGATGTCATACGCTGCCACCAAGTAACTGATAACATGGGCTTCCTCCTCTGAAAAATAAAGAAAACAATTGAGTCGTTATTTATAACTCTCATACTTTAAATGTCTGTACTCAAGTACCCCTCACTGATGATTTAACCGTGATAACACTCACTGGCTGCTTTCAAACACAGGCGCGGCTGACGGGTTAAAACGTCACAATTGCCTCGCCTCGCCTCTGGGTGACGTCTAAACACGCTAATCCCTGGTGTCTTTTGCACACACACACACAAAGTTCGTGAAGTCTGTGGAGGTGGACCATGTGTTGTTTATGGACTATCGTTCTACAATATGCTCCAGTGCACACCCCGAGTATTGAAACATTTTAGCAAGAAATATCGCACAAATACTGTTGAAATGACTCTTGCGAATAAGTATTTGTGGCGTTTGGATGTATATCAGAAGTTGGCCGGAAAATTTTGCCCTTTGTGAAAATCTAAATTTTTTCTAAAAGCTAACAGGGCTAACATGGTTCGTCATATGAATTGTTCAAAACATTGAAAACCAATTGTGGGTTTTTGAAAAATTCTATATGGCTAAGGGTCTATGTTTTACAACAACATTCATCCTGGAACTGGAAGACATCAAATTCTTGTGGCAAAACGCACCTCCGACGACTTTGTTGGAGCAGTTAAAAATCGAATGCTGTTCTGAGAGAGACACCGCAATGCGGCCCCCGTGAATGCTGTAGTCATACAGAATCTGCAAACAAACAATAAAAGGACAGGGATATAAGGATCCAATAAACATTTTGGAAGGGGACGGAAATGCTGTTTTATTGGACAACAAGTTTATGAAATGGCCCAGTGCAAAAAAAAAATGGCCCAGTGCAACGCTTGCTGAAGCAAAACAAGGTCGAACGCCAATGTTGGGATTGAGATCCTCTCCTAGACTTCACTGAAATGCTGTATTCAATGGAACATCAGATTTAATTCAATTCAATTCAATTCAAATAGAGATTTATTTCCATACACAGCCAATACACAATACACGTAGATAATGATTGATAATCGTACAAAAATACACTCAGAGATGGAAAATTACATAAGAGACCTAAAAAAAGAAAAAAGAAAAAAGAAGTAGAGGTGGAGGCATAGTTAGAAGACCAAGTGTCTTATAGAAATGCCTTTCCAAACAAAACAAAATCACGAGAACAGATTGTACGTATACTATAAGGAATAAAAACAAAAATAATTGTAAGGAGCAATGTTATGAGAGAATGTTTTATAGAGAGAAGGAGCTATGATAGATAACAGGAAACAAGTCAATTTGAACCAAGTCAAATTAGAATGACCAAAATAACCCCACAATTCATTACTTCTGACCATTTAAAACAGCAAGCAAGATTGTTTCAAAGCTGGTCTCGAACAGGTCTTGGTAAAATTTTGACTATAAAAAAACAATTTTTTTTCGACCTAAAAATGAATATTGATACAAAGATTAAAGTATTCCTTCATGAAATGGTGACATTTTCTGACCTGTTACCACAAAAGGAGCTTAAAAATTGAAAATTGCCATTTTGCGGTACAGTGAGACAAAGCCAAGTGTTTGAATTACCTTGGAATGACCCAACAGTAATTTTTAATTTGTAATTTCATGAAGTCTTCCATGTACTTACTGTTATATTGAAGCGGACACAATCAGGATTTAAGAACATTGCTAGGTCTTTGATGTGAAGACTGCGAATGGAGAACTTCAGTTGCATCTGGATCATGCTAAAAATTCAAAAGAAAATATTCACTTCTTCATTAAAATATTTTTAAAATTTATTTTCATCATGAAACATTTCATGCGCAATCGTGTCGGGGTTATGTGATTTTTAGCATTTTTCGAAATTTCTTTTGCATATAATTATATTTGATCACTCTGCATATTATATTACTTATGAAATGGATATAATTCAATTTCAATAAATTAAACCTGTCAAAGCTTGTGGCATGTCTAATGATATGCCAATCTAAATTTGACTATGCAAATACAAATCTGCATCTGATTATAATATTAAGTCTGAAATAAAAATATATTCAAATTAGTTATTTTTTTCACAACCTGTCAAAGCTCATTGTAAAATCGTTGTCTTTCAGGAATTGCTGCATACTGATGTTCTTGTCTGGTGACACTTCAAATGTCAGACAATCTACAAACGAAAAAAAAATAAAGAAATTTCAAGCATCTAATTCCATCAAAACTACAAAATATTGACATTGTCTTCAATATAAAAAAAAAATTACGAAATCTTTTGCCTTACCATATACCCAAATGTTATCCTTTTATGTAAGTATTATTACCGAGTTTCTTTAAATTAGGGTAATATTTTTCATTATTCATATACAAAATTAACTGCTATTCAATAATTTCGAAACACAAAACAATGTCTTCCCAAAATCTGCATCACTGTGCAGACTAGGATTAAGTCTAATCGCTGTAGCCTTCAAGAGATAAAGTTACAACCTTTGCAAAGCATTGTATTACATCGTATCAACAAAACAGGAAGATAGTGAACATGACTGCACGTACCAATGACAACTGAAAACAAAACTATTATCTGCTCCACTCTTTTCATGATAACAATAGGCCTATATGTTACAAGGAAACAATGACGGGCCGTTTAAAGGGTCAATTGCTTGGAAAGAGCAACAACATACAAATATTGACTGCTTCAAGCTGTGCAGTAAAACTAGCCTTCAGAGGTGATTGAGTGTTCTATTTTGGAATATAAAAAAAATATAATGCTCCATGGATCACCGAGCGAGGTTACTTTTAATACCACAAGATAAAGCAGTCCATATTTGTTTTACATGCACAACACCTCTTCTGGTCAGATTCGGCTTGAATTTAAGCGATAACTGATTAATTGAATCTAAATACTTGCATTAAAATGCACTTTTATTGCAATATGAAAATAGTTGAAAACTTACTGGCACTTTTCCAAACTACCCCTTTACGAAATGTTTGAACCCAGCTCAATCAAGAAAATTGAAAAAGAAAATTGAAAATTGTAAAAAATCTCTGAACAATGTTGCAAAAAGCTTTGCATCCCCAAAATAGGTGTCCGTCTGACTGTTTTTAAAATAATAACTACAAAACCATTAGTTCAATTTTGAAAAAAAAAAATTGTTAAGCAGATACTTCTAAGCCTTGGCCTCAACCCTATGAGCATTGAACTGAGGTCTTGCCAGACAAATGATTCCAATCCAAACTGCAGCGCTATTCACAACATGAAGGATCTTACACACATTTACACTTAACACAGTACTGAAATTGAACAAGGCGAGGAACTTGGTCACAGTGTCCAAAAATATTGTGAGCAATTGAAAATTGTGTAGTGATGCGCCACTGAAAATAAATGAAACTTATAAGGGTTGAGGCCAAGGCTTAGAAGTATCTGCACAACCAAACATTTTCAAAATTGACCTCATGGTTTTGTACTGATTTGAAAACTAGTCAGACGGACAATTGTTTGGGACATACTGTATAAAGTATTATACAGCACACATCAAAATGGAAGACAGAGGGAGGGGGGGGGTACGGAGGGTAAAAATAGCATGGGGGAAGGAGGCGGGGTGAGGGAGGGGTGAGGGAGGGGGGAGGGGGAGGGGGTAAGGCTCGGATGAATGTCTGGCGTTCACACGTACATACCGGTTTTTGTTGAAGCATTGACGTCAAATTTGCCATTAGAGAGATTCACGTTTAAAAAGTGTCTGTTACACAGCGTCATGTTGTGAATGTCTCTGCTCTGGGCTGTCTCAAATTCATACGTGCCGACGGCGATTCTCTCAAGTTGAGAATACTGTGAGGGAAAGTTGAAGAAAAACAAAATCGGCGACGGAAGTTCGACAACATTATAAGGCAATCGTGACGTTTTTGACCTGCCAGCCGTGCCTGTGCATAAAAACAGCCAGTGCGTGTTATCACGTCCTCCGATGCGAACTGGTTAAGAATGAATTCAAATGGGTAGGTAGTTTGCTGGGCATAATCACCCTTGAAAGATGACTGCGTTAACCCTAACTCCCCACCATAATTTACTAGGAACCATACCCATCCAGGCAAATTCCAACACCCACATGGGAAATCGTACACACACACTGTTGGACTTAGTTTCTAGAGGTATGCCAAACCCAATGTAAAAGACCATCAGTTTAGGGGTACTGTACCTATCCCAACAGATTTCAACAAAACCTGCTGTTGAACTTTGATGGGTTGAGTTTGGTTAGGGTTAAGAAGCACATCAGAATTATCAAATCATAGATGTCAGATGTAACAGGGAAAGGAGTAAATGTGGACCCCAAATTTATAGAACGATGTACTCATACCTTGTAGACAGCATAATCTAAGTGTTCATAGACGCCTTCCTTCAAGTACAATGCATAGAGCTGTCTAGTCTTAGGATACGCAAACGAGTCATACGTCGGGTCCCAATCTTTCAAGAAGATGTTGTTGAAGGCTTTCTCGTTGTCCTCAAAGAATGTAGCCTGTGTGAACTGGTTCAATCCAAACAGGATGAGCTGTATTTAGAAAAAGAAAAACACAGTGGTAAGTTATGCTAATAGTAGTTCAACAAACCCTTACTCATATTTTGAATCTGCCAAAACCCAGCACTGTGCAGCAAGCAATAGTTTCTTTATAGCTGTTAGGGCTGAGTCAATTGAAACAACCGATCTACATGTTCTTTCATTCAGTCACATCAGCTGTGTTACAACTGGTAGTGTACCTTAATTTTCGGAATATAAGCTGTGGCGTATAATTTTCGGCATATAAGCCACCCTGTGTATAAGCCGCAATAAACATTTTCATGGTCAAATTCAACGTATAAGCCGCAGCTTATATTCCGAAAATAACGGTAAGTCATTTTTTTAAAAATGAACAGTGGAAGCACGTTCCATGAACAGATACCGAGGTTCGATACCGAGCTGTCCGGCCGGCCGTGCGTGAGCGAAAGCTGTCTTCGTTGGTGACCAACCATCACATTGATGTGACATTGTGTTGCAAGCATGCCTGACCAATCCCTACTGTATCACTATAAAGTTAAACTGATAATGTAACAAAATGTATCGATAGTGTAGTAAAATGTACTACTGTACTACACTATCAGTCAACTGTTGTTACAATATCGGTCCTAACAGATAAGGTTATTCATTTCTCATAGAATATGTTAAAGCTCTAAGACAGTGATGAGTAGACAGTTATTGTGCCATTGAATGGCAAACCCAATTTTTGCACCAAAAACATAGGCCCTACCTGTAAAGTCACAAATACAATCTTGATGATTTGCAGTCCTAGTTTGTACGGCTTTCGCCCCCTCGCTTTGTACTTCTCGTACGGGTTCATGAAGAAAAACTTCAAGTCTCGTCGCATTTTTTCCTCCACTGCTGGAGGTGCGCCGTAGTCGTAACCTCCGCTCCCGTAGTGATTGGAGATCAGCTCCGTCTGCATGCCGCCCTCCTCCTGAATGCAATCGTTGCCGCTACTCTCGTGGGACTCGTGGGAATGGTGTCCGTGGTGGTGGTTGGCCATTGCGGGGCCGTTGTGCCTTTTGGCGGCCGTATTCATGCCGGTTTGAGCTTTCACAATACTGTGAAAATACATAATTAAGTTTAGCAACAAGGCTGATTAAAATAAAATAGTTTCTGTTCCGGGCTTTTTTGAAAATGAAGAAGGTGCCCCCTTTTTTTACCAAGATGGCGGATGGAATTTTTCATTTTCTCAACTCTTTTGGAGCCGTCACCCTTTCTACACTGTACATAGCTTCAATTTTTTTCCTGAAACAAATAAAAATACAACATACTGACAAAAAAAAAAGGTGGGAAAAAGGAAGCAGGCAGGGACGAGATACGGATTTGTTTTTGGAAAAAATGTTGCAACCTGACGCCACTTCCGCGATTGTATACAAAGTCTAGGAGAGTCAAGGATTTTTTTTTAAAAGTATTTCCTAACAAAATTGGACATTTTTCGCAGTCCCAGATTCATGTCTTATCATTTTTGCAATGACTGACCTTCATTGAGATGATAATATGAAGAAAAAAGTGGTGTCAGGTTGCAACATTTTTTCCTTGTTTTTTACTTGGCCTAATGCAGAGCAAAAAATTGAGGTTGGAACTACAATGTGTAATAAGAAAACATTGTTCAAGGATGCATCCATTTTGAATTTCCTGAAAACGGTCATGACGGTAGGCCTAAACCTTTGTCATGTTTGTAGATTTCAGTTGCCTCCACACAGTCAGTGACAGTGAGTATTGATATTACACTAACATACAACGCTTGACAGTTATCAACATGCACTTCATTATAGTATAGCCCCATATAGCCTAGGCCTATGCCGAGAACAGATCACTGATCAGACATGCAACTTGGAAGAAACAAAACCGACGGCGACGGAACTCCAATGTTTACAAGACTTTACTTTGTTTGTACAGTGTCTCAATTTTCAAGTTTATTTGCTTGCTCTTGCTGCCCCGAAACATACCTCATGTGGAGAGAATTACTCATCCCAAAGTAATTCGATCGTTGATTCAATTTCTTGGATACCTACTTTATGTCTTTTAAACTCAATCGCCTGGCCAAAAGTTTTTGTCATGTATGTTTTGAGCAAGGCACTTCGACTTCGTGATCCATGTCATCGATCGTTCGCGCGCCTGCAGCCATGACGTTTGTATCTGTATCTGTATGCTACTACAATCGCCTATGGTGGGGCTATCACGTGAAGGAAATCACGAATGCGATTAAAGAACATACCCACACAGGAAGGCAGAGTCCTGGGCCGAGTGTGGCGCTTTCACTTCTTTCACTTCAAGTTCTTTGTCAAGTAAAGGTCAATGCATATTATTTCCTATCCTGACTGCGTGTAGACCGGTGGTAGGCCGCGGTACGTGGACTGCAGTACTACTACTACACCAGTTTTTAGCAATAGCAATGCACTACATTGTATTATTTTCTTGGCCTAGAACTCGATTGTACTTGTACATGTACCGTACCGACTACCGGTATACGGTACCATATACATCGTGTGATCATGTGACTCATCCGGTGATAATTAGACTTGTTAACCGTCCTTTCATGCACAAACAATATGACACAAAACCAAATTTCTAAGATAGAAGATATTATCACAAGATCTAATTTTGAAATAAAGATTACGGAAAATTTCGAGGTAGATGCCTTGCATTTGGAAAGATAAACGGTTTTTATTTGTCTGCGTCTGCGAGAAATCAAATTTTAGCACAACACGAATGACAGAAAGCCAGTTTAGTTTTCATACAAGCCAAAGATGGCATGTGCTCTAGTCATAGAGTATAGCGGGAACCAGTCAACTAGGAAGCCTGAATGTAAGACGTATCGTACGTAAGCCAGTCAAAATATTGTATTGCATGGATTCTATCATCAGGTACAGTTTTCACGTGAATGACGATTTCTCTCCACGATGGCAGCTCAAGATGAACTCGGTAAGTTACAATACAAAAACTCTTTATTTTGGACATGCTATGAAGAGATAAAAATTTCCTGTTTACATTTAAGCCATGAAACTAACCTTTCAGTGAGACAAATTACCATTTCCAATTGGCTAACGTTAGGTTCTATTTATTTTATGACGAGCATGACTTGCAAAACTGATCCTCGATAAAGTCGATCCTCCTTAATCTGCGCGCGGGTAACGCGCTGTGCATCGCAAGGCGAGTGCGTGGAAATAGGATCGCGTAGTTTTACGATGGAAATGGGTAAACTCGTACTCAGCATACCCCCAAACAACAAAAGAATACAGGGCCACTCCGTTCTATCCGCACATCCATATTGTTAGGATCCAAAAACTGTTTCTTCACATTTCACAGAGAAAACAGCACAGACATGACTGGTGGTAGGCTAACTCATCTGCTCATTATATAAACAAGCTAAAAATTATAAGATGGAATTTTTGCACTGGGGTGATATTATTCAAATTAGGTATTGCCCTTCACCGACGTTTTTAAACACTGTATACTCAGTGTGTTACCTCCCGAGTGAAAGTTGGAAAAAATCACTCGGGTGGGACATAGCCCCACTAGTGTGGCCGTCGGTATGCTGCGCTGAACCTTTGGCCACACACCGTGGTACCGCGCGCTACTGAGGACGAAGTTTTTCATAAAATTCAGGGCAGTTTCTTACATTTTCAGTTTCTTACTTTCTTATGGTTGTATTCTATGATGTCTCCTATCACTTCTGGGATGCTTAGCATGTGCTTAGGTCTAATGATGTTCCATTTTCCGAGATATTCTTCAATCTTTCTGGAGTCCATATGCACTCGTGAAACGTCTGGTGATGGCAGCCATTTTGAATGGGACAAGAGATGACCTCAAGCTGTGACGTCGCGTGTATGCAAATTGCTTGTCGAGCGCGCGAGGGCGCGAGTTGCAAATGCGACGGCTGTTTCCTGTACCATGCATTTATCGTCAGGGGGCCACGTGCACCGATCTCTATTCAGGATCTACGGCACAGGAAACAGCCGTCGCATTTGCAACTCGCGCCCTCGCGTGCTCGACAAGCAATTTGCATAAACGCGACGTCACAGCTTGAGGTCATCTCTTGTCACATTCAAAATGGCTGCCACCACCAGACGTTTCACGAGTGCATTATGGGCTCCAGAAAGATTGAAGAATATCTCGGAAAATGGAACATCATTAGATCTAAGCACATGCTAAGCATCCCAGAAGTGATAGGAGACATCATAGAATACAACCATAAGAAAGTAAGAAACTGAAAATGTAAGAAACTGCCCTGAATTTTATGAAAAACTTCGTCCTCAGTAACGCGCGGTACCACGGTGTGTGGCCAAAGGTTCAGCGCAGCATACCGACGGCCACACTAGTGGGGCTAGGGTGGGACAATACCTAATTTAAATAATATCACCCCGGCGCAAAATTTCCATCTTATAATAGTTTATGCGTTACCCGCTGCTATGTACATCAGATTCGAACCGGCCAACCGATCCCGTTAGCTCGGTGGTCGAGTGGTAAGACATCTGCACTAGAAAGCAGGAGGTCGTGGGTTCGAGTCCCACCCGAGTGATTTTTTTCCAACTTTCACTCGGGAGGTAACACACTGAGTATACAGTGTTTAAAAACGTCGGTGAAGGGCAATTTGAATAATATCACCCTGGCGAAAAATTCCATCTTATAATAGTTTATGCGTTACCCGCTGCTATGTACATCAGATTCGAACCGGCCAACCGATCCCGTTAGCTCGGTGGTCGAGTGGTAAGACATCTGCACTAGAAAGCAGGAGGTCGTGGGTTCGAGTCCCACCCGAGTGATTTTTTTCAACTTTCACTCGGGAGGTAACACACTGAGTATACAGTGTTTAAAAAACGTCGGTGAAGGGGGATACCTAATTTGAAGCTAAAAATTCAAATAAATCAAATCAGTTTAAAAAATAAAAACAAATGGAAGCTAGACAAGATTCAAATAAATTAATCAAGTTCCTAAAAAGAATTTCCAGACATTCAAATCTAGCAATTTTCTATAGCCTATTTAAAAAATGCAGGTCCCCCCTTAGAGAATTATATTAGGAAATGATCAACATATTAAAAAAAATCCTTATAAATATGATATGTTATGGTAACATTTTTGTCTGAGAGAATTATTGGAAATATCTAATGAAAAACCTCAAAAGATTACTTACCATCGTGGACAAACTCTCAGTGTTGAGATTTGCTTTAAATGTTTGACAAATATGCTGCAGAGGAAATCGTTGGAAAATTTGGTGTTTTATGTTTGAAGAAGTTCCATTGTTTTTTTTCACATTTTCTTTAAATTTTACATGGGATAATCGATCTATCGAATAGTGTCGGTAATGGAATTCTGATATACACTGTATCCATTATTAAAAATTTTGATGTCGACGGTGCTTAACAGTCTGGTTCCCAAAAGACAAAGATCCTGACGAGGAATATGTCAGGTCAGGGAACCAAACGGTCAACTGCTGTAATGAAGGATAGTCACAATGATTTTGTTTTCATTGTCTCCTGAATAGAACTGCTGGAGCGAGTGTTCCTTCGCATTGGCTCAGCTGAAACGGACGAACAACTCCAAAATGTTGTGTCGCGATTTTTACCTCCGGTGCTTCTGAAACTATGCAGTAACCAGGAAGGCGTGAGAAAAAAGGTAAAAACTCAACTTTGTCAAAGCGTCAATGCATCATATGTATGAGTGTTGCCATTAGCCTTAACCCTCCGAGCAGCGAAGTGGTGATTTCATTCTCCACATTTTCCAAATATGGGCATAATTTTTTTTCAATGGGCCAATAAGGTAAAGCTTCCATGTAATCCTCACCCCTACTATACACCACAAGCCTGTAGACTCCCATTGGCCAGTCCCTACCCACTTCGAAATAAGGAGTGTTAAAAGACAGAAGCCAAGATGGCGCCCAATGCCTTTGTGCAAGTAATGGGAGATTTTAGTGGCCAATCCCTCAGTGCCGCCGATCCCTTTGTGTCAACCCCTCGTGCATCCCAGAGCTCAGACAGGTTGTAAACAATCCCTGGTCATGTGAATGACCTATATCTTGTGCATGTACAGGCATGCCAGGTTTATTGACCTATAAACACATGTGGTGATAAAATTCTCCACATGTTTCCACGGTGTGATTTTTTTTGGTAAGCTGCTCAGAGGGGCCAAGTCCATTGAAATTGCGAGTGGTCATTTAGTCTTTGTGCTTGGTAATAACAGACAAAAAGATCACAGCTTGGACATTGTCTGAATATCTTTCAAAAAGTTTGATTTTCCATGACTGATCGGATTGAATGAATCATTGTTTTTGCCAGGTTTTGGAGCTGTTGGTTCACATCAATAAGAGATTGAAGAGTCGGCCCAAGGTGCAGATCCCCGTCGATGTTCTTCTGTTGCAGTATCAAGACCCAGCCAATGTCACTTTTGTCACGGTAAGTAAAACCTTTGAAAAATGGGCATATTCTTTAGGTGTATCTTTCTTACAATGATTGTTTTGTCTTTTATAATTGAATAATGTCATCCCCCCTAATAATACAGTGCGTTTACATTTTGCAATAACTAATGTACATTGTAAATCTTCTCAATATGGGATGTGGAAGATTGTCATTTCTCCTAAATTTAGCTGATACACTGCCAGTTTTAGTTAAATTCAAAAGCATACTACACGAATATTGAGTTGAATGTGCATGTAAGGGCCAAGTCATGTGTTTTAAGGTGTCTTTTTGTGATTGTGGTTTGAAGGTGTCTTGTGTTATATCAGTCTGTTATTGCAGAATGTTTCCATTTTTATTTACGAATGGCAGAACTTCACAGTGCTGTACCTCAAGATGGGGTACCCCAGACTGCCGATGGAGAAGCAAGCTGAGCTAGCGCCCTCACTCATGCAGTGTCTAGAGGGCAAACCTGTACTGCAACAAGACAGGTATGGGGTATGGACTGGGGGTTCCTCTCCCCTCCCCCCCCCCATCCCCAGCCCCCCCCCCCCATCCCCACCCCACCCTTTCCCCCACACGTTCCCCCAACCTCCTCACCCCTCCCCTCCCCCAATCTCAAGATGTGCTATGGGCTCCGTGCGCCTACGAAAGAGGGCGCCCTTTTACCAGCAACGACGTCCCATGGGCGGGACATTTAGCTGGTTGACGCGCAACGTTCCTTGTGTGTGACGCACGTACACAAGGGGATTTGTACTATGTACACGCAGTGGCCGCGCTTCGCAGCAAATGAATTGCCGTCAGGCAAGATGGCATTGTTCGGTCACCCCCAACTGTACTTTCTTTGCCGATGAGGGGGTACTTGTGAACGGAGCGGATACAGGGTGGATAAAAAAAAAACCGAGATATTATTGCTAATTGGAACAGAAGTAGGGCACATGTGAATCAAAGGGAGATATCCTCTGTCAGGGTTGAATCTCCTCTTTAAAATGACCCCCTGATCATGTCATTGCATTCACGGTTGACTGAGCAGTGACCAATTTTATGAAAGGGTCTATTTAGATAAACAAGACGCACAGAATCGGTTACTCACGTTACGAAAAGGTATCGTGAGTAACCAATTTTGTGCGTCTTGTTTATCATACATAACACATTTTTCTGGATGTCATCTTTGGTGCTTAGGTAGGTCTAGGTCTACTCTATCAACCATGGGGATAACAGTTATTAAACCTTTTCAGTAAGGTAATTACAGCCCAAGGAAACTCAAAAGTACATCAAAAATGTAACGTGAGTAACCGTGGAATTGCCCCAATGCATTTTCCCCACATTTCTTGTAGCCTTCTACAGATGCTGATCCCCACACTGCCTCATCTGAAGCTTCCTAAAGACCCCATCAAGAGGAAAGTTGTCTTTGGTCTGAGTGAGAAGCCAGCCACGGTGCAACTCCTGCTGGGATTCATGCTGGACTACCTCCTCTTGCCATACACATTCAGGTGGGTACTGGCGAGGTTTGGGCTGGTGAGGTTTGAGTTGGAGAGGTTTTGGGAGGGTCGGTTGGAAATGGGAGGTTTGTGTGATTGAGGTTTGGGCAGGCAAGGTTTGGGCTGGGGAGGTTTGGGCTGTTGAGGTTTTGGGTATGTGAGGTTTGAGTTTGTGAGGTTTTGGAAGGGTCGGTTGGAAAGGGAGGTTTGTGTGATTGAGGTTTGGGCAGGCAAGGTTTGGGCTGGCAAAGTTTAAGCTGGGGAGGTTTGGGTATGTGAGGTTTGAGTTGGTGAGGTTTTTGAAAGGTTGATTGGAAATGGGAGGTTTGTGTGATTGAGGTTTGGGCAGGCAAGGTTTGGGCTGGCGAAGTTTAAGCTGGGGAGGTTTGGGTATGTGAGGTTTGAGTTGGTGAGGTTTTTGAAATGTTGATTGGAAATGGGAGGTTTGTGTGATTGAGGTTTGGGCAGGCAAGGTTTGGGCTGGCGAAGTTTAAGCTGGGGAGGTTTGGGTATGTGAGGTTTGAGTTGTTGAGGTTTTTGAAAGGTTGATTGTAAATGGGAGGTTTGTGTGATTGAGGTTTGGGTAGGCAAGGTTTGGGCTGGTGAGGTTTGGGCTGGAGAGGTTTGGGAACATTAGGTTTTGGAAGGATTGGTTTGAAATGGGAATTCTGTGTGGTTGCAATTTGGGAAGGAGTCGTCCGTGAGGTTTATGTTTGAGATGGTCAGGAAGAGGATGCTTAGATGAGGTTTGGGCCTTTGAGGTTTGGGAGTGAAAAGCTTGGGTATGTGAGGAGGGTCGAGTTGTTGGTAAGGGTGGAGAAGGGGATGGGTAGAGATTTGGAAAGGAGAGGTTTGGAGGTTTGGGTAGGTCAAGGTGCGCATGTAGTTTGTACCTTTGAGGTCTGTGCGCATGAGGTTACGTCAATTGGGGCTTGGACTGGTGAGGTTTGGCTAGCTGAGGGATGAAATGAGATAGACAGGACAGGTTTGAGCATGTGAGGTTTAAGGAAGGGGGTTTGTTTAGGATAGGGTTGGAAGGTGTGTTTCTTACAATGGTTTTGGACTAGTAAGGTTTGGCTGGCAAGGTTGGGCAAATCAGATACAAAATTTGTGAGATTTAGTCTAGTGAGGTTTGAACATTTGAAGTTTACAGAAAGGATGTCTCAGAAAGGGAAGGCTCGATGTATAAAATGAAAGGTGAGATCTAGATCACTTAGATTTGGTGAAGTGAATTATATATAGTCAAAAGGCGAGGAAATTCGGACAAGTTTGGGATAGTGACATTCTTTTTTTTTCCCTGTATATTTGTTGTCCTTAACTCTTTCGCTACGGAATTTAATTTCCCGATTTACTCACGTTTGGACGTAATAAATCACTGGAAATTCCGCCGTGTGTCGATGTGGACGCCGCCATCTTGAAATGTCTCTCTGTAAACAAACTGCTCACAATAACCTGCAGCAGACCCCGGCGAGACGGAGAGCCGCTGGCAGCGGCTCAAACTAGGGTCAGAGGTTATGCGATATAAATTATGTAGATAAGGCCCACGTCATGGGGATACCCTGTTTATTCACAGCGACGTCAACGAGCCGCTGCCAGCGGCTTGCCGTACGACATGTACAATTTTTGTGTGCCGCTGTCAGCGGCTCGCCGTAGCGAAAGAGTTAAAAGAGAGCAGATTTGTAAAAAGTGGTGTTGACGAAACTCACAATTTCCTTCCTGCCTGTTCTATTTAGCTCACCAAAGGCAGAGGAACGACCCACCTCAGCCTCCGGAGGGCAGCAGACGGGGGCTGGTTCCTCATCCAGGCCTGCCACAGCACCTGCAGGAGCTTCAGCAGCTGCAGCAGCAGGAACGTGGGCAACACCACCGGGCCTGAGCGCCAACGCACTCAAACGTGTCATCGGGGAAAACGTTCCTGAAGCTAGCACAATTGAACAGGTTGGGAGGACATAATAATATACTGAGTGTTTTATAAAAGCAGTAGTTAAAGATATATATTTTATTACTGAAAATTAGTAAAATGCAAATAATGAAGCAAGTAACTAGAGATAGAGATAGATGTTAATTAATCGGTTAAATTAAATTTTGGGGAAAGTAAATTATTTCTTCAAAATTGGGTTTTGCCCTTCACTGACTTATTTTTATAAACACTGTATACTCCGTGTTGTCCCGATTGATTGCGGGAAAAGATCACTCGGGTGGGACTCGAACCTACGACCTCCTGCTTACTAGCGCAGACGTCTTACCACGCGACCACCGAGCTTACTGGGGTCGGCTGGCTGGTTGGAATCTGATATAGAAGCGGGTACTGCAACCAAACTGTATTGACCAACCAATATTGAATTTGCATCACCCCGACGCAAATTCCATCTTATGAGTAAACTATTTCTGTATTGATACTGTGTTTGTCTTAATCTTGATCATTTGTTTGTTTTTGACTGTCGCTGTACAGTGTTTCACAGTTTTATTCACGCTGGTTTGTTATAAAATGCTCACTATTTTCTGATTAGATTTTCATCTTTTTTTCGCCTTTTTTCAGTGTAAGGTAGGCATTGTGAACTTTCTTGCTGCCGACGTACTGCCCAACGAAGATGTGGTGTGTCATCTTATTGTCGCCTGCTCTGATACGAGATACAGGTAAGCAAATCTTCTCTTTTTATTTATTAATATTTTTTATTTATTACATTTCTGTACCCAGGGTATGCCCAAACAGTTTAAAACTGGTTTTTATTGGGGCCCTGCATACACTACTAATGACTACACATATGTACAAATACAATACATTACAAATACAATACATTACAAATACAATACATTACAAATACAATACATTACAAATACAATACATTACAAATACAATACATTACAAATACAATACGTTACAAATACAATATATCGTCACAGTGGCTTTAGCAGACCCTATCTCTCCTGGAACCTTCTGCTTTGACAGATTTGGTTGGAAATTGTTGAAAGTAGATTTTATTTTCAACCTTAGGAACTTTTTAGCAAGCAGTCAGGACAAAGTCTACAATTTTGTATTAGTATTTTTGTTTTGCGATTGGATTTCTACATAGGATGCATTTTAATAATAATAATAATAATAATACCGGAGTCTTATATAGCACAGGTATCGACCAACAATTAGGTACTCAAGGCACTGGAAGTTATGTCTATTATTAAAGACGGGTATTAAATTGAAGTTTATGAGAAATATGAGACCCATTATGTAGCACCTTATAAGGGTTGACAAGGTGCTGCGGCGCATATTGCAGCCACTGCCAGAAACACCGGGGCAAACCCCTTCTCTTAGCGATAGGTGTTACTAGGTTCATTAACGTGCATTACACAACACATAGGACCTATAGCTATACGTCCAATCCGAAGGATGAAGCAATAATGGTAAAGTGCTTTGCTCAAGAGCACAAGCACCATGTTCCCACTGTCAGGATTCGAACCCATGTACCACGGCACACAAGTCAAACACCGTAACCATTGGACCACAGCACCCCACAGGTTTCAGAATGGTTCTTGCAAAGGTGCCTCCACTTCCGGCCGTGTATGTGATACTCAAGTCCAGGTCAAAGGTCACATTGCTGGTGTCTTTGAGCAAGACACTTTACTCCAATATGCTGTTCTTTCATGCATCCACATTTCTATCACTGCAGTGTGGCCACTGCTGCAGACGTTGAACTGAAGAAGATCCACAATATCGTTGACTGGAACAACACGGCTATCGTCAACAAACTCTACAGCTTGTTCAAGGGGACCGTAGTGATCAAAGGACAGGTATGGTTAACTCGATTCCAAGCAAGGAATAAACATAAAGGCCAGTTCATGCTTCACACACAATTTCAGTGCGAAGCGAATTTGTTAGGGCAACGGCAAACCTCGCAATGAAACTTCAGTTGTTGACGTCATGAAATCCGCTTTGTTTTCGCTTTCACGTGAACTATGACCCTGCTTTTAGTTGGAGCAGTTTTGAACTTGCTGGGGCTAATTTCCAAATGCTGCTTGCCATCAGAGGAAAATTTTCTTGGGTGGGAGTCGAATACACGACCTCCGAATCTGATATGTCAGCAGTAACCCCAAGCATATGACATTTGTCAAAGTGGTCTGGTTTCCGGACAACAAGATAAGACCCAAGATTCCTACACAGACTTTTCACTGGTTTCCCTCTCCCTCCCTTAGCCTGCCATCAAGCAAGAGGATCGCCGTCTACCAGTCAGCACGCGAGTCCGTCTCAAGATCTTCCCCTACATCCTCAAGTCCAGAGAGGCTGCGGATCGGTTTCCGGCTTGCATTCAGGTTGGTACCAGAGACGAGGCTAGGTCCTCACAAGTCCAATCACAAACCAATCATAAGTCATCACAAGTCACTCAGAACTCAGTCACTGGCCAACTACAAGTAAGTCATTAGTCATCACATGTCACCAAAAGTCAGTCACAGGTGTTAACAAGCCAATTACAAGTTCATCACAAATCAGTCACAAGCCCATCACAAGACAAACACAAGTCAGTCACAAGTCAATCACAACTAATTACAAATCAATCACAAGCGAATCACAAGTCAATCACAAGTCAGTCATAATACGGTCACAAGACAAACACAAGTCAGTCAAGAGTCAATCACAACTCAATCTCAAGTCAATCACAAATCAGTCACAAGCGAATCACAAGTCAATCACAAGCCAATTACAAGTCAACAATACAGTCACAAGACAAACACAAGTCAGTCACAACTCAATTATAACTCACAAGTCAATCACAGGTCAGTCACAAGCCAATCACAAGCCAATCACAAGCCAATCACAAGTCAATCACAACTAATCACAAATCAGTCACAAGCCAATCACAAGCCGATCACAAGTCAATTACAAGTCAATCATAATACAGTCACAAGACAAACACAAATCAGTCACAACTCACTCACAAGTCAATCACAAATCAGTCACAAGCCAATCACAAGCCAATCACTGGTCAGTCACAACTTAATCCCAACTTGATCACAACTTAATCACAAATCAGTCGCAACTCAGTCACATGTCAATCACAATTCCTAACTAGTCAACCACCAGTTCTCACAATCCTATCACAAGTCAATCACAAATATGCACAAGTGATTCAGAGTCCTCGGAAGTCAATCTCAAGTCATCCAGTCCCAAGACAACTAACAAGCTCTTCGAACTAACTGTGACCAAAATTCCTCAAATAACAAGTGACGTTTGCATTTCTTTGGCACTATTCATCCTCCGGTATGTGTGAATTGACTGGTTGTTTGTTAACACGGCACATGCAAGTTTGTTTTGCACGTCACCTGAGACATTCTAACAATGGCAACTTTTCCCCTTAGGTCATCTTCGACTGTCTGTACGGCAATAACACCAACGCTAAGCTGAAGACGTTCGCCGTTCAGTTCGTTCATCATCTCTGCGCCACCTGCAGCACGGCTCGTATTCAGCCCATGGGTCCTATCCTACTGTCTGGCATGGGGAAACTCATCACGGAGACCAAGGACGTAAGTGCTAGCAGATTTCGTTCCGTAAACTTGAACTTTTCCCTCTTCTCGTGTAAATAAGATTGGTGACTTTGCATGGCGGTAGTTTAAATTAGTGCGGGTTTGCGGTAACACCACAGGAAAAGACAATCAGAGCATACTGATCGGAACTTCGAGTTTACAACCAACTGGAGTTTTGTCAGAACCACACATCCTCGCAAAAGAGATTTTAAAAATTCATCCTCAGGAGAAGACGATCAGAGCATACTGATCAAAACGTCAAGTTCACAACCAAACGGTCCTTTTCAGAACACTTTTTCTCAAAACAGATTCTTTCATATGGTTTTACCGCAAACCCTCAATACTTAATCTTGTTTAGTTCTTTATATCGAGAGGTATTACTAAATATTTTTTTTCCCCTGAAATTTACAGAGTGCCCAGCTCCGAGGTCTAGCCTACGTCGCAGTCGGGAAATTATCAAAGTAAGATCAACTTTTTCCCTTAGTATAATTAAGAAATTTGTAAATTCCTTTTGGTTATACTTTTAGCTGTCTTGAAGACTTTTGGTATTCTGTTCCCCGCAGAAACATCTTTAAGTTTGTGGTTCTGTTATCGTCTCACTCTACCACAGCAGAAAAGTTGGAAAATTTATTTAGAAAATTAGGAGGAAAAGCTGAAAATTGCATAATGACAGGAATCATCTGAAATGTTCACATTTTAAATGTTATAGGGCCTGACATAGTTACAAATATTGTTCACATTCTCGAATGTCGCCTTCATATTTCTTGTTTTGCCAGGCGCGTACCTCTACTGTTCATCAAAGACATGGCGTTATTGCAACAGTTCTTTGATGCTCTATCTACGGTGAGTAATTCTAATTTTTACTAACATATCACAACTCACTTCTCGTTCTTGTTTTGTGTTTTTGGTTTTTATACATTTTTATAGCTACAGTGATAGTATTTTTTACTTCATCCATTTGGAACTGCTAAGCGAGACTGCAAGTCACATTAACCCTTGAGAATATCCCTTACTTTAGACACCCTTACCCCACCCCCATTCTATCATCAACCGAATATTCAAATAGCTTTTTGCTGGTTCGAATATTCGTAAGATTAAAATGTTTTTCTCATCGTAAAGTTGCTGCGCTTTATTGTCAGATGCCACTTTTTGTTGACAGTAACTTTTTGGTTGCCGTCGTTTTATAGTTCCCATCCTTTAAGCAGGTTCAAGCCCTTGACAACTAATACTTACTGCAACCCACACTTTTGCGGCCCATAACATCGATCACCGCGTGCCAAATTTTAACCGGTATGCTTTGAGTGCAACGTTTGACAGGCGCATCATGCAGTTGAAGCTGGCATGTATAAACTTGACCGCCGAGTTTCGAATATTCAAGTATTCGTTCAAAGGCAGTTTCAAGTTATCAAATGCTTAAAGGGGATGTACATCATTGGCTTTTGCTGTAATTTTCAAAAATGAACTATATGAGGGCTTAGTATAATAGATCAAATATTGTTACACTAACATGTTTCAAGTTTTGTGTTCGAAAATGCTGGAAAAACCAAGAAAAACAAAAATGTTCAAGCAGTCTGGTTCCCTGGCTCCCCTAAAGATGAAATAGATCAATATTTATAGATGCCGGAAAATTGTAAGGTGAGGGAACCAGTCTAGTTGGCCTGCACCCGTTCATGAACATGTAACCAATAGCAAACAAAATTTGGACTGAAAAAATGGTAAATTTGGATCAGTAGTTGAATAATAGTTGGGTTTTTCCAACGGTGGTCGGCCGACCACCGTTGGAATTGTATACACAAATATTATTTTCTTGAAAATGACTTCACACCAGGTGCCATAATTTTACAGGATGCTTTAGACTGTCATTTACCAACATCCTAGTAAGGTATTTCGCAAAAACTTGGTAGTTTTATTTTTCGATGCTTGCAAATGTTGTATATTCCCTTTAATCAGTCGAAAATCAACAGCCCTATGGCTCTCAATGTTTACAAACAAAAGAAAGTTCTATTGGTAGTGTGGCTGATTGGCTAATTGAATGGCACACTGTCACTGCATTGATAAGTTTACTAGTTTGTTTATGTTTTCTGCGTTTGAATCCTCCAGGAAGATGCCAACATCCGCCTCCACGTTCAGGAGGCCTTAGCTCTGATGGCGTCCGCCTACAAGAACTTGGAAGGACCAAACCTACTCATTATGCAGAGTCTTATCATGAGCAACATTGAGAAGGTAAGACACGTTTTCAAGACATTTTGACTTGTAACCAGGAGGTATTGGGTTCGAGTCCAGCCTTTGTAGCATTCCACTCAAGTGAACGATGACACAAACATTCTTATGATTTCTCCATTCATAGTCGGAGCCCCAAGCTCGTCTTGCTGCTGTACAGTATGCGAGAGTCGTGTTTCCAGGCAACCACATCGCGTCCCGCTACGCCCTGCTGTTAGCTACGGGAGATGCGTAAGTGCATCGATATTTCCGTTGAAACTCTGAAAATGTCTGCCATTTATCAAAAATTACATCTTGCTCTTTAAGTACATTCAGTGTGCATGGTTGAGGGGGGCATGGGTGGCTAGTGCGCAAAGCGCTTGCCTCTCACCACTGTGGCCCGGGTTCGATTCCCGGCTTGGATTCTCTCCTGTGCCACGAGGGTTTTTCTTTAGGTCCTCCTGTTTTCCTCCCTCCGGAAAAATCAAACACTTTCGATCTCAGGCTGTGCTCCGTGGTCATATATGGGTTGATGTGGCCGGCAGCCATAGGTGCCTTTACGTGCCAGCGGCCCGACCACGTTGTAGCCGCGTCCTTTGCAATTCAGCTTCTCAGCTGTGATTTAGGATGATTAGCCTCCCAAATTATTGCATTTTAATATAGGTTTTCCCGGCCAATTTCCTAAAATGTTCATTCACTTCTGAAAATCGGTCATTCATTTTCGTCTGAATTTGAGAATCGCTCTGAACACGCATTTCATTTTCGCTACCAGAGCATTCGATTCCATTTCAGTTCTATCAATTAAGTGATTGAGCAGCACCTTTCGTTTATGCTCATTTAATGTAATGTGATGCAATCTGCTATTTTTAAAGAGAAAAACGTACTTTTGATTGCACATTCACAAAATTGTATGCCAGAACTCTGCGCGAAAAGGCATGCTTGCGTAAATGAATGCACAGGTAACGTAATTGGCCGTCTGTTTCTCAAAACCGAATGTGCGGACAATGAAAACGATTGAACTTTCGTTGAATTGAAATGGGACTAAAGACGTGCATTCAGATTCAGAGGAAAACGAATGACCGATTTTCAGAAGTGAATGAACATTTTAGGAAATTGGCCGGGAAAACCTATAGTATTATTATTGTTAGAAATTGATGTCATTTGTTGCCATTTTAGGAAGGAGGATATCCAGCAGGAGGCAGTGAAGGCATTGAGGATTCCTAGCGGGGAACCAGTGAAGGATAGCTTAGAGCACAATAGCGGACTGGCAGATGAGGGAGCAGCTAACGACAAGGCCTTGGTGCCGTCATTTCCTGAAATGGTGTTGTACATCAGCGAAATGGTAAACAAAATCTCTGAATTTGTATATTATTTAGTCGGCTTTTAGTAAATAACAATTACAATTATAATGACATGCATACTAAAGGCATGAGATTTTTCAGACTTTTGTTTAAATAATGAAAAGTTTGCGGAAACACCATGTGCGAATAATTTCCCAACTAAGAGAATGGTTCTGAAAAGAACCAGAGGTATAAACTCGACGTTCCGGTCAGTATGCTCTGACCGTCTTCAGGAGAGTGCCTAAACTCTAAGAAAGTGAATACTTAAGTAGCAAAAAGGCGAAGTCAATGAAGTGAGAAGTTGTCGAGTTTATACCTCTGGTTCTTTTCAGAACCATTCTCTTAGTTGAGAAATTATTCGCACATGGTGTTTCCGCAAACTTTTCATTATTTAGTATCTCCACCATGCAAAGCCTCAAATCTTACTTAGACTTTTGTTTGAAAACAGACTTTTGAATCTGAGAGAAAGACATTAATAGTATGGAAAGATATGCATCTTTCAGACATTTCATCAATTTTCAGACTTTTTTTAATTGACAATTTTATCCCTGTATAGTGCTTTATACCTCTGTCTCAAAGTGCTTCATAATTAATAGCCATGTTTATCAGGCCATGACACCAGTTTTCTGCAGCATTGCAATCAAGGCTGTCCTTCACAGGTACCCAGTTACACTCCTGGGTGGAGAGAGGCAATCGTAGTAAAGTGTCTTGCCCAAGAACACGAACACCATGTTCCGTAGCCATGTTTATCAGGCCTTGAGACCAGTTTTTTGCAGCATCGCAATGTAGTCTCTTCCTTCACAGTTTCCATTTATACTCCCAGGTGGAGAAAGGCAGTTGTAGTAAAGTGTCTTGCCCAAGAACACTAACACCATTTTTTGTTTTGAAACACAAGGTTTTTCTTGATGGAATCCCTCCTGAACTCGTTGTGAGCTATTTTTGTAGAGAACCTGGTTCCTTAATCAGTCCGTAACCCTCATAATCTAAATGATCACATACTTTTCATGTTTATGGCTTCATGTTATCCAATTATTTTGTTGGTTTTCTTCTAGGCATCTAAGCGAGTGAAGGGCCCGTCTCGATATCTCTCCGGTAACACAGCTCTGCCGTTTCGGCCAGAAATTTTCAATCAGGTAGGCTATAATGTTTGTGCATATTAATTATTTTGTGAGGTTTCCTTTTGAAAAAGCTAAGGTGATGATCGCAAATGTTGCTTCTTCCAGTTTACTTCAATGGGGGCTGTAAAAGAACATCAATTTTTAAAGAAATATTTTGAACATTAGGAATTTTTTTCTGGAACCACTTTTTTTTTACCAAATCACCCCTCTCCCTTGGAGATTTACACCATTGCAAAAAAAAGTCAGTCATGGAACAAATTTGTGATTTCATGGACGAAATTGACAAGTTTGATGTCCTTTAAGATCTACTGTACATAAAAATGTAATTTCGTAAACTTGTGCCGTTATGTGCTGTGTCTTTGTGATTGGTTTTTAAATCACGACACGTTGTGAACATTTTATTTAAACAACTTGTTTGTCTTTTAGGTCATTTTCTATCTTCGCGCCTGTTTGCTTCACGACGCTGGGATACACATCAACAAAGACGCGCCCTTTGACCTGGACTCCGATGCGCCCATCGCCAGTCGCCATGTCAACCAGCTCCTCAACCAATCAGGACTAAGCGCCCAGAGCCCCGTCTTGGTGTACATAGCCCTGATGCAGCAGCTGCTGAATGCCGTCGGGTCACGTGACGTCATGAGGTGTCTCCTAGAGATTGTTGCCGTGGCGGCGGAGAGAATGGCCAAACAGTTTGTGGACCGGCTAGCGTGGGTCAAGGTGCATCTTTGTTGTTGTTTGTTGTCTTTTTCTGAATGCATTTTACTTTCTTGTTTACCATTCTGTAATAAAAAAGATGAGGCTTGCCTCATTAACCCTTAAAGGGCTGCCCATCCCCCCCCCCCACACTTGTTAGCAATATTTTCGCTAAAACGGGCGTTTCTCGTTATGAGCTTTCATGAGTTTTAAGTTTCAAGTCTGCCGCATGTTTTGATACTAAATTTATGAAAATTGACCTTAGGGTCACCCATATACAATACATGGATAGTACAATTTGCTGTGGTCAAGTGTGCTGCTAACTTGCAAATTCAATAATCTAAAAACACTTTGTCTTTTGAAAAACAAATTCTGTGAAAATGTTCACATTTTATTAATCATTATTTTTTTAGTTTCTTTCCTTTTGAATTTTTTTTTATCATTGGAAGGGTTTAATGGCTGCTAATAGTGTAATATGGCAAACAAAATTAGAAGCCATATTTTGGGTACTGCCACACTGGCGCACACACTGCATGCGCTCTTAAAGACAAAGTGTGTACGAAATTTGGTAACATCATTGGTCGAAGGAACCCGGACTACATGCGTACTACCTGGGTGCGACTCACACGAGCCTGGTGCCACCGCAGTGCCACCTCAGAAAATGGCTGTCTCCAAATAAGTCTATATAATAAGTCAATCTTATAAAAGTTTACGCAGTACCCACTGCTATTTACATCAGATTCAAACCAGCCAACCGATCCCGTTAGCTCGGTGGTCGAGTGGTAAGACATCTGCACTAGAAAGCAGGAGGTCGTGGGTTCGAGTCCCACCCGAGTGATTTTTCCAACTTTCACTCGGGAGGTAACACACTGAGTATACAGTGTTTAAACGTCGGTGAAGGGCAAAACCTAATTTGATTTATATCACCCCGACGCAAAATTCAATCTTATAGAAGTCTATGCCTACAAAACTTACACTGCCTATGAAAATATATTAACTGTTGGATGTACTGTCATAAGACTAACTCCGATTACTTTCTTTTCTTTTCTTTTTCTCTTTCTCGAACAGAATTTTGTGAACGGTAACCATGAGCACATGAGGAACACTGCAGCTCAGTTATACGGGGTTGTATGCGATGCGTGCAGCACGGGTAAACTAACGGAGAACATCAAAGAGTTGACCAAGATAGTGAAAGACCAGGTGGGTTTGCAGAACAGAAAAGAGTTTTGCGCTTTTGTGAAAAAAAAGTTCTTTGCACTGAACCTTAATTTTCTTGGAAGCCCAGTATTTGATTATCTCTGACTTCCTCCAAAAGCCTGTAACGTACTGGACAGTGTATTCTTTGTTCTTTGTACCCATTACGGCCAAAAAGAAATTAGAGAAACTCCGAACTTGCCAGCATCTTCTCTGATCACATGATAGTTTGGATAGTCACTTATTTTTGCATTCTGAAACGTTGCTGTATGTACCAAGTTTAATAGTGATTTTAGTAGACCCATGAAATAGGTGTATACTTGGAGAGAAGACTTTCCATTTAAGTATCCCATTAAAAATGAAAAATAGACAAATATTTACTTGTAAAATGATATCAGAAATAAAATGGTTTTCAGGCTAAACATAACGTCCATTGCTTACCATTTGTTTGCATGTTAACATGAATGCAAATTATTTTGTGACATCATGGCAAGCTTTCCAGCCCCAAATTCGCAAAAGTTTCATCGTATTTTAACTCTGGTGAATTTTGCAGTGGATGTTCCGTGACACATAATTTGCATCGCATTCACATGAAGTATGAACGTGCATTATGTCTTCAAAAACGTATTCCTTATTGGGAGCATTTTTATTCCAAACTTCAAAGTTTGTTTTTTTATTCCAATTCCCTAGTCTCGTTCCTTTGAGGACCACCACGGCTCTCTCCTAGCCCTGGGTTACGTCATCGGCCGATACCTGTCAAGGGACAGACGTCAAGATCCCAGCATGATTACAGACAGTGAACAGACAAGCAAGCAGGATAAAGCAATAACGCAACTCAACAATGCAATCGCGGAAGCTGTGAAGGTTCTTGGTAAGTGTTTCCATGTTGATTTGAAGTAGCTGTTTAAAGGGGCACTGCGTCCTGTATATTGAATTTTTTCGACATGACAGAAGTTTGCCGGGGAGGGGGGGGGACTTAAAAACGGCAAGTGGCCGGGACTTAGAAACGGCAAGTGGCCAAGACAATGATGGATTCTTAAATCTGTTGCTAGACGGGTAAAAAATATTGCCGAAAAAATTATAGTTGGCCCTTCTTCAGAATAGACCAACTGTTTCTTTGAATGAAAGGCTTACGGTAACACCATGTGAATGAACGATATCTCTTAGTGAGTTGTTTGGTTTTGAGAAGAACCAGTTGGTTTTATCTCAGTTGTTACCGCAAACCTCCCATTCATTGATCGTGTCCACCATGCAGACCCCTAAGTCTTATTCAATTGTTTCATCTTAAGAATATGAATCTTAAGATGGCCCCGCCCAGTGCAACACTTGCGTCTCTCCCATGCCACACTGTATGTTCTAGCAAGACTCTGTAGCTCGCAAGCTTTAAGAAAACATGTAGAGAGGAGAGAGTGAGAAGAGATTACAGTTGTAGAGGTGGGAGGAAAACCCCAGTAGAATATTCTGGAGAAAACCCACAGAATCAGGCAGGGACTGAAAACCCAATCCACATATTAGCCCAGTTGGGATTCGAACCCGAGTCACAGCGGTGGAAGGCGAGGAAAGTACCGTTACGCCAACCTGACTCCCTCGAAAAAGTACTGAATTATATAATTGTCATCCTTATTCATTGAATATCGCCTTGTTCCAACAGCTTCTTCCCTTGACAATCCAACCCCGCTAATGAGCACTGCAGCCTGCATTGCCATCGGCGAGATCGCCCGGTGCGGTGCACTCCCCTTGCCCAATGGTGGTACGGCCCAGCAGGCTGAAGCAACCAATGGCATGGACGATACCAAAGAGGGCAAGAAGGGGAAGCCAGCCAGCAAGGATGGGGAACTCAGCAAGAGACTATTGGTTGAAAAGTTTGTGGCCAAGTTACAATCATCAAAACATGTCACAAAAGTAGGTGGCTATTTTAGTAACAAATTTTTGATGTTTGTGATGGTACATGTATCTTTGATGAATTGGCATGCTGGTTGACTATAACTCGGCCATAAAATATTAGGTTTTTTAAATAATTTTTATAAATGTCTTGTGGGTGACTCGCCCTTGTACATATCCTTTGATGAGTTTGGAGTGATCTTTGATGATTTGTATGGAAAAAAGAAAAATTGAATTTGTGAATTAGTGCTGGAGGCAGCTTGATATGTATGTAATTATGTGAAAACTAATTTAATATGTTGCCAGCACTTTGACTTGAGGTGTGATCCTTGGCTGCATGGCATATACAGGTTTATGGCTTCTGACTAACACCCCTCGACATTGACAAAGTCATTAACAAAATGGGGAACCGCCAACATAAGGCTGGATAGCTCAGTTGGTAGAGCACCGGAACGGTTATCCGGAGGTCACAGGTTCAAACTCTGCTCCAGTCAATTTCTTTGTTTAATTATAAAACTGTTATTTTCTTTTCATTTCACCCATCAACCAGATAATGAGTTTGGTTTCCTCCTTTTCCGCACATATTTATTCAATTTTTATTTTATCTTGTCTTAGGTAAAGGAGCAAGCAGCGGCAACTCTAGGTTATCTCCCCATAGGAGAGGCAGATTTCCCATTCACTCAAGACGTCTTGGAAGGACTCATCAAGTCGGCCAGCGTAAGTCCAGCAATCAGCTCTCTGCTAATGAGCTGTCTCATTTAATATGCAGAATGCATCAGATATTAGGTGCAAGGTTTTAAATGACCCCCCAGAAAACCTCCTGCAATGAACTTATCACTTTTGAAACAATGCTGATAATGTCATTGCGGGAAGATTTTGGGGAAGTTGTTTAGAATCCTGATGTAGTGGGCCTTTTGTGCATATGCTTGTCTGCAATTTTATTCCGGATGTTAAATGAGGTAACTCCTATTAATTGTAAAGTTGAAGAAAGAAATTGATTGAAACAGGGTTAGAACCTGCAACTGGTGGAACACCGTACCAGCGTTCTACCAACTGAGCTATCCAGACCTCTGTTTGTTGTTTACTGACTTGCCAATGTCTTATTCAAGGTCCATAGACAAAATGATAAGATTTGAAGGCTACATGGTGAATATAGGCACAAGATTAATTTAACGGTTGCACCATGTGACAAATCTCTTTTGTGAGTTTTTGAGGTTCTGAAAAGAAGTGGGGAACTCAACGTCCCGGACAAGTCGCAAGACGACGAGCAGGGCATACTGTCCAAAACGTTGAGTTTCCCCCGGTTATTTTAAGAACCTCGCAAACGCACAAAAGAGATTTGTTACAAGGTTCAACTGTAGACTTCATCATATAGTCAAAATGTTCTTCAACTCTGACACATTTAAATAATATATTTAAAAGATTTTCAAATCCAAAACAGAAATGGGACATTTTGTCTCTTTTCTTCACACTAGACCAAGGAGGTGGAGCTACACTTCAGTGTCGGTCAGGCGCTGAGCCACGCTGCCCTCGGGCCAGCCTCACCGGCAGGCAGAGATGTCTGGACACAAGACCAGAATGCCAACGCGGCTGTGCAATCGCCAGAGGGAGCATCAGAGGAGAAACACAACTGGCTGGAGTGGTTGCTGATCAGGATCCTGAGGGAGGAAATCACCAGTCAGAATCCACACAAAAGACAGGTATGCCGTTGATAATCCATGGGGATGGATTTTTATCGAGAGATCATAACAAAATACATGAATACATACATAGGAGATCCTGAAGAGTTTTTATCAATTTTTGCCAACAGGCTGCGTGTATCTGGCTGCTGTCCATAGTCAAGCAATGCGGCAGTCAGCAAGCGACACAGAGACACATGAAGGACATCCAACAGGCCTTTGTCAATATGCTGTCTGAGAGAGAAGGTACGTAGCAGAGTGGCTTCCAACGGTCATGCCCAACCAAAACGTTATTTGAGGTAATCAGGTCTACCCGGGTCTACCCAAAGAAAATTTGATTTCAGCCTTGTGAACTAGGTATTTTTGCTAGGATGCTAAATCCTTAGTTGTGTCTTGATTGTGGTCCTTGGAGGGGTGACCACTGCCTCAATCCTGCAAAATCCTTCCAGCAATCAGTGTCAATATGTTGAGGCAGAGCCAGTGACATCCTGGAGCAGTGCGGAGGATTTCAAGTACAATATAGGCCTAAAACTATGCACGGCTGAGCTTAAACAACACAAGGTCCGGCCCAAGACCAGGACACAGTGCATCCTACGAAATCAGCAACACACTTTTGCCATGTAGCCTCAATCTTGCAAAATCCTCCATTTTGCAGAGAGGATTTTGGAGGATTTGGGAAGGTTAGGGTTAGTGTACTAATTTTTCATTGACTGGACAGCAACAGGCGATCTTTTGCATGTAGTTGCACCTTTCTGCTAATCTGTAGAATAATGTTGGTCTGGAACGGTTGGTGTGTTATTTTATTTTGTTTTGTTATTTAATTTTGTTTTTGTTTTGGGTGTGAAACTGTGATATATTGGAAGAATATTCATCAATAAGGCCAAAAAAAAAAAAATATTCGGTCTCTGGTCAGACCAAAGTTCCGGAATTGACGCGGGGACGCGGCTTCTTTTTTTTTTCTTCAAGCTTGGATTGTACAGACAAGGTGGGGTACTATTTTGCTACTTGGTGTCCTCATGTACATTGGTGTCCTCCATAATTTGCCTTGGTGCTCTTGATCATTTGCCTTGGTGCAATTTCCCATTCCTTGGTGCTCTTTGGTAAAAAGAGCTACCGCTGTTGGAGCTACCGCGGAACATTTTTGAAAAAAAAAAGATTGACGCGCATGATTCAAATCGACGCGATTTTTTTTGGCCTAATAGCACATTTATTTTCTATCTGGCAAAACCTCCCAAAAGAAAAAATGTACTCTGCTGTTCAAATCCCAGCATAATCTTTCTCAAAGGCAGTAAAATTTAAAGAAAATTCATTTCAAACTGTAACAGGCTTGGAAGAAGTTCATTCTTGACTTTCAGAAACTCAACATCATCGTCAAGAGTTTCTTAGTTATCAGTCATACTTTGAAATTTAGAGAATTTGATTCAATATTGATTCTCTTTTTATCCCCGTTGAGTATTGTAGTTTCCATTTGGTTATTTTCTGTCGCTCTTTTGTAGAAATAACCCAAGAAGTAGCCTCCAAAGGCTTGAGTCTGGTGTATGAGCAGAGCACAGCGGATAGAAAGAACGACTTGGTGTCCGTCTTAGTGGACGCACTCATGACAGGAAAGAGGTAGGGTGCTGTCTTAACAGGTGATGAAGCTATGAAACAAATGGCATAAATAACACCAAGAAAATTACGCATTATTTTTAAAACGTGACAAAATGCACGACTAACCCTAAGAGCTCGTTCATACTTTGAGCAAATGTGAAAGCGTGGCAAATTTGATGTCATGAAACAGTTGTTGCAAAATTATGCAAATTTAAAGTGTAATTATTTTCCGTGACGTCACAAAGTCATGTGCGTTCACACCAAATATGACCCAACCCTAGCCCTTCCAGACCCTACAAGGTGTAACGATTATAAAAGTCTCTAGAACCTTGTTGCATTGGGGATTCAGAGCAATTTGTGTATGTTCATGTCTGTCTTTGTTATCTTACATAGTTGCTTAAGAAACCTCACATTGCCATTTTACCCCCTTTTTTATTTTGGACTGTAGAGCCAAGCATGCTGTGACAGGCGAGACAAAAGTCTTTGCAGAAGGTTCATTGGGGAGCAACCCTGGAGGGTGAGTTCCAGCCTCAAGACTAGGGACCCGTCCTCATGAATGCGGTTTATTTGGTTGCTTTAGGCCGTGGCAGCTTCTCCTTTTTCCAATTCTTAACTTCTGAAATGTTAGTGATTTTTAATTTTGTTTTTAGTGGTTGATTTGCAGCGAAGCCCTGTCTACTTACAAAGAGATGTTTTCATTGGCCATGACATGAACCAATCAGATTTCGTGTTTAATTCCTCTGTTTTCATTGGTTGATTCACAGCGGAGCCTTGTCTACTTACAAAGAGCTGTGCTCATTGGCCATGATATGAACCAATCAGATCTCATGTTTAATTTGCTTTGTTTTGATTGGGTGGATCACTGAGGAGCCCTGTCTACTTACAAAGAGCCATGCTCATTGGGCATGACATGAACCAATCAGATTTCGTGTTTAATTCATCTGTTTTCATTGGTTGATTCACAGCGGAGCCCTGTCTACTTACAAAGAGCTGTGCTCATTGGCCAGTGACATGAACCAACCGGATCTCATCTATAAATTTATGAATCTAGCCAATCACAACGCCATGTGGAACTCTCGCAAGGTAATAGACTGATTCCCGTGTAAATTCTCACTGACCTTGAATTAGAAATAACTAATAATTATGTAATAACTGAAATATGTAATAAGAAAATCAAATGATAAATTCGTTTTCATTTTGATCATGTGACCGCAGGGTGCAGCGTTCGGCTTTAGCTCCATAGCCGCCCATGCAGGGGACCAGTTATCTCCATACCTGCCCAAGTTGGTACCCCGCCTGTACAGATACCAGTATGATCCGAGCGGTCCTGTCCGTCAAGCTATGACCAGCATCTGGAGTGCGCTGGTCAAGGACAACAAGAACGTGGTATGATTTACAATTCTGTGATCGTTTCACATTTTAATCGTTCGGCAAATATATAACTTGGCTCATTTCAGGAGTACGTTAATGCACTGAGAATTATTGGATGGATTACACCTTTATGTTCTTTCATTGATTTTCTAGGTCGATACGTATCTGAAGGAGATTGCTGCTGATCTGCTGCATCATCTGACTCATCATGCGTGGAGGAACCGAGAATCTAGGTATGGCCAAAACTTTCGCAAAGACATTGACAAAAATGGGGAACTGCCTACATAGGGCTGGATAGCTCCGTTGGTAGAGCACCGGAACGGCAATCTGGGGGTCGCAGGTTCAAACCTCGCTCCAGTCAAAATCTTTGTTCAATGTTTAAATATTAAACAAAAGTTGTCTGATATATGCTTATATCATATTTCACGACTTTTCTAAGATAACTCTAAAGGAACAACATCTTTTCCTGCCAAAAAAATTGTTTTTATAAGGAGACCCTAAAAAGGGTCAAATAATTGGCCTAAACCCAAAATTTGTTCACCAAAACAAATCTGAATTTAATATATTTTTCTTTTTTTTAATTGGTATTAAAAAAAAAAAAAAAAGTTGTTTGCCATGAGATCTATAATTATACAGTTGCAATGTATATTACAGATGTTCATTTGTTTAGAGGATTTAGTTTGGTCTTCTTTTAGCATTTGAGTTACTCCTTTTCCCCCACAGTTGTTTGGCCGTGAGTGATTTACTTCGAGGGAGAAATGTGGACAGCATCGTGGAATCTTTGCCAGAATTATGGGAGGCTTGTCTCAAAGTACTAGACGACATCAAAGTGAGTACTGAACGACAAAAAAAATTATCAGAAATACTACATTACATCAACGTTTTATTTCATTATAATCTGTTATTTGATCTGTTTCTGTTTGTGATACTTGGAGAGTGTCAAACATTAGTGTCAAAATATTGATGGATTTTCTTTTTCACTTTTATTCTAATTTTTCAGGAGTCTGTCCGCAAGGCAGCTGAGGCAGCCTGTCGATCGCTAAGCAAGGTAGCTAAAATAATAGCCGTTATCACGTTTTTTGTTTGTAATCCAAACCTTTTCCAACTTTGGTAATTGACCTATCGCCGTTTGCGAGTTAGCCACGCCCCTTAGACAACCCTTTGAAATTTCTGTATGTAAAGTTTTGTTTGTCTCAGATTTTGCACATTCCGCGTCTTTTTGTATGTTATGTAAATGCTGCGTTGACGCGATTCTACCGCGGTAGGTTAATTCTGTTAAATGTTCAGAACTTTTACGTAGCTATGAAAAATGGTAGTGGGGCTGATGTATTACGAGTAACTGCTGAAGTTCACAGGATAGGTTTCACATGTGCGAGATGTCACAGAACCTGTCTGAACATTTTGGTTCAAAAGATGTACTTAAAGATGAGATTGACCAATATAATTGAACTCATGAATATGTATGAGTTTTATATTTACAATTCTTGTGCACGTTTTGCTAATTGTTTTTACAATTAGTGTTTTGCTTGTGTCTTAGTGTCATTACATGGTGTCATATTATATTCAACAGGTGTGCATTAAGATGTGATTGACCAATGATATCATTGGATTACTTCATGAATATTCATGACGCATTCATCACTTGCGTATATTTGATTGTTGCCAGGTGAGTATTAAGATGTGTGACCTGTCCTATGGTAGGGTCGGGGAGCAGGCCCTAGCATTGGTGTTGCCGTGTCTACTGGAGCATGGTCTGCCGAGTAGAGTTGAAGAAGTCCGTGCAATCAGGTATGTCTACCCAATTAGGAACTTATGCCCAACTTAGAATAAGGCCCAAAGTAATGTTTCTTGTAGACATTACAAACCAGATTTTTTTTGAGAGGCTGGGAATGTACATCATTGGCTTTTGCTGTAATTTTCAGAAATGAAATATTTGAGGAGTTTCTATAATAGATCAAATATTGTTACACTGACATGTTTCAAGTTTTGTGTTTGAAAATGCTGGAAAAACCAAGAAAAACAAAAATGGTCAAGTAGTCTGGTTCCCTGACTCAACTAAAGATAATATGGATCAATGTATAGATGCCGGAAAATTGTAAGGTAAGGGAACCAGTCTAGCTGGCCTGCACCCGTTCATGAACATATAGCCAATAGCAAACAAAATTTGGACTGAAAAAAAGGTAAATTTGGAGCGGTAGTTGAAAATTAGGTATTTCCAACGGTGGTCAGCCGACCACTGTTGCAAATGTATACAAAAATACCATTTTCTTGAAAATGACTTCACACCAGGTGCCATAATGTTACAGGATGCTTTAGACTGTCATTTACCAACATCCTAGTTCGGTTTTTTGTAAAAACTTGATAGTTTCATTTTTCGATGTTTGCAGATGTTGTATTTTCCCTTTAATCTTGTCCTTTCCTCTGTTGTTGGCTAGCCTGTACACCTTACTCCAGATCAGCAAGAAGGCCGGCAGCAGACTCAAACCCCACATGGCGGTCTTGGTGACCGCCCAGCTGGAATCACTGAGCGGTCTGGAACACCAGGCTATGAACTACATGAGTTTACACGTTGGACAGAACCAGGACAGTCAGGAAAAGGTCGGTCAACTCTAGACTTGTATCAGTCCCTCAGTGCATTTTGTTTCTGACATAGAGAAAACTAAACAACAAGATACTTGTTTTACAATCTTAAAACCTGTGAAACAGAACCTGAAAAATTCAAAATTATGCTCATTTTTCTGTTGAACAATATTTTGAGTTTGGTTGTATAGTGGTGGGAGAAATCAGAGATTTTAAAATCCGGTTATCCTAATTTTTTCAAACCGAATAACGGTTATCTGATTTCTCCGGAAGTCCCCATCCAGCTCACGGTCATGCACAACAAAAAGTGACGAGTGAGCTGCCACATGCAATGCCCTCCCAATGATTGGGTAGGCAGGCCTTAGGGCTACAGTGTTTAAGTACACTTTTGTTTACCCTGGCCGGTTTGAAATGTTATATTGTTCTTGTTTTCCGTCCCTCTATCTTCTCTCCCCTGTCAAACTGTCCACTCTCCCTTCCCTCCCCCCTCCAACCCATTCCTACTCGCATCAGTCTTTAGTCTCGTCTGGTCTTACTTTCCAATTTCTATTTTTTGTTTACTTTCTGATTTATATTTGCTTTGACATTGTACTTTTGTTCATTTGTTGGCCGAATAAATAATAATAATAATATAGTTTGCAGGATTCAATGACCACTGGTCCTTGACAAAAAAACACTCCAGAGCTGTAATGTTGAACAAAACAAAGGGTGGAAACTCTCTGAAATAAGTTGAATGGGCAGGTTATTCATACCAAGGACACCACTAGCAAGTGAATGCAGTTACAATCAGAGACCATGGAGCAAATTGGAGGATATTCCAGTTGTTTTCCGTAGCCTGTGTCACAAAAAAGTAAAGAATGCATATTTTTTTTTAAGTCTGTTTCGAATATCCCGTTTCCAAAATTGAAACCAAATAGTGAAATTTAAACCGAATTTTTAAAAAATCAGGTTTTAAATCCCACCACTAGTTGTATGCAAGAAATTATTTAAGACATGCAGTTTCAAATATTTCAAAATGAAGCAAACTTCACAACATTTTTTTGTCTGTGTCATATTTATTTCTTAAAATAAGTTTTTTTCTGATCTTGTCTGTATTTGAACAGCTGGATAACGCCCGCATCGCAATGAGCAAATCCTCGCCGATGATGGAAATGATCAACATGGTGAGTAGAGAATTCTTCTAATGGTTTACTAAATACTTGATAAGGGTTGGAATATAGAAACCTTGTCACAGAAACATCATGTTGATGCCCAAGAATGTGCTGTCACTGCGTGTTGTCCTGCTTACGGTATTTTAAGGTTTCACACTTTTAATTTATAAAATATTCAAAAATTTATTTTCAAAATTACAATTTTTGTACATGTTTTTGACACTGTTCTCTTTATTCTTGAAAAGTTTTCATTTCGAGCTATGTTGTTTACTAAACCGGCTTTATTTTAACATCATTAATACACAGTTATTTGACTTTGAAATGGCCTTGTTTTTGGCTGGAAACATGGGCCAAGTTCGGGCAAGGACCATTAGTCGACTAGTGGTTGATTTGTGACGTACCTTAAGCCTGCGCACTGATAGCAACGTGCGAACGTCTCTAGTCAAACGCTGGTCAATATGTCATCGCAAAACTTCTGGATCCTGGCTCTCTGCTAGCATTATGAATGCGCGCGGCTATTGGTTACCAGCGAAGCAACCAACCCCAGTAGGCTGGTTCCAAATAGTCGACTCGCGTAGTCAACCACCGTCGACTAGACAGAGTTCGGGCAAACGTTAGTTAACCATTGGTCAACTATAGTCCTTGCGCGAACTTGGCCATAAATGGTTTTGATTGGTTGATTTCAGTGTGCGCAATATGTTGACGCCGACGTCCTAGTGGAGCTGGTCTCCAGGATCTGTGACCTGATACGCAGCGGCATCGGCATGGGAACGAAGGTATGCTTTAGACTGGAGGGACAGTAGAGGGCGCTTTTGACCACTTTTGAGAGCCAATGAAAGGGACACACCTTTTTCATGTACTGGTTTGCAAGTATATGACGTGAAGTACGCACAACTAAGTTTGTTTCTCAATGTGCACAAAGCCATATTGTCTTTGCGTGAGCGTCAGGTGTCGTCAGCAATGCGTTCAAATATCTCTCGCAGTGGTCTCCCCTAACTCTCCCTTTCTTACCGTTGAGGGGGTACTTGTGCACGGAGCCCATAGCACCTTTTCCATAGCATCTTCGTATGGTACCAATGTTAATTTTAATACAAGATATTGATTGTGATGCCCACTGCTATATCAGATTCAAACCGGCCAGCCAGTCACGTTAAGACACCTGCACAAGTAAGCAGCAGGTCGTGGGTTCGAGTCCTACCAAAGCAAGCTTGTGATTTGTTTTGCAAGCTCGCTGACAGCACTGATTAGTTATAAAGTAAAGTCTGTCACGAGCCAATGTGGCCCATCAGGCCGGCGTTTATCTCCGGTTTCAGTAGCATGAAACAACAGAGAATATTTCTACTCCCCCTGGATGGGATGCTAGTCCATCGCAGGTTACTCCCCAGCTAATGCCGGTACCCATTTATACTCCTGGGTGGAGAGAGGCAAGTGGGGATGGAGTGGCTTGCACAAGGACACAACGTATGGCCAGCAGCTGGATTCGAACCCCTGACCCTCTGATCATGAGTCACGAACCCTAAACACTAGGCCACACTCCCCATGGACAGCACCGAGTAGACAGTACTTATCAAATCATTATCTTGATAGCCTGAGTGTCCATACCCATTGCAGATCTTGCCAGTAGAATCAATGCTTGCTATTTCTGCTTTATGTCTGTATTCCAGGCTGGATGTTCTAGCTTCATCATTCTTCTGTGTCATCAGTGTCCATTGGATCTGTCCCCATATGCCGGTAAGTCTTTGAATTAAGAAATGTTGTTGTAACTGTAGCAATGTTTTTTTTATTTTCATGAAGGGTAACAATTAAGGAGATAAGTATTACAGGCATTCTTCTAGACTACTTTTCAAGGAAGGCGGAGGAAGGCTGAAAAGTATTTTTAAATATTCTATTTACATTGATTTCCGACTTTTTTGTTTCTAACTTTAAGATTTTCAAAATTCCACAAGGTACAGCCTTTTTTTTCATTTGTCAGTTTTAATTATATTGATTTTTCCTTTGAGTTTTGTTTCTGCCCGTCCAGGGAAGCTTTTGAGTGCGTTCCTCACCGGCCTGAACGATAAGAGCCCCGCTGTCCGTAAAAGCAATGCCACGGCTATTGGCCACCTGATTGCGGTAAGAACCAATCAGCACGCTCCGTTGAATTCAATTAAGATGTATGCACAATGCTGCCCTCAGCAATCCCGATTTACATATCAAAATTTAAAGCTTACGTGTTTTTCCAAAAACTCCCTTTCATTTTCCATTTCATTTTTATTGTGGTGCATGGCTCAAAGGGTCCCAGTGATCAAAGCTCAAGATATGTTGGTATGATAGATCCAGAAATACAATAAGCCCTTCAATCAGGGGTAACAACATGATAATTTCTGAACTTAGTAATCAGTGGCTTTCAGCACCATTCTAATATTGACAGTTGCCAATTTAATTGGTTTCATTTGGTGAAATTGGTTAAATTGGTTTTGATTGGTTTTGATTGGCTTTGATTGGTTTTGATTGGCTTTGATTGATTTTGATTGGCTTTGATTGATTTTGATTGGTTTTGATTGGCTTTGATTGGTTTTGATTGATTTTGATTGGCTTTGATTGGTTGTGATTGGCTTTGATTGGTTTTGATTAGTTTGTGGTTGGTTTTGATTGTTTTTGATATGCAGATTGCCAAAGACAGTAGCGTGCAGAAGCTGATCACCAGACTGAAAACTTGGTACACCGAAAAAGACGGTAAGTCAGAGCTGTCTTAGCGATAAGCGCGGGTAAAGATTCAATTTTGTTCGTGACCAAAGACACAGACTCGAACAGGGTGATGGTATTGATGACCACGAAACAAATAGCAGTAACAGCAATAAACAACAACAACAAACAGCAACAACATAGCACAATCTAGTCCCAGATGGACTCGCAAAAGTGATTTACAAAGGGAACATTAAGTAAACAAATCATTGCAGTATACAGGAAAACAATCACAGTGTGCCCAAAAAAAAAAATTGGAAAAGTGTCATGAAAGTTCTGGCAACTGAGGCTCCTGGGGTTTTTCATGGATTCGATTTTGTTTTGTTTTTAACTTTGTGACTTGCAGAGTAATGTCCTTTTTTTGATTTGTCTATTTTGACAGATGAGGCGCTGCATACACAGTAATGTCACTTTTTTTGATTTGTCCATTCTGACAGATGAGGCGCTGCATACAGCCTGCGGTGTGACCTTACAAGCTATGTCCAGACACTGCCCAGATACATTCAAGAAGCACAATGCCCTGGCCATGCCACTAGCGTTCCTGGCTATGCATGTCAAGAAGGAGAAAGGTACCACCTAATTTCTCTATAATTTTGAAGTATTCAAAGATATCATGGTGAAAAGGTTTAAAAATTGTAGATTTGAAACCAAACTGTTTCTGGAAAATCTCCAGTGCTTTGACGTAGATTTACATGGGTGACACACGTTCTTAATCTGAGGCATGCGTGCAATCGAAAACCATATCAGTCGAACATGCACTGGCTGCAAGCAAATCGCGCTTGTATGTAAGCGCAGTGTCACATCAATAGTGACTGTTATATAACACCCAAGTAAATCCTTGTCATTTGATTGGAGGATTGAAGGTCATGCAGCATTCATTAATCGAACCATTGCACGGCCTACGTCATAACCGTGCATTTTTGGTTCCATTCACCGTGCATTTTCGTCCCATCCCTTTTGATCTATTGCTCGTCGTGCGCACGCTAAGACGTACAGCCGGGGCCCAGCGCTATATTTGCGCTATTTAGACCATATCATGCGTTTTAGCAGCACAAGACTTGCGTTGAAGTAGATGCAGTTGCCTTGATGAATTTTTTACATGATTTTAAAAACTTACAATGTCAATTTCAAACCTTTGTTTGCCTTGAACAAGCTGGAAAAAAAGTAGTGAATATGATACAATTTTGTGAGTTTTGCTCGTTCTTACAGTTTCATCCTCCAATCGAATGACAAAGATCTACTTGGATGTTATATAAAACAAATAATGAATGTTTTGCATTCGTGCAATGGTGAGAATATTTTCATTCGTTGAAAGATGGAATGTTCCATGGAACATTTAATCTTTCAACTCATGAAAATATTCTCACCATTGCACGACTCATTATTTGTATACTAGTTTTGGTTGTAAGATAAGTCTAAACACTAATTCGGTGACACTATGAATTGATGTGCCCACTACTCAATGCTCCTCCGACCAATAGCATTTTTACAAATTGACGAAAAGTATGCACGCTTCTTGAAATTTAAGAAACATCAACACATGTGAGCTTGGCAACATGTTTTTAATCACTTCTTATTGTGTTTGCTGGAGTAGTCTTCAGTCGGCGTAACAAATCAAAAGTTGTAGCTCTTTTTTGATAAAAGTTGTTTTATGGCTTCTTTGTTTGACAGTAAGCGGACGTAACGAGGACAAAGATTGCGTGTGGGAGGAGGTGTGGCTAGACTCCACTCCAGGTGAGATGATTGGTCAACAGAACTTGAGAAAAGAGAGCTTTTAACCTAAAGCACTAAACCACTTTATATGCGTTTGTCTTCACCAACATTTTGCCTGCTTCGTCAACTGCTTCTAACAGTGTTTACTCAACAAGCTGCTTTAATAATGATGAAACGGGCATATGGCCAGCAACTTGCCTCAGATCAGCTGATTTCCTCTTTTTGACTTCTCTTAAATGCCATTACAAATTGAAGGGAAAAAAATACTGCAGAGAGTCTTGCAAACTTTGAAATTTCCAATTTTTGTGTGCGAGTTCTCATTGGCATGCCTGAGCATAAGAACTTCCAAAACTCTAGCAGAACTTATGCAAATATTAGTTCAATGGGCCTTCATGGGTTCAACCTTTTTTTTAATCAGTGTCGGTTAAAAAAACAACCTTGAGCATTTATAGTTTAAATTGGAATTTTTAAGAAGGTTGCAAGAATTGTGTAAACTGTCTTTTTAATCTTTTAATCTCGTTTAGGTACGGAGAGCGGAATCAAGCTGTATCTGTCAGAGATTGTCACCTTAACCCAGGAATCTCTAGGTTCTCAATCCTGGCCGCGTAAAGCCCAAGCAGCCAGGGCCATGAGCACCGTGGCTAAGAAGCTAGGCTCCAACTTACACCCGCCACACCTAGGGAGGCTACTCGGGGCGTTGGTCGGAGGGCTGGCTGGCAGGACATGGGACGGAAAGGTAGCTAGGTTTACTCAATTAATACTCCGTCATTATTTATTTGGGTCTCCCCAGTACAGAATTCTTTGTTAAGTTGTGTGGAGTCCACCAAAACATGGAAAAATCACAATTGAATTCTCAAAAAAAAATTCCAGCCTAGTTTTACGCTATCGAGAAAAATATTAAAATTGAAAATGTTTTGTGTATAGTTTGTTCCACGAACATCTCTTTTCATGTGGTGTAAAAACCAAGGCCATTGAGCAAAAATGAGAAAATGTTGACCCTTTGTTTTGATCTGGTCCCATATATCAAACTGCAAGCCATTTTTTCACTAGCTGGCTACTTTTTCTTCTTCCAAGTTGGTTGGAGACCCAACTCTTTGTTTTATTAGCTTGGCTCTCCCCAGAAGATATACTTCTGAAGCAGGTAACAGCATTGAGCCAGTGTCTTCTTGATTTCAGTTGCCTAAGAATTCCAATGTTTTCCTCCTTTTCACAGGACGAGCTTCTCAGGGCAATCTCAACAGTGTGTACGTCTTGCAGGTAAATATATTACTCTATTAGGTCCAATTCTGTGCATACCAAACAAGGTTGCACATAACACAACTTCATTGCAAAAGTCACAGAAGAGATCCAGAAAACTTATCTTTTAAAGGTAATATACAACAAAAATACCAAATTATTATGCAATACCTTACTTGACGTAAATGAATATTAGTCTCAAGCATCCTGTGAAATCATGGCACCTGGCGTGCTGTCATTTTCAAGAAAAATGGAAGTTTGAATCAGTAAGATTTGAGGCTTTGCATGGTGGAGATACTAAATAATGAAAGGTTTGCAGAAACGCCATGTGCAAATAATTTCTCAACTAAGAGAATGGTTCTGAAAATTATTCGCACATGGTGTTTCCGCAAACCTTTCATTATGAAGTTTGTATCATTTACCAGGTGTGGTCAGTGGAACACTTAAATTCTTTTCAAGATGTTCCGTGATATCTTTTTGGAATCATGATCATTCACGAAAGTGATTTTTTTTTGGTTTTACTTTTTAGAACTGCCCTTCAGAACCCAAACAACGCTGGTCCCGAGCAGCCCACCATGGAGACGATTCTTACAGCTGTCTTCAAGGAATGTAAGAAGGAACGCATTGACTACAAGATAGCAGCCTTAGAGTGCTTGTCTTCTGTCTTAGAGGCTCACGGCATCGATAGGTTTGAGGAACTCTCTCAGATTCTCTTCCCGATAGTCTCCAAGGTAAAGCGGAGGTCTTTAAATTCTTGCTTGATATTCGGTTATTTTTAATCTTTAAATAACTTTATTTGATCTTTTAGGTGACTTATAGGTGCACTTTAATAGTTGTCATTATTTTCTGAAAGAAATCTGTTTTTCCGACGTGCCCGTATTTTTTTACGAGCCTGTGTTTTCAAACAAGCCCTTTATAAAAGTAGGGTCAATTGTTTGATGTCATACAGGCATGCAACTTTTCCTTGGGTCAGCTGATATCCTCATTGTTCACTTCACAGTAGTTATGCTATTGAACAATTTAAAAACACTGTATAAAGTGTCTTGATAAGCTTGGGATTTCTCCCTTTTTTTGTTACTTCCAAGATCAATGTCTTGTAATTCTACATGGTATTATGTCTAGAAACCCTTCACCTTGCAACAACATGCAACACTTGTCTAAATGACAAGCCTGCTCGGTGTAGCAAGATCCATCAGGTCAAAAGTCTCAAGGCCAAACTGCCTCAGAGTCTTTGGTCACCAACTGCAGCGGGATACAACTGTGGCATTATTCAATGGGACTAGCTCTCATTGTCTCATAACTGGCCGTTTATCCACTTGTTGGTGTTGGTGGCTCAATGCAACAAGGCCCCACAGACTTTTACACTTGATGCACTGTGTTGCATTTTGCAAGCTTAGGGTCACTTTTTATATTTTATAAATTCCAATTATATTCCTCAAACTCTTTATTTGTTTCAGGACAAGAAGGATGATTCGGATGATTCTGATGAGGAGTCAGTCCGTTCCAGACAAGACCAGAAACTCAAGCTACAGGAGTGTGCCTACGAGAGTCTGGGCAAAGCCTGGCCACGAGAGAGACAAACACAAGGTCAGAACTAAACAACAATATAGAAGAGTTTTAGTAGATTAAAAAAAAAAATGAGACAACTGGACTCGAACTTACTGGATGGAGCACAGTTTCACGACCTGTCTGGGTTTCTTCCTTGGCTCAGAATGGGTGGTGGGAATGGACCGGTGCTTGAAGAGGCGATGCAATCGTCCCTTCTATTGCTCTGCTGATCACTGGAGCATAATGTAGGGGAGTTCTGATTACTCCTATTGTAATAAACTTATGAGAATTGTTCACATTTTCTTTGTAGATTTGTTCCACCAGGATCTGTGTCGTTATCTCTCCGAGGGCCTACAGGCAAGCACCTTCAAGATGCAAGTCACCATCCTCAAGGCTCTAGGTCTCTTCTTGGACAGGTAAGACAGAGAGCCATTCCATTTCAACTCCTTGAAAATTGTTCTTAGGCTAAACAAAATTTGTTCTGCTTCCGATCACATGTCAGTTTCAGAATTGGGTCGATAGGTCTGAAATAATTTTTTTTGCACTTTTTTTATGCTGATCAACTGTCGAGGTGTATTTCACACCACAAAGCATTTTTAACTTTTATCATTTTTAACGCTGTTTGCGTGACAACTTTCACGTTGCCGAAGTTCGAGCGTGCACCACGCCGGCTCCCGCCCCTTTCATTCATACCATTCTTGCTGTTATCTAGTGTTGGGAACCATCGTTGCATGCATGGCGCGCCGCATGTTCTTTCACCAGGCTCTCTCTTGTGCGTTGCCAAGAAACACTTTCTTTTCATCTTGGAAAAAACGGAGTCAGCCGACCAATTTCAAAGTTGGTTAACTAACTTGGGCGCTTTCATTCTTTACAACGTGAAAATACGGACAGCAGTAGTTATATAAGCATTTTTGATGTCCATAGGTTGTTGCGAAGCATCCAGGGTGATATGGAATTGACAATTTTAATGCTTTTTTTCCTTGTGTTTTTTTTTTTTTTTTTTTTTTAAACTTCGCAATAAAAACTTTAGGGTCGCGCCATCAAATTAGGGTTGGTCGGGTAACTGGAAGCAGAAATGTTATTTTGTTGGCCTTACTGAAGCTTGTAATAACACATGTGCCTATGAAACCAGCTGAAGCCACTTCCCGTTTACCAACTTCAATGGCAGTCCCAACTTTCCTATTCAGATTCCCATCCACGCGTGTTCTGATTGAAGATGAAAAAGTATGAGACATGAGATTTTTGTTTACTTTTATATTTTACAGGTTGATGTTCCTTTCTCCAGGAATCGACAATATTGAAAGCAAGTTTCTGTCTAGCATTCTCATCCGCATTATCCCCGATCTCTGCCGATGTCTAGGTAGGCAAGGAATTTTTACCAACATGTAGACGATGTTATTGGAAAGAAAAACTGCTGGCACGATATGAACTAGCACAATCAATTTTTGAGCTGTCGCATGTACATGTCAAACTCCTGCACTTAAAACTTAGAATGGACTTCAAGAGCCAAATGCCACTAACAGCAACTCGTTTGTTGTTTTGACAGAAATGATAGATGGTCAGAAAAGTGGATGATATCAAACTGCTTCATTTTTAGTCTCCTTGTAGTCTTATTGGACATGTTTTGAAGTATGCATACATGTGCAACACGGCGTACTTACATATTGGTACTTACGGGGTACTGAGGACAAAGAGCAGCAATAGGGTCAACGGTACCCCGCAAATTGGTCTTGGTACCCCACATCAGATAAGCCAAAGTGTTAGGGATGTCCATAGAAACCAAGGAGAACAATAGTAGGGAAGTAAAGGTGGGCAATAGTGGTACCCCATAACCCCAATATGTACGACTGTGTGTGCTTGCGTTTGTGCTTGTAAATATTTAAATTAGGATGACCTTTTGTTAAAGGTCATTAGAACAACAGCACAGTGGTCATTCTCTGACTCAATATCTGGAAATTGAGGCAGAGTAACATTTTATTGTGAACCCTTTATAATAATGAGCTTTACGCGGTGAATTTTCTAACGTGACTGAATTTGATATTTTGTTCGCAGGTATTGTCAAGTATGTTGCAATCAGGAGACAAGCTCTAACTATTCTGGAAAATCTAGTTACTAAACTAAAAGGTAAGTAGCGCTACTTTATCTGTGACTGATTGAATTCATCAATAAGTTGTTCAGGCTTATGCTGTATGTTCTGCATGTCCTTAGGCAGGGCACTTTACCACAATTCATTCTCTTTGCATAGGTTTACATTTTGGTTCAATAGAAAAGTGATATTGGGGGCGGGATCAAGGCTAGACTTGTGAGGGGGAACATTCTGCCCACTCTTGCTTACATTCAATAAAGACGGCAAAGATTTCTCCTCTTTTAAGTCTGTGAGGTAGTAATTTCTTTGAAGCGTTGTTGTTATCCATTTTGATTGCCAAGTTATGATGTTCCTCCTTCCAGATATCAACCAAATAGCATTGCTGAGTGCAGACATGTTGTCCAACTTGGAAGATGCCCTACTAGGCATGACCTCGGACTCGGAGCCCAGCCTCAAAGACAGGAGTCGACAGCTGAGGAAGGAACTGGAGCAATATATCCAGAGAGAACCGGCTGATCAGGGTGAAGAGAGCCAATCATAACTGACTAGTGTGTGTGTGTGTGTGTGTCCCCAGGCAAGGTAGTTAACTACAATGGCTTCTTTATTTATGAGAAACTGGTTCTGAGACGGAGTTGCAGCACCATTTTTCTGACTGGATTGTTAGGGAATGACAGTCTTAAGCATCCTGTAAAATCGTGGCTCCTGGTGTGCTGACATTTTCAAGAAAACTTGTATTTTTCCAAAGCTGGTAGGCAGACCAGCGTTGGAGAAAACTGGCTTCTTTGTTTTTAAATTGCTCCTAATTTTTCACATTTAGTTATTCTGCATTTTCATTGCAATAACCCGTGAAGGGGTACAAGCCTTCTAGACTGATTCTCTGACCTTACAATTCCCCAAAGTCTATAAATTGCTCCGCCTCATCTTAAGTGGGGTCAGGGAACCAGACTACAAGAACATGGTTGGTTTTCTTGGATTTCCCAGCATCTCCGAACCCAAAACGTGAAGCAAGTCAGTTTAACAATATTTGTTATAACATATTAATCCTCCAAATCCATTTATTTCTGAAAATTGCAGCAAAAGCAAAAGATGTACATTCCCTTTAAAGGATTGTTAAATTCATTTTTTAATGTTTCTTCCCCCAGAGTGTTAACTTTTCTTTTTATGTATAAATTTCAAGAAAAAGTTGTACAAAGTGCCCGATGGCAAAAACATAGATTTGACAGTTCAGGGAAAGCAAAAACTTTAAAAGGGCAATTAATAATCCTACACTGTCAATGTAATATTGTCAGCAAAATAATCCTATTTTATTTTGAACGATTCAAACAAATCTTACCTCTTTAATTGGTGTGGTTTTAAGTTTAACGTGCAATAATTGAAAGGAGAGATTTGTCACATGCAAATAGACAGGTCATCATTGTGGATGCAACAGGCTCTCCATAGCACTGGCATCTTTTGCATTGTATACATGTATTCTCAATGTATTACATTGTATCAGATTGTGTATACATTGAATGAGAATGTATTACTTTATTGTTAGGATCCATTCAAAGGTCATGGTAAATTAATCAGTCTTTGTCAAGTGTGTGAATTCATTTTCAAGAGTGCCACTGGACTTTAAAGGTAGAGTACATCATTTGCCATTTATGTATTTATTTTTCTTACGTTTGAAGCAACAAAAGTGCTCAAAATCTAAAGAAGGGTGCTTAACAACTATCAGGGGGGTGAAATCTCAGCTTAAAAGCTGGTTTCAGCTTTTTTTGTTTTGGATTTCAGCTTTTTTCCTTCACTTGCTGTGTACAAAAGTATAGGAGATTTCCAGAGTTTAGCTTTTTTACACCTTTTTCAGCTGTTTTCAGCTATTTTTATCAGTGGCCACTCACACCCCTGAACTATCAACCTGATGAAGTTTTAGCTCAGTGAATGCTGTATTTTCCCCAAAAAACCACCACAATTCTAGGATCTCGATTGCAATTCAAAACTTTGCCGAGTCATGTTTTGAATTGTGCCTGAAATCAGCGTCCGGGACATGTTCTCATTCAGTGAATTGCAGCTACACATTGTCACACAGTAAACCGCTGAATTATAGCAACCACGCTCGAGTGTGTTGCACGCACCCATTAACAGCTTCGCTGAATTCAAAACAAATTACTAAAGGAAATTTCGAAAAAGGAAAGGACCTTCTTTTATTTTCTTCAAAATGACAGCATGCCAGAAAAAAAAAAAATTTACAGGGAGTTTAGTGCCATTACTATTTTTAAACCAAGTATGCTTTTCAGCAGTAATTTTACCAGTTACGTTTTGGATAGCTGTAAATGATCTACTCTACCAATAAAAGAAACAAAACCTTCAGTTCAAATAGTTTGACGCTTTTTAGTCAGTTTTTGAAATCATTTTGTAAGAAGGGAAAACCTCAATAATTTTTGCCTGTAACATACAGGGTTAAAGAAATGTCAGTAAAAGAATACAGGTTTGTTTTAAAAGACTTATTGAAAGACATGACGCACAGTGAGTAACCCCACAAATGGATACAACAAATTTATCTATTTTAGAAACATGATTGGCTGTCCTTAAAAATAAAAACATAAAAATTATTTTTAAAAATAAATTGTGTAATTAGTTTCTGTGTGCGACAGAATTTCAAAATACCTCTTTCATGCAACCCAATTAAAAACGTTAATTTTACTGTATTCAGTCCATGCAAATCTGTGTATTAACATAAGCCTTTAATCTGCGAATCACAAATCAATTTTTTTCCTAACTTTGGGTCCCAGTTTAGGCTATACTTGCAAAGTGTTTGGGTTTTTATTTCAATAAATCATAGTTTGAATTTAGAGCATTGCGTTTCTTTTAATTTCTGTCACAATTGATCATTTATTTATTAATTTATTCCATGTTATGTTATCATGGTAGCTCCATCAGTTGTCTGTGTACTGTTCTCCCTGGGGGGCTCAGATAAATGGAATAATCCAAGGGTTTGATTTTCATCAATCTCTTATTCACCCCTTGAACAATTTTGGAAAGCCTTCTGCAATTCCTCTGCTAAATTTTGGTTAAATTGTAATTTTGTTGAAAATTGGAAAGAGTCAAACTTTAATCTAAAATGATAATGGTTAACCCCTTGCAAATTCACTTTTGGATGAAAATTTGCTATTTTTTAATTAAAACAAATTTTAGTTCCAAAACACATTGAGTAAATTGAAAAGGGCATACATTTAGAATGATGTTAATCTTGAAATGCGTTCTAGGGTCCCTTAGGCATCTTTCAAGAAAGTTTGGATTTTTTTTTCATTTTTTGGCCAAAATCAAAAAAAATGCAAGGGGTTAACCTTACTTTTTGATCAAATTTGGCCATAAAATGACTTTACTTCAAACTTTGCCCCAAAATATTGACGCATTATTTCTTTTCAAATGCAATTTTCGCCAGAAATCCAGTTGAAATGCGTCCAAGGTCCCTTAGGCATCTTTCCAGAAAATTTGGAGCAATTTCATTTTTTGGTCAAAATTGAAAAAAAATACAAGGGGTTAACCTTACTTTTTGATCAACTTTGGCCCCAAAAAAGACTTTTCTTCGAACTTCACAGAAATGACTCTTGATGGAAGGGGAGTATCATTCAATATTGAGGCAGCTATAATTGTGAAGATTTGGGCAAAAAGAATCTTTCTTTTTTTTGAAGAAAACATTAATAGTTTTGACTGATTTTGCCCCAAAATATTGACAAATTATTTCTTTTTAAATGCAATTTTCGCCAGAAATCCAGTTGAAATGCGTTCAAGTGTCCATCAGGCATCTTTCCAGAAAGTTTGGAGCAATTTCATTTTTTGGCCAAAATTGAAAAAAATGCAAGGGGTAAACCTTACTTTTTTGATCAAATTTGGCCAAAAAAATGACTTTTCTTCAAACTTCGCAAAAATGACTCTTGATGGAAGGGGAGTATCATTCAATATTGAGGCAGCCTATAATTGCGAAGATTTGGGCAAAAAGAATCATTTTTTTGAAGAAAACATTAATAGTTTTGACTGATTTTGCCCCAAAATATTGACAAATTATTTCTTTTTAAATGCAATTTTCGCCAGAAATCCAGTTGAAATGCGTTCAAGGGTCCCTTAGGCATCTTTCCAGAAAGTTTGGAGCATTTTCATTTTTTGGCCAAAATTGAAAAAAATGCAAGGGGTTAACCTTACTTTTTGATCAAATTTGGCCAAAAAATGACTTTTCTTCAAACTTCGCAGAAATGACTCTTGATGGAAGGGGAGTATCATTCAATATTGAGGCAGCCTATAATTGCGAAGATTTGGGCAAAAAGAATCATTTTTTGAAGAAAACATTAATAGTTTTGACTGATTTTACCCTTAAATATTGACGCATTATTTCTTTTCAAATGCAATTTTCGCCAGAAATCCAGTTGAAATGCGTTCTAGGGTCCCTCAGGCATCTTTCCAGAAAGTTTGGAGCAATTTCATTTTTTGGCCAAAATTGAAAAAAATGCAAGGGGTAAACCTTACTTTTTTGATCAAATTTGGCCAAAAAAATGACTTTTCTTCAAACTTCGCAAAAATGACTCTTGATGGAAGGGGAGTATCATTCAATATTGAGGCAGCCTATAATTGCGAAGATTTGGGCAAAAAGAATCATTTTTTTGAAGAAAACATTAATACTTTTGACTGATTTTGCCCCAAAATATTAACAAATTATTTCTTTTCAAATGCAACTTTCGCCAGAAATCCAGTTGAAATGTGTTCTAAGGTCCCTTAGGCATCTCTCCAGAAAGTTTGGAGCAATTTCATTTTTTGGCCAAAATTGAAAAAAAATGCAAGGGATAAACCTTACTTTTTTGATCAAATTTAGCCAAAAAATGACTTTACTTCAAAGTTCGCAGAAATGACTCTTGATGGAAGGGGAGTATCATTCAATATTGAGGCAGCCTATAATTGCGAAGATTTGGGCAAAAAGAATCATTTTTTTGAAGAAAACATTAATAGTTTTGACTGATTTTGCCCCAAAATATTGACAGATTATTTCTTTTTAAATGCAATTTTCGCCAGAAATCCAGTTGAAATGCGTTCAAGGGTCCCTTAGGCATCTTTCCAGAAAGTTTGGAGCATTTTCATTTTTTGGCCAAAATTGAAAAAAATGCAAGGGGTTGACCTTACTTTTTGATCAAATTTGGCCAAAAAATGACTTTTCTTCAAACTTCGCAGAAATGACTCTTGATGGAAGGGGAGTATCATTCAATATTGAGGCAGCCTATAATTGCGAAGATTTGGGCAAAAAGAATCATTTTTTGAAGAAAACATTAATAGTTTTGACTGATTTTACCCTTAAATATTGACGCATTATTTCTTTTCAAATGCAATTTTCGCCAGAAATCCAGTTGAAATGCGTTCTAGGGTCCCTCAGGCATCTTTCCAGAAAGTTTGGAGCAATTTCATTTTTTGGCCAAAATTGAAAAAAATGCAAGGGGTAAACCTTACTTTTTTGATCAAATTTGGCCAAAAAAATGACTTTTCTTCAAACTTCGCAAAAATGACTCTTGATGGAAGGGGAGTATCATTCAATATTGAGGCAGCTATAATTGCGAAGATTTGGGCAAAAAGAATCATTTTTTTGAAGAAAACATTAATACTTTTGACTGATTTTGCCCCAAAATATTGACAAATTGTTTCTTTTCAAATGCAACTTTCGCCAGAAATCCAGTTGAAATGTGTTCTAAGGTCCCTTAGGCATCTCTCCAGAAAGTTTGGAGCAATTTCATTTTTTGGCCAAAATTGAAAAAAAATGCAAGGGATAAACCTTACTTTTTTGATCAAATTTAGCCAAAAAATGACTTTACTTCAAAGTTCGCAGAAATGACTCTTGATGGAAAGGGAGTATCATTCAATATTGAGGCAGCCTATAATTGCGAAGATTTGGGCAAAAAGAATCATTTTTTGAAGAAAACATTTATAGTTTTGACTGATTTTACCCTAAAATATTGACGCATTATTTCTTTTCAAATGCAATTTTCGCCAGAAATCCAGTTGAAATGCGTTCTAGGGTCCCTTAGGCATCTCTCCAGAAAGTTTGGAGCAATTTCATTTTTTGGTCAAAATTGAAACAAAATACAAGGGGTTAACCTTACTTTTTTGATCAAATTTGGCCAAAAAATGACTTTTCTTCAAACTTCGCAGAAATGACTCTTGATGGAAGCGGAGTATTATTCAATATAGAGACAGCTATTGAAATGCGTTCAAGGGTCCCTTAGGCATCTCTCCAGAAAGTTTGGAGCAATTTCATTTTTTTGTCAAAATTGAAAAAAGTGCAAGGGGTTAACCTTACTTTTTGATCAAATTTGGTCCCAAAAAATTACTTTTCTTCAAACATCGCAGAAATGACTCTTGATGGAAGGGGAGTATCATTCAATATTGAGGCAGCCTATAATTGCGAAGATTTGGGCAAAAAGAATCATTTTTTGAAGAAAACATTAATAGTTTTGACTGATTTTGCCCCAAAATATTGACAAATTATATCTTTTCAAATGCAATTTTCGCCAGAAATCCAGTTGAAATGCGTTCTAGGTCCCTTAGGCATCTCTCCAGAAAGTTTGGAGCAATTTCATTTTTTGGTCAAAATTGAAAAAAAATACCTTACTTTTTTGATCAAATTTGGCCAAAAAATGACTTTTCTTCAAACTTCGCAGAAATGACTCTTGATGGAAGCGGAGTATCATTCAATATAGAGACAGCTATTGAAATGCGTTCTAGGGTCCCTCAGGCATCTTTCCAGAAAGTTTGGAGCTATTTCATTTTTTTGTCAAAATTGAAAAAAATGCAAGGGGTTAACCTTACTTTTTTGTCAAATTTGGTCCCAAAAAATGACTTTAATTCAAACTTCACAGAAATGACTCTTGATGGAAGGGGAGTATCATTTAATATTGAGGCAACTATAATTGCGAAGATTTGGGCAAAAAGAATCATTTTTTGAAGAAAACATTAATAGTTAATTTTGATCGATTTTGCCTCAAAATATTGACAAATAATTTCTTTTCAAATGCAATTTTCGCCAGAAATCCAGTTGAAATGCGTTCTAGGTTCCTTAGGCATCTTTCCAGAAAGTTTGGAGCAATTTCATTTTTTGGTAAAATTGAAAAAAATGCAAGGGGTTAAACTTACTTTTTTGATCAAATTTGGTCCAAAAAAAATGACTTTTATTCAAACTTCACAGAAATTACTCTTGATGGAAGGGGAGTATCATTCAATATTGAGGCAGCTATAATTGCGAAGATTTGGGCAAAAAGAATCATTTTTTGAAGAAAACATTAATAGTTTTGACTGATTTTGCCCCAAAATATTGACAAATTATTTCTTTTCAAATGCAATTTTCGCCAGAAATCCAGTTGAAATTCGTTCTAGGGTCCCTTAGGCATCTCTCCAGAAAGTTTGGAGCAATTTCATTTTTTGGCCAAAATTGAAAAAAATGCAAGGGGTTAACCTTACTTTTTGATCAAATTTTGCCCCCCAAAAAAGACTTTTCTTCAAACCTCGCTGAAATGACTCTTGATGGAAGGGGAGTATCATTCAATATTGAGGCAGCTATAATTGCGAAGATTTGGGCAAAAAGAATCTTCTTTTTTTGAAGAAAACATTAATAGTTTTGACTGATTTTGCCCCAAAATATTGACAAATTATTTCTTTTCAAATGCAATTTTCGCCAGAAATCCAGTTGAAATGCCTTCTAGGGTCCCTTAGGCATCTTTCCAGAAAGTTTGGAGCAATTTCATTTCTTGGTCAAAATTGAAAAAAATGCAAGGGGTTAACCTTACTTTTTGATCAAATTTGGTCAAAAAAATGACTTTTCTTCAAACTTCACAGAAATGACTCTTGATGGAAGGGGAGTATCATTCAATATTGAGGCAGCTATAATTGCGAAGATTTGGGCAAAAAGAATCATTTTTTTGAAGAAAACAGTAATAGTTTTGACTGATTTTGCCCCAAAATATTGACAAATTATTTCTTTTCAAATGCAATTTTCGCCAGAAATCCAGTTGAAATGCATTCTAGGGTCCCTTAGGCATCTTTCCAGATAGTTAGGAGCAATTTCATTTTTTGGTCAAAATTGAAAAAAAATGCAAGGGGTTCACCTTACTTTTTGATCAAATTTGGCCCAAAAAAGACTTTTCTTCAAACTTCGCTGAAATGACTCTTGATGGAAGGGGAGTATTATTCAATATTGAGGCAGCTATCATTGCGAAGATTTGGGCAAAAAGAATCTTTCTTTTTTTGAAGAAAACATTAATAGTTTTGACTGATTTTGCCCCAAAATATTGACAAATTATTTCTTTCAAATGCAATTTTCGCCAGAAATCCAGTTGAAATGCATTCTAGGGTCCCTTAGGCATCTTTCCAGAAAATTTGAAGCAATTTCACTTCTTGGTCAAAATTGAAAAAAATGCAAGGGGTTAACCTTATTTTTGATCAAATTTGGCCAAAAAATTAACTTTTCTTCAAACTTCACAGAAATGACTCTTGATGGAAGGGCAGCATCATTCAATATTGAGACAGCAATTTAAATGTGTTAAAGGGTCCCTTAGGCATCTTTCCAGAAAATTTCCGCCGGGGGGGGGGGGGGGCTGTCGGATACGCCACTGATATTAAGGTTAAGCCCTTGCAAATTCACTGTTTGATGAAAAAAAATGCTACATGTATTTTAATTGAAATAAAATTTAATTAAAAAAAAACATTGAGCATATTGAAAAAGCCTTACTTCAATTTAGAATGTTTATCTTGAAAAAGTCATATTTTCTCAAATTGATCAGGTAAACCCCTTGATTATTCAATTTGTTGGAAAAAAGTGAAATTCATTAAAATTTAAAAGGATAAGGTTAAGCCCTTGCAAATCCAGTTTTGATGAAATTGTGTTATTCTAATTATAACAAATTTTAATTCCAAAACACATTGAGAAAATTGAAAAAGCGATACTTTCATTTAGAATGATGTTAATCTTGAAAAAGTCAAATTTTCTGATATTGATAAGGTTAACCCCTTGACGAGTCAATTTGTGGAGAAAAAAAATCAAAATTGAAATTATAAGGTTAACCCCTCACAAATTCACTTTTTGATGAAAACGTGCTATTTTAATCAAAACATTGAAAATATTGAAAAAGTCATTTTTAATTTAGAATGTTAATCTTTAAAAAAGTCATATTTTCCAAAATTGATAAGGTTAACCCCTTGATGAGTCAATGCGTGTTGGGAGCATATAAAACCAAGCCAAATTTCACTTCAAAAGATAATTTTAATTTTGGAATAACAAAAATGATTTTCCTTTTGTGTATAGTTGTGCATCCACCAATCCAGAAACCCATTCAAAAGTGTTAGAGTTGTAAGCTAAAAGTTAGAACAACCTAAGTCAAGGAGAAAAGTTGACTCTGGGTAAGTCATGAAGTCGAGAGGACACGAATCATTTTACAATTTCCCACTTTATTGCAACAATGCAATTAACATTGTGACTGCAACCAAATCGAGCTTCCATAGTTTTTTGGAAAACATAATTATACCACCAATTATTTATAAACACAAACAGAATGTAGGTACAGTGTAACACCAATTAAAATGTGTTTCTACACTATAAAATGTACATGTACATGTATTTAAAAAAAATATCGGTGTACCGGTAGGTGTCCTACAAATACAAAACTTATAAAACCCATAAGGCTGGTTCGTACGTGAAAGCAAACACAAATTTGAACTCGTGACATTATGGCAAGTTTTTTTCCTGCTGCAAAATTTGCAAAAAGGTTAACACATTTCAACTTTGGCCAATTTTGAAGCGAATCTTTCATGGCGCCAAATCTGCATTGCTGGCCTTCAGAGTTTCCCTAAAAAGCAAAAAGGTGAGAGTATCAGAAATGTCCAAATCGAAAAAAAACATGTATTCATGTGAAATAATTTAGATTAGTCCTCAAGTTCAGTTCAAATTCGGGCCATCTTTGGACCACCAAAACAATTGATGTGTAAACACCTATTTTTTTTTCCTGCTGTATTCATTGCAAAACTTGCATTAAAAATGGACAATTAAACTAAAAAGTGTAAAAATGCAGAACTATATCAATACCAACTCTTCCTATTTTTATGAGTTACAGTTGCCGCAAAAAAACCAAGAAGTTTTTTAGAATATGTGTAATTTTAAAACACCAAATTCAAAAATGACTTCAAACAATCTCAAATTGTCCTGTACAGTAGTAGTCATCAGTACACCACCATATCCTATTAAAACTAAAATAGTTTCGCGCTACAAAGTATTACTACTCACTACTTTTACTAACATACCCATTTTGTTGTACATTTTTTGTTTTAATTAAAAATTGAAAATCTCATGATTATATTTCAAAAATACATGCAGCTAAAAAAAGATTACTATTCATGAATTGTTATAACGTTGTAAAAATGCTCGTGTACTTGTATCAAAATCATGTAAAAAGCTAGTGTAAACAAATATGTACATGTCTCAAAACCATACAACATTTACAAAAATCAAATCTTCATTTCATTAGTAGTAAACATGCCAAGATTTACGCTTTCACATTTTATGTGAAAACCCAATTTGAGGGGGGATAGTCTCAGCCTGTGTCTCGTGTCGTAACTTTGTGCTCATGACATCTTTTGACTCTTTAATCTACAATCAAAAATATCTGACAGTTTTCCCATCCCTGTTGGCCGAGAGCCCGTCATGTGTGTGGTTTTAAATATCTGTTAAATCAGCGGATGGTTTTAAACACTATATTCCTGCACCGCTGTGTTCTGCGCCACATGATGCCAATCTCCATAAAAGGAGATTTTTAGCACTACATGGGCAAGGCACAAACCATAACATGGCCAGAGGGGTGTTTGACAAAACATGAGAGAAAACTGTTGAACAAACTCATTGGCAAATTGTGAATTTTGACTTGTTTTGGACCGAAAGCATTTAAGAATGAGAATAAATATGTGCTTGACCAGTATTAAACAAGTGCGTTTAAAACCGACTAGCGGCCTGGTCGTAGAAAATGACCAGAGGTTGTTAAATACTGGCCAAGCACATAATTCATTCTCTTATAAGTGGCAGCAGAACATCCAAAAACGGCTGGGCAAAGAGAAACATTTCGTCGAAACTTACACCTTTAAAAAAAAAAAAACTAATTGGCGCCTGTACTACACTGTCTTAACTTGGCTTCCTGGCGAATGCATAAAACCATACAGTACTGGGTGTGATACTGGCACTAATTTTAATGCAGTTAAAAAATTACAATGCAACTTTAAATCTCTTCTCAAAACAAGTATGACCAACCTCCACTCATAAAAAAAAACATAAAAATGAAACTTAATAACCTTTAAGAACCTAGATTACATTTTAAAAAAGATCTTCTCAATATACATTAACACCAGAACAATAAAAACCCTTAAAAGTAATACATTACTTAAAATAGTTCTGGAGCTTCTGTTTAAACCATCATCTTCACCACTTGTTGAAGACGGAGCTTTCTATCGTGTCCTGTAAATGAAAATTATAAAAATCAATAAAAAGTTCATGCAATGCATCATTTCGAGACGAAAATGAAACTTGGAAAAAAAAGCAGAAAAAATTCTTCCACGGAACTGCTGATGGTGTTTTTAGGCTCCTTCAAGCTAGGAATGTTCTACTGAGACAACTGCCTGTTTTGGAAGTTTTAGCTCAGCTTCAGCTGTGTATTTCAAGAAAAACAACATTCTAGGATATCTCGATTCAAATCAAAAGTTGCTGAATCATGTTTTGAATTGGGCCTGAATTCAGCATCCAAGACATCATTTTAACTGAGCCGATTGCAGCTACGCGGTGTCGCGCACTAATCCAACGAATTACAGCAACCGCACACGCGCGTGCTTCGTGCCAATGCTTGCACGCGCTTCGCCGAATATCAAAACAAACTTCTAATTTCAATTTCCTACGGTGCTTCTTAAAAAGTACCGTTGGAAAGGAATTCTTTCGTTGATTTCTTCAAAATGACAGCTTGCCAGAAAGAATAATTTCACAGGGAGTTTAGTCCCCTTACTTTTTTTTTTTAACCAAGTATTTTTTTCAACAATAATTACGCCAGTTACTTTTTGGATAGCTGCAAATGATGGACTCTGGCTTTAACCTAATGCCGATCAGAGCAAACTGACCGGAGAAACAGCATTTTTCTCTTACGAGTTTTCCACTTCACTGATTAATCTGAAAACTTCTCCCAAGTAATATGTACAAGTACCAAAAACCTACCATCTAGGCAGTCGTTTCTTCTTCCACTGCTGGGTTTTCGGCGCCATCAGGCACATTCTTCTTGGGTTTCCGTCTCAAGCAGACCAGCAAGCCAATCATGGCGATGATGAGCAGAATGACCACCAAGACAGCCGAGCCGATGAGCACCCAATGGAATAGATCCAACTTGGTCTCAGACTGCTGCTCAACCCCAGGGACAGGGTCCATAATGTCTGGAAAATTACAATCCAATCATGAATTCCAAACTTGACAATACAACAAAGTGAAAATGAAGTTCAGAAAAATAAGTGTTATACTGTTTGTATTCTTTCAAGTTTCATAACCGTGCAAACTTTGCACCATTTTCAAATGGATATGTCACATTTTGTCAATAAAATCCTCATTTGTAGCATTGACAGTTTCAGAATATATTTGTCCTTTTTTTTAATTATGCTTGTGAGGAAAAACGAAGGGCAAAATTTTGTGGTCAGACCGTCAGATACTATACCTGGAATATTACTGACTAAACAACCCAAACTTCTCAAGAGAGTTAGATCAATTTGTAGAAAAAGATTATTGTGCAATAATGATACCTAAAGGTTCTTTTGCACTGCAGCATCGTGATATTCTGCGCCTGTCTGACAAGACATTCTCCAGCAGGGTTTTATTTGAGGCCCTGTCTATATCTGAGATATGTTTAGTGTATATTTGCTTTCAAGCAATCCACACAGATAATCAAAGTTATTACTGGACGGGTTTCAGAAACGAATCATCAGAAGACAACTGACCACGATCCAGCAAGTCCAGCAGGTGGTTTGGAGGATTTTGCAAGGTTGGTCAGAGTGGCCCAAGGCATTATTAATTTACATGGGATTCAATGCCCAATGGAAAGTGGAAGACCAAAGAATGTGCATTAAATTCTGCACAGTGGTGGATTGTGGAAGAAAAAAACTGAATCCTACAAATAATAAAAACTGTCCTCGGAGTTGAAATAGTATATGAGAAAAATCCAACATGACGCTCTCTCAATACTAGGATATGGCTTCCTAGAGGATAATATAATTTGATAATCTCAGGCATTAGATGGAATTTCAATGGAAAAATGTAGGACATTTGTGTAAAGACAGGAAATAAGATGGCAAGGAAGCACCAAAATCAGCTCAAAACAATTAAAAATGGCAAAACAAATTTGGGCCAGAAAAACCCCAGGAATTCCTGTTAAAACAGGAAGATTCTCATGCCAGTGTAAACCTTCCCCGTTTTGAACCCAACTCACCTCTGGATAGAGTCAACACAGGTTTGTGGAAGGAGGCTGCCGCTCTGTCCACCGCAATCACGCGCACCACGTACACCGTGTTGTCCCTCAAGTTGGTCAAGGTGTAGTTGCGGGCCGATGCTGGGATGAGAGGGGTGCTGGTGTAAACGCTTGAGTTGGCCTCGCGGTACTGGAGAATGAAGCCCATAATGAACGGCTCGTCTGACGGGCTGAATCTCCAGGCGACCGTGGTCTCCCCGCTCTCGATGCTTGGCACGTTCAAGATCATTGGATCTCCTATAAAAATAAAACCCAAAATAATGACTTTTTGTGAACAGTGAAGTATGAAACCAAATCTTCATTGATGCTATGAGTTATGCCCAACACGAATTGCCGACGCTCAGTAATGTGAAGGCTATTAGTCACAGAGATATGATATTCAGTCATCAATTTTTAATACTCAAATACCAGAATGAAAGCCCAACTGTATTGCCTGAAGAGACCTGGGGCCGATTATACAAAATGCTAAGACGCATCTTAGGGAGGGTAACTCGTCCTAATTTGCGACTCGTCCTAGGATCCATTTCACCAAACTTAAGATGCGTTCAACGTGTCCTAACTCTAGCTCTTTTAGGGAGATGAATAGCACAGGTATTTGCAGAGCTCAGAATTTTTTTGTTAGCAACATCACTCAAATTTTTCTGTACATGCATACTGCAACTGCTTCTCAGTTGATTTCTGATGACAACCGACATCTGCTGAGCAATTTTTTATGTTTAGGAGCTGCATGAAATTGGGCCGTACTCAACAGGCTTGCATGTGCCACCTCCCAAATTGCTTAGAGAAGAAAGGATTTAGGCAAGCATTTTTTGTACCACCATTGAAACAGATTGCTACCCACTCCCGGTTGATATCAAGTACAAGCGCGCTTAACCAGTTTGCGCCGGAGGACGTGTATGTATACACGCAAAAGTTTTCTGAAATTTAGATCGGATGACTGATACACCCGCAACAACCGAGGCCAGAAATATGTCAGCAACCCACTCGCATTGACTGAGCAAGGCCTGAAAAATCAGGGTGTGCCACCCACAGATCATGGCCTGAGCCCGTCCGGCATCGAGGTTCGTGAAAAATAATCCCGCGCCTGGGTCAGGTCACTGTCAAAATACACCTGGCTCGAACTGGTAACCAAGTCTTTTCATACCAATTTTCTGTAGATGGATTCTCTGAACCTCATGCCTGCAAAAACTTTGAGAGAAGACACCAAGCTTTTTATTTTATCCAAGCGATGATTCCCTTGATCAATAACCCATTACTCATTCCACACTGAGTAAACCTCACAACTAAACACACCTTATTACATAAATAAATTAAAAATCAATGCCAACCAATTTCAGTAATATAAATGTCAATTTAGAATGCACAAACCAAGTCACTAAATACCAACTATACTGGTTAAAAACACAAAAGACGCACATGAGTTGTGGTTAAATATTAAAAGTGTTATATTTAATGACATCTGTTAGAATCTCTTGCCAGATAAAAATGTATTTTCTACAAATTAAGTTATTTTAGTATGACAATCTGTATCAAATGAAATGAAAAGTTAATGGTATGACTAGGAAATATGGTACTGAGCACTTTGTGATCGGGTAGACAAAAGAATTGTGAGTCCTCTGCATTTTTCATAACTGTCAGTAATCTATTTTCCTCATTAAACAAAATTGAGTTATTATTAAAGGTGATATACAAAGCAAGGACTGACCAGTTAAACCAATGTGAAATAGTTTAAAAACCAAGATGCCTTTTACAGAACTGATTAAGAATGGTGATGCTGTTACCAGTATAAAACAGTATGCTGTTACCAGTATAAAACAGTATCCTGTTAAGCACACAGGTTAATCAGAGAGTTGTAATGTGTAAGAACGGAAGTTAACACAAGTAGTAATGTGAACAGGACAGTGGTCAGGATTTACGAGTTTGTGTTTTAGCAAACAGAATTGTGACAAGTGTAATGTGAAGGGACGGTGGTAGAGCTGGTGCCATGAAGGATGTTAAGTTACATCAGAAGTGGATGACACTCTGTGAGAGCTACACTGATGAAAAGGCCACATGCAGTGATCAGTGGTGAGATTTGAAGATGATCAGTGACTAAAGAAGTCAGGGTTTTTTTTAGAGAAACGGTCGTCGTGCAGTTGTCTCAAGAGACAACCTACCTTTTCTTTGGGTCTGTGGAGACGTCATGACCACGGTGGCTGGAGGCGGTTGGTTGGTTGGTTCAATCTCCCCTTCCAACAGGATCACCGCTGATCCGGGATTGGCAGATTCCACAATTGTCTGAATCACCACAGCCTGGCCCGTCGTCACAAAGAGCGTGACGTTAGCAGGTACCGTGGTGGTGAGTTTAAGAACACTGGATCCCAGCATGTGAGGCGTCTCGGTCTGTACTGATCCGCGAGGCTCTGCTGCCAGGCTGATCTCTGCTGAGCCATTGATGACGAGGTATATCACTGATGGCTCAAAGGTCCTGATTGAGACTAACGATGTGGCAGCACCTGTTGTAGTGATAGTCCTGGTGACATTCATGACCTCAGGTGTTACGGATGGATTGATCAGAGTCACCATACTGGCGTCATCCACGTTGGTCACTGTGAAGGAGATATTACCAGGTTCAGCTAACATCATCAGCACAGTGGTTTCTGAAGCTTCTAGGGTCTTGAACATATAGGTCATCTTATCTTGATCACTGCTCATAAAGATGTTGAAGTCCACTGCAAGGCCGCTGGGGACTGTCTGGATATTGATGGTGAAAGTTCCGGATGGGTTGGGAGTAAACACCTCAACTGTCAAATTTGCTGGCCTGGTAGTCGAGGCCATGGCCTTAACTGTTGAGTTTGCGCTGTACGTCTGCAGGGTTCTCACAACAGTCAAGGTGCCTGGTGTTTCGGGGGTCACTGGAGACACTGTGTAAAAAGACAACATGTAATCACTACATCAGAGAACTTTCATCATCAGAGTAATCATCAGAGTAAACACATTTTGTAAATAATGTGTTGCAAAAAGATTACAAAAATAGTCCAGAAATAGACAACTAATTCCTGGTATCCTGAGTGAAAAGTGACTAAACACTAATGTCAAAAGAGATAATAGAAACAATTCTGGAATTAGAGTGTGAACTGACTTTACCACTGATAGATTTCAACTCACCGGTCGGCTGCGATGTTGTAGGGGTTTCGCTCTCGGTCACTATGGTAACCAAAGCAGCATCTGGCTGTGTACTCATCACCGTGGCAAGTATCTCCACCTCATCCTGTGCGGCGATCATCACAGTTATGTTGACAGGACTGAGGATGAGAAGTCGCAAGGAGGAGCCTTCCTGAGAGGAGGTAGTTTGCTGGATTTGCACAGCACCTTCTTTGAAGAAGCTGACATTGAACTCAGCGAGCCCACTGACATCTACAACAACTGAGGCTGCTGATCTTGCGTTGATGAGCAGAGAGGTTTGAGAAGGTCCCATGATCTGCAGAGATCGAGTGGTGTTGACAAAGACGACTGGTGTCGGTGAAGCAGTTGGGGGCATCATAGTAGGACCACCAACGATGAAAAGATCCACCAGATTGGAAGAGCTTTCCTGGCCCTGCAACGTCACACTGAAGGAAACATTTCCTGCTTCAATTGTGGGCAAAACAAGATCTGCAGTACTGGCTGCTGAAGTGGTGAAATGCATGACATATCTCTCTGGATTTCTCAGAGTACTGATCACAAAATTCCTGGCCACTCCCTGAGGGGTTGTCTGCACGCTTATGCCCGTCACCTGAGCTGGATTCATTGTGTAAATGACGAAGGAGATATTTGCGGGTCTGTCCAAAGAGGCAGAAGCCTGAACTGTAGCACCTGCAGGCACACTGAGCATTCTTGATATTGTAAAGGAATCAGATGGTCCAGCTGTGGATGGTGCTGGTGTGGATGGAGTCGGTGTGGATGGAGTCGTTGTGGCTGCAGGTTGAGTAGGACTTGAAGTGACTGCTACCTCTGTGGAGTTGTCGCTAAGCTGGACCTCTGCTGAAGAATCTGTTGTTTCAACCCGGAAGGAAACATTTGCAGCTTGTTTCAACGTTGCAGAAATAATGGTTAAGGCTGCACTGAGGACTTTGAATCTTACAATTTGTGTATTTTGGATGTTTGGTGAGTCACTATCCAAATCTCTCAGCAGCCCCTGAGGGACTGTCAGAATGCTGATTACTGTCGTCTGGCTCGGATTTGGGATTGACACACGGAACTCAAAGTATGCTGGACCATCAGAAGAGGCAGTGGCCTGGACTTCAGCCGGCCCAGTTGTGGCCAATTCTCGGAAGAAGTTGCTCAGTGGAGCTGGCGTGCCTTCTTTAGTCGCCATGCCAGTCGTAACAGATGTGGTTGGGGCAGATGTTGAGCTGACGGGTTGAGAGATGTCCACAATTTCTGCTGTGCTGGATGAGCCCACAGTCTCCACGGTGAGGGAGATGTTTGCTGGAGCAAGCAAGGTCAAGAAGAGGGTCGTATTCGATGCAACAACAGTCATAAACTGGAAGGAGAAGGCTTCTGGATTGTCGCTGTAAGAAACGCGGTAGTTCTGGGCTGACCCCTGAGGGGTGGCCGTAACAGTGACTCGGGTGTTTGTGCCGGGGTTGGGGACATTAATGACCAGAGAATAATTCCCTGGACCAGGAGTTGAAACTACGGCATTGAATGTTCCAGGTCTACTTGTCATCAACTCTCTAACAAGAGTTACCCTCTCTGAGCCAGATGGGACTGTTGATGGTACTTCTGTTGTTGGCCCTGCATTTTATTGAGGCAGACAATCAAATTCTGTTGGACACAGATTGGTAAACTATGTACCTTTAGAGGTAAAAACGCAAAAGCATTAAACAGCATTACTAGATACTTTGTTCTTGTGGTTTAGTGATACCTATCGTTTGCATTCAGCTCTCGTCCTTGAGAGAGAAAATGTTTTAATTCAGTAACTTATGCTGTTACTAGTGCCTATCTTTCCAGGGAAAAACTTGAAAGAGGGTTGCAATGCGAAGCATCTACAGATCTACTTTGGGTCACTTATATGAACAGGAACGTAACTGGAATGGACTTGAATCTCCGTCAACCAGGATACATGGGAAAAGTTGCACTAGCCATTACTTTCCATTCTTTTGGATTTGAGTTACATTTTTTTCAGATGTGCTTTGCATGGCACTAGTTTCCCTTCGATTGATAAATCAGTTTCTTTCACCAGAAAAGAAATCATCTGTATCCCATTAATAATTTGACATCCAGCTATATCAATATACTTTTTACTGTTGTCCCCATTTTAGATCGTAGGCTAAGTCGACTGCAGTGAAGAATATAAATTTAACATTCATTCTGTACGGACCTTTAATCAGGCATCTTTTGCGGCTCGCCTACTGAGGCCTAATTATTTGTCAATGATACAATTTTCGAAATTCTAATTACAGTGGAACCCTGATAAGAAGAGCATGTTACTACAACATGAGCATGCTTATAACAAGGAAAATGTTGGGCCACAAGTCTTTGTTTTTCTTTGTTTTCCTTTGTTATCCATTGCTGATAATACAAGGTACCTGTTGTAACAAGGTAATTTTTAAACTCCCGAGGACCTTGTTATAGAGGTGTTAGACTGCTTCGTACAAACCCACCTTTATATATAATAATAATAATAATAATACAAATAATTTGGGAGGCTTATCATCCTTACTCACAGCTGGTATGCTAAATTGCAAAGGACGCGGCTACAACGTGGTCGGGCCGCTGGCATGTAAAGGCGCTTATGGCTGCCGGCCACATTGACCCATATATGACCACAGAGCACAGCCTGAGATCGATAGTATTTGATTTTTCCGGAGGAAAACTGGAGGGCCCGGAGAAAAACCCTCGTGGCACAGGAGAGAACCAACGCACAACTCTACTCACATGTGATCCGCGGCCAGGATTCGAACCGTGGTGAGAGGCAAGCGCTTTACGCACAAGCCACCCATGCCACCCCTTTACAAGTCCAAATCATCCATGCCTAAATCATGAAGCCCAAGCGCACAAATCAAGTAAGAACATGCTGCATGGAGGGCCTTTTGAGGACCTGGTCTGGCCACTGATGTGGCACATTAAGCCCCACACACAGTGAAAATGCATTCTATGACCAATTACCAAGCTACTAAAACCTCAGTTCACATTGCGCGCCCTGTACATAAATGATTCTTTACCTCCGAGAATGTAAACCTCTTATTTTGGGCTAAAGGATGTCCCCATGTCAATCTTGATATTTAATCTGCTGAGCTACCAGTACCTTTCATTTCTAATAATTGCTTTTTCAGATGTAGTTGGCTTTTCTTGAATTTAAAAAGCACTTAGGTAAAAACTTGGTAACTAAATTCCTGTGCTAAATGAAAACAGGTTGGGAAGTTTTTTTAGCAATTTGTTCAAGACTGAAATTCAGCCAAGAGCATTTTCCAGAATTCATGATGAAAAGCATCACTGAAATGAGCACAGTATAAAGTGTTCTAACTCTCACTTACCGACTACATTATCTGTGACCTCCGGCGCTGTTGTTACATCGGCGGTGACCTCTACGAGCCGGCTGACGTAATCACCCTTGGTATCAACCTGTAAAGAAATGTTGGCTGCATTCGTCAGAAGGACTCTCACAGTTGTGTTAGCCGGTTCTGGAACTGTAATCAGTATTGCCACAGAGCGCCCATCAGATCCGATGAATCTTGTTACGCCGGTTGAAAGATCAGCTGGTTGAGTCACGATGCTCACATCAACGTCTGTTGGGTTCTCTGTGAACACAACCAGGGTGAGGATGGCCGTGTCGTTGGTGGCAGCATAAGCTTCTACAACTCCACCTCTGTTGGTACTCAGCATTAGAACAGATCCTGGTGTTTGAGTGGGAGAAGGCACAGTCACTCCAATATCCATTACCTCCACAAGGGATACAACACTTTCAAGGTCTGCTGTATCAACCTGCAGCGAGATGTTTGCTGATTCCAGTAAATTCATTATTATGGTTGTGTTGACATCATCCGATGTTTTGAATGTCATGGTCAAGGCTGCAGGGTTATCACTTATTTCACGCTCTACATCATAGGAGACATTCGCTGGAATGGTATTCAGGGTGACATCGGCAGTTTGACCAGGATTCTTAGTGTATATGACCAGTGTATAAGTTGCAGGACTAAGAGTTGACACAGAGGCTCTCACAGTGCTGTTTCCAGTGGTGCTCAGTGATCGGACAAATGATTCCGCAACTTGTGGTCTGGAAGTCATCCGAACAGTAGGATAAATGGTTTCTGAAGTCATCTTGGGCTCAGTTGGAGAGACTGGTGTCGATGCCGAGATCATTGGCTGCATGGTAGAGCTAACTGAACCCTCAACGATAAATTCGATAGTAGGAGATGGATCTTCCGTTTCTGTTGTAAGAGTGATGTTGGCCGATTCCAGTAGGGTGATTATAAAAGTGGCCTTCACTTCTTCCGAGGGCCTGAGGATAATCATGAGGGCTTCTGGGTTATTACTTCTCATAATCTGTGGGAAACAGGCAACACCAGGAGGGTCTGCCTCAAGCCTTACGCTTGCAGTCAACGAGGGGTTTCTGGTGTGTACAAGAAGAGTATGAACTGCAGATTCTCTCGCTGAGGCACAAGCTCTTACAGTAGTGTTGCCTGAAGAGTGGAACGTTTCTGTGAGTGTCCGAATGCTTGGTTCAGTAGACATGCCTGTTGAGACCGTTGGTTGGATGGTTGAGACAATGTCAGTGCCTTCGGAGAGCTTGAGTGAAATAGACTGATCGCTTGTGCTCACTGTGAAGGAAATGTTTGCCGATTCCAATAATTGTATGGTTACTGTTGTATTGACACTCTCTAAAGTTCTGAAACTCATCAACACTGAATCGAAGTCTGAGCCCCTGAAAATCTGTTCATCATACGCAAGACCAACAGGATCCGTTTCAATAGTGATATTGGCAGTGTCCGCGTTCCTAGTGAATACCAGTAGGGTGTAGTTTGCAGGTTTTTGGGTTGAGGCAAACGCTGTTACAGTGGTGCTTCCTTCGGTCCTCAAGAGTCTCGTGAAACTTTCAACGACTTCTGGACCTGTTGTGACCTCTGTTGAGACAACTGGACGCATTGTTGACATAGCGGTTTCTTCTGCAAGGACCACTTCACTGGACTGATCTGCTGAGTCTACTTGCAACGAAACATTTGCGGATTCAAGCAAGCTAATGATCAAATCTGTGTCAACAGACCCTACGGTTCTGAATGTCAACATAAGTGCCTCAGGATCATTACTTGTGCGACTCATTACTTCAAAAGCAGCTCCAGAGGGTACTGTAATGATGCTCACATTTGCAGTTTCACCTGGGTTTGTGGTATATACGACCAGTGTATAGTTTGCAGGACTACCTGTAGACGCAGAGGCTCTGACGACTGTAGTCCCTTGGGTGCTCAAAAATCTAATAAAGCTTTGTACAACCATTGGTTCAGTGGGCATTTGTGTTGAGACTGCTGGCTGCATGGTTGATGATGTGCCCGTCTCTTCCACGAGGATGAGCATACTTGACTGATCTTCTGTGTCAACTCGGAAAGAGATGTTGGCCGATTCAAACATATCCACAAACACAGTTGTATCTACAGCTCCTGATGTTTTGAAGGTCATGGTTAGGACTTCATCATTTGTGAATGGCATTATATCAAAGGCAGCTCCACTTGGTATTGTCACTATGGTGACATTGACTGTCTTTAGTGGATCCCTAGTATAAACCACAAGTGTATAATTCGCCAAACTTGCTGCTGAGACAGAGGCTCTTACAGTGGTGCTTCCTTGGGTGCTCAAAGTTTTCACCAGAGGCCCCTCCACTGAAGAAGGTGTTGTCATCATGTCTGAAACAGGTACGGTTTGCGACACCACAGTAGAACGGGGAGGAGTAGCTGGTCCGGATGACATAGTTGATGCCATGTGTTGGGATGTCATCTCGTCTGTACCAGTACCACGCCGTGTTGTCATTGGTTGGGACGATTCTCCAGGTTCTGGCGACATTGTTGCAGTCACAGAGGAGGATGGTCTCATGGTCTGGGATGTCGGACCTGTTGCTGGGGACATTGTTGCAGTCATTGAGGGCGATGGCTGCATAGTAGACCCAGAACCAGTATCTTCTTCAAGCTCTACGATGACAAAAGGATCAGCTGTATCAACTTGAAATGTAATATTTGCAGACTCTACCAGGCCGAGTACCAAAGTTGTGCCAACAGCTTGTGAGGTTGTAAATGTTGTCACAAGGGATTCAGGGTCATCATCCATATAACCTTCAATATCATACGCAACTCCGGCAGGGTCAGTCTCCAAAGTCACATTAACAGATTCTGGGTTTCTTGCATAAATTACAAGGGTGTAGTTGGCTGGAAATCTCGTTGATGCAAAAGCTTTCACAACTGCAGGCCCTTGAGTGGACAATGACCTTATTGTAGTTTCCACAATCTGTGGTTGGCTTGTCATCATAGGTTGGCTTGACATAGAAACCTGTTGGGATGTCATCTTATCTGAAGGGCCCATAGTTTGTGATGTCATCATCGGCTGAGATGCACTTGGCTCTGGAGACATTGTTGCTCCCATAGAGGTTTGTTGTGATGTCATCCGATCTGATGGACCCATGGTTTGTGAGGTCATCATGGGCTGAGATGCACTTGGTTCTGCAGACATTGTTGCTCCCATAGAGGTTTGTTGTGATGTCATCTGATCTGATGGACCCATGGTTTGTGACATCATCATGGTCTGAGATGCACTTGGTTCTGCAGACATTGTTGCTCCCATAGAGGTTTGTTGTGATGTCATCTGATCTGATGGACCCATGGTTTGTGACGTCATCATGGGCTGAGATGCACTTGGTTCTGCAGACATTGTTGATGTAGATGAAAGTGGCTGCATTGATGTCATGTCACCGTCAAGTGCTAACATAACTGCACTGGATGGATCTGCTGTGTCAACTTGGAAGGTCACATTCGCCGACTCCAACAGGCTGACTATAACAGTTGTATCAACAGCCTCTTGGGTTTTGAATGTCATTGTAAGCGACTCAGGATCATCGTCAAAGGAGATAACAGCGTCATACATAGCACCATCAGGGTCTGTCACATAGCTGACATTAACTGTTCTCTCTGGGTCTCTAGTGTAAATGACAAGGGTATAATTGGCTGGATTTATTGTAGATGCAAAAGCTTTTACAACTGAAGGCCCTTGAGTAGACAATGACCTTACTGTAGTTTCCACAATCTGTGGTTGGCTTGTCATCATAGGTTGGCTTGACATAGAAACCTGTTGTGATGTCATCTTATCTGATGGACCCATAGTTTGTGACGTCATCATGGGCTGAGATGCACTTGGTTCAGCAGACATTGTTGCTCCAATAGAGGTTTGTTGTGATGTCATCTGATCTGATGGACCCATGGTTTGTGATGTCATCATGGGCTGAGATGCACTTGGTTCTGGAGACATTGTTGCTCCCATAGAGGTTTGTTGTGATGTCATCTGATCTGATGGACCCATGGTTTGTGACATCATCAAGGTCTGAGATGCACTTGGTTCTGCAGACATTGATGATGTAGATGCAGGTGGTTGCATTGATGTCATGTCACCGTCAAGTGCTATCATAACTGCACTGGATGGATCTGCTGTGTCAACTTGGAAAGTCACATTTGCCGACTCCAACAGGCTGACCATAACAGTTGTATCAACAGCCTCTTGGGTTTTGAATGTCATTGTAAGTGACTCAGGATCATCGTCAAATGAGATAACAGCGTCATACATAGCACCATCAGGGTCTGTCACATAGCTGACATTAACTGTTCTCTCTGGGTCTCTAGTGTAAATGACAAGGGTATAATTGGCTGGATTTTCTGTGGATGCAAAAGCTTTTACAACTGAAGGTCCTCGAGTAGACAATGACCTTACTGTAGTTTCCACAATCGGTGGTTGGCTTGTCATCATAGGTTGGCTTGACATAGAAACCTGTTGGGACGTCATTTGATCGGAAGCAATCATGGTCTGTGACGTCATCATGGGCTGAGATGCACTTGGTTCTGGAGACATTGTTGCTCCCAAAGAGGTCTGCGGAGATGTCATCCGATCTGATGGACCTGTGGTCTTCGAGGTCACCATTGGCTCAGGGGAAGTACCTGGTTCTGCAGATATTGTTGAACCCACTGTAGGTTCTACTGTCATTGGTATGGTGGGAATCACACCCGTGAATTCAGTTAGGGTCACAAGAGCTGATCCATCAGTAGTTTCAACTTTAAAAGTGATGATACCTCCTTCCCTGACTGTCACAAATACTGTGGTGTTAGTTTGAGTGAATGTCTTGAATGTTGTTGTCAATGCATCTGAGGTTTCACGCTCGTTATCATCCATGGCTGCTCCATTTGGAATGGTGCGAATGGACACATTGGTTTCGTGTTCAGGACTGACCTTGAACCGAGTAAGGGTATAATCTGCTCTACCCGAAGTGGAAACGAAAACCCTATATACCTGTCCTGCCATTGCAAACACTGCTTTATCGAAACTGTACACCACAGGATCTGTTACTAAAGTTGGCTTAGTGGTCACCGGATAAGTTGACATTGGCTGAGCTGTTGAAGATGCTCCTGTGTCATCTGAAAGGATAATAACACTCGACTGATCTGCTGTGTCAACTCGAAGGGTAATATTTGCTGACTCCAACAAGTTCATGAGTATAGTTGCATTAACAGCTTCCGATGTTCTAAATGTCATCATTAGCGCTGCTGGATCCATACTGACGTAACGCATCACATCAAAGGCAGCTCCATCAGGAGATGTCATCAGGCTAACATTGGCAGTTTGACCAGGGTTTCTGGTATATATGACCAGTGTGTAATTGGCAGGACTAGCCGTTGAAGCAGAGGCTCTAACAACAGTGCTTCCTTGAGTACTCAGAGATCTCAAAAAGCTTTCTACAACTGTCGGCTGCATTGTTGATAAAACTCCTGTATCTTCTGCAAGGACCACTTCACTTGACTGATCTGCTGTGTCAACCCGAAGAGAGATATTTGCCGACTCCAACAAGTTCATGAGTACAGTTGCATCCACAGCTTCTGATGTTCTGAATGTCATTGTAAGGGCATCTGGACTGACACTGACATGGCGCATCACATCAAAGGCAACTCCAGAGGGTGATGTCATCAGGCTAACATTGGCGGTTTGACCTGGGTTTCTGGTATATATGACGAGCGTGTAATTTGCAGGACTAGCTGTTGAAGCAGAGGCTCTAACCATAGCGCTTTCTTGGGTACTCAGATATCTCAAAAACATTTCTACAACTCCTGGCTGCATTGTCGATGAAACCCCCGTATCTTCTGCAAGCACCACCACGCTTGACTGGTCTGTTGTGTCCACCTGAAAGGAGACATTTGCTGAATCCAACAAGGTTATGAGCAAATCTACATTAGCAGCTTCTGAGGATCTGAATGTCATTGTCAGTGCATCAGGATCAAAACTGATATCACCCATCAAATCAAAGATGGCCTCAGGTGGTGATTGCATCACGTTTACAAGGGCATTTTGACCTGGGTTTCTGGTATATATGACCAGTGTATAATTTGCAGGACCAGTGGTTGATGCAGAGGCTCTAACCACAGTGCTTCCTTGGGTACTCAGATATTTGACAAAGCTTTCCACAACGGGTCTGGTAGGCATCTGCGTTGACAAAGCCTTTTCTTCAAGTACTATGACATGTGAGTCATCCAGAGTGTCAACAATTAAGGAAATATTTGCCATTTCCATCAAGTTCATGGTCCATGTTACATTAACAGCTTCTGAAGTTTTGAACGACAAAACAACGGTATCTGGGTTCTCCATCGTAACAAACTGCACGTCATAAGCAGCGTTGCCAGGAACCGTATCGAAGCTTACATTGGCAGTTTGATTTGGGTTACCGGTCACTATAACCAGGGTGAAGTTTGCAGGGCTTGTGGTTGTCACGGCTGCTTCCACAAGGGCACTTCCCGTTGTACTCAGAGCCCGCATGAACCTCGTTGTAACACCTGGTGATTGGGTCGAACTGACAGATGGCCCCCCGGAAACCACTGGTGTCTCAGTTGTTGGTAATGTGATGTTCAGTATTCCGAAAGCCAATGCGGCAGTGTTCTCAGCGTCCACCGTTTCAACCACAAGGAACATATCTGAGGGTTCCATTGTAGAAACCACTATTGTAGTGTATGCCCCTGCAGATGTGGTGATAGACAGGATGATAAGCCCGATTTCAGTTTCATTGACTATTTCAGCGATTGCATTCTCAGGAACTGTGGTGATGACAAAATCGGTTGAAATGGCAGGGGTGTCTGTTTCTACCAGAAGGTCGATCCGAGCCGGCCGCTGGGTGTACACAGTGATCGTGGTGTTTGTGGGTTCAGTTGTGGTGAAGAAATCTTCAATGGACGTGACGGGAAGTGTTGTGGCTTCCATTGTTGTCAGCTTGACATCGATTGGACCTTGTGTCTGACTTGGTGTGGTCACTTCCGGTAAAGTAGATCCCTGGGGTTCAGTTGGCATAACCGCTGGCGTCGTCGTTTTGCTGATCGGCATGGGCATTGTGGTAGGCTCTAGGGTTGTTGTGGGTGGACCTGCAGAGAAACAAACAGACCAACAGAGGAAATTAATAACATAACATTTTTGGGGGAAAATCATCACAACACTCACCTTGAACCCCCTCCCCTCCAAGGTTAGAAATAAATACTAAGCAATCATGTATCTACCATGTAGCACTTGCTGTACATTACACCTGTACATTTTAAATAGTGGCTGTCAAAGTCAATCACAAGTCAACCACCAATAGACAAGCACCAAGTCAAGTGACGAGCTATGCAGTGAATTCCGACTGGACTTACGATTGCCTCCTGATTGACTTGGTTACACCTCTGCCGGTCAAGCTTGTCCGCACCGAGCATTCACTACATCTATATGTCATAATCATGTAGCTCAGTTTTCAGGCAAAAAGTTACTAGTTGATGGTGTCAATGGAACTACTGAAACTACTCATAGAAGATAAACCCACATTTACTTCGGTCACAGACAACAATAGACTTGGAACAGTACTCCGCTGGGTACTTAATCAACAAGAGAGCTAGCATAGCAATAACCCTTTAGCACCAAGTTGTATTAAATTGTATTTATAGTAAGTAAAGTCTGTCCAGAGCCAATATGGCCCATCAGGCCAGATTTTATCTCCGGTTTCATTGGCATGAAGCGACTGAGAATATTTCTATTCCCCCTGGATGGGATGCCAGTCTATATTGCAGGTTACTCCCCAGCTAATGCCGGTACCCATTTATACTCCTGGCTGGAGAGAGGCAAGTGGGGGTGACGTGGCTTGCCCAAGAACACAAGGTATGGCCATCAGCTGTATTCGAACCCCTGACCCTCTGATCATGAGCCACGAACCCTAACCAGTAGGCCACACTCCCCTATTACATTACCTAGTATGTACTCCTCCATATTCAATACCAGTGCCAGGGCAGTTTGAGACTGTATGGGGACTAACAGGCCAGGTGGTTTGGGGCAGTATGAAAACTAAATTTGTCAAGGGATCATTACCATTTCCATTACCTGATGCCCTACTGACTAGGGTTGATATTGACAATTTGTTTTTTGAAGTCTGAAAATTGGATGAAAGGTCTGAAAGATGCATTTCTTTTCATACGTATACAGTCGACTCTCGTAAGTACAAACTCTGTTAATACAAATTCTGGTTATAACAAACATAAAGCCTTGGTCCTGACTGTGCATTGATGTGCAAAATGAATGAGACTGATGTTCCTCTTAATACAAAATTCTGATATAACAGACAATTTGGCTAGGTCCGAACGAGTTTGTATTAACAAGACTCGACTGTAATGTCTTTCTCCCAGATTCAAAGGTCTGATTTCAGACTGAAGACTGAAACATCTAATGCCTGCCGATTGTTTGTAAAAACTGCAAACGGCCACAAACCTGTGTAAACTTGACAAATAACCCCTTCGTAGTTTTCAGCGCAGGTGCACAAACCGTAGAAGTCATAAGCAACACATGTCCCATCATTCATGCAAGGAAGAAGGGCACAGAAGTCAATTCCTGCAATGCAACAAATACGTACAAACGAAATTAACTGGATAGACTTTCTCAGATTTCAGAGCCAATATGTGAGGTGTTCAGGCAAAATGAGACGGAACTGGACACAGGCCGTAGTTGAGGAAAATGAAAAAACAGAAATAAGGTGATTTTTTTTAAACTTTCAGATTGATTGATATTTGTAATCTTTGATATATCTACTGCACATACTTTAAAGAAATAGTACAACAATTGTGGAATTAAAATGTTTTTAAGGAAACGACAGCCATTTTTTATTTTCATGACTACAAAAATCGAAACTTTATTAAGGCCCTTTTCCTCGGTTTTACTTTTATGACATGTCAGCATGTGCAAACTTTAAACAGCCATAACGTGTCCAAGAAATGTCCGAGTGAAGTTCGGGGGCGCGGATCCAGAGGAGGGAGGGGGTTTGGGGGTCGAAACCCCTCCCCCCCCCCAGCTCTGACTACAAATATTTTTACAGAAATATATTTAAAAATAATGTGAAACACCCCCCCCCCCCCCGCCACCCCAAAAATTATGACATTCATACCAGTAATAAATGTCATCTGGAACTCCCCTCCCCCCCCCCCTTTAATTTTACGGAGGCCAGGTGTACGGAGAAAAAAACCTGTCTATATTTCAGCATTGATTTGCCGATGAAACCCCCACCCCCCACCCCTGCAAAAAATCCTGCATCTGCCCCTGTGTAAGGAGAAATACAAGCAAAGCCGAGATGAGCCACTAGAACCTTTTAAAAATCGAACACATGATTGGTGATTCTGATGCAAAACTTTCACCTGTTCACTGTTTGATATTTTCTGCATTTTGGTGGATAAATCGCCAAAATTTTGTGAAATTGATACGACTTAAAAATATGTCCCTCTCTGGGTTTGCAAGATTTGTAGACTAAATACGGATATTAAGTTAAATAGAATGTGGATTCCTAAATAAAGCATTCACTGAAAGGTTCACACTAAAAAAAAAAAAAATCTGATTTGTCAAAAAAACTGCAGATGAGGAGATCTTTTAAAATTGTGTAAATTAGGATATTTTGTGCCAGAACTGTGATCACTTTGATAAAGTTTCTCTCAATAATAAGGTCGTCGCCTAAAACAGGCATGTAACTGGGAAGTCACAAAAAAAGAGGAAATTCAAATCTTTCCAAGACTTTGTTCAGTGTTTTTTCTATTTTCAATGACACACATGGGAAGTGAAAAAGAGGAAATCAGCTGATCCGAAGAAAAGTTGCATGCCTGCTAAAAATAAAATTAAACCAAATGTACAAAACCTGTTCCAGTACAGATTTCAGAAAGCTAAAGGGTCTTACATTTGGCAGTTTGCCTTCGCTCTTAATCTTTCATAATCACAGACTTGTGTACACAACAAGAATGTTCACATCCGCCTTTTTAAATCTTTTGCATTACCACAAACTTTTAGTGGGAAGGTTACCCCAAGCATAGACTGAGTTGTGCAAGTCGCACAAAAGATGTGATCCCAAGCGTGGTTTACGCAGCTTCTTTGAAACCAATTATAAAAGCTGTTTGTTGTTGCACTTTTGCTAAGTGTTATTGACCATGAGTAACGGTTCAAACCGTACTTGAAAACTACTAAATGGACAAAAAAAATTTCAAATGATGACAATTTTTGGAAAGTACAATGCACTGTGAACTTGCAATGTTGTCAGTTCCGTGTGTATTGGTTTTCTACTGTAAAAACAAACCTTATTATTTAATAAAATGCTAAAAATATGTTCAGTTGTTCAAAAATTCTAGTCCATTTCAATAGTTCAAATGAAATTAAAAGAGAAAACAAAAATGCATGACTAAGAATGAAGCACACTTTTATTCACTCTATAAAGATTTAGAGGGAATTACCAGTATTAAACACTACAGATACTTCTCCAAAATCGTGTATCCCTCAGATTTTGTACCTTAGTGGTATTGGGGAATTTAAGAGTGAACACAGTGTCTTCTTCATTCTGATTGTACGGGTCACATCCAAAGATTTGTATGCTCCAAAACGCTCAACTCACTTTGTAAGACAAGTGTAGAAGAATTCTTTGTTTTTGTTAATTGCCACATTCATTTTCCCTTCTAATAAACACTTGGAAAGTAATTTCATCTCATCTTTTATACAACAATTAATTTGATTCTGAGGTTCAATTCTTACTGTCAGTGCAGTTGGTTCCTTCCCACGGGAAATCACATGTGCACCGATACCCTCCAATTTCATTCACACAGGTTCCGCCGTTGGCACAGGGACTATCCAGACATTCGTTTACATCTGGGCAAAAATGAAAGTAAAGTGATCAATTGAGTAACAATTTTGTAATTGAAAACCTTAGAACAAGAAGGGCCAAACTTTACTGGAAATGATGTAAAATCAAGCAGAGAATCCACTGCCTTCAGTAGTATAACAATGACATACAACCCTGCTTAACTCAAAACTCTGCTTAAGTCAAATTTAGAACCTGTTCCCTTGAGGTTTGACTCATCAAGATTTCCGAATTGGGACTATTTCCATGAGTGTATTGGTTAGATACCCCCCAAAAATATCAGTATTGGATTATGGATTTGGGTCCTGCTTTTAATAGCACACAAGGAAGTAGATATGCTCAGGCAACTACTAAATACATGTAGTTTGAACTTGTTCAACAGTTCATGCACTTTTGAGGTTTTTCAGCATGCACACAGTCAGAGAAATAACGTCGCATTGGCACAATTTGTTCATGCAGCATTCTACTACACAAAGGGGCTCAACTGCCTTTTTACAGGAAAGGTATGAATAGCCTTTTTAACTCTGTTCTTTCATCATACAGTTTTATTCCACAAGGCAATGGAACCACGGACCGTTTCAATTCTATGAAAATGTTAATGGCAGAGTTTCAGAGTCCATGCAAAAGAACATCAACAGTGCACTTGAACTATCAATTTCTGCAAATATAGCCTGAAAAATTGCTGGCAAATAATGTACAATGTTCGCATGCATTAAAGTCCTGAATTTCTACACGCCCAAGGACAATGCTTTGTGTTTCCCTTTGTCCCTGTAATATAACACTCTCCCATAGACTAAGCACATAACCGTATGATCGAGGACCGTTTTCTATAAAAAAAAAAAAAAACAAGCTTGAGAACCAAAGGGATCTTTTGTTCTCCCTTTGTGTGTCTGTCCTCTATCATAATACATTTGAAAAAGTCGGATTTCCGATTAAAATTGGTAAAAGTTTCATCTCTGCATTGCATTCAACGTGTCCTGCGCTAAGTCCAAAAACAAATCACACTCACGTCCTTACTTACTTTCATTTATTTTATAACTCGTATGAATCGATGCATGTCTTGCGTTTCACTTACCAGTCTCACAATCAGTCCCAGTGAATCCTTCCCTACAGAAGCAGACATAGAAATCGGTTGAAACATCAGTACAAGTTGCTCCATTCATGCACGGAACACTCATGCATGGGCGGATTTCTAAAATACAACCAAATAACGAAATATTAGCAAAAACGCTGATGCTATCAATCATCTACTATTTTTGTTTGGGGGGGGGACATTTCTTTCAATTTTATACGGTACAATTTATGGGTTTTTCCCTAAGATATCATTCCTCGTCCTAAGATATCATCCCTCGTATGGATCAATGCATACATTGGTATTGCATTTCACTTACCAGTCTCACAATCAGTCCCAGTGAATCCTTCCGCACAGAAGCAGACATAGAAATCGGTTGCAATATCAGTACAAGTTGCTCCATTCACACATGGATCACTCGTGCATGGGCGGGTCTCTAAAATACAAACAAACAAACAAAAAACATACATACAGTCGAACCCTGATAAGAAGAGCACTGTTAACTTAATACAAGGTCCTGCTTATAACAAGCAAAATTTTAGGTCCCAAGTCTTTGTTTTCCTTTGTTTTCCAATACTGTTAATAAAAGGTACCTGTTATAGCAAGGTAATTCCTTAAGTTGGAAGGACCTTATTATAAAGGTGTACATCCAGCATCTACACAAAACTTATACTTTTGGGGCGACTTTTTTTTCAATTTACTATATACATGTAATTTCTGGTTTTTCCCAAGATATCTTGAAATGAATGCAGGGTAAAATATATGACCTATTAGAAGAAAAGCACTAAATTGTCCAATGATTCTACAAATGCTACCTGTTTCGCAGTTGACACCAGTGTAAAATTCCGGACAGACGCATGAATATTCGTTAAGCATATCTTCACAAGTTGCGTCATTCATACACGGATTGCTGGCGCATTCGTTCATGTCTGGAAAAGAAAGTCATCAAAAAGAATGCATTTATCAGACAACAACAGACAAACATTCAACTTCAAAGATGCATTCCTCAAGTTTTACCCTGGAAAAGTAGATTCATTTTTTTAAATCGCTTTGTTCCTAGCAATATAAAAGTTGCTCACTCTTGAAGGAGACATTGAACGAAAAATCCACCAACGTTAAGTTACTTAATAACATACATTATTATTTCATCTGTTAGATATGTATTGGGGAGTAGGGCTTGGCTGGAACTGTATAGTATAGTTGCTCTTAAAGGGAATATACAACATTTGCAACATCAAAAAATGAAACTACTAAGTTTTTACAAATACCTTGAGGATGTTGGTAAATGACAGTCTAAAGCATCCTGTAAAATTATAGCACCTGGTGTGAAGTCATTTCAAGAAAATTGTATTTTTGTGTACATTTCCAATGTCGGTCGGCCGACCACCATTGGAAAAACCTAACTATTTTTCAACTTCTGCTCCAAATTTACCATTTTTTTTTTTTCAGTCCAAATTTTGTTTGCTTTTAGTTTACATGTTCATGAACGGGTGCAGGCCAGCTAGACTTGCTCCCTTACCTTACAATGTTCCGGCATCAAAAATTTGATCCATTACATCTTTAGTGGAGTCAGGGAACAAGACTACTTGAACATGTTTTTCTTAGTTTTTTTCAGCATTTTCAATCACAAAACTTCAAACTTGTCAGTGTAACAATGTTTGATCTGTTATACTAACCCATCAAAATAGTTCATTTCTGAAAATTACAGTAAAAGCCAATGATGTACATTCCCTTTAAACCATTAGTGTAATTTAATTATCTAATATATGTTATGTCTATTTTAAGGTTTTTAAGGACTATTAAGATAACTTTTACACTTTTTTAAATTGATGAATTGTACACTGTGCTACAATTCGCTTTATGAGTTTGATAATAAAAAATACTAAAATAAAGATTTAAAATAACAGATTTTTTTTTTACAAAGTTCAAATATTTTGCAGTTCGACAACAATTCGACCCTTGCAGGATCAATTCACTTGTGTGAAAAATAAAATCCCTTTTTCAAATTGAAATCAAGTCATTCATTGCAGGATGTTGGGATTTTGTGGGTATGAAAGTGATCAAAGAATTCAATTTTAAATTTCTAAAGTAAAGTTGGGCTTACCAGATTCACAGTCTTGTCCAGTGTACCCTGCCTGACAGATACAGGTGTAGGAATCAATGGAATTGTCCATGCATGTTGCTCCATTCATACACGGCCCACTCCTGCATGGGCGGATTTCTGAAATGAAATAAATAAAAACATAAATTAAACATAAACTACAAACAAATTATACCACAAAAGATTCAATCCGTGAAGAAAATTTAAAGGTACAGTTTTCCCTTTCTGATTTTTCTTCAATGAAATAAATTTTTAAAAGTGAAATGTCATTATAACTATCAGGAAGGAAAAAACAATGGGAATATTAAAAGAAAAAAATGGAAATACCTGTTTCACAGTTGACACCGGAGTAAAATGCTGGACAAGTGCATGAATATTCATTAGGCATATCTACACATGTTGCATTATTCATACACGGATCACTGGCACACTCACTTATGTCTGTAAAGAAAAGGAATTAAAATTTTCAATGCAACTTTCATGGAAATGATTTCATTGGCAAACAAAATAACTCTACTTATTTTAAGCAGTGTTGTAGGACTGGAGTCAAGGACTCGGACTCGAGTCACATTTTTCGTGACTCGGACTCAACTCGAGTCACATTGGAAAATGACTCGGACTCAGACTCGACCATGATGACTCGGACTCGAGCTTGGTGACCCGTGACTCGAGTCACGTATTTTCATCAGAAGAAAAAACATAACTTGGGGATGGGAAGGTATCATTGAGGAATAATGTTTGGGTTTTTCATGGATGGGAATTAAAAGGAAAACACATTTTGGGTCCAAGCAACATGTACACACACACACAAGGTAAACTATAGGATACACTGGGATTCAGTACTTAAAAGATAGAATGGATGATTGAAAAAATAATGTTAACAAATTTGTTAGTTTTGGTGAACAACCAACTGACTCGGACTCGAGGCTTGTGACTCAAGACTCGGACTCGATGCTTGTGACTTGAGATTCGGACTCGAGGCTTGTGACTAACTCGGACTCGACGTTGGTGACTTGACTACAACACTGAGTTTAAGTACTTCACATGAGTAAGAAATTGATAATACAAATGTCTGGTTTGTTTCCATGTTCACTGCAACTAAGAAACGTTAACAGACCAGCGGTCAATGACATTCAATGGAGATGACAAAAGTAGAAAGGCCTAAGTCCTGAGAATGTTCACACACAAAATAATGCGAGCCAAATAGCTATTCAATTTAACACAATAAAGCACGCATTACAGAAGAGTAGTCGCTTCAAGGTTATCAGCTAATTTTCAATGGCAATATCGACGGCTTTTTTACAAATTGACCTTGCAATGGGGGGGGGGGGCCTATGAGTATCACTTCAGCATTTGCCAAAGGCTGTATATTTCAAAACGTTTTCTCAGTTGCAATAGATCGACAACCTTTTTATAAATTGACCTTGCAATACGAATTTGTAGCGAATAACGAGTGATAGGTTGACTGAATAGACCATTCTATATAGCAATTGTCACTTCTTGTAAATTGTAAGAATTTACTTGGTAATTCCAAGGGGGGGGCAGGGGTTCCACTGAAACCCCCCCCCCCCCCCCCCCTCTTGATAGGTCCCATAAATAAGCTAGTTCTTGGAAAAGGGTGCCCCAATTGATGAATGAGGTTTAGCCAGCCCCCCCCCCCCCCCTGACTATAGGTACCGGTACCAATACTAAATTGCCGACTGACATACTTATGTTATGATTATGTGTAGGTTGTCAGAATAAACCATTATCATGATTATAGCAGCTTTAACTTTTCGTAAATTGTTAGAATTAACTTGGTAAAATGGCCATGGAAATTAACAAAGCAACTGTTAAAGAACTAACAACCCTACCATATGCCCAAATCATAGTTGTGAAATGTGAACAGAAGGGTTCGGAGAATACATGTATGAATGATTTCTGTGAATCACCTACGCTCCAAACAAAACGGCATGAATTAGCCAGTTTGCGTCGAAGGAAGTGATAACACGCACTGGCAGTTTTTGTACTGACGTGTTAAAATGTCAAGATTGCTTCGACTCGCCTCTGGGTGACGTCTAAACACTCTAACTCCTTAATGTCTTTTGTACACACACACAAAGTACGTGAAGTCTTCAGACTGTGTGTTCATCTTAAATGGACGTTGTGCACGGCCAATTGTTGTACAAGTTACGCTCCAGTGCCCACCCTGGAGTAGTGAAACATATGAGGTTTCGGCAAGAAATATCATACAAAATACAAATACTGTTGAAATGACTCTTGCGAATCAGTAGTTGTGGCGTTTGGCAGTATATCCACTCTTGAAATGAGCAGTTGCTACTAACAAATAGAACTCGAAAACAAAGACAAACATAAAACTGCTTTTATCGCCAAGTATGGTCTTTTCGAATACGTGCGCATGCCATTTGGCCTAGTGTGCAACGCATCTGCCACCTTCTAACGTGCGATGACCCTAATACTTAGAGGACTCACTCGGAAAGAGGTCCTGGCCTAACTAGGTAGACGATATAACTATTTTATATAGGTAAGAGCTTCGATGACTCAATTCAGAACCTTGTCAAAACATTAGATAGATTCCGTCCCAATCACCTCAAATTAAAAGCAAAGAAGTGTCACTTACTGCAACAGCAGGAAGTAAGGTTCGCCAAAGTAATTTCAAACACCGGTGGCATGATAGTCGTACACACCTGGCAATCACCATCTTCTAGTAAAGAGGTACATGTAGAACGATTGGGTTTGTTAACTACCGTAGAGCCCACACCACGATTTGTGCAAAGTTAGCTACACCCCTGTAGCTGAATGTCATGTTCCTCTAACCAGGTAAATTTGACCCTTTCTTTGGCGAGTTCCGATGGTGACTAGTCTCACCATTGTAAGGTTGCTGATGAAGGGGACTGAGAGACCATGAGGAACAAAGTACAGCGAGTCTGTTTCCAGGAGGCTTTCAAGAGGGATGTTCTTGGCTACGTCTGTGGGTCCCTTAGACATGTTAGAGGAACATGACCTTGGAACTCACCAGAAAAAGGGTCAAATTTACCTGGTTAGAGTAACATGGGGAGTCAGGATGGTGTACATGTAGCAGTACTTTCCTCGCCTTCCACCGCTGTGACCCGGGTTCGAATCCCGGCCGGGCCAATAGTGGATTGGGTTTTCAGTCCCTGCCTGATTCCGTGGGTTTTCCCCAGAATATTCTTCTGGGCTTTTCCTCCCACCTCTAAAACTGTAATTTCTTCTCATTCAATTCTCTCTACAGATTTCTTCAGGCTTTTGAGTTTACAGTGCCTAGGGCGCTATCTTGGGAATCCTTGGATTCAGTACCAGAAGTAATAAATAAAAATATAAAAATAAAATGACCTAGCTTTCAAACAACTGAAGTCTGCACGTACCACAAGCCCAACTCCATCATTCCCAAGAAGTGACAGTTGTTACAACAACAACAACAACAACAATAATAATAATAATAATAATAATAATGGATACTTATAATGCGCACACACCCACCTAACAAAAGGTGCTCATGGCGCTACAACAGGAACAAAACACGGTAAAACAAAACAAAAACAAAAACAATGTATACTATGTACGGTCTGACAAGCGAAGAACTTATTCTGTGGTGTTGTAGGCTAAATCAACCATTCATTCTAGATACGGTCGCTTCTGATGACACTGCCATTGGAACAGAATTACTACAAGTCCAAGATGGGGTCTAACGGGTGCTTGGCTTCAGTAGTTGTATGTTATCTCCAGCTCAAAAGAAATACCGTATTGTACAACGCAAAAAGAACTGTTTGCAGTTTTAAGGTTTCCCCGGCAATTACCTCGCCACTACCTACTGGGCAGAGTAGTGGTGTAGGATGTTCCCCAACTTACACATCGTCTTAACACTGATCGTCGCTAAGGGACATCAGGGACCCACAGACGTAGCCAAGAACATCCCTCTTGAGAGCCTCCTCCCTGAAACAGACTCGCCTCCTCATGGCCTCTCAGGACCCTTCAGCAATCCTACGATGGCGAGATTGGTCGCTCAAGAAGTTGCCAGAATTCAAGGAATCCCTGAACAGGAAAACTTAACTCTGTGCTTGCTGAACACCGAGAAGATGTACTCCATACCTCAATGAATGGTTTGCAGGGTGCAAAAAAACATTACCACTTTGCGCCAGGTTTACTTTTGCCGAAAATTGCAAAATTTTCAAAAGGCCAAATTTCCCAGCCAACTTCTGATATACAGCCAAATGCCACAAATACTGATTCGCATGAGAGATTTCAACAGTATTTATACGATATTTCTTGCCGAAACTTCATAGGTTTCAAAACTCTAGGGTGTGCACTGGAGCGTAAATTGTACAACAGGCTGTGAACAACGGTCAGCACACGGTCCGCCTCCACAGACCACATGGACTTTGTGTGTGTGTGTACAAAAGGCACGAGGGATTAATAGCATGTTTAGACGTCACCCGGAGGCGAGGCAAGGCAAGGCAAGGCAATCTTGAAGTCTTAACCCGTCAGCCGTGCCTATGCACAAAAACAGCCAGTGCATGTTATCACAGCCTCCGAAGCCAACTGGTTAATAGATCATAACTAAAACTATTTTTTTTATACCTGAAAATGTTTTGATTACTGCATGGATGTATAAATGCAGTATTTTAGCGATAGTGTGCTGAAAGGTATCTTAAATTATTTAATTTCAGTAAGCATGTGATAAGTATATAAAATAAACATGCAAGGTCTAGGTGACCTGTGACTTACATTACTTAACTTCAGTAAGAATGCGATAGGTATACAAACTAAAAATACTGGGTAGATGTGACCAGTGACTAAAGTAATAAGAAACTGCCTTTACTTACTTAAAGATATGCTAGAACCTCTGAAGAAAAATGTCCCAGTTATGCAACACGAATTTAGGGGATTCCAATTTACTTATTTGAACTCCGACTATTTAGTGTCATGGTTATTGTATTTCAGTAAAGGGCCGAGATTTAAGTGGGAAACATTTGACTGGCTTCATGCACATGATATAACATGTTTTGTACTTGTCTAAAAAGAAAAACAAACAACAAAATGGGGGCGAATGTGGTGTGTAGGTAATAAACCATTCAAGCATGTCGTGCTTGTCTGGCACTCCCATGAGTGGCCCAGCCGCGAGACAGTCTTGTGATGAGTAACTTCAACCAGTACGTGTCTCTTTATCGAGTCCCTGTACTGAGTGCTGAGCTACCCGCCCAAGACTCAACCTATCCACCGCCGTGCACCCCACACTGAGGTAACTATAGTACCAATACTACAGCAGAGACTTCACATATTTTTCAAAACGGTTCGCCACCGTCCGTGACTAATGAAAAGTTCACTGGTTTTCAGTTCGCAGCCTACGCAAAGGTGTTGAACCTTTCGGTTTCAAAAGAAATGCATGGGCTGGTGAAGGAAGGTCGATTATCATTCACCAAACAGAAAAGAAGGTGAACGGGAGCTTGGGAAATGGTTTCAACACGTAATTGGGTTGTTTTTGTTATCGAGGATTTATTCTAGTACCAGGAAGGTATGCCGATGGAAACTGGGTTAAATATGTTCAAGCTTTATTGTACATTTTAATGAAAACCGGGACCATACAGTCAGGCTTGATGAAAGCAAATACGAGTTACTAAGGAAATATACATCAGCATGCCAGCAAACTTTTTCAAAAGGAAAATGGTTATTTGTTTCAAAATAAGCTTCCTTGTTAAAAGTGATGACAAAATCGTCGCGTTGCCTTTGTTTACCGCCAGTGTGGAAAAGAATGTAAACTGTCAAGTTCTAACAAAGAAAATTAAGGTACTACTCATGAGTTCAGGCAAATACATCGTCATGAACCTGTTCATTTTTTTGGGAGTTAGGAAGTTGCACTTTAAATTCAAACCTCAGTAGCCCAAACATGTTCCAACAACTTCTGAAAAAATATATATATTAAGCTATAGGCCATCATATTTTATCATGACTCATAACTATGTTTTTGGGTGGGTGTTTTTTTTTTGGGGGGGGGGGTTGGGTTTTATTTTGACTTACCAGTTTCGCAGTCTTGTCCAGTGTACCCTGCCTGACAGATACAGGTGTAGGAATTAATGGAATTGTCCATGCATGTTGCTCCATTCATACATGGCCCACTCCTGCATGGGCGGATTTCTGAGATAAAAGCAACAATTTTCATTACAATAAACACAACAAATGAAAAAGATGAAATAAACAAAACCACGCATTTTTCATTCTGATTTCATTCAGATGACTCATTTTTAAACAGCTCAATGTTTCAATAAGCATATTTTTTTGAAGGAAAAACAAGGGAAATTGAAGGTAAATGTGAAAAGGGAAGAAAAAAGTTGCAAAATACCTGTTTCACAGTTGACGCCGGAGAAAAAGGGTGCGCACGTGCATGAATATTCATTGAGTGATTGCTCACAAGTTGCATTATTCATACATGGACCACTGGCACACTCGTCTATGTCTGCACAGAAAAGAAGCAAACTGTCAAAATTAAAATACAACCCAAGCAGACAACTGCTCTGAAAATAAGCTGGAAACAAATTTGATGTAGATGGCCAAAAGTAAATCACAATATCCAGAGTTTTGAAAAAACTTTCCAAAATGCCTCAAATTAATAATAATAATAATGAAGATTTATGAAGCGCACATATCCACCTATTAAGTCTCAAGGCGCTATAAACACAATAAATGGAATTTACTCACAAACAAAAACATAATACCAATAGAGAGAGAAAACAAATTACAAATTTTCAAATAAAAAACAACATGCACAGCTGGTGTCTTGTGAGAAAAAGGCAGGCAACTATCAATTCCGACCACAAAAGAAATAATGTTTAATTCTCAGACTCAAATATGAACACAATAGAGAAGCAGCATGTGCAAATTATTTTGTTTTACAAGTACAAAGCTAGTATGCAGGTTCTTTTCCTGAAATTGAACAATGAATAAAACTCGATTCACATTTGACTTACCGGTTTCACAGTCTTGTCCAGTGTACCCTGCCTGACAGATACAGGTGTAGGAATCAATGGAATTGTCCATGCATGTTGCTCCATTCATACATGGCCCACTCCTGCACGGACGGATTTCTGCAATAAAAACAAAGAAGATAATTAAAGATCAACGTAAAACAGACCAATATATCATTGATGATATCATCTGGAATCATTTCTCTTTCTGATTCTAAGTATTAAAATGAGACCCATTTTAAACTGCTCAATAGTTTTGTAAACACATCTATAAGGAAAATTGGAAAACTTTTGAGATAAAAGGCAGATATGGGACAAAACATTGGCAAATACCTGTTTCGCAGTTGACGCCGGAGAAAAACGGTGCACACGTGCATGAATATTCATTGATTGATTGTTCACAAGTTGCATTATTCATACACGGACCACTGGCACACTCGTCTATGTCTGCAAAGCAAAGATGCAAACTTTAGAATACAACTTTCACAGAAAACAGCACTGCAGCTTAAACTAGAAACACAGTAGTTATTATCAAAAGCAAAAGCATGTAACAATATCCAGGTTTCAGGGGACAAATATGCCGTTTCCATAAAATACTTGAGAAAAAAGACTGTCGACTTTCAAATCTAACCGATACATATTTATAATTACACTCAGTCCGAGTCTTAAAGTGTACAGTAACAGATCTTTTGCATTTGTATATATGCATGTCTACAATCACTCTAAATAAATCTTCCACCCCCCCCCCCCCCCCCCATCAAAGTAGTTATACAGGGATTTTTTTGGCTGAAATTGAACAATTACAAAAACTTGATTCATTTAAATTCACTTACCAGTTTGACAGTCTTGTCCAGTGTACCCTGCCTGACAGATACAGGTGTAGGAATCAATGGAATTGTCCATGCATGTTGCTCCATTCATACACGGCCCACTCCAGCACGGGCGGATTTCTGAAGTAAAACAAACATGAAACATAAAGATCAAATTTTAAAAAAAAAACATTATATCCTTGACAACATCCGCTGGAAATTATTTCTCCTTCCGATTTTATTTGAATATATTAAAAATATCAAATTTTTAAAAAATATATTAAAAATATCAAATTTTTCTGTAATTATTTCTGGAAGAAAATAAAGTTGGAAACGAAAAGAAAAAAAGTGGTAAACAAAAGGGGAATACAAAAGAGGAAATTACAAGTACCTGTTTCACAGTTAACTCCGGAGAAAAATGGTGCACACGTGCATGAATATTCATTGAGTGATTGCTCACAAGTTGCATTATTCATACACGGACCACTGGCACACTCGTCTATGTCTGCAAAGGAAAAATGCAAACTTGAAAATGCAATCTGAGCAGACAACCGCAATGCCATTTCATCTGGAAAAATCTGTTTTCCTGCTGACAAATACACTTGTCATAAAATATTTCAAGTTTGGAGAAAAGACTGTCCGCTCTGTAAAATCTAAACAAAACAAACATTTGACAAAATGTTTGATTCTAATCATGCGCAAAGTAACAAAGACACTTCAATTGATTACCATTTTCCATCATACCAGACGAATCTTTACTTTTTCATAAAAGTCGTTCGCAGTGTTTCGCTCAAACTGATCAACATTTGATACTTTGCCCTTTTCACTTACCAGATTCACAGTCTTGTCCAGTGTACCCTGCCTGACAGATACAGGTGTAGGAATCAATGGAATTGTCCATGCATGTTGCTCCATTCATACATGGCCCACTCCTGCATGGGCGGATTTCTGAAATAAAAACAAAGAGAATTAAAGATAAATGTAAAACAGACCAAAATTATCATTCATAATATCATCTGGAATCATTTCTCTTTCTGATTCCAAGTATTAAAATAAGACCCATTTTAAACTGCTCAATAGTTTTGTAAACACATCTATAACGAAAATTGGAAAACTTTTAAGATAAAAGGCGGATATGGGACAAAACATTGGCAAATACCTGTTTCGCAGTTGACGCCTGAGAAAAATGGTGCACATGTGCATGAATATTCATTGATTGATTGCTCACAAGTTGCATTATTCATACATGGACCACTGGCACACTCATCTATGTCTGCAAAGCAAAGAAGCACAATTATAAATGTTAAACTTTAACAGAAACCAGCACTGCACTTTAAACTAGAAGCACAGTAATTATTTTCAAAAAGCCAAAGTATGTAACAATATCCTAGTTTCAGGGACAATCATGCCTTTTCCCAAAAATTGTGTCCATATAACCCAAATCTTATGAAAACATACTGGATTTTAAAATCTAATCGATATATATTAATGACACTTAAAGAGTTTAAAAGAGTACATTAAAAGAAATTTTGCGTTTGCATATTTGCACGTTTTCAATCACGCCCCAATTTTTTTTTTGCATAAAAGTAGTTACACAGTTTCTTTTGCTGAAATTGAACAATGAATAAAACTCTATTCACATTTGGCTGAAATTGAACAATTACTAAAACTTGATTCACTTAAATTCACTGACCAGTTTCACAGTCTTGTCCAGTGTACCCTGCCTGACAGATACAGGTGTAGGAATCAATGGAATTGTCCATGCATGTTGCTCCATTCATACACGGCCCACTCCTGCATGGGCGGATTTCTGAAATACAAACAAAGAAGAGAATTAAAGATCAACGTAAAACAGACCAATATCATTGATAATATCATCTGGAATCATTTCCCTTTCTGATTCCAAGTATTCAATGAGACCCTTTTTAATCTGCTCAATAGTTTTGTAAACACATCTGTAAGGAAAATTGGAAACTTTTAAGATAAAAGGCGGATATGGGACAAAACATTGGCAAATACCTGTTTCACAGTTGACGCCGGAGAAAAACGGTGCGCACGTGCATGAATATTCATTGAGTGATTGCTCACAAGTTGCATTATTCATACACGGACCACTGGCACACTCGTCTATGTCTGCAAAGCAAAGATGCAAACTTTAAAATACAACTTTTACAGAAAACAGCCCTGCAGCTTTAAACTAGAAACACAGTAATTATTATCGAAATCAAAAGCATGTAACAATATCCAGGTTTAAGGAAACAATCGCGCCTTTTCCAAAAAATATGTTAGAAAATATACTGTCAGTTTTCAAATCTAACCGATACATATTAATTCCAGTAACACAACATAAAATTTTCTTCGCGAAACTAGTGTGCAGGTTTTTGCTAAAATTGATCAATTAATAAAACTTGTCTCAAATTTGACTTACCAGTTTCACAGTCTTGTCCAGTGTACCCTGCCTGACAGATACAGGTGTAGGAATCAATGGAATTGTCCATGCATGTTGCTCCATTCATACATGGCCCGCTCATGCACGGGCGGATTTCTGCAATAAAAACAAAGAAGAGAATTAAAGATAAATGTAAAACAGACAAATATATCATTGATAATATCATATGGAATCATTTCCCTTTCTGATTCCAAGTATTAAATGAGACCCGTTTTAATTTTCTCAATAGTTTTGTAAACACATCTGTAAGGAAAATTGGAAAACTTTTAAGATAAAAGGCGGATATGGGACAAAACATTGGCAAATACCTGTTTCACAGTTGACGCCGGAGAAAAACGGTGCACACGTGCATGAATATTCATTGATTGATTGCTCACAAGTTGCATTATTCATACACGGACCACTGGCACACTCGTCTATGTCTGCAAAGGAAAGATGCAAACCTTTAAATACAACTTTCACAGAAAACAGCACTGCAGCTTTAAACTAGAAACACAGTTATTTTGAAAATCAAAAGCATGTGACAATATCCAGGTTTAAGGGGACAAATATGCTGTTTCCATAAAATACTTCAGAAAAAAGACTGTCAACTTTCAAATCTAACCGATACATATTTATTACACTCAGTCTGAGTCTTAAAGTGTACAGTAATAGATCTTTTGCATTTGTATATATATGCATGTCTACAATCACTCTAAATAAATCTTCCACCCCCCCCCCCCCATCAAAGTAGTTATACAGGGACTTTTTGGCTGAAATTGAACAATTACTAAAACTTGATTCACTCAAATTTGACTTACCAGTTTCACAGTCTTGTCCAGTGTAGCCTGCCTGACAGATACAGGTGTAGGAATCAATGGAATTGTCCATGCATGTTGCTCCATTCATACATGGCCCACTCCTGCATGGGCGGATTTCTGAAATAAAACAAACATGAAAAATAAAGATCAAATTTGAAAAAACAATATTATATCCTTGACAACATCAGCTGGAAATTATTTCTCCTTCCGATTTCATTTGAATATGACCCATTTAAAAATATCAAATTTTTCTGTAATTATTTCTGGAAGAAAATAAAGTTGGAAACGAAAAGAAAAAAAGTGGTAAACAAAAGGGGAATACAAAAGAGGAAATTACAAGTACCTGTTTCGCAGTTGACGCCGGAGAAAAACGGGGCACACGTGCATGAATATTTATTGAGTGATTGTTCACAAGTTGCATTATTCATACACGGACCACTGGCACACTCGTCTATGTCTGCAGAGCAAAGAAGCACAATTATAAATGTTAAGCTTTAACAGAAACCAGCACTGCACTTTAAACTAGAAACACAGTACTTATTTTCAAAAAGCCAAAGCATCATGTAACAATATCCTAGTTTCAGGGACAATCATGCCTTTTCCCAAAAATTGTGTCCATATAACCCAAATCTTATGAAAACAGACTGGATTTTCAAATCTAATCGATACATATTAATGACACTTAAGAGTTTAAAAGAGAACATTAAAAGAAATTTTGCGTTTGCATATATTTGCACATTTTTAATCACGCCCCAATTTTTTTGCATAAAAGTAGTAACACAGATTCTTTTGATGAAATTGAACAATGAATAAAACTCGATTCAAATTTGACTTACCAGTTTCACAGTCTTGTCCAGTGTACCCTGCCTGACAGATACAGGTGTAGGAATCAATGGAATTGTCCATGCATGTTGCTCCATTCATACATGGCCCACTCCTGCACGGGCGGATTTCTGCAATAAAAACAAAGAAGAGAATTAAAGATCAAATTTATAAGGAAAATATTATATCCTTGACAATATCATCCGAAATCATTTCTCCTTCAGATTTCATTTAAATATGACCCATTTTAAAATACAAAATTTGTCTTTTAATATTTCTGGAAGGATTAAAAGTTGGAAACGAAGGGGGAAAGGGGGAAACGTAAGAGAAAAAAAAGGGGTAAACGAAAGGGGGAAGATAAGAGGAAATTACAAGTACCTGTTTCGCAGTTGACTCCGGAGAAAAACGGTGCACATGTGCATGAATATTCATTGATTGATTGCTCACAAGTTGCATTATTCATACATGGACCACTGGCACACTCGTCTATATCTGCATAGCAAAGAAGTAAACTATAAAATACAACTTTCACAGAAAACTGCACTGCAGCTTTAAACTAGAAACACAGTAATTATTATCAAAATCAAAAGCATCTGACAATTTCCAGGTTTAAGGAAACAATTGCGCCTTTTACAAAAAATATGTAAGAAAATAAACTGTCGGTTTTCAAATCTAACCGATACATATTAATTACACTCAGTCAGAGTCTTAAAGTGTAAAGTAACAGAACTTTTGCATTTGCATATTTGCACGTCTTCAATCATTCCACATAAATCAGGGGTTTTTTGCATAAAAGTAGTTACACAGATTTTCTGGTGAAAATGAACTTGTTTCATAATTGACTTACCAGTTTGACAGTCTTGTCCAGTGTATCCTGCCTGACAGATACAGGTGTAGGAATCAATGAAATTGTCCATGCATGTTGCTCCATTCATACACGGCCCACTCCTGCACGGGCGGATTTCTGAAGTAAAAGAAACATGAAAAATAAAGATCAAATTTCAAAAAAAAATATTATATCCTTGACAACATCAGCTGGAATCATTTCTCCTTCAGATTTCATTTAAATATGACCCATTTTAAAATACAAAATTTAATTGTCTTTTAATATTTCTGGAAGGATTAAAAGTTGGAAACGAAGGGAAAAGGGGGAAACGTAAGGGGGAAAAAAAGGGGTAAACGAAAGGGGGAAAATAAGAGGAAATTACAAGTACCTGTTTCGCAGTTGACTCCGGAGAAAAACGGTGCACATGTGCATGAATATTCATTGAGTGATTGCTCACAAGTTGCATTATTCATACACGGACCACTGGCACACTCGTCTATGTCTGCAAAGCAAAGATGCAAACTTTAAAATCATGCGCGTTTAGCAAACAGCATTGCAACTTATTCCTGAAACACAAATGACAAAAGTAGCTTCACTATATCCAGGTAGGACAAACCAATATTTAAAAACTTTCAAATCAAATCCCAAAATTTAAGATAAATTCTCAGACTCAAGAATATGAGCAGCAGCAATGCAAATTTCAGTCACACAACATAAAATTTTCTTCGCGAAACTAGTGTGCAGGATTTTGCTAAAATTGATCAATTAATAAAACTCGTCTCAAATTTGACTTACCGGATGCACAGTTTTGTCCAGTGTACCCTGCCTGACAGACACAGGTGTAGGAATCAATGGAATTGTCCATGCATGTTGCTCCGTTCACACAAGGGTCACTCCTACATGGACGGATCTCTGAAGTACAAAGCACATTTCGAACACTGTATTTTTTTTCTTAGGATATCTTTCACACTGAACACCTTTCAAATGGCTCCCTCTTTCTGAAAGTATTTCTTGAAGCAAGTCTAGAATAAAATGTCTGCATTTGTAGCATTGTAATAATTGCCACACACAAAAAACACAAATACCCTGAGAAATTCCTTGACATAATTAGGCCAAAGTTGGAAAACCTTCCAATCCTTAAGGCAACTTCTAGGTTCAATAAATTAGTCAAATCAAGTCCTCCAAAATCCTCTTTGCAAAATTGAGGATTTTGCAGGATTGAGCTAGGCTATATGGCAAAAACATGTGGCTGGTTTTGGAGGATGCACTGTGTCAAGGTCTTAGGCCAGAGCTTGTGTTGTTTTTTTTTAGGCCAAGATTATACTTGAAATCCTCCGCACTGTTCCGGGATGTCACTGGCTCTGCCTCAACATATTGACAGTGATTGCTGAAGGATTTTGCAGGATTGAGGCAGTGGTCACCCATCCAAGCACCTCATTCAAGAAATAATGGATGATTTTCTTTAGGATTGAGGCTGTATGCAATTTTGACATGGAGGCAGTTGGAGGATTTCTCAGGATTGAGGTTGCATCCTAGCAAAAATGCCTAAGGAGTAAGGGTTAATGAAGGAAGGGGTGCCAATATGAATTCACCTGTTTCACAGTTGACACCAGAGTAAAACGGTGCACAGGTGCAGGTGTAATTATTGTTGAGTTCTTCACATGTTGCATTGTTCATACATGGGTTGCTATCACACGGATGATCAACTGTGAAAGAAAAGAACCAAACTGTTTAAACTGATCAGAAATCATCAAAAGAGTTGCAATGATACTTTAGTCATCAAATCGTCGCATCAGTGCAACAAGGTCGTATCTCCTAAAATGGCATGGACAACGCAAAACGCGAGTTTTAGAATGTCAAAAGGTTGTATCTCGCTTAAAATAACCCGGATGTACACGCAAAGTCAATGGACGTCGAGATACGACCTTGTTGCATGGAGCGTATTCGCACGAGATACGACTTTGTTGCAGAGTGGAGTTATGAACACAAAACGCGAGTTTTAGAATGTCAAAAGGTCGTATCTCGCTTAAAATAACCCGGATGTACGGTACACGCAAAGTCAATGGACGTCGAGATACGACCTTGTTGCAAGGAGCGTATTCGCGCGAGATACGACTTTGTTGCAGAGTGGAGTTATGAACGCAAAACGCGAGTTTTAGAATGTCAAAAGGTCGTATCTCGCTTAAAATAACCCGGATGTACACGCGAAGTCAATGGACGTCGAGATACGACCTTGTTGCATGGAGCGTATTCACGCGAGATACGACTTTGTTGCAGAGTGGAGTTATGAACGCAAAACGCGAGTTTTAGAATGTCAAAAGGTCGTATCTCGCTTAAAATAACCCGGATGTACACGCAAAGTCAATGGACGTCGAGATACGACCTTGTTGCATGGAGCGTATTCACGCGAGATACGACTTTGTTGCAGAATGGAGTTATGAACACAAAACGCGAGTTTTAGAATGTCAAAAGGTCGTATCTCGCTTAAAATAACCCGGATGTACACGCAAAGTCAATGGACGTCGAGATAAGACCTTGTTGCACGGAGCGTATTCGCGCGAGATACGACTTTGTTGCAAAATGGAGTTACAACCTTGTTGCACTGACGCGACGAAATTTAAGACTCATTGAAAAACAAATTTAGCAAAAGTCAATGGTATGATGTACATTCCGATGAAGAAGTTTATGCCAAAGGTCCATTTCTTGAATGGAAAGAAAATGCAAATTAAATCCTCTCAATGGGTGAAAATTGTAGTTAAGTTCAATCATGACTTCAGTTGTACGTCCAGCAACCAATATTTCACAAGTCAATTCACTTGGTCACAAGCACAAAACCAAAGGAATGCCTTCAACACAGTTCGTTGGAAAAGCTTGTGACTTTGTGCCTATAATTTGTGACCGACTTGTGAGGACTTAGAAGCACTTGTAATGATATTGATTATGTAGACCTACAACAACAAAATTGTTTTTTCGGTTACCCGACTTACCTGGGTTTTTTTTGGGGGGGGGGGGCCTATTTTCCAACCTCAAATGTTTTATTGCCACATTTGGTCCAAAATTTAACTATGGTATATATATATTTCCCTACCCACGTACTGGATAATTTTAGGAGGTGACCGTAAACACACAATTTTTTTTCCAGGCCTATAAACCATGCAACATAGGCTGCTCACAAAGCTATGGTAAAGAATGCATGCGATCATAATGGTAATATGCCAAGTTAGTGGGAGTCTTGATGCTCTCGTGAGCATGATCAATGCTTTCTGGTGCAAATCAGGGCAAGGGACAATGAAAGGGGCTTGGAAATTTCCCTTAACATATTTTTGTCAACAATGTCCCTTACCATTGGTATTGCTTGAGGCTTACATTGCACGTTATTTGGGTTTCACAGTAAATAGAACTGAATTGAATACCCCCTGGGCTAACATGTGGATTGGGTTTTCAGTCCCTGCCTGATTCCGTGGGTTTCCCCCAGAATATTCTTCTGGGGTTTTCCTCCCACCTCTAAAACTAATTGTCTTCTCATTGTCTTCTCTCCACAGGTTTCTGCAGGCTAGCGAGCTACAGTGCCTCGGGCACTTTTGAGGAATCCTTGGTTTCATTACCAGAACTAAAATAATAATAATAATAATAATAATAATCCAAATCAATTTATTTCATTTCTTCTGTGTTGCAAGAGCAGGCCTGCCAACTCTCACGCAATGAGCGTGAGACTCAAGCATTTCAGGTTGTTCTCACGTTCTCACGCACACAGGATTTCTCACGCAAAAAAAATAAATAAATAAAACCCAAAAATGATGTTTAAATGATGATCTTTTGCTAAAAAAGAATTGGTTAAAATGGTCAGAAATTGTTTCAGATCGTACCACAGAGCGTCTAGAATGCAAACTTTTTCGGGCCCTTAAGTGGGCCCCGAACCCACGTCGTTGGCTTTGCGCTCGCATTGGCATATGATTTATTCTGATCAAGCTCCATCGCCAAATTCTCACTCTCAGCGCTTACTCAAAGTTGGCAGCCCTGCAAGAGAGAGAGTAGGTCTCTGATGAAACCCCTAACTGCCATCAAATTTCAAAGATCAAATACGGGACCTGCACTAACTTATTATGTAAAGCCCCAACTAGCGCAACCGATAATAAGTACGACTCAGTAAATTGTATTGTGTTATTGCCCCAGTGTTATTGCCTCAAAATACAATGCCAATATGATATTTTTTTCCATCGTATGTCTTTACAGGTGAAAGATTATCTAACAAGTTTCAATAACACCCCCCCCCCCCCTCCATATTTAACTCCTGAAGAAATATTACCAATTTCACAGTTTCGCCCAGAGAAGCCATGTACACAGATGCAGAAGTAGCGGCCACCGAAATCGATGCAGGCGCCACCATTCCGGCATGGAGATGGGTCGCACACGGCTCCTGTGATGGCAAATTAAAGAGAGAATACACACTAAATAAGAAGTTACACACTTTGAAAGAGCAAACCTACCTATCAACCTACCAGATGCAATTGAGAAAAAATACTGCAAGTAAAACTTGTGCGATCCCCCTGGCATGCTGGCAGTGTTTATACAATCAGTTAGTGTGAGCACACTTTTCAGTGTACCTAACCAAAATCAACAATGACCTCATTTGACCCCTATATGACCTTTGGCCTCAAATGTCTCAAGTTACACTCAATCCAAAAAGAAAGTCCCCCCTTAATACTTTTTTGGCTAACTCAAAGCTACTGGGCACATCTTGCTCAAATTACCTTAGCAATCCAGCCATACTCTTTGTTTGGCCCAAAACAGTGATAATGTGTACAAAATTATGCAATTGATGACAATCAGGTACCCCCCAAAAAGTGGCACTTTTGTATACATGCAAGGTGAGTGTGAACCACAACTTGCACGTATACAAAAGTGCAACTGTTTTCCGGGTATCATTTGTCATAAATTGCATAAATTCGTACATATTATCACTGTTTTGGGCCAAATATAGAGTATGGCTGGATTGCTAAGGAATTTCTGTACTGATTAGTCGTTATTTGAGAGAGAGGTGCTCAGTAGTTTTTGAGTTCGACAAAAAGTGTTGGGGGGGGGGACTTTCTTTTTTGGTTGAGTGCATCTTCAGTCCCCCTACCCAAAGATTGTTGCGACCAAGTTTGGTTGAGATTGAAGTCTGACTTTTCATATGACAGCATATAAACAGTTATCCTTACCAAAATGGAAGACATGGACAGACACACAGAAGGAATATACTATCGCAATATCCCCTTTTTTGGCTTTAAAGCCAGGGGGATAAAAAGCGATGACATACTGACCGTAGAAACAAGTAAATAACTTTTTTACTCAATACTCATGTTGCAATAATTGACCTAACGCCAGTTCTTAAAAAAAAAAATTGACCCTGATATTTTTGATTCTCTCTCCCTCAGGAAATTTAACATCCACAGCCCAAATTTTCCAAAAATTAAATGGTAACGATTTCCATGAATTTAATTAGGAAAATGTACAAAAAAGAATCAAACAGTCCACATTTTCAGATATGAAAGGTGTCCACCAATCCAAAAGATTCCTAAACTTCCCTATTAACACTAGCCATATGGCTTATTTTTTAACCCTAACTGCCCTGAATCTTTTAAAATCCTCTTTGCCAAAGTGGAGGAATTTGGAGGATTGAGGCTACATGGCAAAAGTGCATCACTGATTTTGTAGTTGTCAAAGTCTTGGGCCGGACCTTCTGTTGTTTTTGCTCAGCCATGCATTAATATAGGCCTGGATTATGCTTGAAATCCTCTGTGCTGCTCTAGGATGCCACTGGCCAAAACTCAACATATTGACAGTCACTGCCGCAGGATTTTGCAGGATCCAGGCAGTGGTCACTCCTCCATGCATGGACCATATTCAAGAAATAATGGAGGACTTTGCAGGATTGAGGCTATGCTATTTTTCCATGAGGCCAATTGGAGGATTTTGCTGGATTTAGGCTACATCCTAGCAAACAGGCCTAGAAAGTTGGGATTAATGAATTTGTCTTTTATCAGACTTTGTTTTCAGATTGTGGATACAAGACTGATGGATTAGGATTGTCTCTTTTTTTAACAGTATATTAGATCGAGTTGCCCACTGCATTTTTTGTGATCAGTGGGCCGTCTTTCAACTTACTGGGACGCACCAAACCCCGCTCTGGTATTTCACACACTGCGCTCCCCTTTATTGACATTATATGCTCAGAGCTGTACAAAATGCACTTGTGATCATGGTGATGGGCATGCAGGCATGGAAATCTCCCAGAACAATCAGTAATTTCAAAATCGGGTTGAATGCTTTTTAAACCCATTGGCACATACCGCTGTCCCTACTACACACTTGTGTGACCGGCCAGACTTAAAGCGAATATACAACATTTGCAAACATCGAAAAATAAAACTACCAAGTTTTTAAGAAATACCTTACTATATAGGATGTTGGTAAATAAGAGTCTAAAGCATCCTGTAAAATTATGGCACCTGGTGTGAAGTCCTTTTCAAGAAAATGGTATTTTTGTATACATTTCCAACGGTGGTCGGCCGACCACCGTTGGAAAAACCTAACTATATTTCAACTACTGCTCCAAATTTACCTTTTTTCAGTCCAAATTTTGTTTGGAATTTGTTACATGTTCATGAACGGGTGCAGGCCAGCTAGACTGGTTCCCCTACCTTACAATTTTCTGGCAACTATAAATTGATCCATTTCATCTTTAGTGGAGTCAGGGAACCAGACTACTTGAACAATTTTGTTTTTCTTGGTTTTTCCAGCATTTTCGAACATAAAACTTCAAACATGTCAGTGTAACAATATTTGATATTATACTAACCCCTCAAATACTCCATTTCTGAAAATTACAGCAAAAGCCAATGATGTACATTCCCTTTAAATTCCTGTAATTATGCTGCCAGGTCCCGTCTGTAAAATGTTTCTTTGTCGATGTCTTATATTTTTAACACAAACGAGTGATGCGAAAGTTGTCGAAGCATTGCAAGCGCTCTCTTGTGTTTTCCATGAATATTCAACTATTCAATCATCAATTGAATATTCGAACAGTTTCTTGCTGGTTTGAATATTTGTAAACAAAAATGTTGCACACACACTGTGCTGACACATGACTGTGATGTTATTTTTGTTACGGTGCTTTCATTATCAGGTGCCACTTGTTTCGTTGATGGTCACTTTTTTGTCGATGCTGGTTATTTTTTCCCATCCTTTTAGCAGGTTAAAGCCCTAGACAGTGATAAAATACTGCAAAACACTACAGCAGCCCATACTTTTTACTGGCGCAACTTTTTACTGGCGCGCTCTGCGTGCAACTTTTGTGTGCCAGTTGCAGCTGGCAGTTTTGAATATCCGAATATTAGTAGGTCAAATACAGTTTCGAGTAATCGAATACCAAATTGCATGTAGTCGAAAATGGACATCAGCCCTAGTACTACAAGTGTATTTTTGTTCTCCTTTTTTTTACTCCCTTGCGAATCAAACAAAACAATTTACTGCTTGGGCAGTTTGGGGGTGGTACAGTACAGGGAGTAATAGGCAAACATGTTGATTGAAAACACCAATTCTACTGCCATACAATTCTAACAAAACTGTAATTGCTCGACAAACATGCAGTAAAAATAGAAACAAACTCCGTCAACAGCTTTATAAGCCTACATTGTAACTTGCTACCCACACTACAGGAAGTAGTTCTTGTTGAGCGATGATCGTTTTGATTTTGACATTGTATTCCTGAGGTTTATACAAAGCCACAATTGGCACTCCTACACGTCTCTGCTAGTCAAGGCCCTTGCGGTACAAATTCCTCTTTTAAGTTTTCCGTTGGGGGAAAATTTTAATGGTGTTGTACTGGACTTTGGTTGACTGTCCTTTGATAAAGCCATCACCTGCCAAAAGAAGCTGTCAGCTCACATGGAAGATGTGATCATTCAAACCAATAAGGCAGGATTGCACAGTCGATTGGTTACAGTAAAAGACTACAGAAATAATACACTGGGTGCTATTGAGTGTTTACGGTACATCAAGTACACAGTACACCCAACCTTGCCCTATTGGGAACCACAAAGAAGTACAAAGTATTGCAAAGTTGTATTCCTGGAGTTCTCACCTCATCTTTGAAAGGCTCAGCTTTCTGTTGGTGTGCTATGCTCGGAAAACAACTCTTCAAGCATGGTGTTTGACAATGTCAAAATTTATATTCTCTTTCAGCACTATTAAACGTGCCGCACTTCGAAACTTACCCAACTTTCCTCGTACATGTAGTGTTGCCAAACCTAGTTGTTGACAAACTTCAAATTCATGCAGTGAAATACTAGCAACTAGTACTTTTACCTTATTAATGCTTGCTATTTAGCCTCTGTGAACAATTTCGGTTTCATAAAATTTAATCCGAAATTAAAAATAACGGTCGCGTCCGGAAATTGGGAACAAATTTGCAGAGTGTTCCCTAACGTCGCGCACTTAAATAAATCTCGGAAAATTCCAAATTAACATTTAAGAATTTCTGTAAACTTGATAAATTCTGATAAATAATTATTATCTCTACTTACATACCCATCCAGATGTTTGCCAGAAAATTAATTTCATATTTTTCAGGGCATTTTCAAAGGGTTCACCGTTTGCACTTGAAAATAAAATCGGAAAATCATGCCAAAATAAATTTTTCTTCTTCTAACTTTGTAATGAGTAAATAAACTCGCGATTTATGAACGGGGGTGTTTAGAACTTGATGAAATTTCACTTTCTGTGAAATTTCAGTGAAAACTTTTCCTCTAGCTAAAGCGAAAAATCAAAGTGCGCCACGTTAGGGGCCGCGCCACGTTAGGCCTTAGGGTACATCAATGCATGCAATAATACAAAATACCATGGTACTAGTAGTAGTAGCCTACGTAGGGCCTACAAAAAAACAAATCATGAAAACTTTCCCCAGCATCGAACAAATTTAGGAGGATAGGGCCTAAGATAAGACGGCCGTACCCAACATAATTTTTTAAAGAACCACAACATAATTTCAGTAACCTGATGTCGCACCGTTCTACAGCTGCCGTGTAAAAGCCGTGTCGTTAGGCCTTCCATGGAGGAATCCTCCATGGGCCTTCTATCTTCTCAACGATAGTGAGCTAGAATCTACAAATTTAACAAAAATTAATGATTTGATTCGCCCGCCAAGACATTGTTGTCGTCTGCTCCACGTACTGCATGCCAAATGTGCAAAGATCATTTAACCGAGCCCCTTCTTACACAAAGTGCGTATTTCACGTCGGGTACGTCTGGGTGTCAAACAAGTGCACAGCTTTTTTAAACCTCGGGTTCGTATCTGTTTTAGATGAATTGAAGAACTCTGATTAGAGGGTCTCTTGCACACCTGGGTTCAAGTTATGTTTCAAGAACATCAAATTATGTATTTCTTTTTAAGTATAGAAGCTTTGTTATAATGATTTCAGAGGTCATAGCCTGAAAAAGCTTCAAATGATTCTCACACCTGGAATGAAGCCATGTGTGCCAAGAGGCCGAAGATTAAAATACATTCCCGAAACCGGAAGGGCGACGTGCATGGGATGCATGTTGTGTGAAACTGTTGCAGATTATTTTCAAATTTCAAATGACGTAAAGTAAGTGGTCCCTATGCAGCTGCGGCGTCGCGTGGCGTAGCCAGCTGGGGGGTGATTGAGTTGATATGTTTTTAACTTTATATATTACAGTGTCAGCTTTTTTCACGAGTGCCCTTGAACGTTGCGCTCGATGATCGTCGGAGGTGCTGGCCAAAGTGACCGGTGAACTTGCGACCATGTCGCCAGTCTTTTCAGGTCTAACCCCCCCCCCCCAACAAAAAAATTCAATGACCTTACAACGTCATTGCGTCAACTCAGGTATATTTTGGCCCTTCTATTCATGATTTTGAATAAATCACTATTTTGTAGAGAAGAGAAGATCGAGTTTGGTATGGTGGGTGGGTGGCCGCGACACCACAGGAGGTCATGCATGGTCAGTCAGTCAGGGTTGAACGCCAGTGGACCAAGGTAACTGGTCAACTTTGAAAAGCAAAAAAAGGGAAGGCAAAATGCAAACACGATAGACAATATATTAAAAATGAAACTTCGCGGGCACCGTACCGATCCAGGGTGAGACAACCCGAACGAATTCAGGCAGGCTCGAATATAGGTATTGGGCCTGCATGCAGTGCGCCGATAGTTAGGGCCTATACCAAAAAAACTGGTGCCTAAAAAAACATGAGGGACATGAAAATACACAGTGTGCTGCCGCAACAGACTTTTTGAGGTATCAGTTTAGACTGGCTTGCTTTAGTTGCTTAGCCCCCTTTACACAGGGCTGCTTTGGGCCTCATAAGTCTTGTGCGACCATGAAACTGGCCAGTTCGCCGTTGGAGGCTCAAGGGAGGCCGAATGGTTGCCTATATAGGTCGTTCAAAGGTGGTACACAGGACTGATGTTCAGACATCGCCATGGATGCCATGGTTGCCGTAAATTTTTGAACATGTTCAGAACAGTCGCAAGGGTCGCCGAGGAGGTTGGTTGCTCAAAGGTGGCTCAAGTGAGGCAGAAGGCAGGCACAAGCATTTATTGCCGTGGTTGCAGAATGGATGCACAATGGTCGGCCAATGGTCGCCACGTCATAGATCCGTTCTGTTGGAAATTCAATCTGGGCGAAGCTTAATCTGCCTCCCTTGTGCCTCCTTTGGCCGACCAATAGCGTGCACTTGAACGATGACTGTGGCGACCGGCGCTGTGCATCCATTCGGCGTTGGTTGCCGTAGGTTGCACAGGGGAAGCAGAGGGGAGGCAGGCAAGTGGCTCAGTGGACGCACAGGTCGCTCGGCGTAGCTCGACATGAAAATGCCCGAAAATTGCAGTTTTGTTGGTTCAATAGCTCCATAGTTCAAGGGAGGCACAAGGATCGCTGGAGCAGTTATATTTTACATAGAAACAGGATTTTCTGGGTTTAGGCGACCATTGAGCGGTCTGGTCATTTTTTGGTCGCTCATAGGTGGTACAAAGGTCGCAGCCCTGTGTAAATGGGGCCTTAGTACAGCAATAAGCATCCACATGAATTAATTGGTGCTGGCGTAGTGCCAATGCGAAACACTGGTGCTATATAGGGCATAATGGAATACTTTATCAGGCCCTGGAATCATAGGCAAATCAATCTTTGTCACTTTTGCTATAGACCCACAGGTTCCACAGGCTGCGTCCAGAAGTATAACAAAGTCACAAAAAACACCGACACTGGACTATTTTTTTCCCGGCAGATTGTGGACTGACCTGGCATGTCACATGATAATTATTGTCCCGTGATCGAGATCTTTTTTTTTGGAAACCAGTTTAATTGAAAGCGATTAATTTAATGATTTTTATCTCAGTGCCCTTAATGTTACTCTGCCGATGGGCACATAAACCACGATCAATTATCAACCGAGTTCTCCACGGGGTCGAGAAGTTTAGCTTTGTTCTCTGCTTCTCCAGCATCCTTTTTCCTCATTGTAATCCTATCATGCTCTCATATTCTAAGGCCGTGTTTAGACCTATCAACCTGATTACTGTTTCGCCTTAATTAGTTCAAGTCGCCAATTAACCCTAACACTATATACCTCTATAACACCCACCCCAATGCATATAGGCCTATCGCCGTGCTCTCAGGATCTTGACCCGTGTCAGCCCATAATCCCCCATTGTGATCCAAAGATCTGAAGATTGGTGACTCACAGTCTAGCCCAAGACAGCGTCCTCATTTCTTGTCAAGAGCTGTGTGTCTGAGTGAAGCTCAGACCTTGACATAGCCGTAGCTTTAAAAGCCCGTTTTAGATACGGCCGGGCCTACAGACTCCGTCTACTTTATGCAATGGAGACGAAGTCATAGCCTGTTGACGATTTGTGTTCGGCAGATAACAAAAAAATACTTCAAGTTGTATTATAAATTACTGTGAATAGCCTATTGACGTTGCAGGCATGCACGGACCGTCATTTTGGAGAGGAACACTGCCGCCTCTATAGACAGAAGACCCCTGGACTCTCCCAGGCCCGTAATGCCACATCGCGCAGGCCGTTTCTATTCAAACTCAGTTTTTCGAAGGACACTGCTATTCCAAAATATCATAAAAGAACCTATAAAAAATGGTTTATCACCTAGTGACAAAATGACGTGCTAAATGGGAAAATTATCTCAAGATGATTATAGAGTTTCACTGCTCGTGTCATTATAAAAAAAGAAATCAGCAAATCATGGATACATGTACTTAAATTGCCATTTAATGGACTCATGCCTACACACAACGCACACGACATTTTGAAGACCCCTTGTAGCTTTGTATCGGGTATAGGGCTGGGCTTTAGACGCACGTGTGACGAGGAGGTCGATATGGCGAGAGATGTTGGCGTTCACACTGCAATGACCGATTGATCAATAACCGCCAAAAAAACATGGCTATATGAATGAACCGACCAGTAACGTTTACGTAACACAACATCAGATTAAGTAATAGAATCAATATTGCGCAAACCAGTGAACGTGTTTAAGTACTGGTATTAAAGGACCACACTCGCTCCTTATGTAAACTACGGGTATTGTATACCACTACAGCATTAAGGAATGCATGCTCGATCAGAACTGTTTGGAAGGAGCTTTACTCTCATTTCGAGAGAAAAAAAATGGAAGGCAAAAAGTGATTGTAGTGATGATGTAAACACAAGATGGGCAATATCGATAATTAATTTCCACATTTTTATTGTCCGGGAGATACGTATTGATATTTTCTGAACTCAAAATGAATACAACATGTATAGCTAAGAATAACGACCATAGTTTTTATATTGCTATAAGACAAATTACTCCCAAAAAAAAAGAAAAAAAGAAAAGAAAAAGACCAAAATGGTGTTTGCATTTTTAACTTAGGCGTTGTATAACTTGATATCAACGTGTTGGTGATTTGTGTTCGGTAGATAAAAAAAATCTGATGTGATGCGGGGTAGCCGTTTGGTTGGAGTATAACGATAAAGATCCAGATATTAGATTATAATATCCAATGCATAAGCTACACAGTACGTCTTTTGTTAGCCTTTTGTCCCTGGTAGTCAAGACCTGAATAGCCCTTATAAGTTATGGGCAATGGAAAGAATGTATAGCAGACGCCACTTCTTTGGTTTTGTAAGGTCTATGGAGAGTTGCATGCATTTTTAAAGTATTTTCCAACAAAATTGGAAATGTTTCTCAATCTCAGTCCCAGATTCATGTCTTTTCCACATTTTGGTATGACTGACCTTCATTGAGATTTTAATGGTAAAAGAAATGGGTCAGGATGCAACATTCTTTTCTATTGTTACCGTAACACCGAACAAATACTTTCATCCACTGAGAAAGAAAAAAAATCATATAAATATGAATAACCAGCGAGATTTATGACATTATAAAAATCTACGGGCGCCCTGTTTAAAAATGGGAACACAAACCATGGAGCTATAACTGTTTATAGCTCCGTGGTCAAACAAAATAATGGAGAAAAATTGTTTACAGTGAACATTGGCACAGTAACTATTTTATTTTGGTCTTTTGTGCGCGTGGTTTTTTTTTTAATAAATTTTTTGCGGAGGTGCCGAATTATGGATTCAAATTGGAAAGATTCCCATATCTGGCCATCACTTGCCACCCTGTGCACAAACCCTATGGGACTGGTCTGAATTTTTTTTTTTTCTCAGCAAAAATTCAAAATTTGTGCCTGCTAATTTAGACTTTTTAGGATATATTATCACTTTCTGATGGCTGATAGGTCATTTAAGGGAAAATTTACTGATGGCCAGATATGGGAATCTTTCCTTGAAAGCGATTGACCATTGCTGCACACGCTTCTCCGATCCACTGCCGATTCGATTCGCTTCTCACGTGCACCCTTTGATGCAAAGTAAAATGGGCGTGCTGCAAATTAGCGAAGCTAAAAAGAAATCTTGTCCAATGCTTGGAAGCTGAACTTTGCAATTACTTACCATTGGCAATTCCTGTGTTTCCTGCCAGGCAAGCGGCCAGGAGGAGTATAAATCCCAGCCAGGAATTCATGGCGGTGTAGGGGTGTCGGCCCAAGGTAGAAGTCCAACACGGCACACCTAGCTTGCTCCCAGCGCGTGCAGTGATGATGACGATGACCCCAAAACGCACGGGTAACTTTTTCTTTTGGTACTCCAAAAAGCCGGTTTATTCACTCGCTTCCCGCGTGGTGATTTCCAGGGACGATCATTACAGACTCTACTTCATTTGACGCCCCCTCAACAACCGCGTGATGGTTTACTCCCATTCATACCACCGACTAGGTACTTCCCACCGACTCTTACTTTTGTTGTGCAAATTTCCCTTTCTTAGTGAGTGGCACGCTGGGCTTGCGTTGGGGGTGACAATGCAGAGGATTGAGGGGTATGGGACATGCTTCGGTTACGTCCGCGAAGCTTTGTGGTTAGGTAATCGCCCACCTAGCAGACATGAATCCGGTGCAAGGAGTGACCCTGACAACTAAACCACAAGAATTTCATTTTTGTTTAATGGTTACCACTCTTTGAAAAAAAACACCACATTTTAATTGAACTTTTCTGAGGAATTTGACCTTGAGGTCGTTTCCGGCAACTGTATCCAAAAGCCTGAAAATGAGCACCAATATCCAACATTGGTGTACAATGATCGCCCGAACGATTGAAATCATTTCGTCACTGTGAGGCCTCCTTAGTTGTGAAAATTGTAGGCCAGGTCACCGGATTCAAGAGTATCATTTCACGCCGAGGGGACATCAGGTTAAATCCCGCTGAAGGAACAAACAGACAACAAAGTGCAGTCCGTAAAAAATACAAAAAAGGTCTTTTGCTTCAATTTCAAGTCACGTACTTTTTCGCAACAATGCATCATCCCATGAAAAGCAGTCCAGTTCTTTTCATCATCATGAGTGCATTGGTCGCTCTGTATATCCATTCTGTGTCCATAAAAAGCTATTACCCACAATTCTTTCAATTCCTTCTACAGCTTTTTGGGAGGGGACACTCGGCTTAGGACCCCTCCCCTTGCGCCCCGCCCACTCCCAAAACCCACAATTCAATGCGCGACATATACCTTTGTTGCATTGGAGCATGTGGAACACGGAACAAGTCTTTATGAAAAATTATCTCATTTCTTCAAAGCAACAACGACGATGCGCCAACAAAAAATCAATCACTATACAAAAATCGGATTTGTTAAAAAAAAAAAGTTGCACTGCGAAGTTCATTGCACCAGCCATGAATGCAAAGAGAAACCTTTGAAGTTTCAAGTACAATATGATGATTGTTACGATGTAAATGACTCAAGTCATAGTTACTGTCGCTTAGAAATAGTTTGTCGACATCGAACGAACACATTTTCTATCATTTTGAATAACTTTGATGGTAGTAAAGAATGATTTTGAAAGAATCCCGCTAAGCACAAAAGTTGCACTTAAACTAAAGAGGGCGCTATTTTATGTAAATCACCCGCGTTCGTCGCTAGTGACAACGCAATGTGTAGGGCCGGGGTGTGTACAACTTTATTCAACAGGTGTGCTGCAGATCGCGCGAAACCATAATTTTACTCAAATTTTAATAAACAAGGACTAACAATTTAAGGATCATAGAAGGCTTACATTTTCGTGTCCAAGAAGTAGTACAGGGACCGCCTTCTGGGTTTATCTTGTCTGAGAATGGCGGCGGTGAAGACTTTTCAGGGTGCACCGTTCGGAACACAGAAATCACGGTAAGGCAACTCAACTCGTCACGCTCATCCAATTCAACCTAGTCCGAGGAAAGGTTTACTATTTTGTTGTGTATTCCTGGGCTTATTCAAGACTTGTAACGTAGAGATCACAACAAACAATACCCATAGGTTTAAAACTAAAAGACGTGATATAGTTTATAATTTACAAAATAGCCTGTTATTGTTATTGTTAACCATAACATAACAGGAGCGTATTTTGTTTGTTTTTGACTGGGGGGGGGGGGGGGGGGAGTGTCACCTCGCTATGGTCACGGATGAGTGAATATAAGTACTTAAGTTATATAATTATTTTATAGTTTAAGACCCTGTTACTCCCTTAACCTTAACAATAACATGAACATTCATCCTATGTTTCTGTCCCTTGTTGCTCACGAAGACAGGGTGTCGTGAACACAATTGATCATGTTAATGAGGCATAGGCCTATTTGTTGTATTTGGTGCAGGTTTGATGTGTCCGGTGTGCATCCTCAGAGTAAGATGCCGGGAACCTACACCCAAGTCTGGTATGACAATAAATCTATGACACCATTGGTAAGACAACCCTCCTTATTTAACAACCAATTTGTTTGAACTAAAACTATGAGCATAAGCAGAGGAAAGTGTCTTCGGAAATAATTTATAAATTATAAGCCCTGGCTCGCCAAAAGTTTTCATCAAGCCAAAGGCTTCGTGGCGCCTTGCAAAGAATGTGGCATATAATTATAATATAACTTATAAAATTATGTATAATGAAATTATTTGAAGAATTAAAAAAACCTGAAAACAATGAATAAGGAGCTAGATCAAAATAAGATACTTACAATGTACAATCACTATTTACTGCATAAGTTTTGGTAATTTGAAATACATACAAAAAGAGTCTGCTTGGACATTTGCCAGGATGACAAAATTAATGCGCTGACTTTACACGTGGTTCTTTTACCGTAGTTTTGTTGGTTTCAACCATTGCATCTTTACTTTTGCAGAAGAGAAAACTTGGACCGGGTACCTATCAAGTGGAGGTGGGAACCTTCAGTCAGAACGCTGTGGACAGCAGGGCCTCGGGGCCGGGCTGGGCTAGGGCCTATGAGACGGCTCGCATGGCTGCCCTGCCACATCTACTACACAAGGACCAATGGGAGAAGAAGAAAATGCTGGTAAGTCATCTGGTCTGAATCACCTGGCTAGTGGCTACGGCTAGTATATTTACACATGAGTCTACAGCCGATAGACATGTGGGTTATTGCCGGCCTTGTATTGCCAAATAGGCCATCAGGGGTCACATGACTGAGGGAGGGGGAGGAGCTTAGTATATACTTCTAGAGGGAGTGACACAAGAGCTAATTTGATTGTAGGCACCTTCTCTAAGTTAGCAGTGACGTATTCTTGGGAATTATAAATAATGAACACCTTACACAAAAAGTGAGTAAATTTCCAAAACTCAAGCTTTGAGATATTAATGGAATAGATGAGAATTGAAAATTTGTGAAAAGATCAAAACTGCTTTAGTGATAAATAAATGTCGAGGATAAAATGAAATGTCTATTGAGAAGGGTTTACTTACAAACACGTGACTTGGTTGGAGCAAGTCCACTTTAACTCTGAGGAAAGCCAGAAGGAGATACCTAAAGGCAGGGCAACTTCTTAATCGTGGGACATCTTCGGGCCACTTGCCCCTCGCCCTTTATGTTACATCCCCACTCCCCCTTTTGGGCACACCCTCTTTCCACCTGTCGGTCAAACAGTGTGCACTGACAAATCAGGTCACGACTTTTGATCATGGAACCAGGATATAGCTCTGTCAAACTCAGTCACAAGCACCGACAGACGCGTCTAGACGTGTACACCAACCGAAGGTGGGCAGGGACTTGTAACCCAATCTGGAACGATCCATAATTCGTGATTCATAATTGAACCTAATGAAACCTTTCTCAATTGGAAATCTGACACTCACAGGTAAAGAACCTTGGACCGGGGACGTACAACATCAAAGATTTCCTGCAGCTGATCGACACCCAGCCTCGGAGTACCCGGGGAATCTGTCAGACTCGGGAGAGACGATTCCGAGGCACGGCAACGGTAAGCTACCATCCAGCATGACATAATCTACTAACGAGATACTCACTAACAGACTATCACCTGTGTGCCAGGCAGTGCTATCGTATAGGGTTACCTTGCTGGCCCCAGAGGGCCAGCCTAGTGTTCCCTTTGTATCTATCTCACTTACAGACTATCACTTGTGAGCTGGGCAGTGCTATCGTATAGGATTACCTTGCTGGTCCCAGAGGGCCAGCCTAGCATTCGTTTTGTACCTGTCTCACTAACAGACTGTCACTTGTGAGCTGGGCAGTGCTATTGTATAGGATTACCTTGTAACGCCAATCAAAGGGCTAAATCCGGCCCATTGTATATAAACAGATGCAGGAAACGACTTCCAGTGAATAGCCATTCTGAGTCGATTAAATAAAATGGGCTCTGGAATCAGCTTTGGGTCATGGCATGCCTTGTTGGAAAGTTTGCAGTTTATAAAGTTTTGTCAATATTGACAAGTGAAAAGGGACTTTGTCATCTGCTAACTAGCAGAAGGGCATACTGCTACAGTTTTATAAAGTTGGCAAAACTCGAGAAATAGAAATAAGCTATCACTATTTGTATTATCTTTATATTTGTGTTTATCATATTTATTTTTCTTTGTTGACAATTGACATTTATTTTCTACTTTTGTTTACATGTATTTGCTTATTTATTTTTGTTTACAGAGTGAGGTTCCTGGTCCAGGCACGTATGGCGAGGGCGGTATACCTCACACTGCCGTGGAGAAGAAATCCAAAGTCTCTGCCAGTACGATAGGTCTACTAGACGCTGGGTCATCCACACCAAGACATCTACCTTCTGTGGTTTGTATTTCTTACCATTCCTCCGGAAAAACTTCTTAGACTACTCCCACCCCATCCCCACCCCACCCTCACCCCAACACACCCCCAACCCTACCCCCCAAAAATGAAAGTTTTTACCCGTGAAAAACACATTTGTTGACATCACAGTCGAATGAAATTTGTAACATTTGTGTTTCACTGCATTGTTTCGCAGACTTGTGCTTCAACTCTAAAAAATCCAGGCAGGATATTATGTCCTCATTGTGATGCGATGAAGCTAAATGAGTCGTTTGTCGGGAATGTTCATTTGGAGATACAGGCCAAAATAGGGCCACTTCATCACATCACGTCATCACATCTCTTGGTGTTCCAACTTCCATAATTTTTGAACTAAAGATGGTATCAGCATGTGCTTTTCACATCAGTAATGCTGAGATTGTGCTCTTTTCAAATCAGTAACAAAAATGTTTTTGACCAGGGTCGACAAACGACTCCTGTAGCTTGATCGCATCACATTGTTTTTGTGTTCTCGTGCTGGACACTTTACATCAATTGCCTCCTTGTGCTGAGTAGAGGGGTGCTTGCTATAGGGTAATTTGCCTAAAATGTTTAACTTGTTTAGTTTGAGAATTAAATGAGATTTTATCAATACAGAATTGAGTAAAAAAAAATATTTTAAAATTTTTTGGAATTAAAGCGAACTTTTTACGCTTGCTTTGTTACCAGGGTTGCGAGTTGGGTCCCGGGACGTACCAGACACAAAGTTTCACCGACGAACTTGCCAAGAAAGTGACGAGTGTGAGAGGTCCGTACGATCTGTTTACAGGAGATCGAAATGCTACAATCAAGACCGGTCATCTAGCCAAAGCAGTGAGTACTTGATTCTCTTGAATTTTAAAGAGTCTCCAAACTTGAAGGATTGGAATAATTCACTGAACGTGGTTACGGGAATTTTTTTTTCAATGGCAAATTTCATCCCTGAGATGAAACAATGTCATGGTTTTTCATGCACTCTTAAATGTTTACATTTATATCAACCTGTTATGTTTATTTGTTAAACCATTTATATTCACTCACCGATGACTCAATAAAAATATACTATGCGTTGCGGGAAGACACAAGGAGTAACAAGCAGGGCGGTTTGGGGCAGTTCAGGGAGTAACAGGGTGGTCTGGGGCGGTACAGGGAGTAACAGGCAGAGCGGTTTGGGGCAGTACAGGGAGTAACAGGCAGGGCGGTTTGGGGCAGTACAGGGAGTAACAGGCAGGGTGGTCTGGGGCAGTACAGGGAGTAACAGGCAGGGCGGTTTGGGGCAGTACAGGGAGTAACAGGCAGGGTGGTCTGGGGCAGTACAGGGAGTAACAGGTAGGGCGGTCTGGAGAAGTACAGGGAGTAACAGACAGGTGGTTTGGGGCAGTACAGGAAGAAACAGGCAGGGCGATTTGGGGCAGTACAGGGAGTAACAGGCAGGGCGATTTGGGGCAGTACAGGGAATAACAGGCAGGGTGGTTTGGGGCGGTAAAGGGACTATTGTGTTACATTAGGTACCAATTTTGGTTTTGTGTTAATTCCATTTTTTCTACATTTCTTTCCTTTTTTCTTTTTTAGGGTCAACATAATTTGGGTCCTGGTCAGTACAATCTGAAATCTTTCGTAGGCAAGTGGGACGACGAACATCACAAGTGGCAGGGAAGATTTGGCAAACATTCCCAGTATCCAGACAGGCCGACGGAACGATTGAACTGCTCTACGCTGTCACAGTGGCCCAGATGCCAGGTGAGTTTCTCTCCACTTCAGTGTTGCAGAGATGCCAACATTATAAAACTGAAAAAGACTAATTTTCCATCAGACACCTGCTGAAAACAAGAAATTCCCTACACAACATGAAACCTGTTGAAAAATCGTCACAACGATACATATGTTGCAGAAGGCATATTTTCCCCACGAACAAATTTCACAATAAAGTCCCAATTTTTGCTGTATTCATCTTTAAACTTCTGGTAAAATGAAGCCATCGTTGTTTGTTCTTCAAAAAATGAAAAAAAAACTATCACGTTCAATTGCCACAGAAAAATGTGAGCGTTGCAATTTCCGTGGATTGCATAGTAGGGTACTCGGGTACCCGATTCCATTGTACATGGCTATAATTGACCTATCACGGTAAAACCACGTTAGAATCGCGTCAACGCAGCTTGTGAAATATTGTCCAATTGCATGACATGCAAATGGACGCGAAACTCGCAAAATCTAAGACAAACAAAACTTCGTGTACAAAACTCCATAGGGTTGTCTAAGCGTCGTGGCTAACTTGCAACCGGTGAAAGGTCAATAAGCCTCTGTGCTAATGATGTCACACTTTGTTTACGTGTGTGCTTTCCTATCGTGCTCAGTGGACCGTGGGCCCCCACTGGCTCCATAGGAAAGTGCACATGTAAACAAAGTGTGACGTCATTAGAACAGAGGCTTATTGTGATCGAACTTGTGATTGCACTAGGGATGAACTATTTGTTTCCAGTTTTTACATCATAAGTGATTTTATTGTTTTCCTTTATGATTCTTAGAGTGAGCCTGGTCCCGGTAGTTACACAGCCAGGGAACTCACCAGAGTGGAAGGCAAGAACCTCCCTCCGTTTATCTCCTCAGCTGAACGATTCGACAAGCGAGCCCGCAAGTTCTTCACGGGACAAACGGTGAGTCTCTAATGAAATCAGTCCTTCATATCGCTGAAGGACGGACCGACTGACCGACCAAATGAGTTGATTGACTGAGCCAATGACTCACCAAGCTCTTACAAATCTGATGCAACTATTTGTGTAGAGAATTGCGTTGTGTGTGTTTCTGACACAGTACGGTAGAATTGAATATAGGTGGTAGTAAATTTACATAATTAGGAGTGTCATGGCCTAGCGGTTAAAAGCACCACACTGGACTCATGCTCTGGCGTTTCAGAGGCAGCAGAATGTGGGTTGGAGCCCGGGTCTGGACACTTGTGCCCTTAAGCAAGGCACTTAACCATGATTGCTTCGTCCTTCGGATGGGACGTAAAGGTTTTATTTGTTGTGTAATGCAATGCACGTAAAAGAACCCAGTAACACTTATCGCTAAGAGAAGGGGTTTGCCCTGTTGTTTCTGGCCTCCTGTTAAAACTCCCCTGCGGAGTCCTTAGGAGAAGAACCAACTAAGTACCATCCTAACAAAATCAAATTTGTGGGACTTTTTTCTGTAATATTGGAGCAGTGATCAAACTAGCTTTGGAATTTCAGAATAAACCACGCAATAGAATTTACTCTTGGAAACTGAATGCAATGAATATCTGATACTGATTTATTTTTTTCTACGCAATTAATAAGATGTGACTTTTATTCTCTGTTGTTCTTTGCTTCTCGTCAGAATCCTGTCGGTGCAGGTCGCTATGATTTGCAACGATACGTAGACGCCCAACATCGCAACGGTCACCGGAGCGTCTTCAACTCCAAGGTGAAGAGGGAAAGGACGTCGCGAGATAACATGATGCAGTAAGTCAGGGAGACTGAATGTTCTTATAGGATTACCAAAAATGTCCTTGAAATGTTAAAGGCATATAGGATCATTTGCATTTATCCCAAAAGTAACATACCTAAATATTATTTAAAATCTTACTTGGATTTAAGATTGCACTGGTACTAAACGCCCCATGAAATTTTTCAGTCTGGCTAGCTGTCATTTTATAGAAGAAAGCGAGGAATGTAGGTGATCTCCAACGATCAGTCAATTGACTGATTTTTGGCAATAAAGAGTGCTATGAATGAAATTGTTTGAATGAAAAGTTTGTGCATTGTTTGTCACTGTTTTCTGAAAAAGCGTAATATCCTTTGAGCTGAAACTTCAGCAGGTTGGGTTTTGAACATTCTTCTTTGGAATTTGAGTGGTGTTCCTATTAGAAACAAACAAAATGCATGAAAAGCAAATGATCATATATGCCTTTAAATGTACATGCGTATAACTTACTCAGGTCTGTGAAAAAATTCATCGAATATATCACTATTATGCAAAGTTGTTTAAATTTTGATAAGATGTGAAAATAACTGATTTTTTAAATTTGATTAACTGATGATCACTACTATTCCACATTTCGGTTCATAACCGAGTGCATTTTCCCTCAAACGTTCAATGGAAAACAAAGATTGTTCATACCGGCGTCAAAAATACTTTTTACCGATTTTTATAAATTCAAAACATCTGCTAGACATCATTCTAAAACTCGCAGGGTCGGCACAAAAAAATTCACACAGCATTGATATTGGAAAAAATGTGCAGGGGTGAACATCCCCCCCCCCCAAAAAAAAAACCCCCAAAACCCCAACAATACCCTTTTAGGGTGAAGTGCAGCATGGTTTTCTATACTTCACAGCGTTCTGAACTTAATGAAAAGCTTAGTATGCACCATGATTTTTACGTGTTGTGCCTTTGTAATTTTTTTTTTCCCGCAGAGAGCGTATCAGAGCCATCAATTTAAGACCTGAAGACAAAACTGACCTGACAGTGCAGAAAGGAGAGGACTACATCAGGGCCAGAAGAGTCATTTATACTCAGCAGTAGGGGTGGGGAGGGGGGAGGGGAGAGGGCAACATTCGGGGAGGGGGTGGGGAAAGGAAGGGGTTACAGTCATAGTGGGAGATAGGGAAAAAGACGGGTTATAGTCGGGATGGGGGGATGGAAGAAGGACGGGGTAATGAACAAAGTTTATGTGTGGTCCTTTTAGAATTACTTAAAAGGAGGTCTGTATGGCCCTGTCTTTTGAGTTTTATGGGTTCCATTCCCCGAAGTATGTCTTTTCGGTTTATCTTCTGGGAACTTTACGCAACTTTTTAAGTCGTGATGCTCATGCTACGATGGTTCTTGTGCTGCTTCTGAAATTAAATATGGATTGCAATATTGCTGCTCAAGCCTGAAGAGTCTTGAGATCTGGTAATGATTGATGATGTTTATGGACAGGTAGTGGCAAACACACTGGTCCTGATGTAGATGAAGTGCAAACTCCATACAACTGATTGTGTTCCTATTGTCTAAGAGATCAGTGTTTTATACAGAGATACCTGCTTCAATTTGAAGGATTCACAATGCATTGTAGTTTCATCAAGGGGTTATTTTCCAACTTCGCAGTGAATGTTGAACCATATTGTCTCATTCACTAAGGGTTATGTCTTGGGACACTTCAGCAGCTAGGCAATTCCACCATTTTGAAAGGCAGTGTGATGTCCATGACACAGCCAATTAACCATGATATCTAATTAATGATTCAGAGAAATGATCCCAAACTCCTAGTCTGTAATCTCCTCGGCCATTACTAGATGATGGATGTATAAGATTTGAAAAATATATTTTCAGATTAAGTCACCGGGTTCGTAAAAGCTCTGCCACAGACTTTACACAGCGCTACAACTCCCCAACTGCATTTGCGAATCCTGCAAACAACACGCAGAGGAATGTACAACAACTTCCAAAGCGTGGACGTCAGCCAGACATAAACCTGTTGATCTTGTATTAAACCTAGGGGAAGTGAAGCATGAAGTCTTTTTCAGTGTTTGCTAACAGACTATAGACTGTTCCCAAAATACACTGTAGATATAATAGGCTTTGTGCTACCTGCAGTTGTGTCTACATTGTACATGTAGTGTGGACTGCTGATTCAAGTTCTATGCAATATTGACAAGTTGATTTAAAACGCAATACGCAGCTTTACACTAAGTAACTCGCATGTACAGTGTACATATTTTATTTACGAATACATGTCAGCGTTTCATGTCTGCACAACTTTTGTACTGATTTTATTAACAATGTTGTACAAGTATATTTACCTTGAATTCCAGTGTTAAGTGTGTTATATTATAAAAATCTTGCATTTACTCGCGACAAAGTATTATTGCAGAGCTGGTGAACAAAGTCGTTGAATTTTGCAATTTACTCAAAAAACAACGATCTGGCATTTTCAATTGAACAACAGCATTAACTTATAAGATCTTTCATTTTTTTTTGCATGATATTGAGTAGAAGAACAAGACCATTCATTGAAGACAAAAGCTTTTAAAACATTTTGCTGCATGGGATTTTTCAGATAACCAAGACAACATGAACATTTCCAAGTTCAGGACCAGGAAAAGTTTCCAAAACTGATCATAAATATTATGATATCTGCAGAACTAAACTCTTTTTTTAATAAAAAAAAATACATGTATATGTTGAAATAATAATGTTAAATAAAGTTATCAGATGCAACCAATGAAATGTATCCTTTGTTTGCTTAGGCCCCCCCAAAAAAGTCTCCGGTTTCTGGTATGCGCGCGCGTCGCCGTAGCCATGCGCGTCGGCAAAATGAAAATGTTTTTTCTTTTCAATGAAAGATGATGTCTCAAAACCGCCAAACTCACTGGTTTGACTGGAATCCTGCTGCTGCACAATTTTAACGTGTTTTTCGATTGGGTTATGGTCGAGAATCAGCTTTATGTGGCCTCTCTGGACTCCCATATATTTGCACTAAGTTTAATCGGGCACCATTTGCAGTCATCAGCCGACATTTGAAGCAAAAAAATCAGGTAAAAAAAAAAAAAAGCCGCGTCGCCGCACCACTTTTTGGGCAAGCTCCATACCAGAAACCAGAGACTTTTTTTTTTTGCCTTATGTTATACAGTACTGGCAAATGACCATACCAAAACCCTGGATTTAGGATTGTATTTCAAACCGAAAAGTGGAACAGGAAATTACTCCTAAAAGAATGTTCCCCCTTTCATTGGGAACACGACATGCCCTTCGGATCAAACCGGATCAAAAAGTGCCAAACGCTGTTAAGAGTCTTCACAATAACAATGTCCACATTATCCCCGAGAAAAACCTCAATGCCGACGAAATAAACAGGACATTCAATATGTACTTTTAGCAGAGATTTTTTTTAAGCTGAATCGGAACTGTTTTTCTTTGGATTTTTTTTAGAGCCTCTGGAAATCTGTACATGATTTTTAGAAGAAAACAAATCCAGTTATAACTTTCTTTTCTAGGTTTTCCTTTCAAGTAATAAATCACCACACATAAAATTTTATTGTTTGGCAATATTTGACAGGAGACCAGAAAGGTTCAAAGATATACCGCAAAGTTGCTGGTATAGTGCATTGTGAATGAAAGCGTGGGAAAAGTACGATACAATAAACGCTTTTTATTCAAAAAAAAGGGGGGGGCACAGACATTTTATTTGTCTACATGAACAGCTTTGGATGTGTTGTCATTATGACAAATTTGATGCATGTTAGTACATGTGGTATTCAAAGATTTAAAGTGTAACAGAGCCGAGAGAAAAAGGCATTCCATTTTTTTTTTGGGGGGGGGGTGTTTAAAATATGCCATTTCACCGTAAGTCCATCTGTGTGTTTGAAACAAACTGGGAACATCAAGCCACGAACAATATTAGTCATTGTCACTAGTGATCAATAATACATTGCAGCTGTACGACTGATTTTCGTAGTAGTGAGCCCTCATGTGACTTATTTTGACCATCCTATATGCAGGATTTCCAAAGCGCTAGTGCCATGTGTTTTCCATGCTCCTCAACAACTTCAATAATTGTTCTCAATACATTTTCGATTTGTATGTTTTATTCCAACCAAAAAGCTCTTTTTTTCCCCCCTTTTTTGGAGGTCTTCAACCATCTGATAAAAAAAAGGTTTTTGTTTAGGGCACCAACAGATCCACTTTGCCAGCAGACTGGCTCCCGGTCCATACATTATCAATACCGATTGTGGGGCGGGAACCAGCCTACCCTGCGAGAACAGACTTATTGTCTGGCAGACAATAATTCATAATTGTAAAGTAATAATTCAATAACTAAACATGGGCCAATTTTTTTGGGTCGATGGCTCATTCAAAAGTAAATAACTTTCGTACTGCCAGAAAAACAGCAATTTTAGAACAAGAATTGATTTTTCGGGATGAAACTCAAAAATAGCATTGGGAAAGCAACTTTCAGCGAGGGCGCACTATTACAGAGCAACCATTGCGGCATTAGTGCACCCAATATATAGCACTAACATCTTGAAACAAGACTGTACGGAACAGGATCCATCAAAATCTTGCAAACGGTGGATTTTAGTAGATTCAGGGCAGTTAGGATAAACAGGAATGAATGGCGCATGCAGTAGATTGTACTCATCATTTCTTCAGCTTTTTCATCATGTTGCTCTGCTCAATTGCCGTTCGTCTTTTGCGCTGTAAAAAAAACAATTAAAAAAAATCAAGGGCTGAATGTTACATATCAAAGATTTATTTAAAGTTCAATTCCTAACATTGTTTTACCATTACATCAATGAAAGTTAGTAAAGTTGGACCAAAGGTAGATATACACTTACAATTCATGGTATAACGAAATTAATTAAATAAACAGAGAACATGTATTCTAAAGTGCAATGATGGTGACGTCACTTACTGGTGTTGAGGGCGATGTGGTGACGACATCAATAATCTCCGAAACCTGGAAGGAATACGAGGCAGTCTTGTTAATACTTTGCGCCACATGGGGAAATTATGATTATTGTAAAGCATCCTGCTCAAGGACATTATGCTTTGATCCTAAAGGACTGGGACTGAGAGCTGACGGAACAAGGAACACAGCTTAACACCAAACTAAACATGGCAAAACAGTGGCACACCATTTTTCCCAAATGAAACCCTAACATATTTTAGCATTTTAACCAGAAACGCCTTACAAGCTGTCTTTAGAATAATCACAGCGTCGTCTTGGAAAACTTGTAAAATCTCCCCCTGGAAAATGGGGGAAACTAGTGCGCATGCACTACTTCTGCAGACAAATACGGTCCATTTTAGGTAAAATGCGTACTACATACAACAAAAGAGCTACCACGAAGTTGCACAAAAGTTGCACAAAAGTAGCATCTTGCATGCTACTGTCTGAAATTTCAGAGTTTAGTTCGGAGCTAGTATACAAGGTGTTGAAAGCAGACTGCATACATTATAGGCAAAACAGGAGCGCACATGACACGAGCGCTACAAGATTCCAAAACACTGTTATGATAGCGGTTCGTGGGTGACAGTGGTTCATTTTGACAACAGTCTCTTTCAGCTGGTGATCACATATCCAATACACAACCACAACGTCTTGATCCAAGACTAGAGCGTAACTGCCACTTAATTTCAAAAGAAGTGAAAGTCGAATCCTCGGTATAAATTGGCTCAGCGGGATTCTGGAACACCGGTCTAAGAAAAGATACAACCAACTTTGCAGCATCAGACCTCTTCCATCTACCCACCTTCTTATTCTTGGAGGACTGATCGTCTGAGCTGTCCTCCATCTTCACGTCCACTCCTTCCTCCCCCAATGTGGGCGTGGCCTCAGCATCCTCCTCAGCAGTGGGCGGAGGTTGCTGGTTGAGGGACAGCGCTGAGGAGGGGAGTTTACCAGGAGCTAAGGCCTCGTAGCGATGGCGTAGCGTCTGGAGCTCAAATTCGCAGTTGGCATGGGCCAGCTTCAGCTCGTACAGAAGAACCATGTCAGACCTGTAAAGATAAGATCATCAATTTTGTTTTAGAAGGACGATTTCAATAATACTGGAACACTATTAAAGGGACATAATGTCCTGGAATTCGCCAAATCGAGATACAAAACGCGATTTAAACAAACTGTTGTAAATTAGAAAGATTATTTAAAAGTAGGACATATACACCGACACAACCACCCTTTAAAAACTGGGCGTTTTGGCGTTATTCTTGCGAAAACAAATTTCAGTGGTCAAAATTGAATCCTGCCGCACATGTTTCCATCAGTGCATCGTATATTGCAGACGTACGAGAAACAACATATGTGATGTGATCAAGCTACATGAGTTGTTTGTCGACCCTGGTAAAAAAAAATGTTACTACAGATTTGAAAAGAGCACAATCTCAGCATTACTGCTGTGAAAACTGCATGCTGATACCATCTTTAGTTCACAAATTATGGAAGTCGGAACACCAAGAGATGTGATGAAGTGGTGTGATGAAGTGGTCCTATTTTGGCCTGTATCTCCAAATAAAAATTCCCGACAAACGACTCATTTAGCTTGATTGCATCACATATGTGTATTCGTACCGTGTGTATTATGTGTCACACACAACGAGTACCGTACAGTGAATGGACACGGCTGGAAATACCTATGCGTATGCCACAAAATGTCCGCCGCATCCGATATTTAATTTGATGTAAAACATTAGGTTAGTTTCCCTTCAACCAGGACTTTGAAGTAGGGATAAATAAACAATCCAAAACAAAAAATTCTTGAAGATTTCAGGTCATAATGCCCCTTTAAAGGGATACATCATTTGCTTTAGCTGTAATTTCCAGGAATGGATGGAATGGGGGGTTGGAAATAATAGCAAATATAGTTACACTGACTTTTTTGAGGTTTTGGGTTCGAAAATGCTATAAAAACCAAGAAAAACGATCAATTTCCTGTAGTCTGGTTCCCTGACTCCATATAAGAAGAAACAGAGCAGTTTACATACATTGGGGAATTGTAAGGTCAGGGAACCAGTTTAGCTGGCTCGTACCCGTTCATAGGTTTGTAATCGATTGCAAACAAGTGCTATGGTCAATTGGGGCCAGTATTTGAAAAAAAAGCCAGTTGTTTCCAACGCTGATCGGCCGATCAGCGTTGGAAATTGATACAAAAATACCACTTTTCTTGAAAATGACAGTATACCAGGTGCCATGATTTTACAGGATGCTTTACACTGTCATTCACTAACAGTCCAGCAAGGTATTTCAAAATGATTTGGTAGTTTTTTTTTTGATGTTTGCAAATGTTGTATTTTCCCTTTAAGCCAGTAGTTGTTGCTAACACATAATCAGTTCTGTGTCTCACATGCTGAAGACACCCTACTTGACACTGACAATGGTATGTTCCGTTTTTCGTCCAAAATCCCGCCCACCTTTCACTTGTGTATGTCTCGCACAGTGCTTATGAATGAGTTTGACTGAGCCACTGTGGTCACCTGACCATTATTCATGATCTGATTGGTCGAAGAGCACTGTTTGATTGACAGGTAGGAGGGGCTTACTGTCTAGGGCCCGTGCATGTTATTTCCCCCTTACCTGAGTTCGTTATATAACTGGCATATATCTTCCGTTGGCATCGGTTGGATCGGGATACCCAACTCATCCAGCAAATGCTCGATTGCTTTTGTCTTCTTCTGACCAACTGAAGACGGAAGTTTCATCTACAAAGACACAAACCAGCACAAGATACAGAAGGCTTACAAAGAGCAGCATGTGACACCAGAAACTGAATTCACAGTTATGCTATGCGAAAAACAGATTATCGACTAAAATATTATGTAATATTGTGAACTGCTTGTGACTGTGTAGCTAGCTTTGTGATTAGCATGTCAACCTAGCATGTCCACACTTTTCTGTTAAGCATTTTCACAAAGTTGGCTCCTGTTCGATTTGCCAAGTTTTTTCCTGCTTGGCCTATTCACAGGCATGCAACTCGGAAGTAACAAAACAAAAGAAGGAAATTCCAAGAATTACAAGACTTTACACAGTGTTTTCAATTTGTTTATGGCAGAAGTTGTCAGGTCAGTGCAACAAGATTGTATCTCCATTCAGCAACACAGTCGTATCTCGCGCCAATGCGCTCCGTGCAACAAGGTCGTATCTCGACGTCCATTGACTTTGTGTGCACATCCAGGTTATTTTAAGTGAGATACGACCTTTTGACATTCTGAAACTTGCGTTTCACGTACGGTCCAGTTTAGGAGATACGACCTTGTTGCACGGATACGACGAAGGGTCAAGTGTAAAATGAGGAAATCGGCTGAACAAGGAAAGGTTGCATGCCTGTTTTCAATATTGAAAACCCGATTTCTCTGATTTCATTCAAATCATGTTAGTCGAAGCAAGTGACTGAATCCCTAGAAAGAATGAAATCCCAAATTTTCAAAATTAAAACTTGATGATACCAAGTTTGTCTCAATGCTTTGTCAAACTGTGATGAGTGCACAGCCACTAAAACCATGTTTTGTCTTATATAATTAGTTCACTAACTCGTCGATGAAAAAAAAATCAATCAATATGATCAATATTATTGGTATCGCCAACATGTCTTGACACACTTTAGTGTTTACCTTTTGACTTCTGAGATATACTCCAGACTGCTTGAAATCCGGAAACTTGATTCCACCAGTCTCCAGGATTTGCTTTAAAATGAGAAATAACGCAAGAATTTGCAAGTTTACTGTAAAGATAAACAAAAAGCTGTAACTTCACTTCTGATATTTTTACCGCAACTACATTCTGCTTTAACATAATGTGGTTTGCAAAATAATGCCACAAGCTAAGAAAATATTGAAAGTTGGAAATGGTCATCATTATTTTCCCCCTTGCAATGCTGGATATTATGAGTCTGCTGGAACACAAAAAACTAAAAGTCTAGTTACAGTAATTCTGCGAAAATAACATCATCATCCATGCATCTTTTGGAAAGCACCTTCTGAAATTCACACTTGACTCTTCAAACAAAATACTTTCAGAAAATAGTCCACACCAAAACACAATCCAAGTTAAACTCAGACTATGTTCTCCCCTCTTTTATTGTTCTGTACCTTGGAGCTTCCTTCAAGCTCTTTCCTGGATTTACTCTGAGGCAGTTGTATCTTCTTCTTCGTGATCTTCCGTTCAGTTCGTCGCAGCTCCGCGTTGTTGTCGGCGGCCGTGATCAGCTTCTGCAGGTCCTGGGTCTTCTTCTCACGCTCTTTCTTACGCAGTTCGATCTTTTTCAGTTCAGCTATAAGCATCTCCTCTTCCTCAACCTACAAAAAAAAATGGAAATTAATCTTAGGAAATTGACGATCCATTGTGCAAGAGTGTTCCTCCACTTTCAGGGCATGAAACATTTGACAGTATTTCTGTCTCCATGGATGGGATGACAGGCCATCACAGGTTACTCCCTAGCTAATGCCAATACCCATTTATCCATGTAGAGAGATGCGAATGGGGGTAAAGTGACTTGCCCAAGGGCACAAGATAAGTTTAAAAAGTACTGTCGGGTTCTTGCACTGTGTTCACTAATAGAACTGGATTCTTTCTGAATTATGTGCACTAGGCAAAGGCCAACAGTCTCCTATGAGAACATCTGTTTCCAGATTTTTTTTAATAAACCTCAGTTTTGTCTTCGCCTCCGAAATAATTTCAGAGCCTGAAAAGCTTGAACAAAATGAGCAAGATGAACCCTAACATATATGTATGGCCTCATAGCATTGTGATTTGATATGCAGTACCACAAAAAGGACCCAAACCTTTCTCTCAGTCTGTCCTTATCACAAAAGGGACATACAAATTATAAAACTGGAGCCTGGTGCCAAATCTGGAAACAAAGCCGGTGTTTCGGAAACACCCGAGGGAGCAGTACACAATTCGAGCAATCAGTATTCCTATCAGAGTATTTCTGAGATTTAACTCAGAGTGCCGTATGAATTATGCCAATTAAATATAATCAATTAAAAACACTGCGCCTTGACTTTCCAGCTGATAATCGGCCCATTGTCTCTAGGGGATCCATTATGAGCTGCTACATTGACAAAGAGTTTAACTTTTTCAGTGCCAAAGTCGTACATGTACGAGGTATATTTGTTAGTTTGCAATCGCCAACCTCGTACATGTACGAGGTAATGTTCATACTTAAAATTGCCAAACCTCGTACATGTACGAGGTAGAGTAAGCATGTTATCACAAGGGGACGCTCTCGCTCTTTCTAATATCATTTCCATTCAGTTCTTGCGAGAGGGCGCAGCACTGACACTCGTATTTTCTGCAAAAAATGCAGAATTCCCCTGTGTGCAGGACAGTGTTTCAGGGTGTATCACTATGTATGTGACTACTATTGACTTTCCCATATGCCAAGGATATACCAGAGAGCAACAACAACAAATTTAGTGAGTAAAACTTATTTACTTTTTTGGCAAACTGCACACACATATTTCGGACTTTGATTCTGGAGGTGTGCCAACCCAATGTAAAAGACTGTCAGTTTAGGGGTACTGTACCCATCCTGACAGATTCCAACAAAACATGCCGTTGGGGTTTGATGGGTTGAGTTCTGTTAGGGTTAAAGCACTTCGTAGCAACAAGACTGACCTGTTCCTGTGTCCGATTGAACAATCTCAGCAGCTGTTCTTTCCTCTTGCGTTCGTGTTCGGCGTCGTAGACCTGCGCGGCTCTGTTGCTCAGGTTAGGGTCAGCCCGAGCCTTGGCCAGCTTGTTGATGATGTTGTAATAACGCTCCTTCATATCTTCAATGCTGCGCCTCTGCAAAACACAACCAATTACAATCACATTACTACCCCAACCCTAACCCTAACCCTAACCTTAACACTAACCCTAACCATAACGCTAACCCTAATCCTAAGGATTTGGGGGAACATCGGTTCTGGTGAACATAGGTATTGGGGAACATTGGGTAGAACCCCCTTGGTCTAGCCCATTCGTAGATTTAAGTCATGAAAAACAGTATTCATGAATACCGAAGACAGTTTACCCACTCCTATGGAGTACCGCAGTGAATACGTCACGCGCACAAAATGTGTGTGAAAGACATTAGCACGTGATTCAGCCCGTGAACCAACACGCGCGCGTACTCCGTTTTTGTTTGCACTACACTTTCTGGTTCTAAATGACGTCACACTTCGGTACTCCATTGACTGAGATCACGTCACGTGGATGGTTTTAGCACCACATTCTGCAGTACGCACGCCCATCTCCTTATAAGGGGATTTTAGCGCTACGTGTGTGAGTCACCATAGACATAGGGTGATTCACAAAATGTAAAATACAATTGTCTCCCGACGTTTTTAAAGCACAAAAATTAGTACACAAGGCTTCTCCATGGAGCTAGATTTGGTACATCAAAGCAGTTTCCAAGTAAAAAGAACTTGGAGTTTGGCTTTTAATCCGTAGAAAAATTATTGACTTCAACCACGTCCTGAGAAAAATATCTGAATATAAACAAGTGGTTCACAGAAACAACTTTTGCTAGGGAATGTACATCATTGGCTTTTGCTGTAATTTTCAGAAATGAACTATTTGAGGGGTTAGTATGATAGATCAAATATTGTTACACTGACATGTTTGAAGTTTTGTGTTCGAAAATGCTGGAAAAACCAAGAAAAACAAAAATATTAAAGTAGTCTGGTTCCCTGACTCCACTGAAGATGAAATAGGTCAATTTATGGATGCCAGAAAATGTAAGGTAAGGGAACCAGTCTAGCTGGCCTGCACCCGTTCATGAACATGTAACCAATAGCAAACAAAATTTGGACTGAAAAAAATGCTAAATTTGGAGCAGTAGTTGAAAAATAGTTCTAAAGGTTTTTGCAACAGTAGTCAGCCGACCACCGTTGGAAATGTATACAAAATACCATTTTCTTGACAATGACTTCACACCAGGTGCCATAATGCCATTTACCATCATCCATGTAAGGTACCGGTATTTCAAAAAAAATTGGTAGTTTTGTTTTTCGAGGTTTGAAAATGTTGTATATTCCCTTTAAACATGCAGTAGCTCAAGGCACTCCTCAAAACTGCGTAAAACCTCGACGTAAACCTTGAGTTACTGCCTCTTTTAGTTTTACATTTTTCCCTTTAATTTAATACAGAACAAAAATAAAGTGCACACTATTATTTAGCATTGATAAAAAAAGACCAACTGCTGTACACATCAGACTGGGCTACAAAAATATCAACAGACTCACCCCATAGGAAGCGTAGTCAAAGCGATCGTGAACTACGACCCAGCGGAGGTCAAAGCGGTTACAGAGGTCAAACAGGTGGTCGGTAGCCTGCTTGGTCCATTTCTCATCGTGTAGATGAAGCTGGTACTCTTGACTGGTGTACAGTGGTATCGACACCTCCTAAAAAAAATATCAGAAATTCATGGTTTTAAAAGAACTTGTTTAACCTATGGCCTGTATTACATTAAATTGAACTCCCTTGGTATTTTTGCTAGGATGCAACCTCAATCCTGCAAAATCCTCCAACTTCCTTCATGTAAAAATTGCATACAGCCTCAATCCTGCAACATCCTGCGTTATTTCTTGAATGTGGTCCTTGGAGGGGTGACCACTGCCTCAATCCTGCAAAATCCTCCAGCAATCACTGTCAATATGTTGAAGCAGAGCCAGTGACATCCTGGAGCAGTGCGGAGGATTTCAAGTATAATCCAGGCCTAAGTTTATGCATGGCTGAGCGTAAACAACACAAGATCTGGCCCAAGACCTTGACACAGTGCATCCTACGAAATCAGCTACACATTTTTGCCATATAGCCTCAATCCTGCACAATCCTCCATTTTGCCAAGATGATTTTGGAGGAAATGGGAATGTTGGGGTTTGCTTGGCTCTGTCACCGACAGTGTATTTCCTTGTACAACTCTGGAACTGCCCTATGCACACATTGCTTTCAGTACCAAGGGGAAAAGTTACGCCACTAATCAACCACTAGTCGACCAGTGGTGCTCTCCTTAACTTGCCTCGGATAGTAAGTCTCGTTCAAATGACGTCATTTCCTACAGACCATCCACGTGGATCGGCAGTTTGAGCGTCAACTTGCATAACGCGCATCGGCTGCGTCATATCGAAAAAGTTTTGAGCAGCAAGCGCGCGTGTTTGGAACATTTTCAACACTGTGCAATGCGTGCTTGATTGCGTAAAATACGCAGTTGCACTTCTCCTACAGAGATGGTCGTCATTGAACGAGCCCTGTAATGCTGATGTTCTTTTTTTACCTTGTTAAAGCGAGCAAAGGGATAGTCTTTGCCTTCATCGGCTACTCTCCTCCAGTGATGAAACACTGCACCGTCCTGAAAAAGAGATTGAACAATAAATAGTTATCTGTCAAGATATCAAAACTAAGTCCAGTGAGTTACGAACATTTCCACTCCAAATTAGGACTCTTCATTATTTAAACTACATAATTTTTCATAAACCACAAACTCCTACATTTTTTGCAAACTGTAACACTGTAAAACCCTATGAATCATTACTTCACAACAAACAAAACCGAATCCTTTCCTTAGATAAATATTTTGATGAAGTATTATTAATATTTTGTCCGAAACAAACACATTTCTTATAGACTCTGAAACTTCCACTGTCAGTTGGCCAATACAAATTGATTTGAAGATCGGTTTAATCTGTTCAATTGATAAATCAAAAAATGAAGATAAGGGAATAAATATGGAATAAATAAGGGAATAAATAGGTGCTGATTATCAGCGTCCAAGCCCCTAGCCGTTTTTAAACGTACTTCTGTAAAACCGGCCAAGCACATATTTATTCCCATTTTTAAATACTTTTCGGTCAGAAAGCCAAAAAATATAAATGTAAAATGATTTGTTCAACAATTTTACATCACATTTTGTGAAACACCCCTCCAGCATGTGCCTTGAGCGAGTAGAACTAAAAACCTCCTCATAGGGAGACTGGCACGCACGTGGCACGTACTGTGCGATGTGGCGCAGAACGCAGCTGTGCCGGACAAAAGTGTTTAAAACCAGTTTGTGCTTTATCAACCCTTTAAAACCACCATCGTGACAGGCTCTCAGCCAATAGGAATGGGTAAACTGTCTTAGAAATTTATGAATGTAGATTCAAAACCAACAACAACGATAACAAGAAACACTTACTTTTCTTGCAGGGTTAGTGAATGGCATTCGCTTCCAGGGTCGGACTTTACTTCGACCAAGTTTAGCTTTCATCTGTTTGTATCCCTTGTTGGTGTCTGACGGGATCAGTGGAGGTGGATCTCTGACGGAGAAAAAGAGAGACAAATTTCCAGCAAAACAATAGAATTGTGTTTTCAATCGACTATGTGATGAAATAAGATTAGAAGGGATTATGAATTCAACCTGGCCATTACCCTCGACTCCATGACCTATGTACGATGGCACATGCTTGTCAGCGAAAAACAAAATTTGAAATGAAACTTCAAAAGCGATGAGTCTTAAAGGCAGAGTGGACCATTTGTAATTTGTGAATTTTTTCGTTTAAAGCAAGGAAAGTGCTCAAAATCTTAAGAAGGGTGCTTAACAACTAATTTGATGAAGTTTTAGCTCAGTGAATGCTGCACATTCCAAGAAAAAAATATTCTAGGATCTCAATTTCAATTCAAAAGTTGCCAAGTCATATTTTGAATCGTGCCTGAAATCAGCAGCCAGGAACACGTTCTCATTCAGCCAATTGCAACTTCATGATGTCACGCACTGAACCGATGAAAAAATGATGCATGTGCGTCATGTCAACGCTTGCGCGCACACCCTTTTATGGATTCACCCAATTACAAACCAACTTCTAACGGAAATTTCCAAAAATGTGTCACTTGACACACCTTTGGAAATAACCTCCGCTTACTGTTTTCTTCAAAATGAAGAAAAAAAACAGCTTGACAAAGTGCATGCTTCAAAATCAGCCAAATATTTTTTTTCACATAGCCTCGATTTTGCGAAATCCTCCATTTTGCAAAGAGGAATTTGGCAGATTTGGGAAGGTTACGGTTATTGGAACAGAAGATTGGGGAAGATCTTGCACAACTGAACTGTATTCAAGCTAATGTGTGCATGTGAGGTATGCCCTGATTTCTCAAGTGTCAGTGCCAAAAGTTGGATGTAATTCATTTCGTTGGTTTCAACGCCCCTTATCCCTGTGGCAGCTTCACCATTTGATACTTGCTAGGGATAAAAACTGACTGCATCACAGCCTGGGCAAGAAAAGAATCCAGTATGAGACAAGACTAGCTTACTTTTTATCCGAGTAGAGCAGTGCATAGACTTCCCTGTGCATCCCTTCTGGACGTTTGAAGGTTGGCTCCTGGCTCTTCCGAGATCTCTGTCACCAATAAAAAAACATTATAAGGGACAGTCAATACTAAAGAACCACAAAATCACGCCAAATTTACTCATTCTTTCAGCCAATGAAATGTTCATGAGGCAAAGACAAGGTCCTCAGTATGTCACAAGGTCCTCAGTATGTCACAATCCTAGTTTGAGGTCTCACTTCAATTGTTACAGAAGACTTTTCTTTAACATTTTGCACCTGAGAGTGAAGCCAAGTGATTTCAATTTGTAGCCAATGACAAAACTGACAACAAAACACTAGGCCAACACAAAAATGAAAGGGGATAGCGCCTGCTCACTACGGAATGCACAAAACTATGTTACGCCCCCTATAGCCCTTTTCACACTAGACAAATCTCGGGGTTGACGCAGGGTTGAAAACATGCATCGTTTCACACTTGAAAAATTTCAACCCTGCGTCAACCCGGAGATTGATTTCGCCCAAGGTTGAACTCAACCCTGCTCCAGACCAGGGTTGAGATTTTCAACCCCGGTTGAAATTCTCGCCAGGGTTCAAAACAGCAGTGACTGAGCATGATTAGCGTGATTTGCATGAAACAAGTGTGAAACGATGCGGGGTTGAATGCGGAGTTGAAAAATCAAAACTCAACCCGGGGCGGCACTGGGTTCACCCAGGGTTGAGTTCAACCCAAGTTGAGCAGGAAAAATTGCTTTAAGTTTGTAGAAACCATTATTGAATTATCGAGTTTTATCATCCTCGCCCTCTTTATAGCGATAGAAATTTCATCCCCCTTTTTCAGACATCGATATTTTGTGTAATTTCCAGGTTCATTTGGACACGTTTGCATATCTAAATTCCAACACGAAATTACACTAAAAGTAGATGTCTGAAAAAGGGGGGAAACATTTTCTATAGCTATAAACACATGATAAATTGATAATCATTTTAATCAATACAGGGCGCATTGGTGGCAATTTAATATAATTCAGCCCAATCTTAGACAGTACAGTGCCCTCTGTTGATAGGGATTGCCGCCGGCAATATATCCAGTATTCAGTAAATGGCAGTATCATAATGATTTAGGCCTATAATTAAATTTTTAAAACAAATGGCAGTGGATATTTTGCCGGAGACGGCAAACCTTCAGTAAACGTTAGTTTGCCGGATATGCACTGAACATGCGCAGTTACTGTTTTTTTTTTACTTAAACATTTTCCGGTGACATATTTTAGTCTGGCTCCATGCCAATATCATTATTGTATTTTTGTATTTACAAGATGGGAATCAGACCATTTTATAATTTCGGGCTTTATTTCCCTTTAAAAAAAAATCCTCCAGAGCCACAAATCTGAAAGAGAAAATGTAATACTCTGCAATAAAATGTTTGAGACCTATTAAAACAATAAAAGAAGAATATTCTTATTCATTTGGGGATGGGAAAAAAAAACCTTGAAATTGTGACGGGGATCAGGCTTTGAACTAGGGACATCCGACTCACTAGAGCCATTGCTTAACCACTGCACCAAATGTACTACATAACTTTGGTGGGAATTTAATACATGTTATAATTCAGCCCTATCTTAAAGAGTACAGCGCCCTCTGTTGATATGGATTGCCGCCGGCAAACCTTAACGTGAGTTTGCCGGCGTTACCTCCGGCAAAATATCCACTACCAAAACAAATCGACTGAACGAATGTCGGACACTTCGCCCCATTTCCACGTCGCCCCATGTCACTTCGCCCCTAACCACTTCGCCCCATCCCCACTTCGCCCCATCCCCACATCGCCCCATCCCCACTTCGCCTCATTCCCACTTCGCCCCATTCCCACTTCGCCCCATCCCCACTTCGCCCCATCCCCACTTCGCCCCAGCCGTTGCATGTAAAAAAAAAATCTCATCTATTTTTTTGGCTTAAAAAACAATTTCAACAGATTCACTAATTGCTAACCAACGGAAAGAATTAGCCCATCACCAAATGAACAATTCATAACCAACCTCTCAACTTAGCTAGGCTCTCCCCTACCGAGAAAAAAGCTTGAAGTAAAAGATCCAACTTTGTTCCCAACCCGGCTATACCAACCCGTCTCCCACTCATCTGAGAACGAAAATACCTTTGACATCCTAATTTCACTCTTGGAGGAACCAATCTCATCTAAATGAGGTTGTAAGTGTCACATATCAGACAAATTTTGACGGAACATTTTCCTCAAGGCAGTGAGTACCTTTTAACTCACTGACCCATACCTACGGATTCTGAATCCAGCAGCTGATGATTTTATTCACAAGCCAATAGGAGAGGCGTCTCTGAATGGGATAGAGCCATCATTTCTCTCATCTGTGTCTCGAGCACCTCATCAGAGAGTTTGTATTTTTCCTGAGTTTCTAGAATTGGGAGCATTTATTATCCGAAGTGGCTATCGTTACGGCACTAGTTGTTTAGCGCCCTCTACGATATTTTTTTGATACGCACGCAGGTATATAATTATTTGTTTCCCCACATTTTTTCGAGCAGTGCGCCAGCTCAGCCGATAGAGGGTAGGATTTTGCACCGCGAGGTTACGGGTTCGAATCTCAGTTTTGCACTCGAATTTTTTTCTTTTTCTAACCTGAGGCTTTGGAGGATTTTTTTTAAAAGGGAAATAAAGTCCGAATTTCATAAAGTTCAAATTCACTTTTTTCCTTCTAATTTTATATTTTCTTGTCATGTTTTTTTATAAAAGTTGCCAGGTTGCAGTCTACCGTAACGATAGAAAATGGGAAATGCGTTACGGCTGCCGTAACAATAGCCACTGCGTTTATTATCTGGGGTCTTTGGCAGTTTATTTGGTCTGCACCCCTAGCCTTCACCTTTTTCATACTACATGGGGCGAAGTGGGGATGGGGCGAAGTGGGGATGGGGCGAAGCGGGGATGGGGCGAAGTGGGGATGGGGCGAAGCGGAGATGGGGCGATGTGGGGATGGGGCGAAGTGGGGATGGGGCGAAGTGGTTAGGGGCGAAGTGACATGGGGCGACGTGGAAATGGGGCGAAGCGTCCGACACCCGACTGAACGCAGAACGCAATTTGGGTAGGGCCTATATGAAAACAAAAGGTAGTGTAGGCATGCTGCGTTTACCCATCTTTGTATATTTCAACTTTAAGATAATACCATGAATACTGTCAATTACTGACCTGTTTTTTGTCAGATGCATGCGACCCAATGATCTCGTCTTTCTTGCGCATTTGCTGTGCCGCCGAATCTCCGCCGGTGGAAACGGACGAACTCGGGGCACTTCCCGGCTCAGCCTGAACATCAACATCCCACTCCAAGATATCTCGGACATCAGCCATGATGGCACGTCAAACCCTGATTATTAAAAGCGAGAATACCAAGTAGAAAACAGTACTGTAGTCAGTACAATTGTCTCGACTTTTCCGCTGACCTGCTAACAAGTTTTCTTCACGCGGGGGACGCCATCTTGAAATGAATGTCGGACACTTCGCCCCATTTCCACGTCGCCCCATGTAACTGCCCCTAACCACTTCGCCCCATCCCCACTTCGCCCCATTCCTACATCGCCCCATCCCCACTTCGCCCCATCCCCACTTCTCCCCATCTCCACTTCGCCCCATCCCCACTTCGCCCCAGCCGTTACATGCAAAAAAAAAATCTCATCTATTTTTTTGGCTTAAAAAAAAAATTTCAACAGATTCACTAATTGCTAACCAACGGAAAGAATTAGCCCATCACCAAATGAACAATTCACAACCAAACTCTCAAGCTAGGCTCTCCCCTACCGAGTAAAAAGCTTTGTAAAAGATTCAACTTTGTTCCCAACCCGGCTATACCAACCCGTCTCCCACTTATCTGAGAACGACAATACCTTTGACATCCTAATTTCACTGTTGGAGGAACCAATCTCATCTAAATGAAGTCACATATCAGACAAATTTTGACGGAACATTTTCCTCAAGGCCGCGCAGTGAGTTCCTTTGAACTCACTGACCCATACCTACGGATTCTTTTGAATCCAGCGGCTTGATGATTTTATTCACAAGCCAATAGGAGAGGCGTCACTGTCTCATCTGTGTCTCGAGCACCTCATCAAAGAGTTTGTTTTTTTCCTAAGTTTCTAGAATTGGGAGCTTTTATTATCTGGGGTCTTTGGCAGTTTATTTGGTCTGCACCCCTTTTTCATACTACATGGGGCGAAGCGGAGGTGGGGCGATGTGGGGATGGGGCGAAGTGGGGATGGGGCGAAGTGGTTAGGGGCGAAGTGACATGGGGCGACGTGGAAATGGGGCGAAGCGTCCGACACCCCTTGAAATGTGCCAGATGACTTTTGTCTGTTATTTCATGCGTTCTTTTAGCGCTGCACGCATAAAACAGTCGTCGAGTTCTGTGTATTTTCGAAACTTTATGAGACTGGCACTTGACTTGATTCGTTTATGGTAGCCTTTGTACTGGAGACTTATTTTTTTTTTTTTTTTTTTTTGGCCTTCAAGTGAACTGGAACACTGGTAACGTTTTAAATTGTATTATATCAAAGTATTAACACCACTCCCCAATTATTATTTTTTTTTTTAACCTGACGAAAATGTAAAGTACCATAAAGATATAACAGCACCGCGGGGAAGTTTTGGTCCGTTATTTGTAGAAATGAATATGTTTCCCGATCTTTAGCTCCTCTGTGTCGCATGGCATTACGTTACAGCTGAATGACTAAAGAGATATCGTCGTTCTGGCATGTCTGGAAAGTTGAATGGCCTCATAACGGTAGGCCTATAGTCCTACATTACAGTAGGCCTACTTTATTTCTTCAAAGGCTTCTTATATAGGCCTACAACTAATCTTCAAAGCGCTATATTTAAGAAAACAACTCGTATCACGCCATTAACAAGAAGAAACCAAGTTATCTATCACGCTAAATAAGAAAATAACTCGGGTTATCTATCGAGCCAAAGACGCTGAAGAAGAAAACAACTCTGCAGATGTCAGATGTCTATCACGCCGAACAAAAAACAACCCCGGTTAGGCCTATCAACATCACGCTAAACAAGAAGACAACTCAGTAATTAACAAGAAAAAAACTAAAAATCTATCAAGCTAAACAAGAAAACAACTCAGTTATCTATCACGCTAACCAACAAGACAAGTTGCCTATCACGCCAAACAAGAAGAAAAGAATCTACCACGCTACAAGAGGAAACAATTCACTTCTATCCAGCTGGATTTGAAATAAAAGATACAGGGCCGTCTAAATTTGCGTCGAGTGAAGGGGTTAACGCAGGGAATGGTGGGTTGTGGAATTAGCAACGCTGTCTGAAGCCCCCGTCACAATGAATGCTTCATTATACCAAACTCAGTGGTATGAGTGTATCTCATGTGCTTTACACCTAACAGTCCTGAATCCTCCGATTTCAATACGATTTTGCATTCCCCCAGGGAGTTTTTTTCATGTATAATCGTACAAGAAACTCAAACATAAAGGGTCTCATCGCCCGAACATAATTATGATTTAGTTACCTTTGTTTCAAACTATATGATACAGAGTGTTGCAGCCAAAATAAAGGGGAAAACGACCACAGTTTTACACCTAAGCATGCATAATCGGTACGAAACTTTAACAAAAAGGGTCTCAACGCCTAAACATAAGTTATGTTTCAAAATGTATGATACAAAGTGTTGCCGCCAAAATAAAGGGAAAAAAACGATGACAGTTTACCCCATAATGCATGTATAATCGGTACGAAACTTTTAACATAAAGAGTCTCAACGCCCAAACAGAATATGTTTCAAAGCGCTGTCGCCTCATTAAATAAAGAACAAGAATGACGACAGTTTAAAAATGTATCACACATTAATATTACTAATATTAGCAATATTACTTTGTGACACGTTTTGCAAGTATTAAGTAACCGTGACCGTATTTAATAACCGTGACCGTAATATAATAATAAGTATTTAATCCGTTATTTACAGAAATAAAATACATGCATGTTTTACGATCTTATAGCCCATCTGTTCCGAATGCCATTTTCTTCGTACGTGAATGGGTAAAAACACGTAGGCCTTATATCGTATTCTCCAAAATTGGTACATCTATACCAAATCTACTTCAGAGGGGAACGATCAAAAAAATACGGACAAGCCGGCAAACAAAACACGGAAACTTTCTGTGGATTTAATTTCCTGAATATGCCGCCAGAGATATGACATGGAACTCAACTTTAGCTGTTCCACTTTTAAGGCAGATCGTATCATCGTTATACCACGGGTTGGTATCTTATAAATAGGGCACCTTGACAGCCCGGGCCAGGAGCTTGCAAGAGCTAGCAGAAGGCGAGAGACTGATGAACCACTGACCAACCAACCACAACTCATTTCACCAGCAGATTCGACCGAGGAGGCCTAGACAGCAGAAGCAACTTCGCAAGATGAATGCCCACAGTGTCACTGCTCTAGCGATCATCATCATGACCATTGGTATAGATGCCGATGTCAAACAGTAAGTTCTTATCCATTATCATACCTGGTTAAAACGGCACACACAACCGTGCACCCATCTTGTGAAAAAAACACATGTAAATCCATTAAATTCTTCTTGCAAAACAAATTTTGAAAGACGTTATAAACGAGGATGCACTTAAAAACTCTGTCCTCTGTAAAATGAACAACTGTCTTTGGACATGATTATATCTGCTGGACCGTATATGAGTGGCCTAAATTCGACTTAGGCCTATTACGTACAGAGCTAGAGACAGGCTACAATGAAAACAGTATCATGACAAGAATAATAAGACTGCATGGAATAGAAATCTCTTGCACACCGGACTGTACCAGAGTAAGAAAATACATATATATATCTGGAATTTTTAGTTTGGAAGGAATTAAATTGTTCATCCCATGAGGTTTTCTTATGAACACATTTTGAGCAACTTTCCACTCCTTATAAAATGTATGAAAACTATTTATAAATGTATGAAAACTTCTTTAAACATTTAATATATCCCATGCTTTCCCGTACAAGTGAGGGCGATGTTGCTGTGATGTCATTTCAGGAAGACACTGTTCAGTTTTGGAGTTTTCTGTTCAAAATTGTGAACCCAAAATTTGCTTATTGAAAACATTTGTGAGAAAGGATTGCTCTTATGGCTTACTGTTATTTACTGACACAACAACGAATCACCAAAGAATATTTACGACAGCGAAATATCCAAAATTCTAGCTACAGTTTGTGTGCTGAAGTAGCTGTGACATTGAGGTTTATGCCTGAAATAACATCACAGTTTTGCTCATGAATATGGATATTCGCATTGGCATAACAATAAAAAAGGCACCAAAATACAATTGAAAATGGCAAAACGAAAATTGGAAATATGGGTAAATGGGACACAAAGGTGCATTTTCAAAGCAATTACGTTGCATTGGCCCATTAAACCTGCAATGTTTAAATACGGAGGTCGCATGACCTTGTTCGACTCATTATAAATGTTCATGCGGGTTATTCAGTGAAAGATGTTTATGAAAAGTTTGTAAATGTAGGCAAAATAATTATGTGCAGTAATGTTATAGTCACGTGGTATTTATCACAAATCGCTATAAATCTAGGTAAACGTCTGAAGTATGGTGCTCCATATGTGCCATCGGCGTCGCATTTTTCTGCGTCGCATTTTTAAGCTGTGGCAGGGATCGTTTTCATAGATTTCATGCACGACTTTTATGCAAGACGACCAGAGCTAATATTGTGCACTTGCACTTGTTTTTTTTACACAGCTGTTTCTGCGATCTTCGATGGTCTACCACTCAGCTGGTATCCGGGGACAGCGTCGACAGTCTGCCGGTCCTACAGGACCTGTGGAATCCGCCCTACCGTCATTTCATACACGTCGGATGCTCAAGAGTCCTGGAACACTGCCCTGACGACTGTCTGGCAACCGCCCATGCATGGTTGGGAGGCGCCACGATGACGTATAAATCCGGCCCGGACGCGTGCATTTCTGCGGCTACCAACGCGCCTCCGGGCAGTCCGATCTACGTGTACGCGTCGTACGACCCCAGCGTGTGCGGAGATCGCTCGTGGCAGTACATAGGCCCGCTGTGCTGCTGGGAGATTTCGTTTCCGGGGTACGAAAGCTTCTTTCTGTACAACCATGTGTGCAATGAATCCTGTCCGCCGAATAACCCAAGTTGCTAAGTTACAAGGACATATTAGGGGTCATTTTAAATGATGCGCGTACGGTACACGAATGCAGTTCAGGAAAAAGTTACCGATTACGTAGCCAATTTCTGTGGTAATTTCACTAAACACACATAGGGCCTACATACATTGCAACTCAATTTGATGTGAGAGAAAACAAAACACACGCGCAAAATGGTGATGTAACAGGCAACATTTGGCGAGCGGCACACGTCTCGTTCTTGCTAATTTCTATTGTAGGCCTATACTACCTGATAAAACGTCTCCTTTAACTACACAATGGCAACAGAGTTTATCAGCTGTGCCTGAAATAATATCACAAACTTTGTGAAAGCAAGAATAAAGTGTTCATATTAGATGTTGTTGCATGCATGTTAAAAGAAACTTTATCAAAGTTTATTTTTATCTCACCGAAGCTATAGCAATGCTTACAAGTTCATGTAATATTAAATGCCTTGCTAAAGGTGCACGTCAGTCAAAGAATACATATTCTTGGTGTTCGTTTCAAATTCTGTTCAATTTTAGCCTAGGAATAAAGGCCTTTACAAGCTGGCTTCAGTCGAAAATGTGTCTGTGGAGAAAATAAATTAGAGAGATAAAGAAGCACGAGCTATAATGACCGCAATGAAAGTTGGTGTTACGGGTGTTGATTGTGTTAGCGCCCCACGTCATGTTCGTCCAGCCCACCCCAGCATACCAGCCGGCCCGCCCCTTGAAAACCCCTTCTAACCCCATAACCAGCACCATTGAGGGATTCCGATCCTCATTGAACGCATCAAATGCAAATGCTGCAATCAGGGGCGGACCTGGCTTTCAGGAAACGGGGGGAAGGGTATGGATTATAGTAATTCCACCCCTCCTTTAGTGACAACACTCTCTGCCATAATTACTATATCTATCAAAACAATTTTCCAAAGATATAAACTCAAACAGATAAGTGCGAGAAATGTTCAGTTTTAGATGTGAACCTTGTACCATGCATGTACCCGCCAAGCCGTCACAACGCGCGCGAGTGGTGGCGCGCTTTTTACAATCGCGCTACGTTGAGAGGCGCGCTTTTCAAAAGTAGAAAACGCGAATGCGTACAACACGCTAGACGAAGTAGAGCCCAGATATCATGAATGCTATGGGATTTACTGTAAAAAAAAAAAAAAAAAAGGTCTGAAAGTAACCGAACATCTGCCCTATTCCGGAGAAGTTCAAGGATGAGTAACCGTGCCGAGTGTGGCCAATATTTAAGGTAATTTCTAAAATAACACGATCTTTAATTCAAGGGACTAAAAGTTCTACAGTCTTATCAAAATGGCTGAGTTCGATGATGGCGATTGCATTATTTTTAGCAGCTCTTTTGATCATTATTACACTAGTGTGTAACTGGGCTACAAACTGACTACTACTTAACTAGACCTATAAATAACGGCGATTCGATGTACTGTTACTAATTCTCTGCATTATATTTCTCATTTGGTATGGAAATAAATGTGAGTTTGAATTGAACTGAATTGAATAGTTACAATGTTATGGATCCCCGCTCCTACATGTTTAGGCCTATATGAGAACGAAAATCCACTCCGAGTTAGGTTATTGGACTTAGGCCTACCCAATTTGCCTAATTGGCGATATTTAAAACCAACAGGGATGTCGTGGACATGCAGAGGGCAGGGTTTTGATTTAATCAAGGAAATTTCGGGGTAACATGACGATGCAGACGACTGTTTGTTGACTACCCTAGGTCTACAGTGTGCAACGGTTATAGCTACAGATGTCCAATGCTCGCCATACTTTTACTGGTTCTGTCATCTTGGACCTGCAAGGTTCATGGGACTACGTCGCCGGTACCGGAACCGACCGGCGAACCAACTGGGGAACCGGAACCGACAGGCGAACCAACTGGGGAACCGGAACCGACCGGGGAGCCGACTGGGGAACCGGAACCGACCGGCGAACCAACTGGGGAACCGGAACCTACAGGCGAACCAATTGGGGAACTGGAACCGACCGGAGAACCAGAGGGGGAACCGACCGGGGAACCGAAACCAGAACCCTCCGATGAACCTGTCTCTGTATCCGAAGAAGATGGCTTCAGGGCATCCACCATGGAGGTCATCCTCCCACCACTTGGTCTCATCTGCGTTATGTTGTTTGGTACGTTGAAACCACAGTTGGGTGGGAAAAAGGGGGTATCGTGCACCCTCGGAAATCAACGTCTCTAGGTCAGAAAAAAAATGCATAGAAAACGATTTGCTATTTTAAAAAATTAAAAAAATGTCCCACGGATTGTTTTTATGCAAATTAATGCCGCCATTACCGAAAAATCTATTTTTTACTGTATCTCAGCCAATATTGCAGATAACTGAACGAATAAGGTAACTAAACCCATGTTTTCAGGGTCAGAGATCAGAATAAAACTTTTCTGGAAGTGACCACATGTGTCTGTGGCATAGGAATATGCAAATTAGTGCCGCCATTACCGGAAAATCATGTTTTTGGCAAATCTCGGCCAATTTTGCTCGTTACTACACAAGTAAGGTGTCTAAATCCATGTTTTGAGTGTCAATTAAGTATCATTCTTATACCATTCCTGAAGCAACTAATGTGTGTCATGTGTGTCCTTGGCATTAATATGTAAATTCTCAAGTGCCGGTGTATAAGTTTGGTTTTTAGCCAATATCTCAGCCAATATTGCAGCTAATGTTCTGCTAAAATTCCACATTTTGTTCTACCAAAGGTCTATCCTACCTAGCTTTAAGAACTGAATTCCGACGTCGAGCGAACCACGATCGGCGTGTGCACAATCTATACATGACCCAGTCCAGCATGAAGATGCTCAAGTCTTGCCCCAAGGAAAGCCAAGCATGTAAGAGACAATAAGAAAACGAACCGCAAAAAAAAGCAAATTTCCAAAAAAAAAATGAAGAGCAGAATTTTAGGTGCGGGTCAGAAAAGACAATGAGAAATATTTTCTTGAGACCTGAGCTGTTTTCCATACATTCGAAAATAAGAGGAAACCTTGGGCGTTTTTGATGAAATATTCGTTATTTGATCAAAGGAATTGCTTACAAAGTGAAACATTTTGTTGAGGCACTGTTTTCGTTTCCAAACCGGGATAAGACTTCATAATGAACCACCTATAACACACGTCTCAGATTTCAGACATGCTTGTTTCGGATTTGAACTACAAGAAAACTTCGACGTTTAAAATACTTAGGGGCGACTATGGGCCTACGTCGAAAGACTATTGTATAATCGTTGAGAACGAATCCAGAGTCTAGTTAATGAAACATTATTTCATAAAGCTTCATATACAATCTGAGTCGCTCCTCATTTATTCTTTTCAGCGCGACTTTTGAATGCAGTTCTGAAAGGGTAGCCTACAGGTTGAAATAGATCACGAAAACGACCCTTTTCAGTTTTAATTTGTTGATCAAAACTCTAGTTCTGGAAGAGGAAGACATCGATATTCTGGACAGCATGCAGAGTTTCTTCAACCGTCCGCTGGGGCTGTGTCGTATCGCCATGCCGGGCCTGCTCTCCCTCGCTTTCTGCCCCTTGGTTCTCTTCATCTACGCCCCGGTGGGGGACTTCTTCTGGCCCGCCGACCTCTTCCCGGGAGGGCAGCCGAACATCAATGAAGTCATCGGTAAAGTCGTGCCTACAGCTTGGCAATCGTCAACATTGTTAGGCTGAATGTAACTCTGTTTATTCAGCACACTAGTCAAGACAGTATTAAAAAAAACTGATATATATTTATTTATGAAGGAAGACATTTTCGTTTTTAAAATACCTTGGTTTTGCCAAGGAAAAATATGAGGGACAAAGAAAAACCAACAAGTCATGTGGTGTTTCCAAGCATTCAGGGGTCTGACTTCTGATTTAACTCATCATCATCATTCGGCATAGACTTGCGTCCGTGGCCGCCTCGTCCTCAGATTGTAATGGGGGCGCATCCCTTGGGTCGCCGCCATCACCTGTTCTCTTTCAATCGCCGCTATTCTCAGCTCTTCCACATTCTGCCACTCCACTTCATCACATTGTCTACCCAGCGCTGCTTAGGGCGACCTCTGCCACGTCTCGTACCCGTAGGCAAAGCGTCTATAACTGCGCAGGGCAGACCTTCTTGTCTCATCACATGAGCGCACCACATAGCCTTCCGCTCTAACACCTCATCACCTGTAAGACAGGTGATGAGGTGTTAGACATTTAACTCAATTAATGAACCCATTATCGACTCCCACAACGACTTCTGCATGGGCTCTCGGGTTTTCCGGCCCATCACACCTCCTTCCCTGTCATAACCCAAAGGGTCAAGCACCATAAAGGATGAACGAAGCGGCATCCTAAGCCTTGGCTGCTGAGACCGTCTCCCCCCCCCCCCCCCGCCCCCGCCCCGTCACGCCAGATTTTGCAGTGTACATGCAATTTATATCTTTACACAGGTTTAACTGAAATCCTGCTGCTGCACAATTTTACCATGTTTTTAGATGGGGTTATGATCGAGAATAAGCTTTATGTGGCCTCTCTGGACTCGCATATTTTGCACTAAGTCTAGTCGCGCACCATTTGCAGTCATCAGCCGACAGTTTGAGGCAAAAAAAAATCAGGTAAAAAAAAAAAAGCCGCGTCGCCGCACCACTTTTTGGGCAAGCTCCATACCAGAAACCGGAGACTTATTATTTTTTTTTGGCCTTATGTACCGGAGACTTATTTTTTTTTTTTGGCCTTATGTACTGGAACACTGGTAACGTTTTAAATTGTATTATATCAAAGTATTAACACCACTCCCCAATTATTATTTTTTTTTAACCTGACGAAAATGTAACAAAGTACCATAAAGATATAACAGCACCGCGGGGAAGTTTTGATCCGTTATTTGTAGAAATGAATATGTTTCCTGATCTTTAGCTCGTCTGTGTCGCATGGCATTACGTTACAGCTGAATGACTAAAGAGATATCGTCGTTCTGGCATGTCTGGAAAGTTGAATATCCTATAATGAACTCATAACGGTAGGCCTATACTCCTACATTACAGTAGGCCTACTTTATTTCTTCAAAGGCTCCTTATATAGGCCTACAACTATTCTTCAAAGCGCTATATTTAAGAAAACAACTCATATCACGCCATAAACAAGAAGAAACCAAGTTATCTATCACGCTAAATAAGAAAATAACTCGGTTATCTATCGAGCCAAAACGCTGAAGAAGAAAACAACTCTGCAGATGTCAGATGTCTATCACGCCGAACAAAAAACAACCCCGGTTAGGTCTATCAACATCACGCTAAACAAGAAGACAACTCAGTAATTAACAAGAAAACAACTAAATATCTATCAAGCTAAACAAGAAAACAACTCAGTTATCTATCACGCTATAAACCAACAAGACAAGTTGCCTATCACGCCAAACAAGAAGAAAAGAATCTACCACGCTAAAAGAGAAAACAATTCACTTCTATCCAGCTGGACTTGAAATAAAAGATACAGGGCCGTCTAAATTTGCGTCGAGTGAAGGGGTTAACGCAGGGAATGGTAGGTTGTGGAATTAGCAACGCTGTCTGAAGCCCCCGTCACAATGAATGCTTCATTATACCAAACTTAGTGGTATGAGTGTATCTCATAAGCTTTACACCTAACAGTCCTGAATCCTCCGATTTCAATACGATTTTGCATACCCCCAGGGAGTTTGCATGTATAATCTAACAAGAAACTCAAACATAAAGGGTCTCATTGCCCGAACATATGATTTAGTTACCTTTGTTTCAAAATATATGATACAGAGTGTTGCAGCCAAAATAAAGGGGAAAACGACCACAGTTTTACACCGTAAACATGAATAATCGGTACGAAACTTTAACATAAAGGGTCTCAACGCCCGAACATAAGTTACTTACGTTTTGAATGTATGATACAAAGTGTTGCCGCCAAAATAAAGAAAAAATGACGAAAGTTTACACCATAATGCAATACGCGGTTAGAAACTTTTAACATAAAGAGTCTCAACGCCCGAACATTGTGTTTCAAAGCGTTGCCGCCTCATTAGATAAAGAACAAGAATGGCGAAAGTTATGTATCACACGTTAATGGATACATGCAATAGGCTTTATGACACGTTTTGCAAGTGTTAAAGTAACCGTGACCGTAGAAGTATTTAATCCGTTATACACAGAAATGAAATACATGCATGTTTTACGATCTTATAGCCCATCTGTTCCGAATGCCATTTTCTTCGTATATGAATGGGGGAAAAACACGTAGGCCTTATATCGTATTCTCCAAAGTTGGTACATCAACCAAATCTACTTCAGAGGGGAACGATCAAAAAATACGGACAAGCCGGCAAACAAAACACGGAAACTTTCTGTGGATTTAATTTCCTAAAAATGCCGCCAGAGATGACATGGAACGCAACTTTAGCTGTTCCACTTTTAAGGCAGATCGTATCATCGTTATACCACGGGTTGGTATCTTATAAATAGGGCACCTTGACAGCCCGGGCCGGGAGCTTGCAAGAGCTAGCAGAAGGCGAGAGACTGAACCACCGACCAACCAACCACAACTCATTTTGCCAGAAGATTCGACCGAGGAGGCCTAGACAGCAGAAGCAACTTCGCAAGATGAATGCCCACAGTGCCACTGCTCTAGTGGCCGTAGCGGTCATCATCATGACCATTGGTATAGATGCTGATCGCAAACAGTAAGTTCTTATCCATATCATACCTGATTAAATCGGCACACAAAACCATGCATGCTCTTGTGAAAAACACGTGTAAATCCATTGAATTCTTCTTGCAAAACAAATTTTTGAAAGACGTTATAAACGATGATGCACTTAAAAACTCTGTCCTCTGTAAAATGAACAACTGTCTTTGGACATGATTATATCTGCTGGACCGTAATGAGTGGCCTAAATTCGACTTATTATGTACAGAGCTAGAGACAGGCTACGATGAGAACAGTACAAGATTAAGAATGCATGGAATAGAAATCTCTTTCGCACCGGACTGTATAGGGAGTCAGAAAATTTGAATATATATCTGGAATTTTTAGTTTGGAAGGAATTAAAGGGTTCGTCCCATGAAGTTTTCTTATGAACACATTTTGAGCAACTTTCTACTCCTTTTAAAATGTATGAAAACTATTTGACATTCCTTTTGGGTTAATTGTGTTGAAAAGTGCACTTCTTAAACATCGTATCCCATGCTTTCCCGTACAAGTGAGGGCGATGTTGCTGTGATGTCATTTCAGGAAGAAAGACTGTTCAGTTTTGGGGTTTTCTGTTCAAAATTGTGAACCCAAAATTTGCTCATTGAAAACATTTGAGAGAAAGGATTGCTCTTACTGCTATTTACTGACCAACAATTACGAATCACCAAAGAAAAGAATATTTACGACAGCGAAATATCCAAATTTCTAGCAACTGTTTGTGCTGAAATAGGCTGTAACATTGAGTTTCTGTCTGAAATGACATCACAGTTTTGCTCATGAATATGGACATTCGCATTGGCATAAAAATAAAAAAGGCACCAAAATCCCCTTCAAAATGGCAAAACGAAAATTGGAAATAAGCTAAATGGGACACAAAGGTGCATTTTCAAAGCAATTACGTTGCATTGGTATGATATGAAGCCCGGGAAGGGACAGGGTGGAATTTTGTTTTAGAATTTCCTAATTCGTTCGCACGAATTACTAATTCGTTCGCACGAATTGCTAATTCGTTCGCACGAATGGCTATTTCGTTCGCACGAATTCCTAATTCGTTCGCACGAATTGCTATTTCGTTCGCACGAATTACTAATTCGTTCGCACGAATTACTAATTCGTGGGAACGAATTAGCAATTCGTGGGAACGAATAAGTAATTCGTGCGAACGAATTAGCAAACTCCCAAAAAAAATGTCCACCCTGTCCCTTCCCGGGCTTCATACATTGGCCCTTTAAACCTGCAATGTTTAAATACGGAGGTCGCATGACCTTGTTCGACTCATTATAAATTTCCATGCGGGCTCAAGTTCATGCAGTGAAAGAGCTAAGTGTTTATGAAAGATGTTTATGAAAAGTTTGTAAATGGAGGCAAAATAATTATGTGCAGTAATGTTACGTGGTATTTATCACAAATCGCTATAAATCTAGGTGAACGTCTGAAGTATGATGTTCCATATGTGCCATCGGCGTCGCATTTTTCTGCGTCGCATTTTTAAGCTGTGGCAGGGATCGTTTTCATAGATTTCATGCAAGACTTTTATGCAAGATGGCCAGAGCTAATATTGTGCACTCGCATGCACTTTTTTTTTACACAGCTGTTTCTGCGATCTTCGATGGTCTACCACTCAGCTGGTATCCGGGGACAGCGTCAACAGTCTGCCGGTCCTATACGACCTAACGAATCCGTACTACACTCATTTCATACACGTCGGATGCTCAAGAGTCCTGGAACACTGCCCTGACGACTGTCTGGCAAACGCCCATGCTTCGATGGGAGGCGCCACGATGACGAATCAATCCGGCCCGGACGCGTGCATTTCTGCGGCTACCAACGCGCCTCCGGGCAGTCCGATCTACGTGTACGCGTCGTACGACCCCAGCGTGTGCGGAGATCGCTCGTGGCAGTACATAGGCCCGCTGTGCTGCTGGGAGATTTCGTTTCCGGGGTACGAAAGCTTCTTTCTGTACAACCATGAGTGCAATGATTCCTGCCCGCCGAATAACCCAAGTTGCTAAGTTACAAGGACATATTAGGGGCCATTTAAATGATGCGCGTACGGTACACGTATACAGTTCAGGAAAAAGTTGCCGATTACATAACCAATTTCTGTGGTAATTTCACTAGACACATGCATACATACAAGTCAACATTTTGTTGTGAGACAAAACAAAACACACCCGCAAAACTGTGATTTAACAGGCAGCATTTAGCGAGTGGCATACGTCTCGTTTTCGCGTCACTCCTGAGTTTCAGCTATGAACTCTCTATCACAAACTGTAAAGAAATCGGTGGAAGCAAAAAGTGAATTGTTAACTATTAATATAAGATTTGAGGCTTTGCATGGTGGGGTATCGGTATCGTTTCGGTTTGCGGTAACACCATGTGGTAATAACTTCTGCTTAGAAGATATTAGTTCTGAAAAGAACTTGTCCTGCTTATTATCAACTTTGCTAAGTAGTTTTTTGTTCTGATAAGAACAGTCCTGCTGTAAGTTCTAAACGAACTTGTCTTTGGTCTCCATTAAACTCTTTATGATAACTGATAAATCAAAAAATTCCATGCATGATGAAAGAAAGACATGAGTTGACATCGTTTTAGTTTTGATCTCATCGTAAGGTTTGTTTTAACAGTAAGAGCTAGCTTTCACATAATGTAATATTAAATGCGTTGTTAAAGGGAATGTACATCATTGGCTTTTGCTGTAATTTTCAGAAATGAACTATTTTGAGGGGTTAGTATAACAGATCAAATATTGTTACACTGACATGTTTGAAGTTTTGTGTTAAAAAAAACTGGAAAAACCAAGAAAAACAAAAAGGTTCAAGTAGTCTGGTTCCCTGACTTCACTAAAGATGAAATGGACCAATTTATAGATGCCGGAAAATTGTAAGGTAATGGAACCAGTCTAACTGGCCTGCACCCGTTCAAGAACATGTAACCAATAGCAAACAAAATTTGGACTGAAAAAAAAATGGTAAATTTAGAGCAGTAGTTGAAAAATAGTTAGGTTTTTCCAACGGTTGTCGGCCGACCACCGTTGGAAATTTATACAAAATACCACTTTTCTTGAAAATGACTTCACACATGGTGCCATAATTTTACAGGATGATTTAGACTGTAATTTACCAACATCCTAGTAAGGTATTTCGTAAAAAAATGGTAGGTTTGTTTTTCGATGTTTGCAAATGTAAAGAAACACAATATTCCTTGTGCTCTTTTCAAATTCTGTTCAATTTTAGCGGGAGAAATAAAGGCTTATGTGTCTGTGGAGAAAAGATATTAGAGAGATAGAGAGGCACGAGCCATGACTGCAATGAAAGTTGGTGTTACGTGTGTTGATTGAGTTATACCTTCACCCACGTCATGTTCCAGCCCACCCCATCCTTTCAGCTAGTCTCTGTACTGGAGACTGGGCTCCGTGGATAACGGGTGATACTCAGACTATACATACCAGCCCCCCCCCCCCCCTCTCGAAAACCCCATCTTATCCGTAGCCAGCACCATTGAGGGATCAGCACCATTGAGGGATTCCTCATTGAGCGTATCAAAAACAAATGCCGCATTCAAGGGCGGATCTAGCTTTCACGATACGGGGGTATGGATTGTGGACGTGACATTTACGATGATAAGATGGAATTTTGCGTCGGGGTGATGTAAATCAAATTAGGTTTTGCCCTTCACCGACGTTTAAACACTGTATACTCAGTGTGTTACCTCCCGAGTGAAAGTTGAAAAAAAAATCACTCGGGTGGGACTCGAACCCACGGTAAGACATTAGGTAATTTCCTTTCAACCAGGGGCGTAAATCCGGGGGGGGGGGGGGTATATATCCCCCACACTTTTTGACCAAGGGGATGGGCTATTGAATCACCCCCCCCCCCCCAAAAAAAAAGTGGAGAAAGAAAGTACAAAAGTTTTTAAAATGCGCCGTTTTGATGTAAGCGCGAGCATACATATTGATATACAAAACTATAGCCGCGCCCAGTAGTGTCCCCCTCCCCCGCTTTTCGAATTTCCACGACCGGGCAATTTTTGGATTTTTGATCATCCCCATCCCCCCTCCCCCCCCCCCCCCCCCCCATTCGCTGACACAGATTTACGCCACTGCTTTCAACCAGACCTTTGAAATAGGATAAGTAAACAATAACAAACATAAACTTTTCGGGTATTGCAGGCCGTAGGCTAATGTCCCTTCAATATTCGCAACATCGAAACAAAAGGAGGGTTAAGATCAGTCTGTCTTGACATGCTATCGATCATCAGTGGCTAAACTGGGCCGGGGAACCATTTGCAGGGAGGGGTAGGGAGACTCCAGTGGTGGTCGGGGAGGGTCGGGGAGGGGGATTAATTCCACCCCTCCTTAATAGTGACACCACTGTCTGCCATTATTATATTTATCAAAACAATTTTCCAAAGATATAAACTAAAACTACGAGAAATTTTGAGTTTTAGATGTGAACCACGTACCATGTACCCGGGCCGCAAAGCCGTCACACAACGTACGTGGGTGATGGCGCGCTTTTGACAAGCGCGCTGTGTATACGCGTTGCGGCGCGCTTTTCAAAAGTAGAAAACGAGAATGCTTGACCAAACACGATGAGATAAGACGAAGTGGATGTAGAGCCTTTGTCATGTAAGCTGTGTAATTTATTGTAAAAAGGTCTGAAAGTAACCGAACATCTGCCCGATTCCGGAGAAGTTCAAGGATGAGTAACCGTTCCGAGTGCGGCCAATGTTTAAGGTAATTTCAAAAATGACATCTTTAATTTAAGGGACTAAAAGTTCTTATCAAGATGGCTGAGTTCGATGATGACGATCGCATTATTTTAGCGGCTCTTTTGATGATTTTATTACACTGGTGTCTAACTAGGCTTACTGTTTAATACTAGGTCTATAAATAACGGCGATTCCATTTACTAATTCATAATACTTATTCATAAAATTCTCTGCTTAGATTTCTCATTATTTGGTATGGAAATAATTGTGAGTTTGAATTGCATTGAATTAGGCCTAGTTACGGATCTGCGGTCCTCAAGAGAATGAAAATCCACAAGGTTTTAGGTTATTGGACTTACATGACATACCCAAGTAGTTGGCGATATTTAAAACCAACAGGAATGTCGTGGACGGAGGGCAGGGTTTTGATTTTGTTAAGAGAAGTTTGAGGTAAAATGACGATGCAGACGACTGTTTGTTGACTACCTATAGGTCTACCGTGAGTGTGAGCAAGGGTTTTAGCTACAGATGTCCAATGCTCGCCATACTTTTACTGGTTCTGTCATCTTGGACCTGCAAGGTTCATGGGACTACGTCGCCGGTACCTGAACAAACTGGGGAACCGGAACCGACCAGGGAGCCGACTGGGGAACCGGAACCGACAGGCGAACCAACTGGGGAACCGGAACCGACAGGCGAACCAACTGGGGAACCGGAACCGACCGGGGAACCAGAGGGGGAACCGACTGGGGAACCGGAAGGCAAACCGACCGGGGAACCAGAACCGGAGCACTCGGATGAACCTGTCTCTGTATCCGAACAAGATGGCTTCAGGGCATCCACCATGGAGGTCATCCTCCCACCACTTATCACTTATCACTTATCACCACCAAGTATCATTCTTATACCATTCCTGAAGCAACTAATGTGTGTCATGTGTGTCCTTGGCATTAATATGTAAATTCTCAAGTGCCGGTGTATAAGTTTGGTTTTTAGCCAATATCTCAGCCAATATTGCAGCTAATGTTCTGCTAATATTCCACATTTTGTTCTACTAAAGGTCTATCCTACCTAGCTTTAAGAACTGAATTCCGACGTCGAGCGAACCACGATCGGCGTGTGCACAATCTGTACATGACCCAGTCCAGCATGAAGATGCTCAAGTCTTGCCCCAAGGAAAGCCAAGCATGTAAGAGACAATAAGAAAACGAACCGCAAAAAAAAGCAAATTTCCAAAAAAAAAAAATGAAGAGCAGAATTTTAGGTGCGGGTCAGAAAAGACAATGCGAAATATTTTCTTGAGACCTGAGCTGAGTTCCATACATTCGGAAATTAGAGGAAACCTTGGACATTTTTGATAAAATATTCGTTATTTGATCAAAGGAATTGGTTACAAATTTAAGTGAAACATTTTGTTGAGGCACTGTTTTCGTTTCCAAACCGGGATAAGACTTCATAATGAACCACCTATAACACACGTCTCGGATTTCAGACAGGCTTGTTTCGGATTTGAACTACAAGAAAACTTCGACGTTTAAAATACTTAGGGGCGACTATGGGCCTACGTCGAAAGACTATTGTATAATCGTTGAGAACGAATCCAGAGTCTAGTTAATGAAACATTATTTCATAAAGCTTCATATACAATCTGAGTCGCTCCTCATTTATTCTTTTCAGCGCGACTTTTGAATGCAGTTCTGAAAGGGTAGCCTATAGGTTGAAATAGATCACGAAAACGACCCTTTTCAGTTTTAATTTGTTGATCAAAACTCTAGTTCTGGAAGAGGAAGACATCGATATTCTGGACAGCATGCAGAGTTTCTTCAACCGTCCGCTGGGGCTGTGTCGTATCGCCATGCCGGGTCTGCTCTCCCTCGCTTTCTGCCCCTTGGTTCTCTTCATCTACGCCCCGGTGGCGGAGTTCTTCTGGCCCGCCGACCTCTTTCCGGGAGGCCAACCGAACATCAATGAAGTCATCGGTAAAGTCGTGCCTACAGCTTGGCAATCGTCAACATTGTTAGGCTGAATGTAACTCTGTTTATTCAGCACACTAGTCAAGACAGTATTAAAAAACTGATTTATATTTATTTATGAACGAAGACATGTTTGTTTTTAAAATACCTTGGTTTTGCCAAGGAAAAATATGAGGGACAAAGAAAAGCCAACAAGTTATGTGGTGTTTCCAAGCATTCAGGGGTCTGACTTCTGATTTAACTCATCATCATCATTCGGCATAGACTTGCGTCCGTGGCCGCCTCGTCCTCAGACTGTTATGGGGGCGCATCCCTTGGGTCGCCGCTATCACCTGTTCTCTTGCAATCGCCGCTGTTCTCAGCTCTTCCACACTTCTGCCACTCCACTTCATCACATGATTGTCTACCCAGCGCTGCTTAGGGCGACCTCTGCCACGCCTCGTACCCGTAGGCAAAGCGTCTATAACTGCGCAGGGCAGACCTTCTTGTCTCATCACATGAGCGCACCACATAGCCTTCCGCTCTAACACCTCATCACCTGTAAGACAGGTGATGAGGTGTTAGACATTTTACTCAATTAATGAACCCATTACCGACTCCCACAACGACTTCTGGGCTCTCGGGTTTCCCGGCCCATCACACCTCCTACCCTGTCATAACCCAAAGGGTCAAGCACCATAAAGGATGAACGAAGCGGCATCCTAAGCCTTGGCTGCCGAGACGGCTCCCCCCCCCCCCGCCCCCCGCCCCGTCACGCCAGATTTTGGAGTGTACATGCAATATATATCTTTACACTGGTTTGACTGAAATCCTGCTGCTGCACAATTTTACCGTGTTTTTAGATGGGGTTATGATCGAGAATAAGCTTTATGTGGCCTCATGGACTCGCCGGCATATTTTGCACTAAGTTTAGTCGGGCACCATTTGCAGTCATCAGCCGACAGTTTGAGGCAAAAAAAAATCAGGTAAAAAAAAAAAAGCCGCGTCGCCGCACCACTTTTTGGGCAAGCTCCATACCAGAAACCGGAGACTTATTATTTTTTTTTGGCCTTATGTACCGGAGACTTATTTTTTTTAAATTGTTTTTGGCCTGATGTACTGGAACACTGGTAACGTTTTAAATTGTATTATATCAAAGTATTAACACCACTCCCCAATTATTTATTTTTTAAACCTGACGAAAATGTTAAGTACCATAAAGATATAACAGCACCGCGGGGAAGTTTTGATCCGTTATTTGTAGAAATGAATATGTTTCCTGATCTTTAGCTCGTCTGTGTCGCATGGCATTACGTTACAGCTGAATGACTAAAGAGATATCGTCGTTCTGGCATGTCTGGAAAGTTGAATGAACTCATAACGGTAGGCCTATACTCCTACATTACAGTAGGCCTACTTTATTTCTTCAAAGGCTTCTTATATAGGCCTAAAACTAATCTTCAAAGCGCTATATTTAAGAAAACAACTCGTATCACGCCATTAACAAGAAGAAACCAAGTTATCTATCGCGCTAAATAAGAAAATAACTCGGTTATCTATAGAGCCAAAACGCTGAAGAAGAAAACAACTCTGCAGATGTCAGATGTCTATCACGCCGAACAAAAAACAACCCCGGTTAGGCCTATCAACATCACGCTAAACAAGAAGACAACTCAGTAATTCACAAGAAAACAACTAAATATCTATCAAGCTAAACAAGAAAACAACTCAGTTATCTATCACGCTAACCAACAAGACAAGTTGCCTATCACGCCAAACAAGAAGAGAAAAATCTACCACGCTAAAAGAGAAAACAATTCACTTCTATCCATCTGGATTTGAAATAAAAGATACAGGGCCGTCTAAATTTGCGTCGAGTGAAGGGGTTAACGCAGGGAATGGTGGGTTGTGGAATTAGCAACGCTGTCTGAAGCCCCCGTCACAATGAATGCTTCATTATACCAAACTAATAGTGGTATGAGTGTATCTCATAAGCTTTACACCTAACAGTCCTGAATCCTCCGATTTCAATACGATTTTGCATACCCCCAGGGAGTTTGCATGTATATATGATTTAGTTACCTTTGTTTCAAAATATATGATACAGAGTGTTGCAGCCAAAATAAAGGGCAAAACGACCACAGTTTTACACCGTAAACATGAATAATCGGTACGAAACTTTAACATAAAGGGTCTCAACGCCCGAACATAAGTTACCTACGTTTTGAAATGTATGATACAAAGTGTTGCCGCCAAAATAAAGAAAAAAATGACGAAAGTTTACACCATAATGCAATACGCGGTACGAAACTTTTAACATAAAGAGTCTCAACGCCCGAACATTGTGTTTCAAAGCGTTGCCGCCTCATTCGATAAAGAACAAGAATGGCGAAAGTTATGTATCACACATTAATGGATACATGCAATATTACTTTATGACACGTTTTGCAAGTGTTAAGTAACCGTGACCGTAGAAGTATTTAATCCGTTATACACAGAAATGAAATACATGCGTGTTTTACGATCTTATAGCCCATCTGTTCCGAATGCCATTTTCTTCGTATGTGAATGGGTAAAAACACTCACGTTGGCCTTATATCGTATTCTCCAAAGTTGGTACATCAACCAAATCTACTTCAGAGGGGAACGATCAAAAAAATACGGACAAGCCGGCAAACAAAACACGGAAACTTTCTGTGGATTTAATTTCCTGAAAATGCCGCCAGAGATGACATGGAACGCAACTTTAGCTGTTCCACTTTTAAGGCAGATCGTATCATCGTTATACCACGGGTTGGTATCTTATAAATAGGGCACCTTGCCAGCCCGGGCCGGGAGCTTGCAAGAGCTAGCAGAAGGCGAGAGACTGAACCACCGACCAACCAACCACAACTCATTTTGCCAGAAGATTCGACCGAGGTGGCCTAGAGAGCAGAAGCAACTTGGCAAGATGAATGCCCACAGTGTCACTGCTCTAGCGGTCATCATCATGACCATTGGTATAGATGCCGATCTCAAACAGTAAGTTCTTATCCATTCTCATACCTGGTTAAAACGGCACACACAACCAAGCATGCTCTTGTGAAAAACACGTGTAAATCCATTGAATTCTTCTTGCAAAACAATTTTTTGAAAGACGTTATAAACGAGGATGCACTTAAAAACTCTGTCCTCTGTAAAATGAACAACTGTCTTTGGACATGATTATATCTGCTGGACCGTAATGAGTGGCCTTAATTCGACTTATTATGTACAGAGCTAGAGACAGGCTACGATGAGAACAGTACAAGATTAAGACTGCATGGAATATAAATCTCTTTCGCACCGGACTGTATAGGGAGTCAGAAAATTTGAATATATATCTGGAATTTTTAGTTTGGAAGGAATTAAAGGGTTCGTCCCATGAAGTTTTCTTATGAACACATTTTGAGCAACTTTCTACTCCTTTTAAAATGTATGAAAACTATTTGACATTCCTTTTTGGTTAATTGTGTTGAAAAGTGCACTTCTTAAACATCCTATCCCATGCTTTCCCGTACAAGTGAGGGCGATGTTGCTGTGATGTCATGTCAGGAAGAAAGGCTGTTCAGTTTTGGGGTTTTCTGTTCAAAATTGTGAACCCAAAATTTGCTCATTGAAAACATTTGAGAGAAAGGATTGCTCTTACTGCTATTTACTGACCAACAATTACGAATCACCAAAGAAAAGAATATATATGACAGCGAAATATCCAAATTTCTAGCAACTGTTTGTGCTGAAATAGCTGTAACATTGAGTTTCTGCCTGAAATGACATCACAGTTTTGCTCATGAATATGGAAATTCGCATTGGCATAAAAATAAAAAAGGCACCAAAATACCATTGAAAATGGCAAAACGAAAATTGGAAATATGGGTAAATGGGACACAAAGGTGCATGTTCAAAGCAATTACGTTGCATTGGCCCATTAAACCTGCAATGTTTAAATACGGAGGTCGCATTATGACCTTGTTCGACACATTATACATTTTCATGCGGGCTATGTTCAGTGAGAGAGCTAAGTGTTTATGAAAGATGTTTATGAAAAGTTTGTAAATGGAGGCAAAATAATTATGTGCAGTAATGTTATAGTCACGTGGTATTGATCACAAATCGCTATAAATCTAGGTAAACGTCTGAAGTATGGTGTTCCATATGTGCCATCGGCGTCGCATTTTTCTGCGTCGCATTATTAAGCTGTGGCAGGGATCATTTTCATAGATTTCTTGCAAGACTTTAAGCAAGATGGCCAGAGCTAATATTGTGCACTCGCACTTGTTTTTTTTTACACAGCTGTTTCTGCGATCTTCGATGGTCTACCACTCAGCTGGAATCCGGGGACAGCGTCATTAGTGTGCCGGTCCTACGGGACCTAACGAATCCGTACTACCGTCATTTCATACACGTCCTGGAACACTGCCCTCACGATTGTCTGGCAAACGCCCATGCTTGGATGGGAGGCGCCACGATGACGAATCTATCCGGCCCGGACGCGTGCATTTCTGCGGCTACCAACGCGCCTCCGGGCAGTCCGATCTACGTGTACGCGTCGTACGACCCCAGCGTGTGCGGAGATCGCTCGTGGCAGTACATAGGCCCGCTGTGCTGCTGGGAGATTTCGTTTCCGGGGTACGAAAGCTTCTTTCTGTACAACCATGAGTGCAATGATTCCTGCCCGCCGAATAACCCAAGGTGCTAAATTACAAGAACATATTAGGGGCCATTTAAATGATGCGCGTACGGTACACGTATACAGTTCAGGAAAAAGTTGCCGATTACATAACCAATTTCTGTGGTAATTTCACTAGACACATGCATACATACAACTCAACATTTTGTTGTGAGACAAAACAAAACACACCCGCAAAACTGTGATTTAACAGGCAACATTTAGCGAGTGGCTTACGTCTCGTTTTCGCGTCACTCCTGAGTTTCAGCTATGAACTCTCTATCACAAACTGTAAAGAAATCGGTGGAAGCAACAAGTGAATTGTTAACTATTAATATAAGATTTGAGGCTTTGCATGGTGGGGTATCGGTATCGTTTCGGTTTGCGGTAACACCATGTGGTAATAACTACTGCTTAGAAGATATTAGTTCTGAAAAGAACTTGTCCTGCTTATTATCAACTTTGCTAAGTAGTTTTTTGTTCTGATAAGAACAGTCCTGCTGTAAGTTCTAAACGAACTTGTCTTTGGTCTCCATTAAACTCTTTATGATAACTGATAAATCAAAAAATTCCATGCATGATGAAAGAAAGACATGAGTTGACATCGTTTTAGTTTTGATCTCATCGTAAGGTTTGTTTTAACAGTAAGAGCTAGCTTTCAAATATGTAATATTAAATGCGTTGTTAAAGGTGCACATCAGTCAAAGAAACAAAATATTCCTTGTGCTCTTTTCAAATTCTGTTCAATTTTAGCGGGAGGAATAAAGGCCTTTATACGTGCTAAAATGTGTCTGTGGAGAAAAGAAATTAGAGAGATAGAGAGGGGCACGAGCCATGACTGCAATGAAAGTTGGTGTTACGTGTGTTGATTGAGTTATACCTTCCCCCACGTCATGTTCCAGCCCACCCCATCATACCAGCTATAGTCTCGGTAGCATAAAAAGGTACGAGAGTAGAGCACGTAATGAATATGCATGACTATGACGTCACTAGACGCTCATGAGTATATCACCGTACCTACCTGTATATATCGTCCTCTTTCTACTGTCGCGCCGCCACCCCCTAGTGTCGCCCCACTTACCAATGATCATCACATTTAACAAGTCCTCAGCTCTTTCTACTGTCGCGCCGCCACCCTCTAGTGTCGCCCCACAAGCTTACCGATGATCATATTTTCGCGCGAGTGTGACGACACGAATATGGCTGTGATGACAGCATGGTATGCATATTCATTACGCGCTCTACTCTCGTACCTTTTTGTGCTACCATAGTCTCTGTACTGGAGACTGGGCTCCGTGGATAACAGGTGATACTCAGACTATACATACCAGCCCCCCCCCCCCCCCTCTCGAAAACCCCATCTTATCCGTAGCCAGCACCATTGAGGGATCAGCACCATTGAGGGATTCCTCATTGAGCGCATCAAATACAAATGCCGCATTCAGGGGCGGATCTAGCTTTCACGATACGGGGGTATGGATTGTGGACGTGAAATTTACGATGATAAGATGGAATTTTGCGTCGGGGTGATATAAATCAAATTAGGTTTTGCCCTTCACCGACGTTTAAACACTGTATACTCAGTGTGTTACCTCCCGAGTGAAAGTTGAAAAAAAATCACTTGGGTGGGACTCGAACCCACGGTAAGACATTAGGTAATTTCCTTTCAACCAGGGGCGTAAATCCGGGGGGGGGGGGTATATATCCCCCACACTTTTTGACCAAGGGGATGGGCTATTGAATCATCCCCCCCCCAAAAAAAATGCGTATTTCCAAGTATTTGTCGAACATCCCAATAACCAAAATCATGAAAATGTATTCAATAGCACTGAAAAGTGGAGAAAGAAAGTACAAAAGTTTTTAAAATGCGCCGTTTTGATGTAAGTGCGAGCATACATATTGATAAACATCTATAGCCGCGCCCAGTGGTGTCCCCCTCCCCCGCTTTTTGAATTTCCACGACCGGGCAATTTTTGGATTTTGATCATCCCCCCCCCCCCCCCCCCCCCATTTGCTGGCACAGATTTACGCCACTGCTTTCAACCAGACCTTTGAAATAGGATAAGTAAACAATAACAAACATACACTTTTCGGGTATTGCAGGCCGTAGGCTAATGTCCCTTCAATATTCGCAACATCGAAACAAAAGGAGGGTTAAAATCAGTCTGTCTTGACATGCTATCATCAGTGGCTAAACTGGGCCGGGGAACCATTTGCAGGGAGGGGTAGGGAGACTCCAGTGGTGGTCGGGAGGGTCGGGGAGGGGGATTAATTCCACCCCTCCTTAATAGTGACACCACTGTCTGCCATTATTATATTTATCAAAACAATTTTCCAAAGATATAAACTAAAACTACGAGAAATTTTGAGTTTTAGATGTGAACCACGTACCATGTACCCGGGCCGCAAAGCCGTCACACAACGTACGTGGGTGATGGCGCGCTTTTGACAAGCGCGCTGCGTATACGCGTTGCGGCGCGCTTTTCAAAAGTAGAAAACGAGAATGCTTGACCAAACACGATGAGATAAGACGAAGTGGATGTAGAGCCTTTGTCATGTAAAGTAACCGAACATCTGCCCGATTCCGGAGAAGTTCAAGGATGAGTAACCGTTCCGAGTGCGGCCAATGTTTAAGGTAATTTCAAAAATGACATCTTTAATTTAAGGGACTAAAAGTTCTTATCAAGATGGCTGAGTTCGATGATGACTATCGCATTATTTTAGCGGCTCTTTTGATGATTTTATTACACTGGTGTCTAACTAGGCTTACTGTTTAATACTAGGTCTATAAATAACGGCGATTCCATTTACTAATTCATAATACTTATTCATAAAATTCTCTGCTTAGATTTCTCATTATTTGGTATGGAAATAATTGTGAGTTTGAATTGCATTGAATTAGGCCTAGTTACGGATCTGCGGTCCTCAAGAGAATGAAAATCCACAAGGTTTTAGGTTATTGGACTTACATGACATACCCAAGTAGTTGGCGATATTTAAAACCAACAGGAATGTCGTGGACGGAGGGCAGGGTTTTGATTTTGTTAAGAGAAGTTTGAGGTAAAATGACGATGCAGACGACTGTTTGTTGACTACCTATAGGTCTACCGTGAGTGTGAGCAAGGGTTTTAGCTACAGATGTCCAATGCTCGCCATACTTTTACTGGTTCTGTCATCTTGGACCTGCAAGGTTCATGGGACTACGTCGCCGGTACCTGAACCAACTGGGGAACCGGAACCGACTGGCGAACCAACTGGGGAACCGGAACCGACCGGGGAGCCGACTGGGGAACCGGAACCGACAGGCGAACCAACTGGGGAACCGGAACCGACAGGCGAACCAACTGGGGAACCGGAACCGACAGGCGAACCAACTGGGGAGCCGGAACCGACCGGGGAACCAGAGGGGGAACCAGAACCAGAACCCTCGGATGAACCTGTCTCTGTATCCGAACAAGATGGCTTCAGGGCATCCACCATGGAGGTCATCCTCCCACCACTTGGACTCATCTGCGTTATGTTGTTTGGTAGGTTGAAACCACAGTTGGGTGGGAAGAAGGGGGTATCGTGCACCCTCGGAAATCAACGTCTGATCGACGTCTCTAGGTCAGAAAAAAATGCATAGAAAACGATTTGCTGTGTTAAAAAATTCAAAAAAATGTCCCACGGATTGTTTTTAATGCAAATTAGTGCCGCCATTACCGAAAAATCTATTGTTCACTGTATCTCAGCCAATATTGCAGATAACTGAACGAATAAGGTAACTAAACCCATGTTTTCAGGGTCAGAGATCAGAATAAAACTTTTCCGGAAGTGATCACATGTGTCTGTGGCATAGGAATATGCAAATTAGTTCCGCTATTACCGGAAAATCATTTTTTTTTGGGGGGGGGGCAAATCTCGGCCAATTTTGCTCGTTACTACACAAGTAAGGTGTCTAAATCCATGTTTTGAGTGTCAATGAGTGTCAAGTATCATTCTTAGACCATTCCTGAAGCAACTAATGTGTGTCATGTGTGTCCTTGGCATGTAAATATGTGAATTCTAAAGTGCCGGTGTATAAGTTTGGTTTTTAGCCAATATCTCAGCCAATATTGCAGCTAATGTTCTGCTAAAATTCCACATTTTGTTCTACTCAAGGTCTATCGTACCTAGCTTTAAGAACTGAGATCCGACGTCGAGCGAACCACGATCGGCGTGTGCACAATCTGTACATGACCCAGTCCAGCATGAAGATGCTCAAGTCTTGCCCCAAGGAAAGCCAAGCATGTAAGAGACAATAGGAAAACGAACCGCTAAAAAAAAAGCAAATTTCCAAACAAAAAATGAAGAGCAGAATTTTAGGTGCGGATCAGAAAAGACAAATATTTTCTTGAGACCTGGGGCCTATTTCACAGCGCTGCTAAGCACAAAAATTTGCTTAGCACAAAAAAGTCTGGCTTTTAAAAGTAGATTTCCAGCCAAAACTCCACGTGATGTATATATTGCTCGCGATTAGTATTCAGCTGTTGTTTTTTAGCATGAAAATCATATGGAGTTTTTGCTGGCAAACTGATTTTATAAGCCAGACTTTTTTGTGCTAAGCAAATTTTTGTGCTTAGCAGTGCCGTGAAATTGGGCCCTGAGCTGAGTTCCATACATTCGGAAATTAGAGGAACCCTTGGACATTTTTGATGAAATATTCGTTATTTGATCAAAGGAATGGCTTACAAAGTGAAACATGTTGCTGAGGTACTGTTTTCGTTTCCAAACCGGGATAAGACTTCATAATGAACCATAACACACGCTTGTTTCGGATTTGAACTACAAGAAAACTTCGACGTTTGAAATACTTAGGGGCGACTATGGGCCTACGTCGAAAGACTATTGTATAATCGTTGAGAACGAATCCAGAGTCTAGTTAATGAAACATTATTTCATAAAGCTTCATATAGAATCTGAGTCGCTCCTCATTTTATTCTTTCCAGCGCGACTCTTGAATGCAGTGCTGAAAGGGTTGTTAGCCTACAGGTTGAAATAGATCACGAAAACGACCCTTTTCAGTTTTAATTTGTTGATCAAAACTCTAGTTCTGGAAGAGGAAGACATCGATATTCTGGACAGCATGCAGAGCTTCTTCAACCGTCCGCTGGGGCTGTGTCGTATTGCCATGCCGGGCCTGCTCTCCCTCGCTTTCTGCCCCTTGGTTCTCTTCATCTACGCCCCGGTGGCGGAGTTCTTCTGGCCCGCCGACCTCTTCCCGGGAGGGCAGCCGAACATCAATGAAGTCATCGGTAAAGTCGTGCCTACAGCTTGGCAATCGTCAACATTGTTAGGCTGAATGTAACTCTGTTTATTCAGCACACTAGTCGAGACATGTAGTATTAAAAAACTTATTTATATTTATTTATGAACTAAGGCATTTTCGTTTTTAAAATACCGTGGTTTTGCCAAGGGATTATATGAGGGACAAAGAAAAACCAAAAAGTTATGTGGTGTTTCCAAGCATTCAGGGGTCGGACTTGTGATTTAACTCCCACACCGGCTCTCGGGTTTCCCGGCCCACCACACCTCCTTCCCAGTCATAATCCAAAGGATCAAGCACCATAAAGGATGAAAGAAGCGGCACCTAAGCCTTGGCTGCTGAGACCGTCTCCCCCCCCCCGCCCCCCGGCCCCGTCACGCCAGATTTTACAGTGTACATGCAATTTAAATCTTTAGTGCCTTTTTCAAATAGACAATAGGCCTAATTCAAGATATCTGAACGGAATTTGAAGAAGGGGGGGGGGGTATACTGGATTTAATACGACTTAAGCAGTATAGTAGCTGGAGGTGGGAACACCCGGATCGGGCTTGCCTGCGTTTTCAGGGGAAGGGGAAAAGCTGTGTTTGGGAAACCTTAACGTTTAGTTTCCGTTCCATTTTGGACAATATTTGTAAAGGAATTGACATTAATGTTGGTGAAGACTGTAAACGATCTTTAAGAACATTTGTTCCTTCTTTTTCAGCCTGTTTTCTTGCACCTGCCGGACTTGTTTACGCGTGAGTTCATGATTGTTCTTTTGTCTTATTTGTCGGCCCGTTCCTTCTTCCACATTAGTTGTTTTCTAATTAGACTTCTATTAGAATCTGGAGGTCTCATTCTCGTGGTCCGTTTATATAGTTCGCACCCAATTCAAGCCAATCAGGGCATTACACTATATGAATAGTTCAATAGTTAGCCTATCCAGTGAAATCAACTCGGTCTGCGGACTCTGCGCATAGGCCTATAGTCTCTGGACCTCACGACCTCGCTGTTCGGTTTCTCACTCCATAAGTTACGATGTCCTTGCCAAAAAGCTAGCCAACCATCGGTATTTACTTATGGTCTTATGTAGTAATGTCCGGACACTGTAATTAAACTCTCGACATTAGAGATAATATAGGTCCTATACTCCCGTGAAACACCAAAGGCAAGCATGGTGCACTGTCTCCCAAACGAATGCTTCGAATTTCATTAAGTTTGTCAATTTTCATGTTTTTTTTTTTTTTGACAGAACATCGTTTGGTTTCTCCTACCAGTCAGCAATGAACAAACAGCGGTCGCTGATAAGCATCATCTCGCACGAGATTGGTCTCCTGGATCAGATCATCATCATGACGTCACACATGGTTACTATCAGTTACCAGCAAAAGGCAGAGGTATATGTGAGCTACACGACAAAGTGTCGATGAAAGAGACTGAGTCTAGGTCGAAATGTGTTTGGGTCGACACTGCAATAATTGAAAATCCTACGGCTAAGAAATGGACCTGATCGTCCCTGTCAATCTAACGCATTGACCAATATTTCAATCATGACATTTTTATTGTTGATATAACACTGCCTTTATATTTTACGAGAGGAATGCATTAACAAATCTCAAAATATCGTTGACAAGTCTTAAAGGGGAATGGGGGGGGGGGGGAGTTGGAGGAGGCAACGGGATAGGTTTTCGGTAGGTATTTTTGTTAGGCCTACTATAATGTTAGACTTAATCTGGTATGTTGTTTTAGTTTCGCTGCACCGCCAGCTCGACACGATCACACCGATTTCGACTCATAATGTTAATCGGACCGGTACAGTTTAAACTGTAACTTCATTGTTAATCACCTTTTTGCAGATCTATCGGTGTATCAAGGAGGAGGTCTTGTCCATCATACTGCAGATACAGGGACGAAGGGGCGAGAGCACGGCAGATTACAACCGCGATAGAGCGAGCGGACAAATATGGAAGGTTAACTAAACACTACTGCTTGAATGACGGAGAAGTTTGAAAACCAACAGGGGAGGGTTGGGGGCAATTTGGAAGACGGGCGCAGTTCTGTTTTCAAAATTGGCGATGACAAACTTTGCAATGTGTAACATTGAAGTATATACCGGAGTCTCATATATAGCGCACGTATCTACCAACAATTAGGTACTCAAGGCGCTAGCAATTATTATGTCTATTTTTAAAGACAGGTAAATGAAGTTTATGAGAAATATTGCAGCCACTGCCAGAAACACCCAGGGGCAAATTAAACCCTTCTCTTAGCGAAAGTGTTACTGGGTTCTTTAACGTGCATTACACAACACACGGGACCTACGGCTTTACGTCCCATCCGAAGTTAATGATGAATCAGTGATACGGTTTTGGAAAACATCAGTACTTTTGATGGAATGTCTTCTTGTTTCTTTACAGACCCTAGGCTCCCTTCGAGAGGCCGCTCAAAAGGAGGACAAATGGCACTTGGACAAGGAGTTTGTGGTATAGGCATGCATCAAAGTATATGTAGCTTTTATTCAAGCTGCGCTTTGCGACAACCATGGGTGTACGGTGTAACAAATGCAGCTCGAATCAAGGCAACTCCTATCATAATCATGCTGTCCAAGAAAAAAACCCGAGGTTTCGAAATCTTCATGATTTTATTTGCTCTTTACTCTAAACTTTTCATAGCCGCTTTCGCAATCTTACAAGCCAAACTTGCATGTTATGTTAGTCATAAATTACTGACGAAGAAAAACCATCATCAATAGAATTATTTTTTTGTCTCACTCAGACAAAGATAGTAGGCCACTTTTTAATGGTCAACTCGGCCTCTTCCGAACGATATGAGATCATGACAGCGACCATCCATCCCCTGAAATGGATGTTCCTTGAGACGCTGGGTTTCTTCGCTTTCTTTGGAATACTCTTACTCAAGGTACGTGAACGAAGACAGTTCAAGACTTGGTCTGTCTGTCAGTCGGGCGGGGTGTCTGTCTTCTAGAATTGCTTGACTTATACTTACTAGAAAAACCATGGAGAAATTTATGTGTGATGAGTTGTACATAATTACAGTAAGAAAGGTTCAATGCTGAACTTGTCTTTGACAGGTTTTCTTTCTCACTGGCAAATACGCTGATAACATCGTCGATTTTGTACTAAAATCGAGACCGTGCCGTTTTGTGATTAAAAGGGTCCAAAAGTACCTGAATAAATCCTGGTCATCTGATTGGTCAGACCCACTATGTGACCGTGCAATGGAACTTTTTTTTACCGTGGAAAAGAACTTTATTCCCCTTGCGGCCGGGCTGTGGGTTGGGACGAATACTTCAATCAAATGTGATTAAAGATCCACCAATCAGATGACAGGGACTTATTCAGGCAAAAGAACAACAGGATCGCCGTTCGAGTGAAGCAATCACACCAAGATTGATTTTAAAGACTAGTTTTCTATTTGTATTTCAGGCCAACTCTTACAGGATGGAGCTGTGTATGTGTATCATGACAGTTTTCTCTATCAGCATCTTGTGTTATGTAGTAGCTGATCTAGACTCGCCATTTAATGGCTTCTTTAGGGTATGTACAAACTCAGGGATTTAGTGTAGTTTCCTATTGGGAAGGGAGGTGTTATGTTTTCGGTTTTATTTCTAACATGATTGCGAGTTCAATGCTTTCAAAAATAATTACGACGTTTGTTTTCAAAAGTTGCTTATTCCATACAGGAGAGTTTGGTTTTAATGTTGGCTTTGAAAAGTTAATCTACCTCCCTGAAAAAGAGAAGCATTAGAGAAGCATCATCGGATAATTATGGCCCTTTGTAAAATAATCCCAAATCTGAAATTGAATCAATAGTTTCCACAACTTCACTTATAGTAGAAACTTTTGGAACACTTGGGGTCCACAAAAGATTATTTAGTGCAATTATTTCTTATATAGGCATTCTTGGTAGCCAATGCCCTATAAATAAACTTTTCGAGCAAAATGTTATGGCCAATTGTTCCTTGAAGTGGTGTTCGTTATAACGGTGTTCGTTATAGAGACATTGTATTGTACAATGTATCTAGATAGGAAGGATGCTTTCCTTTTTGAAAATGATACTTGGTATGAAGATTTTCGGTAAGCCATATGTAATTTAAATGATTGGAGTGAACAGTGATTTTAAATTCCCAGCAGGAAAACCACAAATATTTTTTGTTTCCTTTGCTGTTAGGTCAGCACCACAGCTCTGACTGATCTGACGAAAAAGACGGAGGAAATGTACGTGTTGGCGATGCAGAATAAGGATCTGTACACCTGTGACGGGGAGGGGAAAACAGTGGGCGAGGCAGATGGGCAAAGTAGGCGGAGCAGCGAGTCCGAGATTGAAGTTGCTAACATTCATGTAGAGTCAAAGCTTGACATGGTATAGACCAAATTTTGTGAGATGACATCTTGATTGACATTTAGCCCATGCTTGTACACTAAATGTGGACATATCTTTGTGTATTACTTTTCCACTTACTGCGCTGCTATATGCAATTTGACCCAATAGTTAAGACAAAGTCATTGTAACTAGATGAAAATTAGGTTTCTGGATTATGGGATGCCTTTCCTTAGAGACAAACAATGTCATTGACATGGACATTGACAATGGTGGATGAGGGACATGATTCCTGGAGGTGGAAGGACCAGGACAATGGCAAGCAAGGACAATCACATTAGTAGTCAATGACCATGGCATCAGCAAGACCATGGAAGAGTTAATTACTATGATGCCAACATAATCGATGACACCGACAAAGGACCATCGGCATGACACTCAATGACATTTAAGTATCAAGAATATATTTTTTTTTCAAATTCAGATGGAGTAGGGTCTAGCAGTTTAACATTGCCTATGCCTGTATGCCAGTCATACTGTGAATTGAAAATTCCATATGCTACCCACATTGGAATTGTTTTCTTTTTTGAATGAAGATTATTTACCAGACATTGTCTGGAATTCAATATGCGGAACTGTTGATTGAAACTGTTTTTTGTAGATTGGCTTTCTCTACAGCATGTGTTATGTTCAACAGTTTGCCATTAAAGTTTCGTGTAAACATTAGTCAGTTTTACATATAAAGTAGCCAAAAGAAAAAAAAATCTTCTAGTAAGTTGTTTAGTAACTTGGCACCGATAGGGGCTTGTGCTGGAATGAGTCCGACAGAGATATGTTACACGTGTGAGAATGATTGTTTTTCCAAATGCTGAAATACATGTACATGTACTTGGAATATACTCCCTAACGAAACATGGTATGAACAAATGCTAAAAATGTGACCGAGAACCTGCAGAATTTGGAAACTTTTTTTATTCTTACAAAAACATGCAAATCGACTATTGACTCCTAAAAGGTTTCTCCTTTCACTTTTGTTCAGCAGATTTTATTTTTGAAAACAAATGTGATTTTCCAGAATATGCAAGATTTTTCTTTACAATGGTTTTGCACGATATCCATTTTTACAAATTTAACCGACACAATTTTGCTTTGTGTTAAGGTCCAACAATGAGAACTTGTTTGAGACACTACATAATAGCATGTATAGTAAACAATGAACACTAGTTAATGTTAAGTGTAATGCCATATCTATTAGATTAGTTTTAAATATTTAGATTTTTGTAAATTGTAAAGTAAAATTTAACTAAAACAATAAATATAATAGCGTAATAAGGTATAATAAGGTATAAAGACTAAAAAAATGGGGGAAAAATCAACTGAATAAACCTTTTGTCAGCAAGCAATTAAAAACCCTCAACAATTGTGTATGTTACTGGACATGTCATTTGAAGTGATTATAATGTGCAGTGCTTAATTTAAAATATAAATTTCTGTGCCAAAAAAAAATGAAATTATCTAGGCACTTCAATGAATTTTACTTTTCTATACCATGATTTTTGTTGATATTTAGTTCCTCCTGAAAAAATATTAAAATTAAAAACAATATTAAAATAAACCAAACTCACTGTATATCAACTTTTTTTTAAAAATCCTTTGACAAGCAAAAAGGAAATGCTTAAGTATTGGACTTTACACACATGCAAGGAACACATGACTTTTGTCCTGAACCCTAACCCCAACCAGTTTTCTCTAGGCACCATGCCAAATGCAACAAAATGCAACGTGGCTGAAATAAGAACCCTGCTAAATGCAACCAATTGCAACAGTGGACTCTGTTGCGTTGTGCAGTGAACCCAGTGCATACCAACCTTGGCACCAAGCAGTTACCCTGTTAAATGCAACAAACTGCAACAGTGGATTATGTTGCATTGTGCAGTGAACCTATTGCATACCAGCCTTGGCAACAAGCAGTTACCCTGCTAAATGCAACCAAATGCAACAGTGGATTCTGTACTGCCTTGGCACTATGAGCAGTTACAATGCTAAATGCAACAAGATGCAACAAGCACCGGGACTTAAGCTGCCTGCTACATGCAACACTTTGCAACAACTTTTTACCTTAGTTGTTTTCTGTTGCATTTAGCAGGGTTAACGTATTCTACAGGAAGCCAGTTTGTTCTCCAGTTTAACTCATTTTTCTTCAAAAAATCATACAGAGGAAATAAATGGAATGTTTTTCAACAAAATTGCAAACAAATTATCAAGTATTCTGCTTAGATATTGGTTGAGTTGCTTGAAATAGCAGAATTTGGTATTTGAGTGTTCAAATCAAGATTAATCATGTTAATATGTAGCCTTTTCTACCATCCTTTCTCCAAAGTCCTTCACCATGCAGGTACCAAAAGGCAAATTCTTTGCACCTAAACTTTCAATGGACGTCAAAGCCCTTGTAAAATAAAAAAATATGCACTTTAGCTCCTCAATCCTGCAAAATATTTCAAAAACCTCTAGGATTTTTTTAAGGATCTCGGAGGGAAAGGGTTAAACTTTTCCGTTTGAAACCTTGTCTGTATCATCTTCCACTTCCCTTTGCGTCCCGTTTGTTGATCGCTTCGGACTGAGCGTGAACCGTGTCTATAAAGGTTCTGACGTGCTCCGGATCAAAATCAGGGTACACGCCGTGACCCAAGTTGGCGATGTAACGCTGCGTGCCGAACCGGTTCAGCATCTTACCCACAAGGCCCTCAATGTCGTCCTTGCTGCTGTACATGGCGCAGGGATCTAGGTTCCCCTGCAGTGAAACATCGGACGAGGCTTTGGCCCTGCAACATGAATAAAATGCATACAATGTTTTTACAAAGACGGTCGCTAAAAGGTCATCAGTGCTTATTTACTGTTTTAGGGGTTGCATGTGCACGGAGTCCATTTGGTTGTTAGAGATGTTCTACAATTCTCATGACATGTACTTACCTTGCTACCTCCGGCTGAATGGTCCAGTCCAAGCTGATGACATCATATCCTATTTTAGAAAGCTCCTCAATAGCGTAGTGGCAGCCCTTGGCAAACACAATCTGCAAATTAACACACAAACTACGATAAAGGGTGGACATATGTTTTAAAATCTCTAAATGTCACCTGATTTGTTCAAACTCCTACTTTATGTCAAAAGGTAGTTGAATCATCCAAAATATTGGGATTGTTCTCTAGAAATACTCATCAAAACCACAATCTATGATATAATTCATGCTCACACTTTTAAGTTGTACACAGTGTGGCAATGGTCACAACATTTGTTAGTTATTCTTTACAAGGCTTTTACATATAACATTAATGTCTGATTTCTTGTATGGTGGAAGGAAATTGGTGTCATAATGGGTTGCTCTTCACCGCCACAATGTATGGGCAAAGTATGCTTAGTTCCTTTCCCCTCTTTTTTTCTCCCGCAAGCATATAAGCATATGTGATGCGATCAAGCTACATGAGTCGTTTGTCGACCCTGGTCAAAATGTTAATTTATTACAGATTCGAAAAGAGCACAATCTCAGCATCACTGCTGTAAAAGCCGCATGCTGATACCATTTTTAGTTCAAAAATTATGGAAGTTGAAACACCAAGAGATGTGATGAAGTGGCCCTATTTTGGCCTGTTATCTCCAAATAAAAATTTCCCGACAAACGACTCATTTAGCTTGATCGCATCACAAATAGTGCTTATGAAAATTACTTAGTGAAGTCAAAACCCTGTGATAAATTTGCCAATCCCCCCCCCCCCCCCCAACACAAAAATTCCATCATACAAGATATTGATTGTCGTGACCAACGCTATATCAGATTCGAATCAACCGACTCGAGTGACCTGGACAAGCTCGGTGGTTGAATGGCTTTAGAGGTCCAAGGTTCGAGTCCCATTCGAGGAAGCTTGCAACATTTTTCTCCTTCCAGCTCTCCCACAGCACTGGGCATACAGCACTTTCCAACCAGTTGGTGACAGGATTTCACAATCAGTACTCACCATGGGGACTGGTTCGTTGTTTGTCTCTCGCAGAGTGCTCTTCACTCTGGTTACGATCTCCTTCAGGTAAGGAAGGGCAAAGGTCATGAAGAGGTCATGACCTAACACGCCGACGTTAGAGTCGAACACCTGTAAGAGCTGAAATGAAAATAAAAAAGGATTCTGTTTTAAAGCTACTTTCATTGATAAAAAGGGGGGAAAATTTTGTGATTTAATAAAGAAACCAATGCCAATTTTTTCTACCGATTGAGAAGGCGCTGACAATTAGCCAGCTAAGCATTCAGGTGCCAGTCAACCAGCCAGTCAGACAGTCTACCAGCTAATCAGACAGTCTACCAACCAGGAACCAACCAACCAGGCAGTCACCCAACCAGCCAGTCAGCCAGCCAGCGGACCAGCCAGCCAAATGGGGAGCCAGCCAGCCAGATGACCAGCCAACCAGTCAGCCAGCCATGGCCAGATGGGGAGCAAGCCAGTCAACCAGCCAGCCAGATGACCAGCCATCCAGATGACCAGCCAGCCAGCCAACCAATCAGCCAACCAATCAGCCAACCAGATGACCAGCCAGCCAACCAATCAGCCAACCAATCAGCCAACCAGCCACATGACCAGCTAACCAGTCAGCCAGCCAACTTGCCAGCCAGATGACCAGCCAGCCAGCCAACCAATCAGCCAACCAGCCACATGACCAGCCAACCAGTCAGCCAGCCAATCAGCCAGCCAGATGACCAGCCATCCTGATGACCAGCCAACCAGCCACATGACCAGCAAGTAAGCTGACCGACCAGCAAGCCAGCCAACCAGTCATCAGCCAGCCAGCCAGCCAGATGACCAGCCAGCCAGCAAACCAGTCAGCCAACCAGCCACATGGCCAGCAAGTAAGCTGACCAGCAAGCCAGCCAACCAGTCATCAGCCAGCCAACCAGATGACCAGCCAGCCACCCAACCAGCCATATGACCAGCCAGCCAGCCAACCAGCGAGCAGCCAACCAGTCAGTCATCCAACCAGCCAGCCTGTCTGCAAGCCGGTCAACAAGCCAGCTGTAAGCCAACAAGACAGCTGCCTGCCAACCAGCCAGTCAGCAAACCAGCCAGCAAGCCGGTCAACAAGCCAGCTGCCAGCCGGGGAGCCAGCCAGTCAGCCAACCAGACCCCCGCCCAACAATCAATTAACTCACCTGTGCACCTGCCAGCACCTGTCCCACCAGGTAGTCCACTATCTTGTCTGTCAGTAGCTGCAGTAACTTATGACTCTGCTCTGGATGAGCATACAGCCATTTCTTAGCTTTGCTTAGTGTGGTCGAGTTCCCTGTACCTTCAATACAGTAACCCATAAGTGTCCACTGACAAAAAAAGAGAGAAATAATACGTACACATAATTATGCAATCACAAAAACAAGTCGAATCTCAGTTTCAGACGTTTTTCAATATATCGTTGTTTAGTCAGTCCGTCAATGATAAGTCAGTCAGAGGAACACACCAAGAAATAAAAAGAATGTAGTATCCAGACGCCACTTTGTCCGTTGTATTCAAAGTCTATGGAGAGTCAAGAAGAATTTCTAAGTATTTCCTAACAAAATTGGGTTTTACATCAGGTTTTGCCCGTCACCAACATAGATTCGAACCAGCCAACTGATCCCGCAAGCTCGGTGGTCGAGTGGTAAGACATCTGCACTAAAAAGCAGGAGGTTGTGGGTTCAAGTCCCACCCGAGTGATTTTTTCCCCAATTTTTACTCGGGAGGTAACACACCGAGTATACAGTGTTTATACGTCGGTGAAGGGCAAACCCTAATGTTGATTTACATCAACCCAACACAAATTCCATCTTACGAAAATTGGAAACGTTTCTTAGTCCCAGCTTCATGTCTTTTCAACATTTTTGCAATGACTAACCTCCATTGATGATGAAATAGGTGCCGTCAGGATGCACCATTCTTTCCCCAATTTTTTTTGCATGACAGTAAATGAGAAAGGTAGAAATTCGCTCAGACTTTTCACCAAATTAACCCCAACCAATCCAAACCTGCCTATATCAAATTTGTAATTTGCGTTATTTTGATACAGGACTGTCGAGCACAGTTGGTAATTCACAAGTCCTTGCAAGTCTTACAAGTCCATCACAAGTCTGTCAATCACAAGTCAAGTCACATGCTATTTAAAAAACTGTGACAAAAGTATTCCTTTTGCTATTGTTCATTCCCTGTTACTTGACAGACTTGTGAATGGACTTTGTGATTTACTTTCGATGGTACTTGTAACAGACTCGACTAAGGCACAACTTTTCCGAAATGATACCTACCGGTGCCCCAGAGAAGCCTATGAGTGGAACCTTCCCTTCCAGTCGCCGCCTGGTCAACGTGATGGCATCAAAGACGTAGCTCAGGGCATCAGTGACGTCAACGTCACTGTGGAGTCTGGCCAGATCCTCTGGGGAAGTCAAGGTGTTGTCAAAGACCAAACCCTTCCAAGAAAAAGCAAAACTTTATGATCTTGGAAGAAATTGTAAAGGTTCAATCTCTTGTAGATGCTGTTTCTGGCAGCCATTTAAGAGTAGTGGTTGGAAATATCAGAGATTTCAAAAAATAGGGGTTGTAATTAAGGTTGTAATTAAGTCTCTGAAGTGCAATAAACGAACTTCATGAAGTTTGGTTGCTAGTAGAAACCCTTATGCTCTACATACGCAATGTTTGAGCTTTAAATTGAACAAAGCATTGTATAATTATGTGCAGTCAAGTCATCATGGAGGAACGGGGTGCTATCAACAAGTCTAGGGAACTTTGGCGACCTGACCTGAGCTATTCAGAGCATTCCTTACAAAGTGCCATATTCAAAGTCTAAGCGCCAAAGTTTCCGAGAATAAATTGGATTCATCTTACTGATCATAGCTCCCTCACTAGGCAAACTACAAATCATTTTCAATTTACCAATATCATTTTCTTGTCTCAAGACGCCAAACTGCGATGGACTTACCTTTCCGGTGACCATATCTACATGGATGCCGAGGACTTGGGGGATAACGAGAATATCTGAGAAGATGATAGCCGCATCCAAATCAAAGCGGGCGATGGGCTACGAGAGAACAAGATATCGCAAAAACGTCAGCACTTCTCATGCAAACTCAATTTAAACTTTAAAATTTTCAATTTACCGATATCATTACTCACATTTTCAACCAACAATTTTTTTTCATTTGATGATACCTTTCTTAAAGGGAATATACATCATTTGCTTTTGCTGTAATTTTCAGAAATGGATGGAATTGGGGGGTTGGAAATATATAGCAAATATAGTTACACTGACTTTTTTGAGGTTTTGGGTTCGAAAATGCCATAAAAACCAAGAAAAACAATCATTTTCCTGTAGTCTGGTTCCCTGACTCCATATAAGAAGAAACAGAGCAGTTTACATACATTGGGGAATTGTAAGGTCAGGGAACCAGTCTAGCTGGCTTTTACCCGTTCATAGGTGTGTAATCGATTGCAAACAAGTGCGATGGTCAATTGGGGCCAGTATTTGAAAAAAGCCAGTTTTTTCCAACGCTGGTCGGCCGACCAACGTTGGAAATTGATACAAAAATACCACTTTTCTTGAAAATGACAGTATACCAGGTGCCATGATTTTACAGGATGCTTTACACTGTCATTCACTAACAGTCCAGCAAGGTATTTCAAAATGATTTGTTAGTTTTATTTGTTGATGTTTGCAAATGTTTTTTCCCTTTAAGAATTTTTTTTTTGGGGGGGGGGGGAATGCACACCTACCTGTAGTGTGACTTCGCAGGCAAGTTCCGGTGTCTGGCATATTTCGAAAAAATCATGCTCCTTTCTTGTAGCTTGAAACTCTACAGATGAAAACAAAAGGTAAAAAAACATGGAAGATAATTAAAACCTGTTGAGTTGAAGTTATTAATAATAATAATAATAATAATAATCGGCATTTAAGAACACTCTTATTAGTAAACTAAATCACAGCGCTTACAGTATTATTATTACCCCTGATCATTGGGCCAATTAAACTTTCCAAATACCATCTCAGCTCCCTGGGGAGTATACAGCTCGATGCTGCCTATTAGGCGCAAGCAAGCTTATTCAATCACAATAACCATCTCTGCCCTCACAGGTACCCATTTACTCCTGGGTGGTGAGAAGCAATGAGTGACAAAGTGCCTTGCTGAAGGGCACACGCACCATGACCCCGGCTGGACTCGAACCCGCAGCTTTACCCACAGACCACGAATCCAGTGCCCTTAACCACGAGGCCACAGCACTCCACACCTGGATTGACTATTTGTGTGGTGGTTGGGGGTAACAATGTTATGCTACGTAAGATTGAGTTCGAGTTACAGGGCTGTGGCTTGCACTAACACACAAAGCTATGGAAGCAGCTAAAGCCACTTTCCATAGGCATGTGTAGCTACCAGCCGTAGCCATTACAGATGTAGCCTTAATTTGAACTGACCTGGGAGGTATCGCCCAGCCTGCCTCATGACCCAGACTGGTACTCGCTCTGTCTTCTCTCCTCTCGCTGCTCGGAGAATCAAGTCATTCTTCAGAGGCGGGAAATTCTGAACAGAGATATGAAGCAAAATAAGCAATGAAGTTCATACAGCAGATTTAAAGAGAACAGTGTTAAGATCAGTGGTGGGATTTAAATCCAGATTTTCTAACATTTGGATTGAATTCCACGCTTTGGTTTCGTGTCTGGAAACCGGATATACAAAACCAACCCTAAAAAAAATTAAACCTTCCATTTTTTGTAAAGCCCTGTTCATACTCCACACCAATGCGAATGCGAAGCGAATTTGACGTCATGCAACATTTGCTGTGAAATTCGCCCAAGTTCAAATATGTTCAACTTTTACAAATTCGCAGCACGAATATTTGCCATGACGTCACAAATTCGAGTTCGCTTTCGCAGCAAGTATGAACTGGGCTTAACACAGGCTTAAGAAAACAAACTGGAACGTCCCCCCATTTGCTCCATGGTCTCTGATTGTAACTACATGTACATTATCTTGCTAGTGGTCTTGTTGGTACATGTATATGAATAGCCTGCCCATTTGACTTATCAGAGAGTTCCCATCCACTTTTTCAACATCTTTGGAGTGTTTTTGTAAAGACCAAGAGGTCACTGAATCCTGCAAACTATACCCAGTCATTGGGAGGGCATTTCATGTGGCACCTCACTCGTCACTTTTTGCGAGCTGGATGGGAACATCCAGTGATATCAGTTAACCGTTATTCGGTTTTAAATAAATTAGGATAACCTGATTTTGAAATCTCTGATTTCTCCCACCACTAGTATAGATTGAAAATTTTGGTAAAGTTTGGTAATGGAAGGTCTCACCTTGTGAGACATATGAAGAAAAATGTTATTGCTGCCAAAAAAACCATTGTTCACACCTGGTATTTCTGAAGTTGTTTCACTTTCTTGCGTACTTCACTGAAAGCTCTAAAAATGGCCTGTATTTGTTGGGAGTTTTGCCTGGGTGCGACAAATTGCTGTTTTGGAGGATGGGCTTGGTGCTTTTTGGTGGGCGGTCCTTCCTCATCAAGACCGGCCTCTGGGACTTTTTCCATCATATGTGCGATGGGGTTGATGCCGACAGGATACGGGCGACTGCTTCTCGCCGCACTGTCTTCGTCTCGGTATCTGATGCGTTTCATGGGTCGCGACTGAAGAGGCAGCGCGGACGCATGGTGCAATCGTAGCGAAGAGTAAGACGCGGAGGAAGGATGCGAATAGTCCTGATCAACGTCTTCCTCTTCATCAGCGTTGATGTAACCGTCAACATCTCCACTGTCATTAGGGTTGCTGCGGGCGTCGGTCTGATCAGGAAAGTCATCACCGTTTGGATACAGACAGCTCACGTGAAAGTTTTCCGATTCGCCGGATTCCGGAAGCACTTCTGGAAAAAAATAGTCTCTCGCAGACAGAGAATTTATGCCAAGCTTTGGTGGAATGGCGTCCTGGCAGGTTGGGATGATCTGACTCAAACAGTTGTAGTTTATGAGGTTACCCGCTGGAGGGCATAGCGGCTCGTGGCAAGATCCAGCCAGCGACACGTAGTTCAACCGACTGATGATGGCACGTGCTTTACACGAACGATTCCGGCATTTGAGGTACATGTTGCCATTCCGACACCGATCTCGAATGAAGATGTAACCTTCGATGATGTAACCCCTGCCGTTTCCTTTCAAACCGATGATAGTGACGCAATCGGTCGACGGCTGTGGCGCCGACGATGTTTCACCTCCTGACTGGAAACTCGGGTCATTAATCTGCGAGGATGAATCCTTGGAAACGTTTTTATCAGCCAGCTCTTCGTTTCCATTCTCAAAATCTGAGGACGCTCTTGCCACACAAAGGTCATCATTGTTGGACGAGTTACTTCCAGGCCTGGCCTGCTCAAGACACATCTCAAGTTCCTTGGGACATGGTTTCTGATCTCTGTTGGGATCCATGGTCTTTTCTTCAACTCTCTTTTCAAAACTTTTTTTTTCAACAGAATGTAACAAAAGTCTCCAGAGTTCGTCATAGATTATCTCATTTTATAGATTACGCAAGTTTGATTGGTTACCTGAAGCTATGATTGGAATGAAAGGTAGAACCAAGACAAGAGCCAACAGTGAGTTCAAAGACTGATACCTTGAATGAAACAGTTTATCACTCATTCAAAAGACTTCAATTTAACTGTTCAAAACTGAAAAGAAAGCTGATGTTGTCGATCAAAAATGGTTTACACTTTGTGAATGTGAATGTGATGTCTTCCTGGTTAGCAAAATGAAACCACACGAAACCAGACAAGCAAAACAAAGGTGAAAATGTACGCTAACGTTTGCAGACGAAAGGCAACAGTCTTACGAAGTTACCGACTTTCGACTTCAGATTGTTCGACCACCGACGGAAAACTTGTAAATTTGGCAAACTCAGATCATCGATTACATTTTCGAATCAAGGAAGGAAGCCGAACCAAGCCTGGAGACTTGCGACGTTTTCTTCACAAAGGATATCGCGGAAAGCATGCGTTATGAACGAACGACGCGACGCTCGGAGACTGCGCATCGACAAGATTTGAAGGCGTGTCGACAATATGCAAATGTAGAGACTGTCGTACATTAACAAGGCCGGCTAAAATGAATGAACAGCTAGGGAAATTGGTCGAGATTGAATTGTAATCAACACATTCGCCACTGAAAAAATAAACAAAACTTTGCTTAAGACTGTAAAAAAATCTTACCGTTGCTTTCTCTCGACCTCCCATTGTCGCGCACAGAAATTTCTTACCAAATTCGATCACAGTGAAGTGCTTTCGATGGCCGATCGGAGCAGTCGACAAGTGCCACAAAGCTGGCCCCTGGTAGCCGTCGCCACATGCACGCATAGCTTCCATGCGACGTACATGTGTACACCAGCGAAGTACAACAGACGACTGTTTCATGTTTACAAAAATTACAACGAAAATGTGTGCTCCTGGCTGCAGTACACGCGCCTAAAAAATGCTTCAAATGTGCGGGTCTTTTCCAAAGGAAAGGACCCGAACTCACAAATTGCAGGGACTTTGACACCAAAAATAAACCACACTCTTCTGTCCAGGGTTTGAGACGGAAGGAAAAAGAGCCAAATTAGCGAAAAAAGTTTTATTTGGTTACAATAATCCGTCTTTTGGGAAAACATATCAATCATTGCAAAGGATTATTATTATTACACTGTACATAAACATCTGCCAAATGCAGAGTCTAGTATTGATGAGAAACTCTCTTCTTTGCTGTTATAGAAAAATTATACAGAATTTGTGCTCACACAACAACAAAAAATACCCAAAATCCCCTTTTCAAATTGGTGCCGACTTGGCAAAAAATATACACAAGCCAAAACAAAACATATAGCTTCTAAAAAATAAGAAAACAAGAAAGATTTGGTGATTTCCAACTTGACATGGGACGCAATATAGCATTGTCAGGGTTACGTAATGTCAAATGTCAGAAAATATCGAGAGGCGAATTGGAAAAATAATTTATGGCTAGAATTACTTATTCACAAGTTTTTTCCCTTATGTATTAATTTCGGGCGAAGGATTTAAGCTTATTAGCTGAATACACACACATTTTCATTGGGGTTTAACAAAAATTTCATTGAAACAGTAGTCTCTTTAAATAAATATAAATATAAGATTACAAGTACAAAAAAGCTATTTTTTCCCCTTGTGTTCCCCCAAAAGACATCTTTACAAACTCATGCCCGTGTAAGATAATTCAAAATCAAAACGTGGAATATTGGGGCTATTTTGTACAGGGTTTGAAACCAATAACAGGAAAGCAAAAAGAAAACACGAACATTTTTATTTTGGATCTTCAAAAGCAAAATAAAACTCCAAAAGTGAATCAACTGAATAAACAGCTTACAAAGAAATCAAAACAAGGCAAATCTGAATATAAATTATTTGATTCCGAATTTCCGATTGTAAAACTTGTTCTTAATTCCGACTATTTTTACCAGCCACTACATGTTCCGTAATTCCTTCAGTTATTTTCCTGAGATTTTTTTATTTTCTGTCTTTTCTGCAAATCATTTGCCAATTAAACATCAAAGCATAAATCACATCAGTCAACTTGAAAGCACACAAATTTGTGATGCGCTACAAAAGTTTATGAAATATATAAATTTAAAGGAAGGTCTCCCGAACACAAAAATGCACAAACTATCGAAGCCAAATGTTTACAAACAAGGGTATGCACGTGGAAGTTAACGACTTTAAATTTTACTGAATGTATTTTGCTCCGAGAAAAAAAAATTGTGGAGCAACTATGCAAAGAGATTAAAACAACAAAATGTGGTGCTGCAGAAATTTCAAGAGAATCATTTTCGGTCTCCTAAAAAAAAAAATCATCATAGGTACAAAATGCTATTGCAAAAGATACAAAAAACATTTGTGTCCTTAAAAGACAAACATTGCTTTTAAATTAGCTGAGGAGTTTTAGTTTCTCGCACTGTCTCCTTGCAGTTACAATATTCCCGAGAAAAGCAGGGTGCGTTTCTCAAACGTTGTGTATATCATGGCTCAATTTGGACACTTAACGGTACCAAAAGCTTTTCAAAGAGTGTCTCCACATTTCCATCTCAATATCTTCTCCAGCCGACGTTTTCAACTGATCCACAGAAAGTCCTCGTAGCGGAAACTACGCAGACGGTCACAAAGCGTAAACCCTCATCCCTGTTCGTCGTCCGAGGAGTCCGAGTCACTACTTGTGAGGCCGTCATCCAGACTAACTTGTTGGGCCATGGAGCAGATGGGTAGGCTGACGCTGTTCCAAGTCGCTGGGAGAGCTCTGGTCAAACCATTCTTCTTCACCTGGAAACAAGCAACAAAGTAAAAAACCAAATGACAGTGAACTTGGGTCGAACAATGGACCTTTCCTGCCTGTTAATCAAACACTGTGTATTGACCAATCAGATCACGACCTTTGGTCAGGTGACCAAATGGCTCAGTCAACTTGATCAGAACTAACTTTGGAAGCTGATCATTATGAAATAAGTGATCCGCGGATCGCATGTGTCGCCTTTTTCCGCGGTCGATCCCTATATGTTTTGTGTTCTAAAAAAAAAGGTCAAATTCTCTACATTTTGAAATGACCTCACATGACCCCTAGATGACCTTTGACCTCCAATTTTGGAAGAGTTGTGATGAACCCCCACCCAAGGATCACTCTATCGAAGTTACATTAAATCCATCAAATTCTGTAGACAAAGAAGCATTTGAAGCACATTTGAACAATGAACTCTAATGAACCCTACATGACCTTTAACCTCAGTAATCCGACGAAGAATTATGTCTTCCCACCCAAGGGTCGCTACACAAGTTACACAATTTTTTTGTAAGGTCGAGCTAACATGAGTTACAATGTACATCATTCTTTTAAGCAAGCAAGCCATATTCAAATCCCTGGACGTTTTGGTTGAAATTTCTATCTAGGTTTTCAGAAGAGCTTTTCTCTTGTCGGCTGTACCTGTTGAGATCGTTTCTTGAACTCTTTCAGTTCGTCTTCAGTCAGAGGGGCGTAACCTTCTTCATTGTCACTGTGCTCATGCCAACCCATCTCCTGTAACAGCCTGAGGTAAAAAAGAAAAGAAAAGAAAACCGTCTTTGAATCAAACCAAACAATCCTTGGATCAAAGCTTGAATGAAACAAATTACTATCAGCTTGGCAAAAATGATTCTCAAGATGCAAAACTGAGTTCTGAAGCTCATGTTACAACTGAATAGAACAAAAACAAGCTTGATCGGATCTGGGAAGCTGTTCATGCATGAGTCACGTGATTGTGCCATGAATCGCCTTTTGCGAGTTAGCCACGCCCCTTAGACAACCCATTTGTATATCATGTAATTGGACAATATTGCACAAGCTGCTTTGTTGCGATTCTAACGTGATTCTACCGCGATAGGTCAATTTCTGGAAGTAGTGTTTGAGTAAAAACAAATCAGGTTTTTGTCCCCAGTGACCCCATGATGACCTTTGACCCCAGTTTGGTCATGTGACATGTTGGGGCTGGGCTACTTGACAAAGTTTGGTTGAAATCGGTCAAAATATGGAGGAGCAGCCAATAGACAATGTCAATGTTTGTTACTAACAAACTAACGAAGAGACATGGTGATTTGTTAAGCTGCTACCCGCAGCTAAAAAAGGACAAGTGTTAATGGCCTTGCAACAAGGTCCCACAGACTACTACGCCTGTTGCACCTTGTCGCATCTGACAGGGTTAGGCCAGGGTTAGCTTTACTCCAGGCACTGCCTGGTTGTTTTCTGTTCCCTGTGGTACCTTTTCTCAGCTTCAAGACTGCTGGACATGTCCGGCACATCCTTGACTGGTGAGAAGACTGGGTAGAAGTTGGGGATGTTGTCCTCCTCAGAACCTTTTTCGAATGTAGTGAAGTCATGGTGGATGTCGATACCGTTGGTCTTGATGTCGTGGTGTTCTCTCTTCATTATCCTCTTCTATTGAACAAAAAAAGTAGATCTCATGTAAAAATTTTTGCAAATAATAGTGATTTTCACTGCATAGCATTTTTTCATCGTAAAGGGGCCATGCGATGAATTTTTCTTAGGAACACACACATGTATGGAAACTATTTGACATACCTTTTTGGTTAATTTTATTGGAAAGTGCACTTCTTTAAACATTTCAATCTTTAAAAATTTAAATATTTTCCAGACAACTGAGAGCGATGTTGCTGTGATGTCATAACAGGAAGACACTGTTCAGTTGAGGGGTTTTCTGATCAAATTGTTATTGCTTATTGAAAACATTTGTGAGGAAGATTTGCTCATTGGCTTGCTGCCATGTACTGACACAACGACAAAGAAAATTTACGACAACAAAATATCCATAATTTAAGCAATTTTTGTGCTGAATAGCATTGAGGTTTCTGCCCAAATAAAATAGCAGTTTTGAGATAAAAATGAAAAAGGCACCAAAATACCCTTAAAAATAGCAAAACGAAAGGCAAGACCAACCGTCACCGACTACTGTGCATTACATGAAAGTAAGACCACAATTCATTTTTTATCGAAGTTGCTCGGATTTACTACTTGTGCCTTGCGCAATTTTTTTGTCTGAAAAAAAACACCACTCACTGGTTGTGTTGTGGGTCCATTCATCTTGAAATTTGCGTCGTTCTCTCTCAGGTTCTCTTCGTTGTTCTGAGTGACCTCTTTGGAGAGATCACCGATGCTTGAACGCCGAAGTTTGTTCAGGAAGACCAGCTTGTCTCCTTTCTTGGGTTTGGGTGTGGTGGGACTCGGGCAGGGCATTTCTAAGGGAGCGGTGGGGGTGGGTAACGGGGAGTTGGAGGGGGGCTACAGTCAAAAGGAAACACAGGAAAAACAGGTATTTAATGGTGGAGATCTGTGAAACTAGTTCTTGGCAAGGATCTTGGTATAACAGGTCTACGAGACCAGAAATTGTTAATCCATTAGCACATAACAATGGAGTGTCATGGCCTAGTGGTTAAGAGCACCACATCGGACTCATGTTCTGGTGTTTCACAGGCAGCAGAGTGTGGGTTTGAGCCCGGGTCTGGACACTTATGCCCTGAAGCAAGGCACTTAACCATTATTGCTTCATCCTTCGGATGGGACGTAAAGCCGTAGGTCCCATGTGTTGTGTATTGCAATACACGTAAAACAACCCAGTAACACTCATCGCTAAGATAAGGGGTTTGCCCCAGAGTTTCTGGCCTCCTACTAAAACTCCCTTGCGGAGTCTTTTGGAGAAGAACCAACCAAGATAACCACTCAACCACCCAGCTTGTCGGAGCAAGCTTGTAAAGTTTTCTCACATTTCATCAGAAATCACAATACTTAAGTAATTACCATGTTTGAGCTGAGATTTTAGGCTTATTGCAAGAAATTTCTGAAAAGTTTTCCAAAATGTCTCAATTGAGCACTAGGAAGTACTTACCTCTTTAGTAAGTAGTTTCATTGTGGATGTGTGGACAGGGGTGACAGACTTCTCCTTCCTGCTGTTCAAAGACCCAGCTGGCCCGGAACGGAGACTGACCGGCACAGTGCCGCTGGTACCCGTCGGTGCCGGTATCTGTCTGTTGATGATGGTCATAGAGGGTCGAGTGGAAGACACGGGAGAGGGCCGACCGAATACAGGAGCTGATCGGCCCACAACAGGGGTTGGTCGATTCAGGGATATGGCCAGGCGGGTAGCAGAAGGGTTTTGCTTGCTGTTGAGGGTCGATGACATGTTGGTGATAGATGTGGGCTTGGTTGGGGTGAGCGTTGACATATTGGTTATAGATACGGGCTTGGCTGGGGTGAGCGTTGCCATATTGATGATGGATGTGGGCTTGGCTGGGTTGGATGTGGGCTTGGCTGGGGTGAATGTGGGCTTGGCTGGGGTGAATGTGGGCTTCGCTGGGTTGGATGTGGGCTTGGCTGGGTTGGATGTGGGCTTGGCTGGGTTGGATGTGGGCTTGGCTGGGTTGAATGTTGACGACATGTTGGTGATAGAGGTTGGCTTGGAAGAAGACTGAGTCGAGGATTTGGAGACTGGGGTCTTGGAAGGGGTGACTGATGAAGAAGCTTTTGTAGTTGATGTTGGTTTGTTGGTAGTCGTGGACACTGGAGCGTCACTGATGGGTTTGGGCGAGGGTTGTTCATTCTTGCTGGATTCTTTTACGACAGGTTCTGATGCGATGCTAGTGGAAGTCACTCTGGGCGAAGACGAATCAGCGCTGCTAGCTGCCTTGCCGACATCAGCCGTGACTTGAGCGGCTTCTTGCAAAGCTGAACTAGAAGAAACGACCGAGGGTCTTGAAGCAGGACTTGCTGGTTTGCTGACTGGCGATTTGCTGATAGGGGCTTTGCTGATTAGCGCTTTTGGGGTCGATGATGTGTTACTTTGTACCTTGACAGGCAAAGGGTTGATATCTGTGGGCGTGGATCTATTCAGGATAGGGACCGGTGATAGCTTGCTAGGGACCGGCGATGGCTTGCTGGGTACCGGCGAGATTCGGCTGGATGGCACGGGAGCTGATCGGATTGCTGAATCTTTACTCCGCGAGGAAACCTTTTAATGAACCAAACAAGCAAATACGAGTCATAACCAATTTACCAAACCATGATCAGCTCATATCTGCATAACAAATTTGGAAAAGTTTACGATGTTGGCCCTGAAATGACAACAACCAGCCAGTCTAAGTTTTGCTTCAAATTAGAGAAACTTTGATGAAAAAAATTAACTGACAAAGTATAGTGCTTGGATTGGAAAACCCACACAGTAAACAGCGGTATTATATTTAGTATGTTGCCCCTAGATAAGAAAAAGCCACACATATTTATTGGGATTGAGAAAAAAAAGTTCGAGAAAAATAGTTTTTAAACTTTTTGGAATTTTTCAACAAGTGGCAGGAGACCTTTTTAAAAAACTTTTTTGACACTTACCATGGGAGTAACCGACGTCATAGATTTCAACACAACACTGGAGCTCCCGTTGGAGGAAACCAGAAGCTTGGATGTCTGGCCGGATGACCCATTCTGACCTATAACCTTTGACCCTACAGGAGGGTCTACAGTCGACGTGGATGATGGTGCGATGGTGCGAGGGGTGGACTTGGTTTCAGAGGCGCTTGGGATAGATTTCTTTATCAGCTGCAGTTTCCGTCCACTGATGACTTTGGTATTAGTTCCTGGGGGTTTTTCTAAGGAAAAAAAAACAAGATTATTTTGTTGAAAAAAAAAGTAGTTTTAAGGTCAAAAGTTAACTGCTTTAGAAGTCTTTGCTTGATCTTGTAACTAAGGTTCTTTCTAAAGTTCTTCTAAAAATTCTTCCGGCAATATGCCCAATTGGGCTTCAAAACGCATTTTAAACGAAATGATATTAAATGGAAAGAGCATTTAAAAGTAGAATATACACGTCCACATAAACATCCTTTAAAAACTGGACGTTTTGTTTGTTATTCGGTGTTCACAATTTTGTCAGGAAAAATTGTTATATAATCATTATATAGTCTGGCGCATCCCATTCAACCGTTAACAATTTATGAAATACAATCATCGAAGACGACAAAAATGGCTACCTTGCGAATAAGGTCCACTGGACCCACATAAGGCCTTCCAAAAACAGGACGCTACAAAGCCAGATGTACGCAACACAAAGCAACCCTCACTCAAAGGTTGCTTTAGCAACAGAAATTACCAATCTCCTCTTTCCGCATTTTTAAGAGTTACTTAGGGCCCCCCCCCCCCCCAAAAGTTCTGCTTCCAATTACATGGCATTTGAAAATAGAGTAGGTAGGAAGGGAATTTTTTTGGGGGGGGGGCAATTTTTTTGTGTACGATCATATGGAGGTGTCTGCGTGTAATCAAGGGTAAAAGGTAGTAATTGATGATTTTCTAGGTTTTTCCTAATTCCCCCCCCCCCCCCCAAAAAATAAAATTAGAGTAGGGGTGTCAAAATAGGGTAGGTAGGGTAACCGGAAGCAGAACTTATTTCTACATGCTGTTGAAGCAGATGTGCAGAGCTCACCCAATACCATACCATTCACTTACCCCAAGCTCCAGATGGAATACTCTTCTTTATTGTTGCACTTGTTTCTACGTCGTCACCAGTGCCAGATAGGGAAGGCTGATGGGAAAAGTTAGGGTGAATGTTACTGTAATGTGATCTAGTCTCGGGCAGGACAATGCACGCTTCCTGAATTCTCTAAAATTTTGCCCTTCACAGGTACTTTTTTTTAACTTCAACTTTAATTCGCCCAAACCTTCATGTAGTTAAACAAAAGGGGAAATACAAGTGTTTAAGTTTAGTCCATCACAAGTCCTCACAACTTCTCACAAGTCATCCAGTCTCAAGTCCGTGATAAGACTTGTGATGAACGTGGCATTGACTTGGCAACAGCAACAGAAAGAGCAAGAGTCAATACATCTCAAAGAAACAATGATAAGTCTGGAGTACTGTAAGATTAACACGGCACCCTCTATTGGTGGAATACTTACAAAGTCCTGATTGGATAAGGCACTCTTGGTATCGCTTTCCTTCCCCGCGTCGTCTGCTCCCTCCCCCTGCCCCTCCTCTTTAGTGGGCGTGTCATTGCTGTGATCCTCTAGCTCCGAATATCCACTCTTGGGTCCAGAGTTATACCTGGGTGATACAAACCACAAGGAACGTTAACCCTAACCCTGCAATGGGTATTTTGTCCGGACCCTGCTGTATCCGTCAATGTACATAGAGCTGTTTAAGAAATTTGCTAACCACACTGTATTTAGACAGCACTGGTTACCAGCAAAATTTTCACACAAATGATACGGCACAAGGCTGGGTCTTAAGCTGATTTTGCTTAGCCCACAAATTTGCTGAGAACTACTCTCTGCTTAATTTGAATTTGGGCACCGGATTTAACAACTGCATCTGTAGAATACTGTGCAAACTCCTTTAGTAGGATATCCCGCACAGTATGTTTATGCCCATGACCAACCATTGTTTTTAACACTACACGCTCGGCACTTTCCTTTGAGACTAGGAGATAAAATTCCACAGATTTGTTTTGACAGGAATCAAGCTCAGATATCCCGCATACTTGTGCAGGGAAGCAAGCTTTGAAAGCGGGATGAACAAACCGATAAATAAATTTGTCCAGGTACACATAAATGACAAACTATAGGGCTCGTTTAATGATGGCCATCTCTGTAGGAGGACTGCAACTGCGTATTTTATGCAATCAAGCATGCATTGCGAAGTGTTGAAAATGCTCCAAACACGCGCGCTTGTTGCTCGTTGCGCTTGTTGCTCGAAATGTCTTCGAACGCAGCGGATACGCCTATGCAAGTTGATGCTCGAAATGCCGATGCACGTGGATGGTATGTAGGAAATGACGTCATTTGAACGAGACCTATACATGTACTGGGTTTCAAACTGTTTTTCAAGTTTGAAACAGATGTCCTCGCTTCAGTGGGACTTAACCAACAATGTCCTGCTCACTCTTGAAGATGTCTAAATTTCAAGCAGTCAATTCTTTCTTTACCTCTGTCGTCCTGTTCCAGCCGGCTTCCCCTGTTGGTACGGCCCTCTGCTTGAGGCAAACCCGTTGCCGTCAAAGCGCCCGTTGTTGGAGTACTGCTGATGACCGTTGCGGGGTACCGAGTTACCCCGGCGGGGGTAGCCTGACGTCCCGCAGGTACCACTGGAGTTACCGTTGAACTGGGAGAGGTTCCAATGGGTAGTGGGGTCCGGATCCCAAGGCAGAGAATCCACCGAGTGGTGACGGTTGTTTGCATTGGAGTATTGGCGATTCTCTGCAAATTGTGAAACAAGTTTATTTATTACAGGTGTTTTTTTTAATTCAAAGTAAGGCCAAAAAAATAAAATACCTCGGTCTCTGGTCAGCGCGCGTCGATTTTAATTCTGCGCGTCAACCTTTTTTTCTTCTTCAAATTAACAAGGAAGCTACAACAGCGCCCTCTATTGCCGCACCTCCTCAAATTTTTGTACCAAGGAGCACCAAGGAATGGGGAAATTGCACCAAGGCAAATGATAAAGGGCACCAAGGCAAATTATGGAGGACACAAATGTATAATGAGGACACAAAAAGCAAAATACATGTAGTACCCACCTTGTCTGTACAATTCAAGGTTGAAAAAAAAAAAAAAACACCAAAAAAAACATATAAAAAAAACGTGTCGCCGCATCAATTCCAGAACTTCGGTCTGACCAGAGACCGATTATTTTTTTTTTTGGCCTAACAGTTATTTAATTAATAGTCAAATTAATCCACTAGTCCCTATACCCCCAAATTTACCCCCATGCCCCCCCCCCCCCCTATTAGTATACCATCCAAAACGGCCTTGTCTATTACTTACTGAATAAGCAAAAAACAAACATGAGAATCAAGATGATTTTAAACTTGAAGGAAAGAGACAGTTTGCATTCAATAAATGACAGACAACAAATGACAAGTAACACAGTGCTACATTTTTAACGATATTAACCAGTAGACTGAATCGGAGAAATGTTTCACAGACTAAAGAGACAATTCAGGAGAAAAAAAATTGACAATTTTGGGATAATCTTTTAATGAGTTCCAAGCAAACATACGTATTCAAAGTTTTCAGCAATTCCAGTAATAGAACATATGTTCATGTTATTTATTTCCTTGGACATTATTCTTTGTATTTCATTATCTTATTGTGGTTTTTTCTCGTGTGTCCTAGATCGTATTTGGGCCCAATTATTTGGGTTTATCCGTAAAAAAAAAAAAAAAAAAATACATACCTTCCAATTTGAAAACTTTTGAGTTTTGAATAAAAGTCTTAAAAATAAAATTAGGTTTTGCCCTTCACCGACGTTTAAACACTGTCAAAAAAAAAATTCCACCTTATAATAAAAGACTTACCATCTCTGCCTCTGAAGCCAGACTGGTCGTGAGTTGGCGATCTACCGTAGCCATATTGTGAGTCTGTGGAGTAGTGTCTTGATTTGTATCTGTCCGGGTGTTCGTCCGGGGGTCCTGGTCTGCCACCGTGGCCGCTGTAGTTTACAAGTGGTGGCTTGGATGACTGCTGGGGGATTGACAATGTTAAATGAGGAATTTAATAATAAAAGGGAACACTGGGGTCTCAAAGGATATATTTGCCTGACAGTGACAGTGCTGTGTTCCAGTCCATTACAAGTCTAGTCAAAAGTATATCACAAGTGGGTCCAAAAGTGTGACCTTTTTTGGTGTCCCTGTTACCCCTGACCTGTGTGATTTGCCATTCAAGTATCATTAAAATTGACTTCACACTAATTTTTATTTGTTTGGCAGTACTGTGCTTTACATAATCACTCTTGGAGATAGAACACATTAGCCCTAACCGCCCCGAGTTCTTCAAAATCCTCTTTGCCAAAGTGGAGGAATTTGGAGGATTGAGGTTACATGGCAAAAGTGCGTTACTGATTTCGTAGAATGCACTTTGTCAAGGTCTTGGGCCGGATCTTGTGTTGTTTTTGCTCAGCCAAACATAAATATAGGCCTGGATTAGACTTTAAATCCTCCGTACTGCTCCAGGATGTCACTGGCCAAGCCTCAACATATCGACAGTCACTGCCGCAGGATTTGGCAGGATTCAGGCAGTGGTCCCCTCTCCATGGACCATATTCAAGAAATAATGGAGGAATTTGCAGGATTTTTCCATAAGGCCAATTGGAGGATTTTGCAGGATTGAGGCTACATCCTAGCAAAAGGGCCTAGGGAGTTAGGGTAAAAGCATGTGTCCTGAATTACAAACTCCTATACATGCCAGATGCAACAGGGACACAAAAAATTGGACCCCAAATTTATGGAATGACCCAAGTCATTTCACAAATCATATCAACAAGTCCAGTCACAAGTAACAGGGAATGAACGATAACAAAGGAATGCTTTTGTCATAGTTCATTTGCATAGTTTGAGACTTGTCTTGAAGGACTTGTGATGAACATGTAGGGACTTGTCATGGACTAACAAGGATGAAATGTGCTGCTACGATTTAACCCTAACTCCCTAGCGTCTTTTACTAGGAACTGGACCAAGTCCATCAAAATCCATCCATCACTGTGCGTCCATAACAAAACTGTACCTGACATAATGCAATCCACCACTGATGCACTGGTTGACATTCATGGACTTGCTACACATGGCTTTTATCACAATAGCAGTGCAGGAAGCTAGGCAAAATTAATTGGATACCCCCAGCACTGCTTCAGGCCATTAGACCCAAGTCCGTCATTCTCCATCAATATTTAGTCACCCCAGGCCTTCTGGAACGTGTCCCCCAAAACCCACCAAAATGGGGGGATGGATTTTGATGGAGTTGGGGTGGTAAGGGTTGAAAGGGGTAGAACTGATGCCAAAAATTGACAGATTAGCTCTCTTAAAAAAAGAAAGTAGTGTCGATTTTTTTTTAATGCAGATGAATTTACAAATACCGAAGAATATTTTCATTTCATTTCATTTCAAATTGGTTTATTATAAAGCATCATGAATCGCAGCCAAGGGCTGAATTGCACATGATTTACATTTTCGTTTTAACAGCTAAAGAAAATTACAATTACATATATTATAATTATATCTGAAGAACATCTACAACTATGGCTGAATAATACTACAAATGCCGAGTACTGACCTGTTGGTGTGAGGGGATCTTGAGCCAAGCGGGAGCGAAGTCATGCTCAGGAGGGTTGGCCATGTCAGCCAATACCATATCATACTGCCCCTGGAAAAGTCCATAATTATAACATGTCAATACCGATCATCAGACAACAGTAAACTCAAGGAACAGTTAGCCAAGTTGCTCTGTGGTTGCTCTGTGTCCTCGGGACACATAGCACCCGAGGCGAAAATGTCATATCCTACATCACAGCAGTCAACAATTGTTAATTATTACCATAGAGCTGTATTAAATTACTAGAGCGCTAACTCGTCATTCTGCGCGCGGAGACGCTTTGAAGCCGTCCTGGGCGCAGACATTTTGAATTCATGTGCGTGTTTGTAGAACATAATAAAATTAGATGGAGTGAATTTTGAAAGTGTACTCTACATGCAATGCGCAAGTAGAACATACGCAAACAACTTAAGCGCGTCACTGACGGTTAAAAAAAACGTGATGGCAAAAAGTATCTGCAGCGAATATGCACACGCGTTGCGCTGTTTGCGTAGAGCAAAATGACACGCTCATTTGCTGATCGTGCGTTTCGGTTTTGGGCGTTGCCGTATTAGCTTCGATAACGCACCGGTATGGAATACAAACGCAGATATGCAAATAGCCGTACAAAAGCCGGACAAAATTTCCATAGATCTCCATAGGTTTGTGCACAAACATGGATGTGCCCAGCAGGCATTACTTTGTACACGAAGTTAGCGCTCTAGTAATTTAATATAGCTCTTTGATTATTACATAACTGTCGTAGCATTTTGACAACAACCCAAATATCCGACATATGCCAAAATGCATCAGTGAGCAACAAACAAAAGGCTACACTAAGCAAAATGGGTCTCCAACACTTTGGAGCAACCTTTAACTTGTTAAAAGAAAGTGTAACTGTCATTTTTGAAACTGGCGTCATATCAGCACATGGGCAATTGGAATCAGCAAATGTCATTCAAGTTTCAATTTCTATTCTTGGGCAATTCCAGCTTTATGTTATGTAATAGACAAGCTCAATGAATAAACCTGAAAATGTTTTTTCATTTCCACATGTTATTATACCCATCATATCTAGTAACGGTCAAGGAAATCACAGACCAGGAGTTCTGCATCACATCTCTGAATCATTAACCCTAACCCTCCTCAATCCTCCAAAATCCTCCTTGTAGTTTTGGAGGATTTTGGAGGATTGAGGCTGAAAGGTATTTTTCAGAAAAGGATTTTGAAGGATTGAGGCTGAATGGTATTTTTCAGAAAAGGATTTTGGAGGATTGAGGCTGAATGGTATTTTGAGGCAGGCCTGTCTGACGATTTTGAAGGATTGAGGGGCTGTGTACCCTTCATTTAAACACAAGTGCAACATTTTTGGATGAGGATTTTAGAGGATTGAGGATGAATACATTTTGAGGCAGGACTGTCTGAAAATGTTGAAGAATTTAGGCGCTGTTGTAAAATTTTGGAGGATTTTGAAAGATTGAGGATGGTTCCTAGCAAAAAGGCCTAGGGGGTTAGGGTTAAAATATAAATGAGACAATTCAGAGCACATACCTCCTGACTTGGGCAGACAATGAAGGCGGATCGCGTTCACTGTCTTGCAGGCACTTGCTGTGTCTTCAATGCGTCCTCCCCCGTGCATAAAACGCTAAAAGTCTTTGATCTAAAATCTCTTGGCTGGACCAGTGTCGAGCGTGTATCGCGGGCTACCTGGCCATCTTAAAAACCGTCGCTGCTTACTGTCCCAAATCAGATGGGTCCACCTCAAAATGCAGCTTGGCGTTGTCGAAGGTAACTATGCAGTTCTGCCAACTGTCTGGGCTTACGCTTTCTTAGCAAGGCACTTTGGATGTGGTTCTTAGTCTCAGTCTAACCCTACGCGAGCTGTTATAAAAGCCACTCGACCATTTTACTGCTTTCCAGTACAAACTTTTGAAGCAAACAAAACAATTTTTTTTTCTCTACATCGCAGAATGGACTTCAGACTTTCATGCGCAAAAACACTGAACTTTTTTTGTTAGTGCACCATTTTGGAAACTTTGTTACGAGCTACAAAACTGTAATATTGCCATTACTTTTTTTTCGTTTGGGAAACAGAGCATAGAAAATAACAAATGAAAGACCCAAAAACCTTTTGCATAAAAAAACCGAATATAGCACAAAATCACCACCAAAAAATGAAATGAAAACAACTTTACTTATGGAAGCACAGAAAGCTTGGCTTGTATTTTTGGAAGACAATAAAAAAAAAGTTAGATGTCACATTGCGATCGCCAGCAGTGGTAAAACTATTGTTGGAACCTGAAAAACGATATGGAAATTCCACTAGCTTTGAATGTAGTTTAAGTAAAGGTGACTCCTTCCTTTATGCAGTCATGGTGTGTGTATCGACTGATGGTGCATGCTTTGAACTTTGAAGACTTTCAAAACCAACTCTTGCAGATATGGATAGCTGGCAGTATCTTTTTATGCACTCCACACAAAAGTAGCCGTTTCAGATTGATATGTTGTCGCTTTATCTAAGCCGGAGGAACAATGTAACTCCCTTGCACATATCTCGTTGTCGTTTTTTTTTTTCAATGGAGGCGCCTCAACTTGTAATGTCACACCAACATGGCTCTTGGATCCGAGTCAGGAGTAAATAACAGCTGTTGAAAAAGAAAAAGTGAGCATGTCCAACAATCACAAATATTGTGTAAATGATAACTTAAACTGGATTTTTTTTGTACATTTTAGGAAGACTATTTTTCTCGTGAAAATGAGCAATTCTGAAAGTGTGAAACTGAAAAGTATCCGGTCTATATCAGATACTGAGACTGCAAGTGCCAAACTTGGTTCTTAGTTTTGGTTTTCGTCTCATTAGACTCGAGGTAACTTTACTCTTTAGATTGCAACTTTTGTAAGAGTCAGTTAAAAAAAAAAAAAAGATTTTTAACTGAACACTTAATAAAGTTCTATTTTTAAAAATCTTTCCTCACCATTCTGACCATGTACAAAAACATGTCGAACTTTGTCAAATTTTGATTTTCACATCTAGGCTTAGTTCGCAGTTTATTTGGCTTAAGAAGCATACTCACCCTCTTAATAGGCTAATTAGAAAGTGCTGCCTTTTTCAGAAATTTCATGTTGAAATTTTTATACACACACGTGTGCAAACAAATCTGGAAATTTCACGAAAAATAGACATCTGAAAAAGGCAGCACTTTCCGATTAGCCTATAAAGAGGGTGATTATACTTCTAAAGCAAAAATAAACTACAAACTAAGCCTAAAAGTAAATGTGAAAATCAAAATTTGACAAAGTTTGACATGTTTTTGAACATGGTCATGATGGTCATGATGGTATGATGGTGGAAGTGTGGCCTTTATTTACGGAGGACAGGTAGGTAAATTGGCCACATTTAAGGGGCTAGCCCTAGAAGTAAGTCCGTCATAATTCATGCATTTATAAACGATCCCATTCGCGTTGATTGTCGAGTTCAGCATGTTCCGCGTCGTTAAAAAGTCGCCTACAGCTACGACGTGACGGAGTTACATGACTCTTCACTGTGTCATGACTGTCGCACACATTGTCAATGCAATGATGCATGTCGTTGAAAAAGTTGTTGAAATTTCGGCTCAAAAAAGGACGTCATCACCGAAACATTGATAGATAAAGGAATCAAATACTTACATAGAAACACTCGTTCCAAAATGACAACGTGATCATGGCAATCCATTCGCAGAATTTTTCCGACAATCTTCCTGAAAATTGTCAACAAGTTTCACAACTTTACAAAATTTACAGTAATTTTTCAACATGGAGGCTCTGATCAACTTCTCGTCAATTATCGTTGTAAGTGGATTATCTCGCGAGAAAAGTTGTATCAAAGTTACAAACAAAACCATATTGTTATTATTTGAACATATCAAAATCTTGGTTATTCACGATTTTTAAACCTTAATTTTAAATCATGTATATGAATAATAAATGGTGGATAAATAAAAAGTTTTTCAAGATTTTATTTCACGTGCAAGGAATGTGGTCAAAGGTCAAATTTACGATTGGGCGCGCACGCACTGGACACGCATAAAACCATATCATCCTCGCTCTCACAAACGATTTAACCGGCCGTATTTTACGCGGAAATACAAATTACAATGCAATGTAGTCTAGTCGTCCACTGCCGGCCGGTCAACAAATTATTTGTTCCTCCTTTATGCGCTTGAGTACACACTTTGTACTTTTTATTGTCAATGAGTTTAATAACAAAGCTCATAAATAACTCGGTGAGAGTACTAGTCATATCTCTGTCAATCATTGCCTGTTGTTGTATCATATCCTCCATGGCAAAAAATGGCAAAAAAAATGTGTCCAATGAAAAACTCATGTTATATATTACGCAGTGGCTATTGTTACGGCAGCCGTAACGCATTTCCCATTTTCTATCGTTACGGTAGAATGCAACTTTTATAAAAACATGACAAGAAAATATAAAATTAGAAGGAAAAAAGTCCAAAGCCTCGGGTTAGAAAAGGAAAAAAATTCGAGTGTAAAACTGAGATTCGAACCCGCAACCTCGCGGTGCAAAATCCTACCCTCTATCGACTGAGCTGTCGCACCACTTGCTAAATCATGTGGAAACAAATAATGATATACCTGCGTGCGTATCAAAAAAGTATCGTAGAGGGTGCTAAACAACGACTGCCGTAACGATAGCCACTTCGTATATATTAATATTTAAAGAAAACTTGTAATTTCTGATTTTATGACTTGGGTCTTGCACCCTTGGGGTTTCATCCGGAGGGGTTCATTATTCTGAGTAGAATTTGACAACATTCAGATTGAAAGTATTTGTTGCTCTTTTTTCACAGCAAGCACAGCACAATGTCTAAACTTCTGAAATGTCTCCGACACCTCAGTAGATTGAATTTAACAGAGGCTTCAAGTTCAACCCTCACAACATCAGTTAATCATGATGCAAAGCCGTCATGGAGTATCACGCGGTGCTACTTAAGGACCTCGTCACAGTCCACTGCAATTTGGAAACCTCAAGGACTTGGACCATCAACAAATTTGAGTTCTCCTAGTAACAGAGGACAAGCGACAACTTTCAATAGATCAAGATTTGGGTTATGCTCTCATGACTTTGGTGGTTTTCCACTTGCAAGCACGGCTTGTTTTCACACCTCCAGCCATCAGAATGGCAGGGTATCCAACTTCTTGACGAGACATCGACAGGGTCTTGGGGAAGCACCTCTCCCTGCGCTGATGCTTGGTCTGTCTGGGTTGATACCCTTCGTTGCTCCCGCTGTTTACACCGCTGCAACTGTCACAGTCACTCTAAACATCCTGTGGGCCCAAGCGGCTTATGGAGCCTCCATCCTATCGTTTTTAGGAGGTGTAAGATGGGGCTTTGCCTTGACAGAAAAGGAAGGCGTTGGACCAACGTGGTCCATGCTGGGGTACAGCGTTATGCCGTCCCTCGTTGCGTGGTTAGGCTTACTGATGCCTCTCCAGGCCAGCCAGATTTGCATCATGAGCGGTCTGCTGCTGGCCTGGGCAGCAGACATAAGCGTCAAGGCCTACCCTGCGTGGTTCAGATCTCTGAGACTCATCCTTTCTCTGTTTGCCCTCCTGTCCCTCGGAGTGTCGTATGGGTTCTGTTTGATCTACGAGCCCACATCGGAGAAATATGGGTCTAATGTTGTGAAACTCATCAAAATTGTCAAAATTATCTTGGAGGATTAAGTCATTGAAGAATATGAATAGTGCTTGACAATTTGGGGGGAATGTTTGGAAAGTTACATGCATCTAACTGCTGGCTAGGGGATTGTTCATTTGTTACTGGTTGGGGAGGCATTTATGGACAGAGATTATCTTTATTAGTTATTTTTACTTTAAAAAGTTTGCTTCCATCTATCCATTAAAGTTGGAGTTGCTGAACTTAGTACAATTTAAAAAGTAGATGATCCAAGTTTAACATTATTTGATGCGATCAAGCTAAATGAGTCGTTTGTCGACCCCGGTCAAAATTTGGTTTATTACAGATTTGAAAAGAGCAAAATCTCAGCATTACTGCTGTGAAAACTGCATCCTGATCCCATCTTTAGTTAAAAAAAATTATGGAAGTCGGAACACCAAGAAATGTGATGAACTGGCCCTATTTTAGCCTGTATCTCCAAATGAAAATTCCCGACAAACGACTCGCGTAGCTTGATCGCATCACACATGCTTGTCACCTGTGTTCTAGTGAAGTCCATCACAACTCCATTCATAATTTAAATGTCATTAAGTCCAGTCCCAAGTAACAGGATGGACAAAAACTAAACAAATGCGTTTGTCACAGTTCATTTGAATAGCTTGTGGTTACAGACTTGGAGCTGAATGACTCCAATAATTGTAAGACAGTTACAAGCTGTATATTATTAAGCTAGCTCTGAAAAGGGGCTGAACTGTAGAAAATACCATTTCTCAGTCAGAGTGACCACAGAAAAATGGAATAGTCTCCCAGCAAGCATCCTAGAAGCTAAGATCACACAAACCAGTTCCAAGACACAGCTGGATAAGTTTAGGAAGGCAAAAGGCTTAAGCTTGATAAGGCCAAAAAAAATAATAAGTCGGTCTCTGGTCAGCGCGCGCGTCGATTTTAATCATGCGCGTCGATCTTTTTTTTTTCCAAAATGTTCCGCGGTAGCTCCAACAGCGCCCTCTATTTCCGCACCTCATTTTTTTTTACCAAAGAGCACCAAGGAATGGGAAATTGCACCAAGGCAAATGATCGAAAGCACCAAGGCAAATTATGGAGGACACCAATGTACATGAGGACACAAAAAAAGCAAAATAGTACCCACCTTGTCTGTACAATCCAAGCTTGAAGAAAAAAAAAAAAAAAAAAAAAGAAGCCGCGTGGCCGCGTCAATTCCGGAACTTTGGTCTGACCAGAGACCGACTATTTTTTTTTTTTGGCCTAAACCAAGTGTAAGTGTGGAAACTTGTGACAAACTAAACTAAAACTCTACCAGTACCATTTCTGTGCATGTCTGCATGTATCCTATAACTAGCTGCGTATATTATGGGTCATTCTATACATTTGGGATCCACTTTTTTCCTGTCATTTTTACATCTGACACCTTTGATTTTATTTTTGCAGTCCTGAATGCATCATCCTCAAACCCAACAAATAAAACAATTGTTTGAAGTCATTCTTAATTAATGATACCTGAATGGCAACAACAGGGGAAAATGTCACTCTTGGACCCTAAATTTATTGAATGACCCATACATATACATTTGAATACACTCTTCATGAGAGATTTATTTTTCTCTCCTTGCAGTGCATATTACTGATTTATTATGGATTGCACAATTTGTACATTGACTGACATGCTATTCTTAATTTTATAATCATTGTTAAAACATTTTAATGTCACTTATTTATCTGTTCCTCAAGTAAAATGCATAAATGATGTTTAGAAATGCAGAAAAATCATTTTGGGTTTTGATAATCTGAACAAAAACCATAAAACTATTGTTCTGAGCAATTAAATTTTCAATCTTGAAAATCCCATTTAGTTTGTCTGTCCTGAAATACATGTATGTCTAAATTTGAGCATCTAATTGGATATGTCGAATTACAATGTATTTTCACAGAGGGTGCTATTTATGTTTTCTGGTGTGTCATTTCGATAAGCTGTAAAGCAAGCTGTGAGAATAAAAAGTACTAAAGTAAGCCTAATTGTGGGAGTTTTCATCAAGATACAAGTCATCACAATGTGTTTAATATCACAAGTCAATCACAAGTCAATCATAAGCCAATCACAAGTCAATCACAATTCATTCAATCTTCGCATTGACAAATTATTCAAATGACACTTATACTGGAGTTGTGATTGGACTGTGGTTGAGTCAGACTCGTGATTGGTTTGTTAAAGGGCACAGAAGTGACATTTTTCCAAGGGATCCTTGGAAATGCCCCTTTGTGTACGTGTCCCATTTAACCTTATTTTCAATTTTCTTTTTGCCATTTTCAAGGGTCTTTTGGTGCCGTTTAGTTTTTATGCGAATGAAAATTTCCATATTCATGGCAACAGTGTGATATCATTTCAGGCAGAAACCTCAACGTTAAAGCTATTTCAGCACGATAATAATTTGAACAGAAAACCCCTACTAAACCGAGCAGAGTCTTTCTGAAATGACATCACAGCAACAGCGCCCTCGGTTGTCCAAAAAAGCATGGAATTTGTTTTTAAATGTTTAAAGAAGTGCACTTGTTAATAACATTAACCAAAAAGGGATGTCAAATATTTTACTTACATTTAAGAGGAGTAGAAAGTTACACAAACTATATTCCTTAGAAAAAAAATGGACCGTTAAATATTTTGATTAACTCAATAGATAGATTGCATTTAGCAGCCATGGTGTTTGTTACATTGATTCATTGCTCTGTTGTTATTTCACAAAAAGTCTACTCATAAGTATCACTACTGAACAAAAGCACACGCCTCAAAGATGGATACAGTGCAAACGGTCTATATAAAGACGCTGTCAATGAATTGAAATCAAGCTTGCCGGCTTAGCCCCCACCCCCGCACCGCAAAACAGATTATCACTGCATGAGAGACTTGGCAAAAAAGCTTAGTCTAGTTAGCCAATTCTAATAAATGCCTCAATTTGCGTCTCAGAATGGGCCAAGCAATTAGTACACACCTGCGACCAAAGTTATTATTGAGATTTGAAGGTCTTCATGGTGGAAAGATACTAAGACAAGATAAGTTTGCGGTAGCACCATGTGAATAAATCTCTTTTGTGAGTATTGTGGTTCTGAAAAGAAAAGTTATTATTACCCGATTTTATCCATTGAAAAGTCACACGATCTCATCATTGGCCTTGATGCCATTATATGCTAAGCCTCTCAGACGGGGTTAAAAAAAGAAGAAAAAAAAAGGGGGCCCGCTTTTTTCTCATCTCTTTTACTCCCACCATTGCTTGAGTCCCGCACAGCTGGTGACTGCCATTCAGTATCTAAATTAACACGTTTCGTTCGATGAATGTATCTCTTCAGCTGTGACTAAGCCAAGAAAAAAAGGATACAAGTGTGTGTGTGTGGGGGGGGGGGGGGGGGGGGGGGGGGGGGGGGGGGGGGGGGGGGTCATTGGAAAATCAGAGTGCGGGCTGCCTATGATATCTCCCTCCCTCTAAACCTTCGCCCCGCCCACAGTCAAGAATCTACAAAACACATAGGCAAACCCCAGAATCTTGCAGTACCACTGATTATTATTATATTTTTTTCGACAATAGTTCGATTGTAAGCACGATTTTGCTCGGCATTATTTATATTCTTCCAATGAGGATTTTTTTCCCTTTCTGGCTGAACTTTACGAGCGCGCTACGGATGAGGGCGCCCGACCATGCATTCAAAACTCACTGCAGCAAATGACAAATAAATACCTCCTTTGCAGAGTAAGCCGTCGTCCGTGAACTCGCACCGAACAAAGTAAACAGCAAAGTCGGGCTGTGTGGAACATAAAGCAAATAGGGGAGCGGGAATGCGCAATAATAGTGCAATCGACGACATCATATCGAGTTTTCGACAGCGCCTGGCTAGCTAGCTGCGCCCACTCACTGAGACAGACCTACTAAACTCCATAAAAGTTCCGTGTGTGTACATGTATGTTCTATCCTGTCATCCACAACCAAAAGAAAACATGGCCAAGTTTTTCGTTTCATTGCTGGTGCTGGCGAGCTGGACGGGCATTGTTTCATGTAAGTACCACTTGTTTTATGTTATTTGTAGGTTTAACCTATACGGGTTTAGTTTAAAGAAGTTTACTTGTGTGTGGGTGTGTGTGTGTATGTGAATTTTTTTTCTCAGTACAATGATTTAATTATTCAATTTGTTATGCATGTACATGTGACTAATGATGTCGTTTACCTTTTCACGGTTTTGGTAATCTGTTGTGAGTGGGGATCACGACTTGACAAGCAGTGGTTTTGGGGGACCCCACCCACATTTACCCTCTAATAATTATTCTGATTTTGAGTTAACAATGTATGGCATTGTTTCTGGTAAAGTGGAAAATAAAGTAAGAAAGAAAGAACCCGAATTGTGAATTCCAAAGAGTGAAAATTCACTCCATTTAGAGTGAAGGGACTAGACGTTTTAGAGTGATTTTTTTTTTCAATCGCAAAGATCGAAGTGGCTCATTTTTCTGACTATTTCAATCGAAAATGGGAGTGATTTTTACTCTAAAACGTGTAGTCCCTAATTTCACTCTTTGGAATTTAGAGAGTATGTAGAGTCTTAACCTGTTGACAGGTTTTTTTCTTCATTTCATGTTCGGGTTGGAATTTTTAAGCACACATTATGTAAAGCGTGTAGGCCTAAGATGTGCAATTTTTTTTGGGGGGGGGGAGTATACTCAGATGTTCTCATTTAAATATATTCTAAAAAGGGGGTCTTATGGAAAGACAAAATTCATCCCGAAACTTTTCAGCAAGTGACAAGTCTTTTCTGACTCTGTGTTTTGGCACAGAATTAGCGAAACATAAGTGGAGAATGCCGAAAGGCATAGTACTTGTTTTTGTCAAGAATGAACAGAAAAAGTTGCTGGTTTGGGGAGAAAATCAAATCCCGGCCTACCTCGTCTTATAAGGGAGTCAAAAATGCCTAGAATGACCGGTTGCTTGTTTTGGGAGAAAATCACATTTACTTCGTTTTAGTGTTGCTTTAAGTTTTTTCTTTTGGGATTTCCAAGCTTGCAAGCACCGGCAAGAATTAAAGAGTTATTAAAACTGTCAAGGGGCGAACAACAATCAAATGTCGTCTCGAATTAGCTACAAACTCTACTTGAATACTTTCAACAGTTAGTCATTATACTTGTTAAAGTTTCGTTCAGTTTGCAAAACAGTCTAAAGGGACCTTCCATTTTGTTGATCGTACATTGATATGACAAGCATGAATATAAAGTCAATAGTCGTGGCCGCGTAGAACGTGAGCATGAAAAAGCGGACTTTACACGGTAGGGAATTTCCATTGTTTAATCGTGGAGTCAGTAGAGTTATGATCATTTTTATAATCCCCGAATGAGAAATACTCGCAAGTAATGCTTTTCATTAGGAATTTTGAATGGACAACTGACTCAAATTACGACGTTCAGTGACTTGACATTGTAAAGAATACAACCAACTCCTATACCGTTAGGCCTATATATTTATTAGTTGGAGGACTGGCACAAAATTGCAACTTAAACTGAAGGTTTTCAATCACATTCTTTTCATGAGATCATTTACGTGACATATCAAGGAAATCAGCGTAGTTTTTGCTTGGTTTTTCATGAAGTCAAACTAATGCATTGTGTTACAATTTGAACGAAACAGTCGCCCAAGTATTTTATTCACTGGGCCCAATGAGTGAAGAAAAAGCACAATTTAAGAATTTTATTTGGTTAACACTTTTAGAACACGTGCACAGCTCATGACATCGGTGGAAGAATATTTTTGCTTCAATGGAAAAAAAAATTAACGAGTCAAGGAAAGAAATACGATGAAATGTCGTGAGCTAAAATGACGAACAAATTGAAAAGGACAGCTGCACATCCATAATGGAGGACTGAATAAATAAAACTTGTTGGCGTCGCATCTTGTTTTCCTTGACACAAAGAGTTCTATGATATACCGATTTCTTTGAAGGCAGATTATAATGCAGACATTTTCGGTTATCGTTTCATCAAAAGGGATACCCGCTTTTTTTTAATGAGGTTGCCCGCAGAGGCAATTGTGAATAGATTTCATCATTCTCGATTGAAAAAAACAAACACGGAAGTCATTCTTATTAAGTGAAATGAGTACATGTAGCCAGTCAACAACAGCGGAGATGTATCTTAATAGTTCAGCCTATAGTGTTTTACAAGCAGATGTACGTGAATACGTGATGCTTCAGCGACCTGTACTTTTTATCAGTTTAGCCCACGGCGATTTCATTTTTTCTATGAAACTTTTTTTTCTTTGGTATACTCTTCTGCCATTGGTATGATCAGCCATCCATTGCATTATTATTAATGGGACACAGAAATTCCTCTGCGGTTTTTATTTTGTGACCTTGCATGCATGCAAAATAGATGCTGCATAATAGTAGTGCACTTTTTTTAATACTAAGAGTTTAGTTCCAACACGCGATATACGCAATTTTGTTCCCTTTTACAACCCTGCTCTCATGGCTGCCCAAAAGCGATTTGATGGCCGTTATTAATTAAATACAACTTCAGAATCCATATTAAGTGAAAAATGAAGTTTAGAAACAACTGGTATACTGTTTTTATTCTTTAAAGTTTCATAATCGTGCAAAATGTTCACCTTTTCATATATATAATTCGTGTCTTTATTAACAAAACAAGACATGTGTAAAGAAAACCTAGGTCATTAATGTAACAATCACAGGATTCATTGAATAGCAAATTGAGAAGACAGTAAGGCAAGGCAATAGAACTGGTAACCCATTATCTAAGAGGAAAACCATTAATCGGTTAAAGATAAACAATTCAATGAACGAAAAATTAATCAAGGGAACTGGAACTGGTCATGAAAGTTGAAAGAAGTTCAGAAGAAAGACGAGGGATCAGTCATCCACTCTGTCGATCCAGACTGTCGTATATTTGGAATATAATACTAAGAAAGATGATACCAGAGCTATTTTGGAGAGGCGAGTGATAGATTTCTTGATGTCTTGTTTGGTCTAGATGTGCAACAGAGATTTGAAACTTTGTGTGTGTGTGATATGTCGCGTTTTGGAAATAAATAAAGTAATCCCTAGCAAGAACAACTAATTAGCCTAAATGCACCTATAATGCAACTTAAAGATGTGCTGTCCAGGCGTGTTAGTTTTACCCCAAAACATATATATTTTTTTAGTGATTTGCCTTTTCTGTATATAGCAGTACAAAAGTTATTTATTTTTGAATGAGACATGCTTTTCTCCCAGCAATACAAAAGTTCTTCATTTTTTTTAATGTGGCATCGAAAGAAAAGAAAATATACCCTCATGTACCCTCATGTTGATAGAGAGCTAGTCATGTTTTTTACGAGGCATAAGGGCACTAACATTGAAAATAAAAATCGTCCATTGCTCCTTAATAGGCTTTTCACTGTATTCTTTTATGGCGGCATTATTGCAAAACGCTGTTCACGTTTAGTTGTATCGCCTATTCTACTATGTAGATTTTGAAATGTTCAGAACGGCTGTTTTGTGTTGGTTCAACAGTTTGATATTTGACCCCCGATATGAATTGTCGATTTTTGAAGTTATCGATTTGTTAATGGTTAAGCACACACAAACGTTGCGTTTGAGGGCAAAATGTCAACTGATACGCTTGGAGTGTGGCTATGTAAACATTCGTCGTTGTGATCGGTATCAGGAATGTTGCTGTCGACCCTTGAATAATCATATTTGGATAATTTTATAGAAAGAACCCGCGGAAATAAGCACGAAAAATTCAACAACACTTGAAATACATTTCAGTTTGCATGTTGTTATAATTATTGCATTATTTTCTATTTCGAATTGAAACTGTATTTCAGATAAGTTCATTGAAAAAAATTGTGAAATACATATTTCTTCCCCAATGTAACTTGCAGCCATGTCGCCGCCGTCCAATGTGACCAAAATCTTGCTGAATTTAAACTTCGAGGTGCGCTGGATGACACCGAGCGATGCAAACAACGATACAATGTACACGGTGAAATACAGCCCCGATAACAGGAAGTAAGTTAAAACAATAATAATACCCAGCTTTTCCTGGGCCATTTTCCAAAACACGGCTACGGTCTGCGGCTTCGACTTCATGTCAGGCTCAAGAAATAGTTTTACTGTTGGAACCGAATGAAAATACTTACAAACCATGGTCCGATGTTAAAGAGTATTTAATGTTTGCGAAGCAGAAAATGAAGTTTTCAGCCCAGGGCCTAATATCATGAGGTTGTAGTCGGAAGCCGAACCGGAGATGAGTCCTAGGTTTGGAAAATGTCTCGCCCTTGTTTCCTTTTGGCCTGTTTATTTTACTTATAACTAACACAAACATATACCTGGCCAAACCTTGAAATGAAAGGGGAAGTAAGCGTGAAAAATGATTCCTATAGACGATCACAGTTTGCAAAAAAAACAAGTTTTAATATTCAACATTAATTTTTATCTATACAAGCTGTTACCGCTGAGAAAATCAGTGTGGCATGGCATAGCCGTTATTATCTAGCTACAAAGAGTAATTGAAATGATGATGGTGAGGGCCAGCTATATGGACTACACTTTCATGTGCAAATCTGAGCATCGTATGTAGATTCACAACAAGCCAATTCAGTGTCAAGTCTGATCCTAAATTTCTGTTGAAACTGTTTGTTATTGATGATGTCGCCTTTAAACGCATTTCAGTCAGATTTGACTGTTATTAGGTATACATGCCGCGGGCAAAGTTGGAATCTGCGCAAAGTTGTCCGGCTGGGCGATGTGGGAATTCCAATACACTGTTATTTCGGCTGTGTACTATATGAACCTAGCAACCAGTTGTGTAAAAAAAATTGAACAAGTAAGTTGTGTAAACAACAGTTTACAAAACGGGTTGCTAGGTTCATATAATAGTACACAACCGTCTGATTTTTACACAACCGAAATAACAGTGTACTGCCCAGTAAAGTAAGAATACATCCAAAACTTACATTATACAAAGACAATGTTCAACATACTTTGATGATTGTCATGCGACCATTTACACAGAAGCATACTGTTCCCTTTCAATTTTAATTTTATTTGCTATAGATAGGCCTAAGGGTTGTTAAAATTACCCATTGTTAACATTCCTACATTGCGCTGCTTTCGAACCTGGGCAAATAAAAGTGGGAATTTCCGTCAAAGATTCCCACATTGCGCGTGACATAGCTCGATCGAAACAGACTTATAAGACGCCAAAAAAAGGCAAACGTTAGGCCATTTTGGTTCATGATGGCGATATTGTATGGATTATAGGACCAAATATGGCTAACCCATTTTGTACTAAAAAATGCAATGGATTTTTCTTTCTAATTAATATTATCAGTTCTATATAGCAAACGCATATAACATTCTGTCAACAACAGACCCCCAGAAAGAACAGTTCTTTGACAACAGATAAAACGATCAATGTATAAATTATCCGGCCTTCTTCGTCTCACAGATGGTACATCATCCCTGAATGCGCTGCCATCCAACGCACCGAGTGCGCCAACATGACACAATCATTCCTTGACCTATTCAACCAAAAGCGGGTAGAAGACGCCCTACGGACGGGCTTCCAAATCCGCGTCTACCGCCACGACGGACCGCTCCAGTCCGCCTCCCCGTCAACATCCATACCTTTTACACCGTACATGGAAGGTAAAACTACAAAGGAACCATTCATCTTTTTTTTCAGATGTGTTGATAACTTACACCGTAATTTCCTGTCCCAATCTGGTGTCCGTTAACAGGCACTCGGACAATTTATGGCTCTCTTTAAATTGAACGTATTCTTATTGTTTTGTTTTAAACAAAGGAATGTATATTGTGGTTCATAATTTTTTAAGTCTTTTTTTTTGTCATGAAAATCAGCTATGATTGTAATTTAACACTGCAATAATATGTTACGCTACCATGAGCTGTTTTTGGAAATCACATTTTTGTCATACATATAGAAAACTGCTTTTTTCTTTGCTGCATTGTTGACATTTCGTGAATCGCAAATATTCATTTTTTGTAGAGTTTGCAGAAAAAGAAAACAAACATTGTTTAAGGTCACAAACCCTTACAATTAGATTCGTATGTAAACTTTCGTGAGAAAAAAAAAGAAAGCTTTGGCATGTGCTCAGTGGCTCTTCTAAGATATCCACGTGACCGGCTCTCATCCAATCAGTGTGTCTTCTTTAGTGTGGCAATTATTGTCATCGTACCAATGTTAAACATATTTTTTTGTCACTCACAGCTACAATAAGCGCCCCCAGCATTTTGAAACTCGACGCAACAAGTGACTCGCAGCGAGTTGGCCTAGTCGCCCCACAGACACCCTTCCCGGATGGGGCGACTGGGAAGCATATCCGCATGGATGACACCAGCCTTCCTGGTGTGTCTAAGATCTACTATAACTACACACTATGGCGTACACCAAATGGCGCAACGGACACAACACTCTGGACTATGGTAACAAACAGTGTTTGCATGGCCGAGTCAGTCACAAGCCCCCACAAGTTCTCCAGTCTGAAGTCAAGTCACTAGACATCCTGAACTGTTACAAAAGTATTCCTTTGTCATTTTTCATTTTTCATCCCGTACTTTACTTGTGACTGGACTTGTGAAAGGACTTGTGATTGACTCTACTACAACATTGGTAAAAACAACACATTGAAGTAAAAACATACTCATACCAAATCAATGAAAGTTATATCAATTTAGTCAACAAGAACAACAAATAACCTACAAATAATATGCCGCTAATGAGCAGATTGTTTTATAAAAGTCAAGTGAAACCAGTTAACGAAGATGTGTCTCAAAGTTTCAACTGTTGATGAAAACAAATATATAAGTGCAAAACGAGAATGCCTAGCTCCTATAACGTGAGAGACTCGGAATGGTTAAAACCATACTTATTATGGAAATCATATTTCTGTTTGAATGCTTCCATTCATGAATGAAAAAAAAGATGTGGAAAAACAAATTTGAGCGTGCAAAATTAATCATGACGTCATGAACACCCAAGTTCCTTTTTAGATTAAGAAACGAAATACATGTAGTGAGTTTTAGCTATCTGCCCTACACACAACAGTTAATGAAGCCAGCTGCAGTTTCTGCAGATATCTTTTTGAAAGGACAGTGCTGGCGTACACGTGACCTCGTCCTGTTATTCATGAAAGACGATCAGAGCACCTCCCCGAAACGTCGTGTTGAATTCACCAACTATTAAATCGGAACCTCTAAAACTCAGTTCGTCTTTTCTTTACTACAAACGCTTCTTTCAACGTTTTGTTTATAGGAGGGGCGAAGCGACGATTTTCCCGCCAAGCATGGTATGCACGACTACACCAGCTTGCAACTGTCCAATCTCGCGCCCAACACCGAGTATGTATTGACCGTTCAGGCGAGGATAGGACTGGGAGGTTACAGCGCTGACACTGCCACGTTAGTGTGGAAGACACGAGAAGCGGGTACACACACATAATTACTTGGTTGTTAACACTTCTGGTTTTCTCAAAGTCCTGGGCGAGATTTGACCAGGAATCCGGTTGATGTGGGGCCTGACACTTTCAAAATAAAACTTTTCTGGGTCAAACTCACACTTCTTTGACTCATTTTCTGGGACATTTTTTTTTACCGGAAAAGTGTCAGGCCCCATAGGATTCGGACTCCAGGAGGGTTACGTCTCGATAGTCCGACGTCCCAATGCATTGGTCCGACGTCCCAATGGTCCGACGTCCCATTGGTCCGATGAAACATAATACTAAATGTAATTCCACTGATTCAGGTTACTAACCCTAACCCTAACCATATGGGGCGTCGGACCAATGGTACGTCGGACCAATGGGACGGATATCGACCAATGTATGTTGGACTATAGAGACGTCCCCCTCTGCGGGAGCAGGGGTCGATTTCGTGGATGTAGCTTCTATGATAAGCATTCTAGTAAGCAAATAGTTTCTTTGCTCAGCATAAATGTACCGGGCGGTCCAGCTAAAAGTTTACACCTTTTCAGAGGCAGGTTTCTCAAAATTGAAGAGACATGTTGAAAGTGTTTTAAAGATTATATTCCTAAACTCTAAGATCGTGGTGGTAGATGGTGAAATTGGCGTTGGAAATTAAACTCAAGTTAAGAAAAAGCGGCCATAATAGTTTCAAACTTTGGTATAGGAATGTAGATTTAAAGTACATTGTATTATCTTCACACACCTCACGACTAAGGATGTAGCCTAGTGTAGCAGAGACGAATGTGTGTTATTTCCTACGCACGCATATACTCTGTGTTCAATTGCTAAAATGAGCTCACAGGTAAAGAAAGGACAGGTGTTTCGCGAGTTATTGACAGCAGGTGTGAACTCAATCAAACAACGGTATGCGAACCAGGAAATATCTGTTTTTATTAGGTCCTTGAACGATAGAAGTGTACCTTTCAAAACCCTGGGCCTGTGTTGGCTCGTGAACTCAATTATGTTTTTGTAACTGTAACGAAGCGATTCATGAGATAAAGGTTCGGTGTTATTTGTTTTAATAGCTCCGTCCGAGGGACCGACCTTGTATTCTCTGGAGTTCGTGGAAATTGACTGCAATGACCCTGACTCTCGTGATATCCGAGTCAAGTGGAAGGTAATCGAAAGCACATTAAAATGGTCATTTATTTTCTGCTAAGTTAGTATCGATTATGAAACTATCGGATAAACGTGTGGATCTTTACTTTCGACACTTAGTTGTGTCGCCTTCGACACTTAGTTGTGTCGCCATTATCATGCGTGGGTTCTTTTCAAAACAAATAATCCTGTAAACTTTCTTGATCCTGTGATCCTGTGAAAATTCCTTCGCGTTTTTTGCTGATGATTTTAGTGAAGTAATAAGACATTATTATAACTTGTCCGGGTAAAGGCCGGAATTGGTAAATCGGGATACTTTGAGCTGCCAAGAATCATTGTTGAGACATTTATTATGGTTCGTGTGTGCAAGATGCTCGCTGTTGAAAAAAATCTGAGTATATGGGACATCGTTGGTGTCTACAACCTCTGTTAAAAAGGCTGGGGTGCAGTCCCTCCATCATTATTCTAGTCCGTCAGGAAAAGGCGGGAACCAGTCAAGAGTTAGAGGATATTTTGGTGGTTTACGTGCGCTATTATGACCCATGTTAAAACTTGACTAAAATTGCCTACCAGAGAAGTGGGGAAAAAAGCGACTTTTCCAAGTTGTGATGTTTTTCTTCTCTTATTTTAGCCGCCTCCACGAAAACAGTGGAATGGAGACAGTCTTTACTACGAAGTTCGATTCAGCCGAATGGAACCCGGAGGAGAACACGTGACCCTAAACGTGACGTCATCTACATCAACGACTATTTACGACCTCAGTCGGTGGGATAGGTACGACGTCGTGGTATTCGCCAACACGTCCGCAGGAGGAACAGCCAGTTTGCCGAAATCTGTTTCGGCAACAGTCGTTGGTGAGCTAAACTTTACAAGAAGGATTCTTTGTTGAATTGAACATATAAAAAATTTGAAGATCTCACCAAAAGTTATTCTTGTACAAAGGGGCGAACCGGAGAATGGCTTATTTAATTGAAATGTCTGAATGCAAAAACATCGATTTACTCTCACAAAGAGGCTATATTTCCAGTGTTACTTTGAGTTGTTTTTTTCCTGGGTTAAGAAGTCTTTTTTTTTTAACTATAGGAATGGCTAACTCCAAACCTGAAGCAATAGAAGTTCTAACAGATCCCTCCGACCCCACACAAGTCATCGCTTGGGAACCGCCTACAGGATACCAGCAGTGTATCCTTGGTTACCGTATGACGTTGCAGCCAGAGGCAGGGGGCGGGGAGAAGGGCGACCTCAAGATGGAGGAAACAGTCCTAAATGGTACAGAGTGGGAGATCGGCGGTCTGGAGCCGAACACGTACACAGTAGAAGTGGCGGCGATTGTGAAGACGGGGTTCGAATCTACCTCACTGGGCGTAGCACGAAACATCCGTCTGATCGTTGGGCCGGGTGAGTAGCGACCTAGGTGTAGACCACTGACTGAATTCCCATTTACACCAATGATTAAATACCCTCACTTCAAGAAAATCGTGAAATTTTACCCTTGATTTGCCCCTTTTCACTTTCTGTTCATTTTTGGGGTGTGAACAGATGCGTTTTGGGCGATTTCTTTTCCTTCGAAGATGATCACCGCTTAAAAAAAAATCCTAAAGGCTGAAGCCCATATCACCGTTCTTTCAAAAATGATCCATTCCATTACGGAATATAGGTCCATTTCATCCCCAATTTCTCAGATATACATTTTTCAAGATTGTTTAGATCCTTGAATGTTGTAATGTTGTGATGGTGGTATTTGGGTGTGGTTGTTAAAAGATTCCTGTCATCATAAAGGTCACGAAGTTCAACTTAAATTCAAATCAACAGTGATCGAGGCATTAATTGCGTCGTCCTGTTATGTTCGCCATGCCCTGCTACTCAATGGACCGATCCAGTAAGCCCCTCCCACAGCGCACGTGGGCAAATTATAACACACGCTCCTCTTCAATGCCACACTGCATTTTTCTGCCGCGCGCATCATACGCGCGTGCACGCATGTCGGACTTTTGTGCACGCATGTCGGACATAAATCACGGCTGTGATTCGTCAGAATACCATGGGGCAGTGCCTACTGGATCGGTCCATTGAAACACCTATAGCAATGGACTTTTGAATGTCTTATGATTGGTTAGCAAGCTTGGATTACAAACACATGGTTGTAGGGATTTATGAGATTGTTCCAATGGCTATTATGACATTGTACCATGTAAATATCTTGGTATATTCCAGTGAGGAACGTGGATGCCATCATTACGGCTGTGATTGTCGTCTGTGTCCTCATCGTGTGCCTCCTGACGTTCAGGGTCATCTACCGCAAGATCAAAAAATCATGCAAAGATGAGAGGTTTAGGAGCCTTAAAGACAACAAAATCTTGGTGAGTCGATCGTGGACATAACAACAAGCCTATTCTCTAAAGACAATGAGAAGAAATTTGGTTTGAATTTATCATGGATTATTGTACATTGTTATTGATTTCCATCGACTAGCAACACACCCGAACGCTAAAGAAAATAAGGTCTGAGGCAGAGTTATAAATAAACTAAGCTTAGAGTTTTAACATTTTCTGATTTTTTTTGGTGCCTTTTGGTGATTTTCGTGGGTAAAACTACGAATTTTTCCTTGATCGTCTCTCGCAGAAACGAGCCACATCAGAGACGTATTCCTCACTCCGTCGTCACGTGCCGGAGAAGGAAACATACGATCTGCTGAACCAACGGGAACCCCTGGAACGCCAGACGTCATCACTGTCACGTGGCTCAGGAGAAAGCAACCGAACAACAGGCTCGAGTGGGTACTCCACGGATACCAAGTCTAGTGCCGTGGATGACATCTCCCTGAGTGATAACGATGAAGGCAAGGCGCCAGCCGATGACGTAGTCTCCCCCTCGTGGCTGAGGCAGTCCTCGTCCTCCTCCTTCTCCTCCTCAGATGACGGAGTCAAGGACAGCGTTTTTGTAGGACTGCTCGAAGTTGCGTCTGATGAGGTGACTAATCAAAGGGACTCTGGCGTGCCCAGTCAGTCATCTTCGCGAGCACCGACTGGTCTACGAATCACACTCCCAGGCAAAGACTCGGCCGCAGTGGCCTCGGGATACACACCCGTCACTTCCTGCTGCCCCTCCAGACAGACATCGGTGAATGAAGACCCTTCAGCCTGCAGGAAAACCTCAAGGGTTTCCTGCGACTCCGCCCCAACCTCGCCCTACCTTGAGAACTACCCTATAGGGCGTAGTTTGGACTACACGGTGCTGGCCAGCACGACGCTCGGCCCCTCCCAGCCACACCCACTGGCCATTGTGAAAAGCAACTCTAGCGAGAACCAGGGACGTGCGAACCAGGGACGTGCGACATCAGACGCATCAGACTCCAATAACGAGAGAGCCACCGTTGCGGTGAAAAATGACCTCTCCTTCCAGGATTCGGAGATTGAAAACTATTCGAAATCTCTATTAGTGCAGAAGAACAGTCCCAATATACTGGATGTTTGAGCTTTCTTAATCGGGTTGAAAGTGACACAAACCCAGTAAAATATAGATATGAATTTCACTGAACAGTCTTTCTAAGATCTCAGAATAATGGGCAGTATTTTCTTTCAGTGTATATGTACCTGACCCGATCTGCTACAAGAACAGAAGATACAACTTGTTTGTTTTAGCAAAGTCGTAACAATTCTTTGTTTTGTATCCTATATGCCCTGAGTGCATTTTGTGTATATAGACCCTATTGCAGATTTTTTTGATATCGTCGTAAGCGTTTTAAGTCAAAAGTTACAACTTTTTGATAATGTACGGAAACGAAACCTATGGCATTATATACGTAAGATAACATTGAGAATATTTAATGTTTGTTCTTTTATGAAAAAAAAAAGAGATTTTAGTCCAGACGAGATACAACATAATCGAATGTAAGAATTATTTCGTTAGAGTCGCAGGTGTATAGCCCTGTCATAATTGGTACCATCTTGTCAGTATGGCAATTTTTTGGTCTTAAGTGTCTCCAATTTAGGGACGTTATAGGCCTATTTGTATTGTACTTATTTTGCATTGTAACCTGGTGTACGTGGGTGAAACTCACACAGTAGCAGAAATTCCAGTCAGACTATCCAAATTGCTATAAGCTTGTCGATTACTGTGCGAAGGTACAGTGAACCCGACATTGGCTGCTTCAACTGAAAAAAGATTGTTGTTAATGAGTTTTTCACGTGGTATCACAGGTTGCTATGAGATACACGTATCGTGTTTCTGACGTATAATGATCTGATAATAAAATGGGAATGAGAAATAGATTAATTTTGGGTCGGTGCAAATGCAATGAGAGTATAGGTGTGAACTAATGAGCTAGCAGGACTGGTACGGCTATAATTATGGGGAACGGTCCCTTTGGGGAACATTCCCATAAGGCTGTGCACCGTAAATATTTTCACCGTAAATACTTTAATGACCCCTAACCCCAATTTCCCTCATCCTACCCCCACGACTTCTGGTACATCTACGTTTTGGACCATGAATAACCGATCTATCATATTTGCGACAGCAAAAGTTTGCCTCTAAAATGAGTTGTGACATTAGGTGGACATTTTCGGTGTCTCCCTTAGGTATAACGTATGACGACAAATATCTCCTTAAGGCTACATTTAACAGGAATTCCGCTTACGATGTCGCCAGATGTTCATGAAATTAATTTGAAGGCCGGTCATTATTACCCAATTAGCGGGAAATGAAAAGGGCGGCAAATTCCGCGTTCTGTGCTGTATCGTATGGCAATTAATTCACTGTACCATGACTTCGTGTTATGTAGAATGAATTGGTGTGTGCTAAATATAACCCTTGCACAGGACCGATACACTTTAAGAGTTCATGTTGTACATTAATAGAGGTTAAAGTCCTTATGTACTCCTTTAGCCAACACGATCCAATGTACAAAGGCCACTTCAGATATTTTTTTTTGTGCCACGCACTTCCCACATGCTGTACTCGGCGTTGGAAAGAATGATTGGACTTTTATATTGAGTGGTATACAAAATAACAATATTCCCATTTTCGATTCTGACTGTTTTTCCATTTATATCTTCTACGGCATGCATGCAATCCTATTCTATATATATTGTATATCCTTGTACATGATAATTAAAAACATGCGTGATATGATGTCTATTTTTGCGGGTAATATAATCATTATTGTGCAACGGCGGGCAATAGTGGTATTGACACCGTATTATGTGGCAAAGACAGGTACTGTGTACTTTTTATAGGATATTTTCTTTATGGGCATATTGTTAAGATTTTGAGTGATGTTGTGAGGTAAAGTAGATCGGTTTGTTTCTCTGTCTTGACGAAACATCATAATTTGAAATGAGAGGGAGTTTCAACAGTTTATAAATAAATGCTATATATGGAAAGAAGAGAACTCATCGTGTTTTTCTTCAACTTTCTTTGTCCGTCTTCGACCTTACATGCTGCCCTCAAGCCGGACTCCTTTACCCTTTGATTGGTTAAACCCTCTCTGTCTCACGTGACCGGTCACTCTCCCAATTATCTTCGCTTAGGCATGCGCAATACTACCAATGAGTCCGTATTTCATAGAAACTAGCTAAATACACGCCACACCGGCCTCACGCCATCTCGCTATCCTGTTTCAAGATGGCCAGAGAAGAAGTGATGTAGTCCTAAAGGTTGGGAAAGGGGCGTGGTTAATCATGTGTATTTGAGGGGGCTCCTCAGATGTGATGGGTGTGGGACGTGTCTGATTAAATAAATAGTCGATTTCTTTTTAATAATTATAATTTTAAAAATCTACATCAAGGCGATATAGGCACAGAAGTTAAAAGGGTTCAAAAAAAGATGAACTGTAATTTCAGTTCTAACAAAACATTGATATACTTGTAAAATACAGAAGTTGTTCAAAAACACAATCTAAACGCTTGGAAATAAAGAGAAAAGGAAGGAATCAATGGATGTTACTCAGTTCAAAAATTGGTTTATTTAAGGGAATGGTTTTCAACAAAGTTGAAGTTGAAACGAAGGTCTTGACCGGGCACATCGTCAGCCATCATTTCACATAGCAGCAGATGGGATGTCGGGATAACCAAAAGTTATTATCGAGTTTGAAATGTGCACCTTCCATAGAGAATTATATATAGACAAGATAATTCCCTGTCAGGCATCTTCATGTAACGTAATTAGATTAGGGCAGTGCCACAAGGCATGGCGGTCCTGAATGCTGTGTAGTTTCGTGAGTCGTACCCAGCTTTAAAATGTCACTCTAGAGAGAATACCATCGCTGATTCACTTAAATTGAAACAAATTGCACCTTAATTGTTTTTTGGGAACTGAGTAACTTAAGCAGGTGGCTTAGGTATTATTACGCTGGTAGTATATAGTGTGTCATATTGCATGTACAACACATGGCTAATGAGGAAATATCGTGAGAAGGTTGAGGGTGTCATTTCGTTTCGTTTGTATGAGTTTTACTTTTGATACAGCCATTATCAGAAGTGGAGGGGGGGGGGACCAAGGAGCAAGGAAGCGAAAACCATACACAAAATGTGGGGTGATGTGATGGCCTCGTGGTTAAGGGCATTGGATTCGTGCGTGGTCTGCAGGTAAAGCTGCAGGTTGTGGGTTCAAGTCCAGCCTGGGGTTATGGTGCGTTTGCCCTTGGGCAAGCACTTTGTCACGCATTGCTTCTCCCCACCCAGGAGTAAATGGGTACCTACGAAAGTACGGGCCATATGCGCTGATTGAGCTGCTGCAGAAGTGGTCTCGTGGCCTGATGAACAGGGGTAATAATTGTAAAGCGCTTTGACACCTTAAGGCGCTATATAAGCACCATGTTATTATAATTATTATAAATAACCTTCTGCTCACAAAAAGGAAGAGAACGAAAAACAAAACTCCGAATCACATAAGCTCGTAAGTTGGCGGCATGACAAAACTATACACTTACAACAAGTTATTCGTGTTTGCCACGTGGAGAAACACAGCTGTTTCGGCTGTTTGAAACGACTTTGTGACACGTGATTAAGTCATCATGACGTCGCATAAAATTGAAATACATAACATATCCCGGTCTAGGTACTACAAGCTAACAACCAAAATTGCTTCTGCATAAAACAAGAAAACGAAAAAGAAAACTCCCAAAACTCATGAACTAGTCAGTTGGCGGCATGCGGAAGCAGTACAACAACGAAAAACAAAACAAAAACACATGTATAATCAGGGCGCACGCGAGAAAAGAATAAGCACACATACAAACAAACAAACAAACACCCCAACACCCCAACAAACAAACGAACGAACGAACAAACGGAACGAATAAACAAAATTGATTCACAACTACATCAACTTGTTCGTTATCCAGATGCAGGGTTTTTTTCCTCAAAGTACGCCGGCCCTTAATTACTCACGAAGTGGCCTCTCACACGATACGGTTGACGGGCTTTGAATTATGAAATTAACTTGTTCGGCGACAATCGGGTTTCATAATATTAAATGACAAACGATTTATCATAATAAAGAAGTTATTAAATTTCCCTGTAAAAGTGTCAGGGGTTGATGGGCCTGAGTGGTGACAACTTGAGCATTGAATCAAAGGACAAGTGGACTGTTTTCCCCACTTTCATTAAAGGTCATTACTTACGGAATTTGTAGCTATTACTTAAAGGGAATATACAACATTTGCAAACATCGAAAAACAAAAGTAGTATTTTTTTACGCAACCCCTTACTAGGATGTTGGTAAATGACAGTCTAAAGCATCCTGTAAAATTATGGCACCTGGTGTCAAGTCATTTTCAAGAAAATGGTATTTTTGTACACATTTCCAACGGTGGTCGGCCGACCACCGTTGGAAAAACCTAACTATTTTTCAACTACTGCTCCAAATTTACCATTTTTTTCAGCCCAAATTTTGTTTGCTATTGGTCACATGTTCATGAACGGGTGCAGGCCAGCAAGACTGGTTCCCTTGCCTTACAATTTTCCATCATCTATAAATTGATCCATTTTATCTTCTGTGGAGTCAGGGAACCAGACTACTTGAACATTTTTGTTTTTCTTGGTTTTTCCAACCTTTTCGAACACAAAACTTCAAAAATGTCAGTGTAACAATATTTGATCTATTATACTAACCCCTCAAATAGTTCATTTCTGAAAATTACAGCGAAAGCCAATGATGTACATTCCTTTTAAACAAAATTTGTACCCCAAAAAATTATCCAAAAACTAGCCGACCTAAATTTATAACAAATTAATAGTTTTTAGAACACGAATGTTAAAAGAGGTGGTAACAAACTGTGGGAAGTTATTTCATCTGCAGTTTGGAGAAATCTGGAAATTTATTGATCGAATTATTCAAACCCCACCGCTATTTAGCGGACAGATTGTTGCGATTCGATCAGATAAGTCATTTTAATTGTTGCTATCGTTTCACCAACCATCAATTGTTGACTCAGACATTTTTAAAACAACAAAATTCGGCTTGTCTTAAAACAAGTTAATTTTGATAGTAAGAAAATCAATTCCCGATTTTGTTTCTCCGAATGCTTGACCACCTTAGGAGCTCGAAGTTTGACGGTGTGACACTCACCTTTAAACCGAGAGCCAAGCTGGCGGCGCGTTGCTATTAATTGGTCAACTCAAGCGAGTCGAGGAGTAAGCTTGAGGATTGTATATAAAGGCACCCGCTCTCTAAATCCAAAACATTCGACAACCTGAAAACAACCGTACAGAAAGTGGCAAACAGTTTTCTCTCAGCCATCTGCTGTTACTACTGCGAGACTTGCAAGCAAAGGTAAGACACATTTACCAAACCATGGTTTCGGCTTCGTCTTCGTCTCTGTCTCTAGCCACAAGATTCATAAGAATCATGCCACGTTCAAATCAAATGAAGTGCCCTGTGTGGCAGAAAGTGGTATCTCCAAAAGCAGAAAAAGGCACCAATGTTGTATACTAGATAGTCTGTTGAGTCAGGAGACAAAAACAATTTGAAGTTGGAGAAGCCGACGCTGAAGACGAAGCAAAGATTGTGCGGACGAGTGCAGTAAGCAAGCCAAATTCCAACTGGAAGTATCGATGATAAAATGGCCTAAGGCCGTGGGAAGACAAGCTTTACCATATTTTTTTTCGAGTACTGCTATTCGAGTACGAGTACTTTGACGCTTTGGACCTGTCAAGTACGAGTACTTTGCTGCCCAAATACGAGTACCGTAATTTCGAGTACGAGTATTTTGACATTCGAGTACGACTGAGTACCAGTACTCTATATAAAAAACAAGTACTTGAGAATAGTACTTGAGTACAAGCACCGAGTACGAGTACTACAACACTGCACTATACTATAACTCAACTATACCGAAAGTTTCCGTTTGTTGAAAGCACCATAACGTCATTTCAAAAATGTCTTAATTTCTCCTAAATTTTCGAATTTGAATGTCAGTGTACGAAACATCTCCCTCATTTAATTTTTGGAACCACCATCCCAATAAACGTTCGAAGACTTTTGAATTGAGGGACGTATCAGAGAGGGGTGCGATATCACGTGACACACCTTTTCTTTGCAGGAATCAAGAATGAAGGGACTGGTCGTGTGTCTGCTGTTGGTCGTGGTAGTCGTGGCTCAAGCCGCACCCTTCTTTGAGGATTTGCAAGATTTTGAGCCATTAGAGGTAGATTTCGAGGTAGCGAAGCGACGGGCGCCTTTCTTGGCCAGTAAGTTATGATGCGAGCCTAAGTACCTCTGGCACAAGAAAAATTAAGCAGTTTTATAATAGTCCTTGTTTGGATATTTCTCGGTGATCAAAAAATCCGATGTAGGATACGATTTGTCTCGGAAAGCTCCTGAAACCCCAAAACTAAATGATGAGTGAAGGCCCCGCATTCAGTTGTGTGTTGCAATGCCCAATGAAAATCTCGCTAAGTGCAACTTCAGCGCTTGCACTCTCGTTATTTCTTACACATGAGTGTTCCCAAGTGAGGTATCAAATTAAACCGGAAAGTTTCCGAGACAAAACGTGTATTTCAGATATTTCGTTCATTGAGAAATGTCCAAACAAGGATGATTATTAAAACTGCATAGTTCCTTTTGTGCAAGATGCATTTCCCAACACCAACGCACACAAGTGTGTATTTGCCTGCAATCGGGGTCCCCCTATTGTCCCTCTTGTGTTTGTACTTTTTAGGAAGACCTCCCATTTGTTTTGGACACGATTGTAAATTGCGGACCTACGGGATTGGGGACCCTGTTGTCCTCTATTGTACAACGATATTGAATGCAGAAACAAACGCATTCTTATCCAATCGAAATTACTTATAAAATTTCAAAATCAAACTCCGGCCATGTTTTCGCTCACCTAAATGTGAAATTTAGTTTTCTTAGAATTTGGGGGTTTTTTTCAAAATTTTATTTTAAAACAAGCTGTTAATGATTGCGTAGAACCACGTCTTATGTAGAACAAAAGTCTCAATGCATCCTTTCAAGTATATAGGCCCTTTGCAAACAAGTGGAAAGACGTTGAAAATCTACGTAAGATAAATTTTTAACACATTAATGATTTTCTCCCCTGTATCAAGCCTGCCGTAAGAAGGGAACAAGGCAGCAGTGTTTCTGCTACTTCGACGGCGAAGGAAATATTTTGAGTATGATGAAATGCAACGTGAGTACTGACGTAAACTTTAAAATGTTCGCTAAATCTTTTGTTTCCATTAATATGTCCCTGTTTATATCGTTTGGCAAATATAAGCAAATACCGACGACAATGGTCTGGTTCCCAAACCCAAAGAATTCGGCTTTTCCTGATAAATCTTTGGTCAAGTAACCGCTACTCTATACGGAACGAGACCAAAACGGGAGGAATGCCTCCTATTTCCGAAAATGTCCGAGGTTTGCCAAATGCATTGCGTCGACAGTCTCGGATAGCGTTCGGGTATTTCCGGGTATAAAATAGGTCTTATTTACCTGCCATGCTTATTAAAATTAAACAAAAGAGTTGATAATAAATATTCACTACTTGCACTTAGAAGGGAGGAAATTCAATGACGATTTTGTGCATCACGTATGCACTCAGATCGTAGGAGAGAAATTACGTCACACATCCAGAAGAAATAAGCCCTTCCCAGCCCAGCGCCATGTTTAGGATGTGGGTACGAGCGAAAACTGGAACAGACGCTCTGAGTAACGAACAAAATATTGAAATCTTTCTTTATTATACATACTTATCAAGTGATTTTCATTTTTCTTGTGTTCAGTAATTGACTCAAGAAAGGTGCCCTTGGTGACGACCGGCACCGCCAAGAATCGGATGGAGGCATCCCACCTAATTGCTCTCCGTCGAGGCCTGCTGGTAGTCGATCGGTCTTCGGCAAAATTTATATAATGTCTGTGGAACTCATGTATAAATTAAGAATGTGCAGTCGTTGTCGTGCATGATAGGTTCTATACTGTCGGCCAATTTCTAGTATGAAGGTAAAATCCCCAAGCTTCAAAATATAGGATTAAAATACAAGACACTTGCTTCAGTATGGATGTGTTTAGAATTTCTTTTGCCATACTCATTAACAGATGGCTCGATGCTTTATTTTTACTGATACAAAATAAATACACAGTAATGAAATAGGCGTACCATGGTTTATTAATTTTTGTGCATTTTGGTCGGAAAAATGACCAACTTTGTGAAATAAAAAATCAAGAAATAGGCCTAAGCTGTGTGACTGATGCTTAATAAGTCTATTTTGCGGAAGTCTGAAAACTGTCAGGTATAACGTGTAATAATGGGAAATACAATGTGGCCACTGAAAAACAAATGCCATGGAAAACAATAAGATTTAACTGGGTCGACCATTCCATAAATTTTGGGTCCAATTTTTGTGTGTCCCTGTTTTATCTGACATGTATAAGATTTTGTCATTCAGGACACATTCTTTAATGCATTCTGTCTCCAGGAGTGAATGTAATGCAATGTGCCTGCCAAACAAATAAGAAATAGTTTCAAGTCAATTTGAATGATACTTGAATAGCAAATTACTAAGGTAAAGTGTAACTGGGACACAAACAAATGTCACAGTTTTGGACCCCAAATTTATGGAATAACCCAACTGTCAGTTGCTTCGGCAAACTGTCCTATCGCACAATCACACTGTTAGGCCAAAAAAAAAATATGTCGGTCTCTGGTCAGCGCGCGCGTCGATTTTAATCGTGCGCGTCGATCTTTTTTTTTTCCAAAATGTTCCGCGGTAGCTCCAACAGCGCCCTCTATTTCCGCACCTCCTCAATTTTTTTTTACCAAAGAGCACCAAGGAATGGGAAATTGCACCAAGGCAAATGATCTAAAGCACCAAGGCAAATTATGGAGGACACCAATGTACATGAGGACACCAAAAAAAGCAAAATAGTACCCAACTTGTCTGTACAATCCAAGCTTGAAGAAGAAAAAAAAAAGAAAAAAAAAAAGAAAAAAAAAAAAGCCGCGTGGCCGCGTCAATTCCGGAACTTTGGTCTGACCAGAGACCGAATATTTTTTTTTTTTGGCCTTATTTCGGTTGTGTTCTATATGAACCTAGCAGCCAGTTGTGTAAAAAAAATTAACAAGTTGTGTAATATTTTACACAGGTTGTGTTAACAACAGTTTACACAACAAGTTGCTAGGTTCATATCGTACACAACCGTTTGATTTTTACACAACCGAAATAACAGTGCACCCCCCCCCCCAAAAAAAAAAAATATGACGCAAGACCTACAGGACCTTATTCATGAGGAAGCCATTTTGGTCGTGTACCCTGAATGCATTTTATAAATTGTGAACCGTTGAATGGGATGGTGCCAGACAATTTATGCAGTCTAGCCTCACTTTCATTTTTTTTTTAATGTGGCTTAAAACATTACGGTATGTTTAATCACAAATTTCAAATTATTCATCAGAGCAGACTGTTATTTATTTTTTAATTAACTTTATGGCATTGCTTTCAACTGTCTTTGCAAGTTCCAAAAAATGAAGAGTTTACCTCACTTTCAATTTAATATGACCGATACGTGAATGAGGCCCATAGCCACTGCATTTTCACTTGAAACTTCCACATATATATCAGTGAGTTAAATGTAGTTATTCCAAACAGAAAAGTTTGTTGGTCGAACAAAAAGTACAATTGTGTCAAGCAAAATCTGCCATCCAACAAGCTCGCAAATTTATGAGTAATGCTCCGATTGAAACGGATGAATAAAATGTATCACAATCCAACTAGACGTGTTTGAACGTTTTTCCAACTGAATACACATTTATAAAACTGGTATTTTATGCTGCCGTGCAAACTCTTATTTCTTAATATTTCCGATGTAATTGTCCACTAGCGATATTGTCACATGGTATTGGCATGTGACTTTGTAGAAATGAAATAAAGAGTCCAATACAGTATAAACGAACTATTGTCATAATTTAGGACAACGATTAAACAAACCTTAAAATAATAAAGGCACTGTATGTTGGCTCAGTACTTTTTTTGTTTAGTTTTGACAGGCAACTTTGGTTCTGTATTAATAAATAGATGCATACATGTCTACTTACAGCCTCCGTATATTAACTTCATTGACAAGTTTACAATGGTTCGATACATCTACAAACTGCCAATATTTCCGATCGCCATTTTCAAGAGCGTCTTCTTAACATGAAAAACAAAGTGATGTACTCAGTATCCGAAGCTAAAATTTATAATCAAAGCAATGCAGCATTGAGAAGATAATTGAATAAAAGTCTGTACCTGTATTAGCACTGAGTAGTAACTAGCCTATATACAATGTTATTTCAGAGAGCTACCCCAAAATAGTCAAGAGCTTCCTTTAATTAAAAGATTTCAGGGGCAAATGGCACGATGTCCTTTTCCGACAGGTTTAGAGTCATTGTGACCAAACTACTTGCGGTGACCTTGGGTCATTTCTTGCAGCTCAGTCGCCGCATTGCTCACTCAGTTTTAACCTCTAAGCTGAGCTGCGGAGTTACTTATTTAATCTATCAAAGAAATGAAATCTTTACACTGCTGAGTCCCAACCGAAACATCAAAATAACTGGACGAGTCGCGGGCTGGGACCTCCTTGATTACCCGAGGTTTGGGTTCTCCGAGATCAGTTGTTCCTCCCACGACGTACGCCACCACCGTGGCGTGGTCCAGCTTCCCCGGGAGGCTCCGGGCGTGTCTCGACAGCGCCTCCTGCCCCGTCATCATGGTCTGGGTCTCTAGGTGCTCCTTCTCGCAGATGCTGATGATGTTGTTGGTGGCTTCGTGAGCGGCCCGCTTCCTCTCCGTCAGATTCACCGTGTACTGCAGCAGCTTGCTGCAGAGGGAGGAGGCGGAGTACGGGTCCTCGCTGGGCATCTCCGTCTTGTGGATGACTTCGTCCATCATTCTTGTCATCTCCTCTTGCCTCTCTCTCGGCGTCGCCGCTGGGAGGCGCCCGTCTTCCCTGTTCCCAGCCTCCCACTGATCGTCGCTGAAGATCATCTCAGCCCGGCTCTTGTTGGACTTGAAGTCAGTATTTGCCACGGCCCTCTTGGCAACCACCGGGTCGAAATTATCGGACACTCCGTCGCTCGTCAAAAACACGATGTCGCCTTCTTCCAAGGTGGTGTAAGAGAAAGTCAGGTTTTCCAAGTCGGGGTTTTCGCCGAAGCAGGGGCCTAAGGCGCCGTCACAAAATCGGATATTCCGGTGGAGATTGTACTCTCTGCAACCTGCAAATGAAACCAAAAATCATGCTTAAACAGCAGAAAACCAGTCAAAATAATACGACAAAATGAAACAAGAGAACAAATTATTCCTAATGTTTGATTGGATTTGTTACATTGGCACAACACCAATTAAAGGATTGCTGTTGTTTTTATTGCTGTTTACGCTCTTGTTGATGATGAAGATGTTGTATATGAAGTTTTAACTTTTTAAGGAGTAAAGCTGCTGAGAGCAAAATCAACCTTATGGCATCAATAAAAATCGACGATTTCTGTGGTCAAAAAATAAGTGTCTATAGCAATTGCCAAACCAACTAGTACAGTTACGAAGAATGGTGGCGACAACTACGAACTACAACGATAAAGGACAACGACAAACGACAACGACGAACGACAACTTACCAACGGTGACCTCCTTGACTCCATGCCGCTGACTGTTGACAAAAGCCAGGCTGTCACCAACGTTAATGACACACAGGACTTTGGAGGTCGTGTCGTCTGACGTGACATCAGCTACCACAGCCAAGCACAGAGTGGTAAGAGAACCCTCGCGAGATATGATCAGTTCCTGAGCTTCGTCCAATGACTCTGTCATACACTTAATTTGGAAAGAGAACCTTCAGATATTAGATTGAAAGGACAACAAATGACAATTAAGATTGATGATGCAGTGGTGATATTGTTAGGATGGGGCTATAGTGGCGATTGTGTTGGTGGTATAGGTCATGATGTCATGGTTAAAGATGATGGAGTGACGGTGATATTGATATAGCGTGGTGAATGTGACAGTGTTCATGTACAGTAATTTCAAGTCCATCACAAGTCCATTACAATTCCGGTCACATATAAATTACAAGTCCAATCACAAGTCCGACAATCACAAGTATACGGGGAGATGAAATTAAGAATGCTCTAGCCACACTTGATGTCAACAGCCCATGGCTTGACTAGGGACTGGTGACGTCATAGACTCGTGAGGACTTCTGCTGGCTCGGCACAACACTAGAACTATAAGGATGACAATCATGACGAATTTAAGATGACAATACAAACTGATAATGATAACAATAACGTTGATGGCACGATAAAAATAACATGGATTACAGAATGATGATGATCAGTTGTGGATCCAGCTTTGGTGCAAGGGTTCTTTTCCCATTTTGTTGCGACCCATGGGGTGGGGTGGTAGGGGGTGGTGGTGGTGGGGGGAGGGGGTATAGGGGATAGGGGTAGACACCACACACCCGTGTAGATCTGCCACTGATGATGTCACTCTGGTGATACTGAAGACAGCAAATAACCACGGAAGAAGGTTTGTGTTCCTTCCAGAGTCCTCCATGGAAATAACATGGAGTCTGGATAACACGACAAAATCATCCAATTACCTTAAAGACATCTGTAGTGGTGAACGGCTCATTTTGAAAGTCCTTGGATTTGGAATACAGTGTTTTCAGCAAGTATTCCATGGACCCCTTAACGGCACACTGGGCTGCTCGTCTGGCTGCCTGTCCCCATCCCACGCCGTCAGCTACCGCCATGATGCAGCTGTTGCGAGTCGCATGGATAGCAAATACATCGGCAATCGGGTCTCCTAAAAAAATAAAGACGAGTAATTTTTTTTAAAGAATAAATGTGCTTTAAATATAATCCAAACTTTATCAGGGAGCTAAATTTAAAAAGGTGGCTTTGGAAAAAAACACTTGGGGGAATTTCTGTATGGTTGGAGTTTTGGAAATTAAAATGATAATAATTTTCCATATGTGATTTCCACTGAACGTGGGGATCGCTACCTTATACGGTTCGTAAGTGTGACGTCACTTCATTTTAAACCACGCCCACTGTACATTAAGTAGCATTGGAACAGGTGTCACATGAAAATCAGACTCGTATGAAAATTTGACTCTTTTTCCCTTTTATTGGTTAAACCCTCTCACGTGACCGGTCCCCCTCCTAATTATCTATGCATGAGCATGTGCAATATCACCAATGAGTCCGTATTTCATAAAACCTAAATTCATGCTACACCGGAAGTAAACGCAACTTGAGTGTTCAGCCAATGGGTGCTAGTAATCAGTGATTTAATAGCTACTGGTAACAATTTAAAAGTTTTTTATATTGTTGTCCAAAGTGGATTTCCTTTATTTTGAACCCCCTGTATTACTCAAAATATGCAATTTTGTTTTAATCAAAGAGTTTTGTTTAAACTTTAATACCTGTGCATTCTTTCTTGTCACTGTTTTTGTACTCGTAAAGTGACACAGACTTGCCGTAAGCCTTCTCATTCCGTTGTCTCCATTTCGAGACGTCACGATCCAAGGGAGGCTTTTTCTCTGCAAAAAAGTTAAACAAAACAAGAATTACTGGACATGAACAGAGTCATTAGAGACAGATTGACACAAAAGACTTTTGATAATTTGCATTATTCATTAATAGTAATGGATTTTCATGCACGGGCTTATTTCTTCTTCCCTGTTGGAAAAAAAACAACACTTTCTGGTTAAACAAAAACAGTCAATTCCGTTAAAAAAAACATAAGAAGAAAATAAAAAAATAAAAAAATATATATATTATTCAAGTCGTGCTGACAATGGTTCACATTTCAAAACAATTAAAATTAAAAAAAAAATAAACTTTAGAAAAATTGGAGATGCCGGGGATTGAACCCGGGGCCTCGCACATGCGAAGCGCGCGCTCTACCACTGAGCTACATCCCCGATGCCTAAATAAAGGAAATTCTATTCAATATAACCTATTGACAATGTATTGCGCAATACGCGCATGCGTACTGCGAATTCTATTGTCGTCAACTGTTTTATGATCTTAATGTTTTAAACATAATTTCATATTTTTATAAATATCAATATCATACTATGAAGATTACTTCGACGGCTGTTACATGATCTGTAATGATGTCAATTTAATATAACTCTAAATACACCTAAAAATCTTTTTTCGGTTCAATTTGTTGCGCGGAAAGCTGAATGTATTCCATATGACACCTCAACACAAAAACTGAATTCGAGTCTCACACCAAATAGTATCCGATTGTACCGACACTTGCTGGTTAACGGTGAACATAAAGCGCGCCCTCTATCTACGTGTTATTGCGTTGCTGTCATCATCAACACAACTTGTTTGGTGCCACGCAACCTCGTCCCCAGGGTTTCGAGCAGTACGCGCCCACCACTACCTGCTCTCTCACCCTGGTATTGGATCATTTGCATGTGCAAGATTTTCGCACACGTATGCAAATGAGGAACAGTCTGGTGCCTGGATATGCGTTACACATTAGCGTTTATTTTTGTATGCGGTGTCTGGGGTAAAAACAGAGTCAATTCGTAGCAGCGCGAGCACGGCGTGAGTTACGAAAACACGATTTTTTAAATCAAACTGTTACGATCTTATCGAGACAACTTGCAGTATCATATTTCATATTAATATGAGCAAATTGGAAAGGAAATTAGTATTTTCGAGAAGGCGTGGACGAATGATCGCGAAAACACGTACTGCACGTTGTGAATATATAGCACCAAGTACACGATAAAAATCCATTACTAACCAATTGCGGTATCCAATCAGGATAAAGGAAGAAAGTTTCCTATCCAGGGTTTACTATTGGAAACGCGGTTGGAAATAAAGTAAGCACTGGGGACGAGGTTGGGTGCCACGTGCTTGCGATCGCGATCGCGGGCGCACTGTGTACTGATGAGCAAGCAAACTACTCCACACCGTGCGGGGCTGCAATTCTGCATAGTCGCTATGATGTACTTGCTCACGGTGAAATCACAATGCAAGGTCAGGGAAGCCGATAATATTCTACAAGCCGTTTTACGAAGGTAAGTGGATGTTTTCATGTCCAAGTTTACACTCAAGTTGAGACAGTTTTATTAGAGTCTTCATATAATTATAGCAGGCCGCGCTCCAAACCGAACCGGGTTGTTGCGTGGGGCATATGATAGGCAAAGCAGAGGAGTTAGACCTGCCAGAATAGGTCCAGAAGATAACTTAAACTTGATTATTACCTCCATGCGCTAGCTGTTTTTATCGGAGGAAATTATTTTGGAATTTTGGAGAGGCAAATAAGTTTCTGCTTGGACGTACAATTAAGATGGAGGTTCTATTTTTAGACTATTGGAGTGACAGAAACCGTGGTACTGTTTAAAACAACCGTACGAGTTTCTGCAGCAGATCTGGATTCCCAATGGTCATTCTGGATGTTTTTCTAGGTCATCTGGGTTTACGTAGTGCAGGGCGGCATATGTCAAGTGAAGTTTGAGGATCGATTTATATTTAGCAGTGCAGGCTGGACCTAACCTGAAGTGGTTATTGTTTTGGTCTGCATTTAAAAACCGCAGGGGAACAGCCACCGAAGCTAGTGAAATTCTCAGATCCCCCCCCCCTTCTTAATATTTTTCCTGTGTGTAACTCATAACGTATCTTTTATTTGTGACTGACTCTGCCAGGGTTGAAGAAATATTTATGAAATTATGAAGTCAAGAAATGTTCATGTTCCGTTATAACTTGCATGATTTTTCTCACAAAAAGATTTACTTTGAAACCAATGCATACCGATTCCATTTATTTACGACCATGTGCAGAATGGTAATTAATTAGGTGTATGTACGTAAATGAATAATACGTACTATACAACTGTTGAGCAAAATAATGGATCCAGTTTTGGTTTTCAATTTTTGTTTGTGGGCGGGGGGGGGGGGGTGGCAATTCTTGCTGTCGCGCTGGGTAACATGGATGTAATTTTACAGGTGATCGTATAAAGAAAAGTTTGATTTGTTACTGAGAATACCGTTTCTTCATAAAGTATACTTGAACGCTGTGCTGCGGATCTTCTTCAATTATTACTTGTTTTGGATGAATTAACAGAGAGTGTTTTTTTGGGGGGGGGGGAGAATGGGGGGGGGACACAGAAATTACTCCACACAATAGCTGATTGTATAAACGAGATTGTTTCGGTGCATGGCGCCGACAATAAACACACGTGTTCAGTGTCGTGCTATAATGTGTTCGTTGAAGCCTATTAACTAAAGGCTCAGTTTATCTTCAGTTCTTCACCTGATGGGATTATAAACTTAATTACTTGTCAAGAAGTCGGTACGTGTTTCGTTCCGAGAAGACTGCATGTTAGCATGGAGGTGTGATTCTTTATAATGTCGTCACTCGGTTTGTTTAGAGACGGGATGGTATCGGATATTTTCAAACCATATAAAAACAACACTACAAAATGTGTCTTGTTATTTCGTCATACGAGCTATAAAAAAAAGGCATGTTTTGAACCGTGTCGATAGTTTCCACTGAAGTTCACATAAAAGACATCAGTCAGCCGACACAACCCTGCAACCATGATCGTCTGTTAATACTACGCGGGGAACTGTTTAGTCCTCGGTTAGGGACGTGGTCGGTGAACTTTTAATAACATGAACAAGCTTCTTCACCCGTGACCAAAGTTGCAAATATTGTTCAGGTGAAGAGGCGTAAAGCATTTAACTACTGAGATATTTCACAACTTACCATTTCTTTCGAATTCTTGCTGTTGTTGCGTCTTCACACCGACCCCGTTCGTACCGTGCACCGCGTTGCCGTTGGCGGGGGATAGCGCGGTGTTTTCCCCCGCGGAATCAGGAAGGATTGGCCCGCTGTTTGTAAGTCCTCCGTGCGGCCCGGAGTAAGATGCCACCATCTCGCGACTGAAGGGGACTAGCTTCTTTTTGGGGAGGAAATTGTAGCTTTTGCCGGAGTAGTAAACCCGAGGTGCGGTTGGGGTCAGTGACAATAAATTCCTGAAAAGAAGCAAGTAAATGAAGTTGATGAAAACAAGAATTTTCTGATGATAGTTGAAATAAGTTAGTGAAGACATTGAAGTCTTAAAAGTAGAGAGAAAACAATTATAGGGCATATGGTTTTCATATACTTCAGACATGTGACAATTAGCAAGCCTGTTTTGGTGATCGGTCGGTCTGTCTGTCTGTCTGTCTCTGAAAATACGGTGTTCCATAATATGTGCCATCGGCGTCGCATTTTTCGTTGTCGCATTTTGAAGCTCTAGCAGGGATCATTTTGAGCGATTTCATGCAAGACTTTCATCGCTTAATTCTTGCAACACGGCCAGAGCTTATTGTGTACTCGCACTCGTTAACGTCAAGTTGCATGGTTTAAGTTGTGATAATACCAGAAATCAATTTTTGTTTTCACAGAAATTGGAATCAACCGACCGTGGGGAAATCCTGACTTTGGGTAAAGTATTAATTTACTTGGCATGGCATATAACAAAAGAAAAAAGTGGTAAGTATCAATATGGCCGAAATTTGCACTCGTGAGTTTTTTTTACAAGAAATCAAGTCAAGTTTTGTTATTGAGGGGTCGCACTTATATAACTACAATATTCCGTACTCAAATTACAGAGGAATAAACCTACCGAAAATAATGTTTTTATTCCTCCATGGCTTGTGTAACTTTGTAGGGGACAGTTCTTGACAAAATATGTATTTATGAAAACAACTTTTAATGGCATTGGCCTAGATTTATTTTAATACGATTTTGTTTCTGATTCATGAATCCTAGTTTGCCAATTTAATTTGCATTTTCTCTTTTCCTTTCAAGTTTCATCAATGCAGATGAAAGTGGAATTTAAGACAATTGAAGCTGGTTGTTTCACGATTTGGAATTGGAAGCACCCAAGAGCAATTCAAGTTGAGGAGTAATTAAAGTGATTAGGTGAGTAAAATAATATTAAGTGAATATTTTTAACTTAAATAGAGTTCACTAAAATTCATCATGGACTGTTTAAAGCTAATGATATAACATTTGCTTTTCCTGTAGTTATCAGAAATAAATGGAGAAGGGGATTAGTAGTTTATAACAAATATTGTAACACTGACATGCCTTAAGTGTTCTAGATGCTGGAAAAAAATACTGTAATTGTACTCTGTCTGGGAATTGTCAAATCTGGGAATCATGCAGACTAGCTAGTTTGCACCCATTCACAGATGTGGAACCGATTGCAAACATAAAATGGATTAACTAAATTTGGTAAATTGGGAGCAGTGTTTACAAAAAAGTTATGTTTTTTTCCAACGATAGTCAGCCGACCATCTTTGGAAAGTGTTACAAAAATTCCACCTTTCTTGAAAATGACAGCACACCAGGTGCCATGATTTCACAGGATGCTTGAGACTATTATTGACTGACATGCAAGTAAGGTAATTCATCATAATTTGGTAGTTTTGTTTTCTGATATTATGTTGTATATTACCTGTAAGTATTCACAATTAAGTTGCAGTCAGTACGGTTAGTGTTAATATTGTTCTTTTACTCCATAGTATCGCTCAATATTGGAATTGTCTTGGATGGATTTCCCTAACAATTTTTTTTTTTTTTATACAGTGAATGAGACTGCATCATGGCTAAAAGGACATTAATTGAGAACAGCACTGAAAGGTAAGTGAAGCAAATAGGAGAAGAGAATGGGTAGAGTGCACATCCCTGGTTTTAGAGTTGGGTTGAGGAGTTAGGATGGATGGGATGAGGTTGGGTTGGGGCGTGGGTCGGGGCAAGAGGGGGCCGTGAGGGGGGAGGGGATGTTGCAAAATGGAAAACTCTTATGAGAAGTGGCCTGAAAAGTATTTTACCTGTTGAAATCTCACACCAGTCAAATAAATTTCGAGTTGGGGAGGGAACTGGGGGTGAGATGGGATGGGGTCGTGCTTTGGGGCAGAGGATTTTGGGGTGGAGTGGGGGGGGGGGCAAAGTGAAAAAAATGAAAAGAGGCCTGAAATTTATTTCACCTTCAGGAGGGGGAGGGCTATCAGTTGTAAGTTTCTGCTATTTTATTGTTCTCTTCATGAAGAAACGAGGACCACACAGAGGGGCAGACTCTAGAAAAAGGGGAGTTGATATAAGGGGGATGGGGGAGGGGTTTAGTGAAGGCATGCCTAGGGCATTCACCCTGCTTAGGTGTTCCTTGGACATGGCCCCCCCCCCCCCAAAAAAAAATCATTTTGAAATATATGCTTTGCTTTCTCCTGCAGTATTATAAGGTAATTTTAAACTTTAGGAACTTTAGCAGTTTAGGAATTGCTGGACAGTTTAGGAACTTAAGCATTTCATTTGTTACTTTGGCTTCATTTAAAGTATAACATGAGTCAGTGGCTGAATTGGGGGTGGGGGGTGGGGAATGGTTGCGACCCCCCCCCCCCCATCTGCTACTGCATGAGATATACACTGTATATGTGTTTCTTGTATTCACTGTTATCTTTCTTATCAGTCTTCAGGAGCCAAGAAAGATGTCCAGAGTATCAGCCAAGACACACGGTAAACAAGTTAGAGGAGAATTAACAGGTCTGTAAACATTGTTCATACAATCTGTTAATACGTTGTGAGTTCAGGTCTAAATAACTTGTGTTTATGAGAGAAACCAGTCACATAGATGTGATTTTTTTGAAATTCTATCAGCAAGGCTGTTAGTCATGGTGGACTCAATATATGGGTGCTATTTGGAGTGTGTGTGTGTAAACTCTTTTGCGTTGGTCCAAATTTACACCAAAACAAAATAGCACCCTCCTGTCCGCCGCCATTTCTCAAACTGAAGGCTGTTGAAGTATGAAGAAGCAAATTACCAATGGCCAAAACATTTCCACAAAAGTTTTCTCACAGTATTGAAAACAATACTTTACTTTGTTGAGAGGATTGAACTTGTGATGAAACAGGGTATGTGTTATCCTGAAAAGACAGAAAGTTCTCTTGTCTGCCTTGTCAAGATAACAAATGAGATTGTCAACTTGACAAATCTATTGTAACTCAAAACTCCTTTGAATTTTTTGACACGATTATTTTAAGATTCAGTGTTGAAGATATGCTTCTTTGTTTTGCTCGATGTTTTCCAAAGTAGTAATGGATAGAAAGCCTTGATTGTTTTTACTTTTCAGGATTCAGTCTGTTAATTGCTGTGACTTCTAGTTCATTAATAGATGTTCTGTGGTGTTTTTTTTTCAGTCATGCCCACTCCAGTAAGTACAGCCAGCTGAACAATACTTCAAGAAAAGCGCGCCACCTGTTCCTTATCAGGAAAACTGACCATGGAGAGTCTCAAGTAAGGCTGACCTACTACATGCATGATTGATTGCCTTCAGCAAAGTAAGTTGTTTGCCCTAGGTAAAACCATAGGAAAAACTAGTGAAGCTGCAAGTTAAAGCATGGAGGATATGGAAAGCTTCACTTGTTTTACAATACAAACAAGTCTTGCTTTACAAAAACTGTGATCTAATCAAGGTTCAGATGAACAGAGGGTCCAGGAGTGTTCTGCTGTGCCACAAAACTCTTACTGGACAGATTGCTACAAACCAAATTTTGATGCCATCAGCAGACCAAATTGCAGACCCCTCACTTCACCCACCAATTCCCCCTCCCCCCTCCAGAATTCCTGAATTCCCTAAGTGGCTCTCGATCAATTGTTAATTGTTGTGGTCCTTGAAGTCCCCACGAATTGCAGTGCCTGGGAAACAGAACAGGATTATATTTACAGACACAAAACAGCCACAGTGGACATCCACCGTGGACATCCACCGAAAGTTTGTTCAACCATTGTGGCTGCACCCACACATGACCTCATTGTGTATGCAGTTTTATAACATGCATGACTCATGCGTAATTATGATAAGCCTGATACATAAAGCAAAAGCTTGCTACACAATCATCATGATGACTGCATGCAACAAACATTTCATGTATCAATTCAAGGGAACAACCCTGTGTAAGTTTTTTTTAAGCTGACAGGTAGTTAACGTTGGTGGTCTTCATTTCATACAAAAAATCTCATACTTGCTTTTTCCCACAACAATGTCAAGCGAAAACAGCTTACAAATTTATCAATTCATAGTGCGGGGGGGGGGGGGGGGGGGGGGGGGGGGGGGGGGGGGGGGGGGCTTAGTGGGTAATTAATAAAACTTTCACAATTTATTTGCAAGATCAACAACTTATAGCAGGCTGAAATCGAAAAACAGTTTTGCCTTGTGAGGACTTTTCAAAACAAGATTTTTGAGGGGTTTTATTGTACACCTTGTAACTTTCTTCTTTAAAAGCTCAAGTAAGCTGTGAAAACGAGGACACTCTGTTGAACTTGAAGTTTTAATCACAGTGGACAGATTGTTTGTCTTCTTTCTTTGACTGCTTCACAGATAAGAACTCTGACACAAGATGATGGGTCAAAGAAGAGGAAGATTGGTGAGATTTAAGATGGGTACAGCAGAAAGCACCAACTGAGCTCCCTGAGAGAGTGAATCTTTCTGATTGGTAAGAACTTAGGGACATTAACTTAAACCAAAGGGCACTCAAAGTTGATGTTCAAACGAAACTTTAGAAAGAAGTAGAAACACCGATTTCAGTGTTCTGCCAGTTAAAAAAAAGAGGAGTATAATATTCAATAAGACCAAGTGTCAAGCAACATTCATGATGAACCAGTCATGATCAAGTCTTTGTGCGGGTTGGTTTGATAAAAGAATCCATGCTAAAGGGCATGGCTTGGGAACAGCAAATGTTGAGTTATGTCACCTAGTTAAAACTTGGTGTTCCATTATTTCAGGTTGAGTTGGGACTGATAGATTGCATGTTTCTGCTTATTACTAATTTACAGTCAGAAACACTCTGATAACCTTTACTTGATGTTTTGCTTCAGTGCTCAGAATTGTAGTATTTCAGGGCATCAACGGCTGATGATGAGAATAGATACAAAAACATCTGAAGTTAAGAAGCACAAGCTGTTACAATATAGACTGAGATGGAAGATGATCTGTCATGATGGAATGTCAGATATTCTAGTGCTGACTGTCGAGTGACTGAGACATCAAATGATTCAACAACAGCACAGGAAAGTGTCATGAAAAGGTAAAGTGATAGCATGTTTTCCTTATGTTGTTTGGCCTCTGGTTAGAGGTTGCCCTTACCTTTGTAAAGCAAGTGAGGTTTCAAGACAAGTATGTGAGGTTTTGAGAGACAAACTCACTTGCTTAAAGCTGAAACCTCACTAGTTTTATAGGGCATTGGCAAGAGAGTAGCTTCCTGTGAAAGGTATGGCAGCATGTGTTGTTGATTGAACAACACTCACACACACATGAAGCTGCCCCTTTGTCTGTTTCATGAAGGAGTCACGGCGTACGCGCGCGTGAGTCCAAGGTTCATTGAACTGGTTTAGCTCCTCCTCCTGCTCAATGGGAACCAATGAATGGCCATTGTGGTGGGCTAGCTGATTAGCATACTGTATGGGCCGATGGTTAAGCACTAAAGGTGACCAGGAAACCGTTGACATTTGCTAACCAGTGCTAACTCATTTTTGGCGCGAATGCTTTTGAAAACATGATATTACAAGATAATTATGTAACATTATTTAATTATTTGAACCACATTAAGTAAGAAAATTACTCCTCTGTCTGCTGGCACCAAAATTTTGGTTGGAAATCGATCAAATGTCTCTCACAAACCCCTTAAATGAGTTCAAATTGGAAGCAACAGTAAATTTTTGGTTCCGCAGATTGGCGCCATATATATACAAGTCTCGTCGGGTAGTTAATCGTGCTAGCTTCGGCTGCACATATACTAAAATTGGAACGATACAGAGAAGATTAGCATGGCCCCTGCGCAAGGATGACACGCAAAATCGTGAAGCGTTCCATATTTTTCGTAAAATTTGACGTCAGGCATCTTACGGCCTTTTTTTGGTACCATATGAGGTCATTTTGGCCTACTTTTAGCATAGAAAAGGATGCTAGTCTGACTCGAAGTCATTTTTTTTTCGCAAGCAAGCGGTACAAAGTATGATTGCGCGTAAGCCCGAGGGCGCTGTCTAAGGAGGAGGAGGCGGGGCTTAGCGGGAGGGGTGTCAAACACACCCTTAAGCACATAAAACTTTTCTTATGGCAGTTTATGCAGCTCAGACTGATGACCCTCCAGACTGTCATCAGAGGTGAACTTTTTGGCCAAGGTTGACGGTCTGTTCTTCGCAGAGTCTGGAAGCACGAAAGCCCGAGGGCGCTGTCTAAGGAGGAGGAGGCGGGGCTTAGCGGGAGGGGTGCCAAACATACCCTTAACAACATAACTTTTCTTATGGCAGTTATGCAGTTTCGATTGATGACTCCAGATTTGCATCAAAGGTACAAGATTTTTTTGGCTAAAAGAGATGTCTGTTCTTCGCAAAGTCTGAAAGCACGTAAGCTAGAGGGCGCTCTTTACCTAGAAAGAGGCGGTGCTTAAGGATAGGGGTGCTAAAGTTAACTTTTCCTGTGACAGTTTTGCACTCACAAATGATGGCCCTCCAGATTTTCATCAGATATGCAAGACATTTTTGGCCAAAGTTGACAGTCTGTTCTTCGCAAAGACTGAAAGCACGAAAGCTAGAGGGCGCTCTTTGGGGAGAAAGAGGTGGGGCTTAGTGATAGGGGTGCTGAACATGCCGTAAACCAAATTTAACTTTTCTTGTGGCAGTTTTGCAGTCACAACTGATTACTCTCTAGATTTTCTTCAAAGGTGCGAAAACTTTTTGGCCAAAAAAAATGTCTGTTTTTTGCAAAGTCTGAAATTACGTAAGCTAGAGGGCGCTCTCCAAGGAGAAAGAGGCGGGGCTTACTGTTAGGAGTGCTGAACATGCTGTAAACAAAATTTAACTTTTCGTGTGGCAGTTTTTGCAGTCACAACTGATGACCCTCCGGATTTTCATCAAAAGTGAATTTTTTGGCCAAAGTTGACGGTTTGCTTTGCGCAAGGATAACGCGCAAAACCATGCGTGTTTTAATTGCAAGTACCTTTATTGAAGTTCTGAGTGTCAGCTTGAACAAGTGTTTGACAAAAAATTGTGATCTTTCAAAAAAAAGTATTTGTTGTCATTTTTGTTGACAACAGTAATATAAATATTAGAATGGTACTCAGATTGAGGTGTTTTTGCAGGGAATGGATGGTCTGGCTAGCCAGTCCTTCTCAATCAAATGCCCTCATAAACTTTTAAAACTACATTATAGGCCTAGAACTAACTATAACAATATTGCAATTCAAGCTTGACTAACTCCAATGTGTTTTATTTTGTAGATCAGTGGCAGGATTGTCATCGAGCTTCAAATATCTTCAAAGCAATCACTGGCGGTCAAACCAGTCACTGGCTATGTGACAAACAGAGGCAAACATTTGTCATGGCACATCTCAGATGAGCTGTGACTTTTGATCATGTAGTTTCATTTTGTGTATGACAATTGACTTGTGAATGAATTGGGATTGACTTTATGGCTCATCGAATGCATTATGGTTGTCTTGCCTTTGTCCGGAGATTGACTTGTGAGAGAATTGACTCAGGATTGTCTACAGACTGACTTTGATTTGTGATTGACTTATGATTGAATTATGATTGTTCAGAACTTCAGGTGTACATAAAAATACAGACATGTCAAAAAGAGGAAGACCTCACATGCTCTGAATGAGTTAACTAGTACAACAGACACTAGACTTAAACACATGTACCATACAAACATAGAAAGCTGCTGGCAAAGATAATGACAACATGATGCTATTTGCATCTGAAATTTCAGCTTTTTTGCATCACAGTTTCAGACAATTCTTGCAGCATTTCTGAATCTTCTTGAAAAAGGAAAAAGTTAATAGTTTGGTTGTATTCTTTTCATAAGCAATTTAAATTTTCTAAAAATTTATTGACCTGAAGATAATTTGCCAATTTTACACAAAATCCTCACTTCAATTTTTTTTTCCAAAAAGAAATACCCCCAAAATCCACTATATTTTTATTTTACAAATCAATTTTGCCCCATAAAACTATTCAGAATAGTTAGCACTGTCATTAAATGAAACTTTATCTTCCCAAAGTCGACGGATGAAGAATATTTGGGTATGTTATTTCAATATTTTGTCAAAGCGTCAAAAAGTCAAAATCCGCGCTCTAAAGTTTGCATTCGTCGTGTGAGGGCGCCCTTACGGTTTAACGGTCTTCAACCAGCCGTGCCGATTGGAGACGGAAAAAGCAAAAATACACGGGGAATAAGGAGGCGCACGCAATATCGTATCGGAGTGATATTCAAATTAGCGTTTATGTACTTTTAAAACGTGGGGCGTTGCCTACGCCTGTTTATTCGGTGCAAAATTCATTAAAAGTTTAACTTCCGTCGCCGATCGACGCAGGCTACCTCAGACCGTTAAATTGTAAGGGCGCCCTCACTCGACGAAATCGAGCAATGGTACAAAAATAAGTTTCTTTGACAGACTGAGTGACCAGTTTTCTTCGACATCACCCCTGACTGGGCCTCAATACTTACGTTGGGCCTGTACCCTTTTGTTCATCACCTTAACTACTTTTACCCATACAAAGTTACCAATTTTCAATCAAAGTTTAGTAACAATTTCAGAACAATTAAGGATTAACTACAAAATATCGAGGAAGAATAATTCTCAAGATGGCATTGCCTCGGAGAATTATCTTCCACATGTGGAATCATTCTCAACCCAGATTCCATTTGAAGATAAAAACCTTTTTCTTTCCTAAAAGATTTAGGCTACATGTATTCTTATAATTTTCACCGCCATTCTCAACCTGATAAAATCCAACATAAGAATGTTAAGTCTAATAGTATTTTTAAATCTACGATGAACTTACCCTAGTTTTCCGAGCAGTCCTCCAACCCCAATCTTCGACATAGCTTTCCGTTTGGCCGGGTCCGACAGACTTCGTCTTCTACCCTTATCGTCGCAGTCTCCCTCCTGCCGTCTGAGCGCTCGAGAGTCCGGTACGGGCGGCCTGGGTTGACACGCTCGAGTCCCCGGAACGTGGACCGTATCTGATCGCTTTCGGACTCGGAATAGCCCGGCCATTAAACTGCATCAATCGCGCTGAAAGGAGCATGAACAATTATGCAGACATGAGATCGAGATCTGTCAGACTTTTGTCTAAAATAAGACATGTACATGTATTTACATGCATGTATGCCCGGCTTTTCACACCACTGTCCCTTTTCTTTGATCAAAAAATTGCTGGTAGGCCCAACATGTACATGTACTATAATTGTTGACCTATAGAATTACATTGTACATGTAGCATGCGTGTTCTCCCACCAGTTGAGGACTTTGTTGATGATACAGTTCGTCGTTCATATGAATCTCCAGAAAAAAAAACTAAACGAAGGAAATTAAGTTGGCGGTACTCTGGTAGATGCTTTCGGTGTTGATTAAATTCCCTTTTCGTTATAATAATAGTGTTCATTAATTGAAGTACAAAATGTATCACTTTGTATGAATAAAAATAAGAAATATTCTACAGTATATAGTCCCATCCATTGTGCAAACTACATTCTGTACACGAAGAGTGTATCTTTTTTTAGGGGGAAATATTTTCAATTCGGTGGAAAATATACACACAGATTTCATGTGCAGAATCGTTTAAGGCCGATTCTGCATGAATGTTGTCACGCTATTGTTAGATTAAAAAGAGCCAAGTTTACGATCAAACTTATCCGATAAAGGACTCAAAAAAGGTCCAAAGTTTGATACTGTGTCTTGTTCACAGCGGTTCTTGCTACATGTATTATATATCTGTTGGCTTAACGGGTTTGCTCTGAGTCCATTGATATAATGTGGCAAAAGAACACTGAAACGTTGCACTGTCAATGACAAGCATTGCAACTAGGAACCAGAAAAATTGTGAGGGCAATTTTGCTAGTTAGACTAAAATTGTCTGTGATTTTTTTTTCGGGGGGGGGGGGTTTCTTCTTTTTTATGATACGACTTCTACTAAATCTTGCAGCTGATTAAAATGTGTCACTCAGTAATTCATTATGATTTCTCTAACTATTTTGGAGATTCGGTTATTTCCATTATATTAAAATTTTCATTCTGAGAATAATAACAGTGAAGTTTCAGCAATGAAAGAAAGACTTTGAGTCATATCGAAACATTGCCACGCTTCACTGGCTCCTATACATACATGTACATGTATTTATAAAAACAGGTATGACATGAAAAGACAACAGTATTATTTCAGAGTAGGCCTAGTTCCAATATTTTTTTTATTCAAATATGAAGTCGTTTACTGGCCGAGTTGCAGTGCAAATTTTGAGGGTTGTCAGTATCGCCACATTATTTCAACGAGTCTGCTCACTTCAGACAAACAAATTATACATTCTTGTCGATCGTATATGACAAGAATGATACATTTCTGTAGCCTATAGGCCTAAAATTAAAGCAAAATACATGTACTCACCTAGAATTGCTTGGCCACTGGATTATTGCATTCCATAACAGTCTGCCAGAGAAATAAGTATCAAAAGTCGTGCATTCGTCAGTGAAGCCTTCGTAAAACAAAATCAGCTGTGATTGTTTTAGTTGTGGATTTAAAGTTGTTTACGAGTTGAGAACTTTATCACGACGACCAAGAATTCGGAACAACGACGACCGTGACACTGGCGAACCCACACCCGTGAACTTGTCAAATCATACGGCGTTGTTGCTCACTCACAGTCCGGTCAGAATTGCGTCCGTCGTAAATTCCTCCATGTACCGAACTTTTTTGTCTTCGAGTCAAATGGCGTAACAAGCATTGAGTTACACTGAAAGAATGTGATGAATAATGTATCAATATTATCTGAGGCCAACAATCTGAGTCTAGTTAGAGTACAAAGGTTACAATCTGGATCAGGTTATATCATTGTCACAATTACGTGTGCAAAAACTACACAAAAATCCACTCTGAACTAGCTGTCAACAAAATTGTACACAGAAAGAAGGAAGTTTACACAAGCAATAATTGTTGGTTCGATGACAGCTCCTGTTACAGATTCCGAAACTGGCTCTCAGAAACAAATAAAATACAGTTTTCTTCCGGGAATGACGTTATTGTAATCGAATTAAGGGGAAAAAACATAGAAATGCCAAAGAGACGATGCCTTTTGTATTCAAACAATTGCAACAAAATATGATTTTTGGAGCAGTACGTGTTTCCGTGTGCAGGCTTTCTTCCACGATACTGAATAATCTTTCGTTTCCTTTAATCTTGGGTCAAAGGCGAACGTTTTTTTTTGTATTGATACGTGTATTGTGCATAGCAGGGGGCTGTAGGGAAATCCCCTTGTAGTTTAGGCTACACCATGTGTAATTGTATCCGGTATATGAAGGGAACGTAATTTGCCTCTGGTATAATGATGGAACTTAATACGTACAGACCTGCACGGTGCGTTTGAGTATGCATGTACGTCGTACATGTACATCTTGAAATTATTAATAACGTGACTATACCAATAGGGAAACATAGACACATTATTATGCGCCTATCATCAAATATCCCCGCTGCCCCAGGTTCGATGTCAAGATTTGGTCACGTTTTTCATGCCCCAGGGTGGGGGTTTTGGTCACTCAAAAACATGGGTACTTGTACTCGCCATTAAATAGAATGCATTTTGTTCTTGCAAGTCCAATATAATAACATCACTCAATCTCCGAGGAAGACTTTCCAAAACCCGACCTGTTGAAACTTCAGCTCAGCGGATATTACACTTTTCGAGGGGCGCCGGCCATGTGCAACTTGGTCACGAAACACGGTTTCGTCCATAGCACTCTTTTATTTCCCAAAATCAGTTTGATCGTTAAAGTTGGAAATCACTACATTTGTTTATTTGTTCCAAATGACAGCAAGCCAGGTGAAATAATTTCATGCGGTGTTTAGTACCAGTACGATCTTTAATCCAAGTCCTGTTTTTTTTTGGGGGGGGGGGGGGGGAGGGGATAATAATTCGGTAGATTACTTTTAATGCGAGTAATCCCATACCTTTATACATTTCCACAAATAGACGCCATTTCTTGTGTTGGGGGACACCAAATTGCAGGGGTCGAGTGTGAGGGTTTAGTTTAAAACGCTCATTGTGAAAAACAGGCAACCCTAAATAAATCTCGGACAAGTGTGTAAATGAAAGAAGTTCCTCAATCCTGTTAAATATTTTGGGTTCGTTCCAAGACATGATGCCAACTACTTTGGCAAAGTCGACGGGAATAGAGGGCGCTATACCATGCGACCGTAAAAAGCTGTTGGGGAGAGAAGTTGTGTTACTTTAGTGCGAAAAGTATAACTTATAGTTAGATGGCCAAAATAGCATAGCATAATAACTGTATACTGGGTCTATCCTTACAGTTTTCCATTTTCATTTATTTTTTTATCCTTACCCTTCTGTTTTTCTACCGTACATCTAGCCTTTTGACAATGTACACACATGTATTTGTTTAGTTCCTTATTTTTGAGTGATAAGTATTTTTTTTCCCCATTCGGCAAACCCGGAAAAGGCCCCTATATGCACGGATGAAAGCAAGGAACGATAATTGACCTTTTGTTGAACATAATTTCACACAGGTTTTACTTTCAGAAATCATACGAAAGACATGCAGAAGGCGCGTGAATTTGCACCCAAAAAAATGCCACGGTGTAGTGGCTCGGTCAATGCCCTCTTTTTCACTTTCATTTTTTTAAGAAAACAATTATTTTTTTACTTAAGCGATTTTGAATGAGACAGTCCAGTAGCACGATGAAAAGATTGTTGATTTTGGCAGTTGGGCTTCCAAGAGCAATTTTCGATTCTGCTGGCAGAGGTTTGGGGGGGGGGGGGGGGGGGGACACCAGAATTGGCCTCCCGCTCTCTGCCCAAAGTGCCTGGTCACTGTGCGGTTGTACTTGTAAATCATGGGCGATAGTGCGGAAAGTCTATTGTGACGATAGTAGCGATCGAAATTCTTCCCTTTAGGCCAAAAAAAAAAAAATTAGTCGGTCTCTGGTCAGCGCGCGCGTCGATTTTAATCATGCGCGTCAATCTTTTTTCCCCCAAAATGTTCCGCTGTAGCTCCAACAGCGCCCTCTATTGCCGCACCTCCTCAAATTTTTTTTTATTCAAAGAGCACCAAGGAATTGGAAATTGCACCAAGGCAAATGATCGAGAGCACCAAGGCAAATTATGGAGGACACCAATGTACATGAGGACACCAAAAAAAGCAAAATAGTACCCCACCTTGTCTGTACAATCCAAGCTTGAAGAAAAAAAAAAGCCGCGTACCCGCGTCAAACTGGAACTTCGGTCAAACCAGAGACCGAATATTTTTGTTTTTTGGCCTTATGCCCAATGGCACCGCACTAGTAAAGTACATTGTAGGTCAGTTTATTTTTTACACATGGTCCGTGGTCAGTTAAAGCATGGAGCTACAACTCCGTGGTTCAAGCATAGAGGAAGGAACAGTCAAGCATGCGTGGAGCAATTTAAGAGGGAGGGGTCTGATATATGATGAACAATGAAACGAATGGTCAGTCGGGTCTGTATTGGTGAATGTTAATTTGTTTGAAGCTTCAAATTTTTAATAATGATTTTTTTTAGTCAATCTTGAAGAATAAATGTTGATTAGTAGTGTCAAGTTGTGGGCAAAAACTTGCATTAAAGGTTTTAAAAAAATGCCCACCCGTGATTTCAGAATTTTGGGGTCTGTTTAGCCCCATAAATGTGGCCAATTTACTGGACTACCTCCGTAAATAAAGGCCACACTTCGAACATGTACAAAAACATGTCGAGCTTCAATTAGTCAAATTTTGATTTTCACATTTAGGCTTAATTTGTAGTTTATTTTTGCTTTAGTTTTAGAAGCGTACTCACCCTCTTTATAGGCTAATCAGAAAGTGCTGCCTTTTTCAGATGTCTATTTTTCGTGAGATTTCATGTTGAAAGTTTGATACGCAAACGTGTGCAAACGAATCTGGAAATTTCACGAAAAACAGACATCTGAAAAAGGCAGCACTTTCTGATTAGCCTTTAAAGAGGGTGAGTATGCTTCTATAAAGCAAAAATAATTTACAAACTAAGCCTAAATGTGAAAATCAAAATTTGACAAAGATGGACAGTAAATTGGCCACATTTATGGGGCTAGGGTCGGTTGGGTGAGGGCAACATTGGCATTGAAGGTTCTTATAGTATAAAAATGCAATTTTGTGCGTTATAGATTTTAATTTTGATATTTTATAAAAATATCAGCACAAAATATGCAACATGAGTCATGAAAATGAATTAAACTGCTGCAAACTTCTTCCTGGCTGGATTGACTTGAAATATACAAATCAACAACATTATGCCTAGGGTTTGGATCCTTATGTACAATGTACATGTAGCAAGGACTTTCTCAACGGCAAAACATTATTCATGTGTACTTTTCCTAAGTTCAGTCTTTTTGTTATGAATTGTGATAATCGAAATTATGGTTGGGACCATAATATAAAAAAAAAAAATGCTAAGAAATGTGACAGGTATTGTTTGGCATTGGCGAGCTACCATCCGTCACTTGGCTAACCCGCACCGGGACTGTCCCGGAACCAGCACCGGCACCGCGTAGGCTGGCTGACGGATGAAAGTGCCCAGTCACCGTTCCATTCACGTTATCATGGTCGGTTGGATGATAATGGCCGATACACGGAAAAACAACGCCGAATTCTTGAAAGCGAAATTAATACCGGTAGTTCTTGTTAGGAGGAATTGAAGCTCAATTTACGATATTGCCAACAACAACCCCCCAAAAAATCAGATTTTGGGCATTTGCCGTATACAATCAATAGTTGCCATGCATGATTAGATTGCCTAACTGCTGGGTCGGTTAAAAAAAAAAAAAAAAAACCTCGAAGCTCAACTGACAACAGAAGACTCGTTTTGGTGGTTGTACTGTCAAACGGCATGCAATAATGTACCGGTACTTATCCACAGTACATGTACATGTACTTGGAGCCTTTCTTCCAAAATGCATCGTGTTTTATTTTCTTTATACAAGAGTTTTTGGCTATTAGTATTAGGGGTGATGGATGCTCTCTCATCTTAACTTTAAAAAGTGTCTTCTTGTTTCTGTGCATTCCCACCGTGATAATCAGTGGCTATTTCCTTTCATGTTGATGTAATGCAATAAAAAATCTCCCGTGAAATTTATAGTATTGCCTTTATTTGCTTTTATGCCGGTTTGCTAATTCTTTCCCCTTGCGCGACCGTGGCTGTACACGTCAATGTCCGATCCTCCGACGAGGTTGCTAATTGGGCCCCCTCATAAACACGGGTGCAGAATGGCGAATGACACTCGGCCCGTACCTGTGAAATTACGAAGTGAAGATAGGACCAACACCAAATAGACCTAACTCTGTGAATTCCGCCTGAAATGGTATCATTTGAAAGATGAACATTCATTGAAGGTGGTTTTAGAAAATGTGCCCGCGGGCGTTAGCAACGGGATCCAGTTATATGAGACCCAAAATGCGCAGATTTTTTTTGTTGTCTTAAAAATTAATGTATATAGTATTATTACTGATGAGCCGTGGAAGTTCATCAAGTTAGTTGTTGATTTTAAGCAAATGCTTCAAACGAAAAAACAAAACAAAAAAAAAACACCAAATGTTATCATTACCATTAAATAGACCTATACGCAAACTAGACCCTTCACAAACTGCTGGCAAAACCAGTCAAACGAAATGGGAATGGTTTATGATTTTGCAAGGGGTCCGTCCGGTCATGGATGGGTGCTAAATTCCAGGGTACCACATCTTGTTGAGTGCCATTGTGGCATAAATCTGAGGGGTGGAGCCATGACGTGCGTTGACGTAGGGTATACATAATCCACTCACCCCCCTTTTATTTATTTATTTATTTATTATTATTTTTTTGGGGGGGGGGGGGAATAAAAGAAACCAGTAGTGGCGCCAGACTCTAAAATTTGGAAGGACAATGGGGGGGGGGGGGGGGGGACTAGGAAATAGTTTTGGGAGCGGAGGTAGTCAAAATGTACGCGCGCGTACCGTGTGCCCATTGTCCGGAAAAAAAGCCGTGGACTTGAGTCGTTTTAATGAATGAGAAAATGTATCCGACAGCAGAATATAATAGCGCTATCAAAATGTAATGAACAAAGATGTTGGCTAACTGCACATTATCTACTATGGTATAAAATGGGGGACCGTATCATTAAGTCCGAAGCCTCATAGGTCCGACCCCTCATAAGTACGAAATTTTCGGATGTATGAGGCGTCGGACTTAATATGAGGCATAACATTTATCATTTATTCCGTCTCATAGGTCCGACATGGCATAAGTCCGACGCCTCATAAGTCCGACGTCAGAAAAACGAGGCCTTTAATTTGTCGGACTAACGAGGCGTCGGAGCTATGAGGCGTCGCCGGCGTCGGACTTATGGGCCTATATTTGGGGGATGCGATTTTGTCAGACTTATGAGGCGTCGGACCTATGAGGCATCGGACTTATATGAGCGGACCCCATAAAATGCATGTGTGGCGTGTTTTGTCTACCAAAGTAGTATTAAAAGTATAATTTTTTTCAGTGACCCAAAATGTGTCCACATCTTATGAATCATGAACAGCGAAGAACATAAACAAAATTAATCTATTTGTTGATAAAGTGTTGAGGGAAAACTGAGGGGGGGGGGGGGAACTGGCGTGAAAGGAATACAACTTGGGGGTAAATTCTCGCCCCACCCCCCAAAAAAGCGCTGTCCTTTAAATTTAAGAGTTACCCCTAATTACCGGTAAGAGAATGAGTCAAAACGGAGCCGCTTCGTCCCAGGGAGGGATATATCCAAAATCATTCAACTTTTTACCGATCGCATCATTCGCATGCTTAACCGTCTTAGCGGAGACAATAAGATGACCATCATCCATATGCTTTTGATTAATTTTTGTCATGTCATTATCGATCGTGGTACTTGGCCCAATTTGTCACCAAACTGCGTACGTCTACATAAACTCTGTCTGTTCAGTGCGCGCATCATTGATTTATTACCGTGGCTGCGCACCTTACCGTACCATACGTACGAAGTGCTTACCTGTACCGTGCACAGTGGCACTATCATCAGACAATGCTGACATTCGAGGCAGAAGATTTCTGACGCGTAACCGCTGAAGGATTTTTGCTCCTCCCGAATAACCCTAAGAAAAATTCAAGTCAATTTTCAGACAATCCACAGTTGGTGCCGGGAAAACGTGCTCATCAGTGGCAAGACAGCCACTAATTTGAACTTTTGCCACCGACAAAATTTACTTTTTTGAGGCACTTTTTGACGGCATCAGGATGAAACGGTGGATGGATTTGAGCGTGACTGTACTGGTTCTGTTCGTGGGGCTCGCCGCGGCGCACGTCCGGCTGACTTGGCCGCCGGCGAGGACCTTCGATTTCGACTTCTTGGACAACATCCGAACTGAAGTTCCTTGCGGCATGCCATCAGGTTAGTAAAGTTTTTCTCTCAGATCGCAGAATCTGTTTCATGTGTTTTAATTATATTTTTAATGGGCCTTCTTTTGTTGGAAATGATATTTTCAGGAGGGGGAAAATGATTTATTGACAGAAATTTACGGGTAGCCCTATAGAGTTTGGATTGGGGAAAGAAAATGATGAAAAATTCATCACATTCTGTGTACATCAAACTTTGATCCAGACGTAAGTTGTTCGTGATTGGTTTTTCAACAATTCACTGAATGAAAGAAAGTTGTTCCCGACAGAAGAAAAAGTTGAATTGGAAAAGCCAAACTATCGTTCAGGGCCTGACACATAGAGCAAGGACGGTTTAGGCAGGGTACGTTTTGGAAAGTTGACTTTAGTTTAAAAAAGAGTAATTCGTGAGTCTATTGTGTTTGGCTTTTGTAAATAACTGCTCGGCCATACATGTGTGAACAGTAGTGTTTGCGTAGGGGGCTGGATGCGGCCGAATGGGCGGGGTAGTAATGCGTATAGCAACGCCGGTATAGCAACGCGGGGGGGGGGGGGCTTTATCTTACTAGTATTCTATGAGCATTAAATGTCGTAAATTGTTCAGCTTCAAAGCACATCAACAGAAATCACTGATGCCAGCCTTGTTGATTATAATCTATCTTCTCAGAATCGCCTGATCAATAATTTAAAATATAAGTTGGTCTGACTGAGTACCATGGAGGAATAAGAATCTCCATGCTAGTACATTTGATTGTTTAATGTTTGTTAGGCCTATGTTTTAAATTGCACTTTTTCCCCTGAAAGTTCATCTGAAATATTCTGATATTCACATCCATAAAGTTGAAATCAAGTTACTTCAAAATACATTGTAACCCCCGCCCCCCTTCACATGCAGATACTTTAGGTCCAGAACCATGCAGCTTTAAAAAAAGAAAGATTTTGTTAGAATGCAGTTTTCGTGCTTAAAGTGGGCGTGTCACCATTTCCTTCATAATAACCATCTGTTAATGCGCATACCCTCAGAGACTGCTTCAATTGGGTGTCTTTGTATTATATGCACCCCGTCCAGTGCAAATTTCTGCCAAGCTTTTGAAGTGTCAATTGCTTGGCCTTGTGAGACACAACGGCCCTATATCACATGCCCGACGGCACAAATACGAAAAGGTCCTGTAACACAATTCTCTGTGCCCTTCATGTGGTCAGATGTGGCTCTCATCTTACTAAAGAAAATCTGCCCCAACTTCTCTGCGCGCCACTGATTGTACAGGCTTCAGTGCTAAAATCATGGAGCTATATAGCTCCATGCTAAAACGGACCAATGTTGATTTGGGGACATTTCGATGAAAAATATCAATTGAGGCTCAGCAAGTGTGCTTTTGTGCGATTGTATCGACATTTTGAACATGATCACGTATGGCTTTGTTATTCTGTAGGTCAGGTGTCCAATTAGTTAAGCTTACCAAAACTTTCTATTCAGATCAGAACAGTCAAGGAAGCTATTTACTGCCATTTCAAATTGTTTTTCCTTGAAACACAAAAGGCAAATGGCCAAATTTTCATCCCCCCAAGTGTGTCGTACAAAATGATATTCAAAAGTCTCTTTGCTGATGTTGAAACATTTGACATAATGCAATATCTGAGCCAAAATATTTAACAATTTTGCCTTTTCCCTATTCCTGTTTTGTCTTTACGACTCTTTTGCGATGGATGCTGTGAAACTCGTTATTGCACAGTTCATATAGGCCCTATACTTTGTAGAATCGCTGGAGCTTCTTGATGTGTTACCATGGCAACTTGTATAAAACTGTAATTTATGTTTGTGGCAGCCAGGGCTGTGTTGTTGCAAAAATAGGAAAATCATGCAGAAAAAGTACAACATGCCTGCTCCCCCCCCCTTGACAGTTACACCTCCCCCCCCCCCCCTCCCCAATTGAGCCAAAGCTGATCAAGCTCCAGAGAATGGAACATTATGATAAAATTGGCGTCCTTGGGTCCCTTACATTATGAATAGATAATTATGGTTTATTATATATTGTAGACCAGCTATAGGTCGGAATAAATGTTTATTGGGTTGTAAAAACATTGCAGTGAATTGAAGAAACATGTGCTATATGCGGCATTCACCAAGGTTGGTCCCCTACCAGCACTTGTTACTAAAACACAGCACTTTATTCAGGAGGAATGATAACTCATGTTCCTATGGATAAAATGTAAGCATCTCAACAATGAACATTATTTGAATTTCAAAATGCAGTTTTGCCTTCTCAGGTAACCGATTTGCATTGTGTAATGGACACATAATTTGATTATTTAATAGGAACACAATCACTGGTATATTTATGTATCTCGCAGGTATAATCACCCCCATTCAAACACATAAAGGCGACATAACGGCAAATAGGCATTAAGAATTTCATGTAGGTCCCCCATGTTGTGAGTTGCAAACAACATTATGAAGCGATTTGAATACAAAAAGATTGGCTGTTTGTTGCCAGTGATGTCTGGTTAGTGTCAAAATGCTTTGGCAAGCAAAGCCATTATTTTTCACGCCAGATTAAGGTTATTAATCGCGTCATTTTCATCCATTATTGATCGTGAGTCTGTCGTGAGATTTTACAAAAAGGTTGGCTGTTTGTTGTTGTCTGGCCAAAAAAAAAAAAAAATTGCTGTCTGGTTAGTGTCAAAGTGCTTTGGCAAGCAAAGCCATTATTTCTCACGCCAGATTAAGGTTATTAATCGCGTCATTTTCATCCATCATTGATCGTGAGTCTGACACGTAGCACTCTGCCTTTTTATCCGACATCTCATTAGTCGCAAACTCACAATCATTCAACTCCTTATTATTTTTTAACGAACTGACTTGAAAACTAATTGGCCAAAAAATCGACAGCCGCAAACTATTTTGTAGCATTATACTACCAAGTTGATTTTTTTCTTAACAAATTCAAAAGAATGCTTTTATCCAAACTACTTTGAAAACCGACTTTGTTTGGGTCGCAAGCCTGGTTAAATACACTATTCAATTTCCTGTATTTTCTTGAAGTCGTAGATGTCAATTTTAACAAGGTCCCCTTTTTCATTGAACCCGTCTCCGGGGTAACTTTTCAGAAACCATAATGTGCCGGTTGCTCATGACGCACTCGCCTCAGCAAGCCATTACGGCACTGATGAGTTGCCGTGAAAGGAATCAAAGAAAAGAACTTGTTTGACAATTTTGGTCCTAACAAATTATTCCATGTCACCCGCGTAGCCACAAAATGCATGCTGACACGTGTATTGTGCATGTCATTTCACTGATTAAATGCACAAAGTTCACAGTTTATTGTTCAACCCATTCCACTGGTGAGGGGGAAAAAGTAGTCTTTCATGAATTTGTGAAATTAACTCGCCGAGACAAACTGCAACTTTGTGCCACTACATCTGAAGTTCGTATCAATAATTGTGTCCTGTTGCAGAAATGCTACAGTACTTGAAGATTTGAGGAATGGGATATTGTATGAAGGGGGGGGGGAGGGGGTAAAATGGATAAATCCACAGAGGTGTTCATTTAACCAGATGCAAAATGTGGCAAATGTCAAATTAAAATAATCCTTATCTGAACGACAAATGTCTTGTAGAGATTTTGTCATGCCTTTTGGGCTGCACAATGGGTACATACATTGTAAAGCTAAAGCTAAAATTTACAGTGTCTACAATGTATGTATGTATTTCTTATTTATAAATAATTTCATATGTACTTGAAATGTAGTAGTTTTAATCTTTCCCTTTTCACCATTCGAACAGCAAATATGTTCTTTTAAGGAAGGAAGAATGTTCTTTTAAGAAATACATTCAATGCCATAGAGAATTTAATTTGTTTGTTGGCCTTATAAGCACGTACGTACCGCCCAGTCATAATCCAAGATATGTCTGACATTTCCCATTTCATAATTACCGCATATTTTGAAAGACTGTCGAGCGAGATTTAATACAACTTCATCACGCACACCGGTACCTTGCAAATTATACAGAACAATACTTCCATGCTCTGTAACCATGGAAACGGTAACCATGCCAGTCTTCTGTCAGAGCTGACAATGCCTCATTCTTCTAAATTTTTGCATGACCTTTATTAAAAGCCTAGAGCTTCACTCAGCCTGTAATTTTAATGCTGATGGCTTATCTTGTATCACGGGCGTGTACCGGTATTCCCTAATGCATCCACAGCAATTTGATAAGCATGTTTTTTTTTTATTATTTAAGCCATGTTCATATGAAAAATTTAAGTTGGTGTAAGGTGAGGTTGGTCTTGGTCAGCTGCTCTTTTGTTGCCATAATATTGTTTCAAATTTGTGTAGTTTTCATATTATGCTCAGCCGTTAAGGACAAACAAAATTCTTTGTTAAAATTTACATCACCTCTTTTTGCAAAATATCCATACAAATATTGAAAAAGGCGGAGGTTTTGGGTAAGTATTGTATCAGTCTAATCTTAATAACTTCTATTTTTTTTTCATCCATGCAATCACCCTTTGTCCATGAGATGTCCAAGGGATACTTGGGTTTTACTTTCAAATTTCTATTCAAACAAGGAGACATTTTCTTTTACAGCCAACGCATTTATTAGTTGTTATCAGAAAAATGTAACCTTGCCGCACTGTCAGAAAATATTTTTTTAGCCTTATCTGGGAAGGAAATCAACTCAAGTGGTTTTGGAGAGCTTTTACAGGGAAATAGTGTCCTTGCTTCGCAAATTGATGACCAGCAGGTCATGCATGAACATGTACTTTGCCAAGCAAGTGGAGTAGGCCTGCTCTCTAATTTTCAAAGATTGAAATTAGGGACAACACAATTTTGAATGAAAATCACTCTAAATTTAGATTAAAATACTCAATTAATCCAGTGAAAACTCCAGTCAAAGTTTGATATCTTTGATTGAATGAATTTCACTTTTAAGCCTAGTTTCAGTGTGGGAGTAAATTTTCAATAATCTTTGTAATTTATGTGAGAGTATCCATGCAGAAGATGGAATTATGTTTTTTGTAGTGTTAGTCTCATTCCTGTTAATGTAACCTTAAAGGGAATATACATCATTTGCTTTTGCTGTAAATTTAAGAAATGGATGGAATTGGGGGGTTGGAAATACATAGCAAATATAGTTACACTGACTTTTTTGAGGTTTTGGGTTCGAAAATGCTATAAAAACCAAGAAAAACAATCATTTTCCTGTTGTCTGGTTCCCTGACTCCATATAAGAAGAAACAGAGCAGTTTACATACATTGGGGAATTGTAAGGTCAGGCAACCAGTCTAGCTGGCTTGTACCCGTTCATAGGTGTGTAATCGATTGCAAACAAGTGCGATGGTCAATTGGGGCCAGTATTTGAAAAAAAGGCAGTTTTTTTCCAACGCTGATCGGCCGATCAGCGTTGGAAATTGATACAAAAATAGCACTTTTCTTGAAAATGACAGTATACCAGGTGCCATGATTTTACAGGATGCTTTACCCTGTCATTCACTAACAGTCCAGCAAGGTATTTCAAAATGATTTGGTAGTTTTATTTTTTGATGTTTGCAAATGTTGTATTTTCCCTTTAAGGAAACATGTTTTCGTCATTAGTTAGGCCAAGCAAAAATAATAATTTGTGTTTGCTCTCTCCAAGTGATGGGTTGCTAAAATTTGTCTCCCCCCCCCCCCACCCCTGAAAAAAAGAGAGAATTGAAGGTGACATTTCGTCCAACTCTTAAAAATATTGACCAGAGTTTAATTTTCTTCAGTTGAATTACGCACTTCAAATGCAAATGATTCAGTGTTGTACAAGGAAAAAAAATTAAAAACAAAATTGTGGGTGCTCTTACAAAGTGATTCATTTGCTAATATAATGTTGAAAGTGAAATTTTGTCAAATTATAGCCTATAGTTCGAAAACAACAGAACAAAAGAAAAACACCTGGTTGTCGATTCAACCTAAAAACTTTATTCTTGTAAATTTACTTTCATTTTGAGAGAGTAGGCCTATGTCACACTTTTTAAGCAAAATTTTTAGTTGGAATACATTGCTTTTCTTTCGGGTGATATCCTAAAGAACATTGAGATTTTTGTGTAAATGGAAATTAAAAGGAAAATACAACATTTGCAAACATCAAAAAATAAAACTACCAAATCATTTTGAAATACCTTGCTGGACTGTTAGTGAACGACAGTGTAAAGCATCCTGTAAAATCATGGCACCTGGTATACTGTCATTTTCAAGAAAAGTGGTATTTTTGTATCAATTTCCAATGCTGGTCGGCCGACCAGCGTTGGAAAAAACTGGGTTTTTTTCAAATACTGGCCCCAATTGACCATCGCACTTGTTTGCAATCGATTATCACACCTATGAACGGGTACAAGCCAGCTAGACTGGTTTACAATTCCCCAATTCCATCCATTTCTGAAAATTACAGCAAAAGCAAATGATGTATATTCCTTTTAAGGATTAAAGCATACTGCTTCCAATCTCCATTGTTCGAGGTTTAAGGAAGTTAAACATGGGCTGTGGGTGTGGTCACAATATGATGTCAATACCAGTGTAGTGTGATTGTCAATCAATAGCTTCACAAAATAGATCAGGAAACAGATAAAAATCTTTCAAATTGTTTAGATATCCATGTTTAGTTGAAGAATTTTGTGGATGTTCTGGTTGGGAAAATGGAACAGAATAGCATAACTACGGTATACGTAGTTCTGTAAGTCTGTAACAGAATGAATTGTGCAATTTTGCTGATTACTGCAGTGCCACTTTAGAGAAAAAAAAAACCTGCATTTTTAAAATGCACAAAAAACCTGAAAGCCTCTTAAAAACAAATTTGTTGCATTTTGAAGAATTTATTTCAAACATTTCATTGATGTTCTGGTTAAATTTAAGTTTCACAAACAAATAGTAATACAAATGGGCTGACTGTAAAACTTTGTGCTGTATTACTGTAGTGCCACTCACCCTTTACTAGAGAGAGAAAAAACTACACTTCTAAAGTGCAACAATTTAATTTAAAGCATCTTAACAAAATTTGTGGTACTTTGAAGACCTTAGTTCAAAACATTTCATGGATGTTCTGGTTCCGGAAATTGAACAAACATTGGCTGAACTAAAAACTGTATTAAAAATGGGTGGTGAAACTGTGTATGTGACAGCATATTGTTGTGCTGCATAAACAAAAAGTCCTTCTTTGATTCTCAAGTCCTTGAGAGTTGCATCAAGATCAATAGGAACCCAGCAGGAAAGCCCACGGACCCCGTAAGACACATTCAGTGTCGCGTGGGAAGAACCACTGGAAAGCAGTGGGCGTGTGCATTGTACCCAGTGACGTCAAAGAGTGGTGGAGACTGGCACGACAATAGCTGGATTACAGCAAGAAGATGGGTGTTTCTTCTCGGGGATAACAGTGTTGTTATACATGTGTGTGTAAGACTGCATTTGGTCTTGTATTTGGGCCATGCAAACAAGAGGTTTTAGTTTGTGATTTAATTAGCATTTTAATGTCATGTGTGTGTTTAGCAGGTGCTTTTGTGTATGCGCAAGGTATAAGGGACACTGCCATAAGTATAAGGGAGTTCCAAATCCAGTGCAAATTTAAGGGCAAGGTACATATGACCAAAATGGCTGATGGCGAAAGATTCTTGAGGTGTGAGAAAGTGGTGCTTTTCGATAAGTTACCGGTATTCGATATGTTTGGCTGCGGTACTGGCTGCTACATGTCCAGATTTGAACCAGCCAGCCGACCCTGGCAAGCTAGGTGCTCTAATGGTTAGACATGCATTTGCACTAGTAAGCAAGCAGGAAGTTGTGGGGTTAGTCCCCCGTCCGAGTGTTTTTTTCTCACAATCACTCTGGACAACATGAGTATACAGTGTTTATAAAACTACGTCGGTAAAGGGCCAAACCCAATATTGAATTTACATCACCCGATGCAAATTCCATGGTATGAATCATTTGGTTGTGGTACCTGCTGCTACATGTATATCAGATGCGAACCAGCTAGCTGATCCCGCCAAGCTCGGTGGTTGAGTACATGTAATTTAAATATTGAATTTACATCACCCAACACAAATTCCATCTTATGAATAATTTAGTTTTGGTACCTGCTGATATATCTAATTCGAACCAGCCAGCCGACCCCTGCAAGCTCGGTGGTCGAGCGGTTTAGACATCTGCAGTACTCAACAGGAAGTCATATGGGTTCGAGTCCCACCCGAGTGACTTTTTTTCTCACAATCAATTGGGACAACACTGAAAGGGCAAAACCCAAAATTGAAGTATTCAGAAACTTGACAAAATGAAAAGTCGGAGGGAATGCGAATAATATCTTAACCTGCACTGCAACAAAAAACAGCTTGCTGACTGGGCAGACCTGAAATAAATAAAACAAGCAACCTATTCCTAGGATCTAATTTTAAGATGTTGCTTGTAATTCAGAGTATCAGAGGTTAAATTCTGTAGGAAAGTTTGAAATTGAACAAATAGGAAAAATGTAAAAAATCAACCTTTAACTTCAATCTTTTTTTCATTCATTTTAATTTAGTATCCGAAAGTTTCGAAGCTTGAAGTTACAATGTACCGGTAATTCCTTCAAAGTTGAAGAAAACTTTATTTAGATTTTTTTGTTTTTGTTTTTGTTTTTTTGCATAATTTGCAGGCGGTCCAGTGTCGACATTTGCACCTGGGCAGAAAGTCAACGTCACCTGGCATCTTGCATATTCACACAGGGTAAGCAATGACAAAGTAAATGAAAGTGACATCAAATGACATGTACATGACAGTGACAAAAGTGACTATTGATAATTGTGTGGCAGAATACAGGTATTACGCCTTCACACAGTACAAATAACCATGAAATGATTTTGAGTGTGATATTTTCACGATTGATGGAAAGTCGAAAAGCTTATTTAACATCATGGGGGATTAAAATAATTAACTTCTTCCTTCATGATTTTAATTTATTCCTTCACGATTACATGGACTGCATAATTTGTTAAAACAAATGTCATTGAAATGTGTAAAATGTAATGCATTTATAACAGAAAAAGTAGTATTAAAAACAAATACATATAAATACAAAGATTTTATAAATTTCAAAGATACCTGTCAAAGAAAAGGACAAAAAGTGTAGATTCCTGCATTACAACAGCAGATGTTGTGGAGGCGATCCCTTTCATATTATAATTAATGCTCCTCATTAGAAAATTTGATTGTCATGCACGGTTTAAAGAAAGCCTACCGAGGCAGTACGTGAACCTGTAAAAGTGCATGCATTTAATTTTTAGTCATCGTTGCCCCTTAATTATCGAATAAATTTAACCAGAGGGCTCATGAATATGCATTTTGTAGACCATCCCCCATTAAAATTGTGGTTTCTATGGTTACTGTTTTATAATGAGCTCCTATATAAAAATTCTGCTTGTAATCGTCCTCGGAGGAAAATTCTGGGAAAGTTGCAGGGCATTTTTGGCTACCCTGGATCGAAGTTTGCAAGGAAAGGCTAGTGGAATTTGGTCATTAAATTTTGATTTTTAAGCTCTGGCTTGAGCTTAAACATGCCTTGGTGGTCGGTTGGTCAGTCTGTCTGTCCTCAAAATTTTACCAAAAATATTTTAAAATGATTGACTACATGTAATTGACCAAATGCGAGGCCGTAACCAATACCATAAAATGCCCTCTTGCCGAAAGTTTTTGGAACACTGATTTGTTTCGATCGATGCATGCACATTTATTGTTTGTCCCCGAAAGTTGACCAAAATAGCCCCATGAGTTTCTCACACTAAAATACATACCGGTAAGTGTACCAAATAGTAATTTTCAAAAAGTAAACAAAATCAATTCAATACTTAACAAAAACAAAAATTGTAACAATTCGGAAAGATGTTTATGAAAAGTTTGAAATGTAGGCAAAATATGTAAGGTAATATTATACCGTTAGTCACGTGGTATTTATCACAAATTACATCTGAAGTATGGTGTTCCATATGTGCCGTCGGCGTGGCGTTTTTTGGGCGTCGCAATTTTAATCTCTGGCAGGGATTATTTTGAAAGATTCATAAAAGACCTTCATGCAAGACAGACAGAGCTTTTAGGAGATGGAAATTTCAGTCACTTTGAGAACACTTTGGATTATTAGGCTAAAGAGTGAAATATTCAAGGAGAAGAAAATTGTTGTTCAGCAATTTTTTTCTCGTTTCTCGTTCATGCGTCAGTCCCATCACGAGACATGCTCAAAAGACCTTCGCCACAAAACGGACAAAAGCAGGATACATGTAGATGCACAAAATGTCAGAAAGGACAAACAAGTCAGTGGATGTACAGAATCCATTGAGTAGCGACCTCAAAATGAAATTATTTTCCACTTTCTGCGATGGAGTGATTCGATTTTGCTGAAACGATTTCCAGTGTGGTTATGTGCCTAATGCAATAACACAAGAATTTTCTCTGCAAAGATTGGCTGATATTTTGTTTTGGAAGGGAGAAAAAAAAGTGCATTTTGCCAGCTCAGGTAAATTCCATCAAATTTATGCATGAGTGCGTTCGTATATTTTAATTTATATACTGAAATAAATTATCCATTGTTAACATGTTTTTGTTTTAGCTGTTTCATGTGTTTGGTAAGACAAAAGATCTAAAATTCAACATTTTCTCTGTGTTTTTTTTTAGGGTGTAGGGCAAAATACACTTGTTCACACGAAACTCTTCGTAATCTTTGTCTTACTACTGTATTGTATTGTTCAGCGCATTGGGTCTTTCTGTAAATTTATGCGCTTTGTCAGCACCATTAATTATTATAATTCAAATTTCTCAATTCCAGATCTTTTTTCTCTGGAAAAAAAAACTGTACTACTCAGAGTTCCTGACTAAAATTTTATGCATGCAGCCTGTTTCTGTGAACCATGGAATAATCTATAATAATGCTAAAGAATTCTATATAAAAGATATTGGCATGTTCAAAAACATATAACTCTTGTTTTTTGGGGACTGTATCATACATGTACACTGTACAAATGATGGTGACTTGACAAAAATCTATTGGCACACTCGATTGCCAATTATTTCACGCTTTCTTGGGTGCACAGAATAACCAGGTGTGTTCAATTTCAGGAAAAAAATGCATACACGTGGGAATGCATTGTTCAACTTCATGGTTGTTTTAATTCATTGTTGCTCCCTGACGCATGGATCGTGTTGTTCAAAAAAAAGTAAGATTCTCTGACTGAAAAAGTGTTTCCTTTTTTGATGCTTAATCCATGGTCACCACAAAAAAAACCATAAAACGGTGATGTGTGCAATGCAAGAAGAGTAGCAGATGTGAACTTACAGGAAAAAGAATTGGAAGAGGTTCATTGATGAAGGATTATCCAAAACATTTTCTTAACTCTCCAATAATCCCCATCCAGTCAAACTCCAACACCACGGTTTGTTGGAGTCTGTGGGAGTGGGTACTGCACTGGTAAACTGATTATAAATGCTTTAAATGAAATTATAGCATACCACCAAAATCAGAGTGCGACAGTTTGGGTGTTGCGTTGGTGTTGGAATTTGCAGGATTGAGAAAGGTTCCTAATAAATCACTAAAGGGGGTTAGCCTCCCCAAAAGTTGAAAAGCCCCTCGATTTAATTTTTATCTTAAATTCAAAATTGAAAGAGCAATTGAAGTAACTTAAATACAATGAGCAGTTTGATGGATATTTTAACAGGTGTTCAGAATATCGTGCCCAGCCTTCTGCCCAGAAATGGCATCAGAAACTGTAAGCTCTTTTGTCGTAGTTTGGCCAGGAGTATTACTGCATGGGGCAAGTGATCCTGGTTGTGATCCTAGGCTAAAGTCTTGTAATCTGCTCAGCCCGTTGTTCATCACATCTTCCTAAGCTCCTTGTTATTCCAGAAAAAAAGAAAGAAAATCACATGTGGCATCTGTGCAAGTCCCTAAGGAAGAGGTTAAACAATGAAATTAAAACCCATCTTCATAAAAATTCTCTTCAAACTTGTCGAAGGGTTGCCTAACTTGGAAATCAACTGAGCTCACAGTACTATTTTTTAAAAAAGTCAATAAAAATCCACAAACCAAATTACATGCATTAATTCTGAAATTGAAGTTGATAGGCCTATATATTTAATTTCCCCATGCTAGTTTAAGATTTTGGGTTTTAGTTATTTATAATTTGAGTAGGAGAGGATCTACAAAAAAAATATGCATTTTGTCTAAACTAAATATTGGTGGATCTTTTATATCGCATTCAAAAGTAAATAAGTACTTTTGTGCAGAAAAACCACAATTTCACAAACAAATTTGGGGGAGAAACTAGAAATTAGCGCAAGGAGACAGATTTTAAACGTTTGATTTGCAGTTATTATACATGCAGCAAAACACAGAAATGTTTTGTTTGAGAAGGGACAATGAGCTGATCATGATGCCGGTCGATATTATCTAACAGTACTTGAGTGGCCTCAAAATCCATACCTTATTGATTCCAAGGTGAAGTGTTCAATGATTATGCATGCTTGCGAACATAATACGGGACTTGCATGGTTACATCCTGTAGGCCTACTAGTGGGGTGCTGTGGTCCAATGGTTACGATGTTCGACTCGTGTGCCGTGGTACATGGGTTTGAATCCTGACTGTGGGAACATGGTGCTTCTGCTCTTGAGCAAGGCACTTTACCATTATTGCTTCGTCCTTCGGATGGGACGTAAAGCCGTAGGTCCCGTGTGTTGTGTAATGCACGTTAAAGAGCCCAGTAACACTTATCGCTAAGAGAAGGGGTTTGCCCTGGTGTTGCTGGCAGTGGCTGCAATATGCGCCGCAGCACCTTGTAAACCATTATAAGGTGCTACATAATGGGTCTCATATCTCTCATAAACTTTATTTACTTTCTTTAATAATAGACATATCTCCAACGCCTTGAGTACCTAATAGTTGGTAGATACGTGCGCTATATAAGACTATGATATTTATTATTATTTATTATTACTTATTAACAGCTTTATTGAAAGCACTGTGGTGGGAAAAGAGCATGTACAAATTCCCTTAAATGTTTCCCGTCCCCCCCCCCCCCCCTCTAAAAATATGGTGACCAGTAGCTACATGTAGTTCCCACTTAAAGCCATTGGTGCACGTGCAGCGTGATTATTTTGAATCACTAGCTGTGCATGGACGACACATATATGTTATCAGAAAACTAAGTCTAGTCTTTAAACTAGACGTTGAACTATCATGTCAGGGAACCAGACAATTATGACAGCAGTTGAAAGTCCCGTTATGGCTGCCGTAACGATAGCAAAATTCTGCTTTTTTAATTTGACGGAGTGACCTGGATTTCGTCTTTTCAAAAAAATCCTTCTTTTGACCGCTGTGATTCGGCAAATTTGACTTGAGCCGAAAATAGATTCTCGTGTTTTTTTTTCTTTTTTCTTTCTTCAGAACTTGACCTCGATGGCCAGTTTTACCAATCATAGAAATTCAAAAGCTCTTTGGGATAGGTTGAATGAATGATAATATCTTTTTGTTGTTTTTCTTACAAGGGCATGCATTCCTTGACAAGATTGGAAATATTTTGTGTGTGGGTCACACACACAACGCTTCTTTTGATATGTCTAAAATGTTGACAACAAGGTTACTATGGATTGAGAAGCTTAGTCCAGTATAGTGTTGCTAACTGTATAACATTATATCCACACTATGGTTTGGCTAATTTGCATATGTGACCTACTGAGGCAAAATGAGGAATGTCCCCAAAACCTTGTTTTGAGTTATGGACGCCTGAAGTCTGATACACTAGAAAAATCTTGTGAAAATTGATATTGATTGTTTTGTATTTTTGAGTAGCCAAGGTATCCAAGATTTACACTATGCATTTTTGTTAGGAAAAAATTACCCACAATTTAGTGGAAAAACTTAACGTTTTTCGCTGCCGTTGGTAGCGTAATGCGTGTCTTTTTTTCAGAGCCGTTTTTCTCCAAATGAGGTTAGCAAAAACTTGGCAGGACACGGTTGAAGTTCCTGGTCATATCTTTAAAATAAATTAAGCTACAGAAATCAATTTGGTATCATTGGAAAGCTTATGAGTTGCTCTTTATAGCATGATGTACATAATGTGAAAAGTCAAATGTGGGGGTTATTCCTCATTATGCCATGGCAGGTCACATATGTTATATTAGTTGGGCATAGCTATTCTGCTTATAGCCTCCATGCACAAGGAACTGTTTTTAACACAGAAGAAAATAATTGAAATGCAGCAGATTTAACAAAAACAACACATACATTTAGCCGAAATGAGATGGAAGAAATCCATGGAATTATGACAAAATTTTTTAAAAGATTGTTTCCAAACCGTGATATATTCATTTGGAAAAAAAAGTGAACAAGTAAATTTATCAAATGTAAAAAAAATGAAAACAATATGACAGCTGTTTCTACACTTCATTTTTTGCTTTGTTGTCTTCTGAAAGACAATATTAAATATATAAAACCTGTTGAAACTGATTTTGGGCAGCTTATAGAGAGATCAGTATGCTAAAAGGTAGCACATTGCATTGATAGTTATCGCATTTTGAAAATTAACTCTTTATTTAATCCTCACTTTGTGGAGTCATTGATTTTTCATCCATAATGATGGCATTTTAGTTCCATCACTCAGATAAAAGTTAAAATAGAAATAAGGTTGATTTTTACTTCAGAGTGGGTTGTGATGTCCAATGTTGTTTCAACTTTTGAAAATGTTCCAGATTCCTACTTGATTCCAAAGGGCTGGTGTTATAAAATACCAGCATATTTGACTGTTGTTCCTTTTCTTCACCTAGGGCGGTTATAAGCTGTTCATCATTCCACGTAACGGCTCAGAGATAATGGCCCACTTGACAACGGAAGATGAATGGGTCGGCACCAACGAAACAGGGTGAGTTGTTGTTGGTTTTTTTTTCCCTTGGAATCTTTGGAAAAAAATCTTTAAAGGTACCGGTATAGTCCATCATTAGTAATTTGTGCATTTTGTTCGTTTGAAGCAACAAAAGTGCTCAATATCTGAAGAAGGATGCTGAACAACCACTCTGATGAATTTTCAGCTTAGCTTCAGCTGCATTTTTTCAGAAAAACAACATTCCAGGATCTCGATTTCAAATCAAAAGTTGCTGAATCATATTTTGAATTGGGCCTGAATCCAGCGTCCGAGACACGTTCTCACTAGCCGATTGTATACGCAACACCACGCACTGATCCGACGTATTATAGCAACCACGCGCATGTGCGTCGTGCCAAAACTTGCACGCGCTTCGCCGAATAACAAAATGAACCACTAATTTGAAGTTTCTACGGTGCTTCTTAAGAAGCACCATTGGAAAGGCCTTCTTTCGTTGATTTCTTCAAAATGACAGCTTGCCAGAAAGAATAATTTCACAGGGAGTTTAGTCTCCTTACTATCTTTCAGCCAAATATGTTTTTCAACAATAATGACGCCAGTTACTTTTTGGATAGCTGCAAATGATGGACTCTGGCTTTATGTCATGGCTCCGAAATGAAAGAAAAAAAAAGAAAAAAAAAGAGTTTCCCCTCAAATGGTCAAGCCCTTGTTTCTTATCCTTCCCATCCCCAAAACCTGAAATTTCTTCAACAAAATGTTTTTTGCTCCTAACTGATTTTTAATTTGTATCTTTGCAACCCTGTGAAAATCAAGACTTGTCAAAAACTTTTGTGTTGCTTTGAAAATTGCAACTCTAATTTAAAAAAAAAAAAACCAGAAAATTGTAGTGAAGTTCAAAATTAGCAGAGAGAAAGAGAGAGTAACCTACAGACATGTGCGTCTGCGCATTTTCCAATAACTAGGAAAGCAATTTATCCTGATTCAGTCATTTTTTTATTTATTGATTTGCAGGACCATCATGCATGAGGTCGAGATCCCATCCAACATTGAGGGCGACTACACCCTGGTGTTGAATCGTAACGCTGCGGAGTGGGTGACCGGTAACCCCAACCTACCCTTCTATACGTTCCACAGCTGTGCGGATATCACAATCACAGGTAAACGGTTTGCAGATTAGACTACTCGGGATAAACAGTCCTGATTTGAAAATCACAGGCATGTGGAAAAAGGCACACCTGGATTTTTCTAGGCTTGGATTTTTCTAGACGTATGATTTTTCCTAACTGGGACTGAGCAATCTGGTATTTTTTTTATAATATTCATTTTGGTTTACAGTAAAGCCATTTCAATTTTCAAGAGCTCACATGTATTTATGATGCCGTAAATGTATACCAAGGTGTGCGGTACAGAGGGATTCGGGCGTGTGATTTATTCGCACTTCTCGGTAAGCTTTTAGGCGTGCTATGGCGTGGGGGTGCGATTGCACGCCTCAAATCAGAAGGACTGAGTTAAGTTTGCAGATAAAAGAAAAGGTCTCAAAAAGGTCTTAAAATAAAACCCAATACAATAAATGGTAGGCCCCAACAATATTTTGTCAAAGTTTATACCTAAAAGCATTTCAAATAGTTTAGAAAGCTCCTCCCCCTTTAGTATGCCCCAAAGCCCTGATTGGCTGACAATTACTGAAATGTAAGCCATGATTGGCTAAAAAGTTATGTGCTTAATTGTGATTGGTTGAAAGTAGGGTATTGTTAATCATGTGACGGGGAGAAGTTGAATGGGACAGCATATATTTATACTTTTAAGATCAAAGCCATAACTGTAACTTTGACTATGATTGGCTGAAAAATAAACTAGCCCCTGAAGTTTTTTTCCTAAGCTTGGTTGTGATTGGTTGAATATTACTTGCTCATGATTTGATGAAAGTAAGTTTGCACTGATCGGTCGAAAGTTTAAACTTTGCCATGAGTCAAACAAGGTGCTTTAACAAAAAAAATCCATTCTCACAGAAACTAAAAATGAGAAAGGTAAAAATATAAATATTTTTAAAACAAAATTAGGGTAATAGCATAATGTCAGCTTTTTTTTTCAATTCAATTCAATTCAAGAAGACATTTATTCCACACTCCTTTAGAGAATACATCCATAAATAAAAGAAAGACTGGTAAATAGCAAAATAACAAAATCAATAAATTTGTCTCAAAAATAATAAAAGTAAAATGCGCTTTGAAGAAATGATAAACTTATTTCAATATATGTACAAGAGAAAGTAAGGAGTATGGGACTGTTTAAGTACGCCGAGGCTTGTAGAAAACAGCCCTTACAGACAACACTAACAACAGAAAACAACATGATAACGACACACGGACGAGACAGACAAGACAAAAGACTTACACGACGATAGCTAACGGCAAAAAGAAAAAAAATTGAATGTGAAAACACTGAAAACTCTTCTGTAATTCCTTTTTTAAAATTTTAGCCGGTGTCATCTGTAACACAAACATGGAATGTTCTGGCAATGGGCAATGCACGAACAACAAGTGCGTATGTGAAGACCTTGCGAGTGGTGATTTCTGCCAGTATGTCGGTGAGTAATATTATTATATTAAAGTAACGTCAATAAAGCTTCCTTGCACACACAGGAATCAGTGGCCTTCTTAGGCGCTAGCAATCACTGAACATTACATTGATCATCATTTCAAATCGATGACCCAAAGTCTGTGCACGTTGTTAACAAAATATTAGCTTATTCATCAAATGAATTCTAAGAACCAAAACAAGATAATAATGTTCCTTTTTAGATATCAAGATCATTAGTTCCACAAAAGCGACAGCTGGGAATATAACCTTTTCACATTATGAGGAAATAGATTTTTTGTTTCTATAATTTCTTTTTCCGCTGGAGTCTTGCCAAAGGCTCCAATCAGAGAAAATTCTGGATGAAGGAAAGCTGGCTCAATATTGTACTCATGAAAGAAAAGAAATAATCCAACAAATAGCATACTTGTCCTAAAGCTTTTCAAAAGGGGTGCTGTGGTCCAATGGTTACGGTGTTCGACTCGTGTGCCTTGGTACATGGGTTCGAAATCTGACCGTGGGAACATGTTGTTTGTGCTCTTGAGCAAGGCACTTTACCATTATTGCTTCGTCCTTCGGATGGGACGTAAAGCCGTAGGTCCCCTGTGTTGTGTAATGCAAGTTAAAGAACCCAGTAACACTTAACGCTAAGAGAAGGGGTTTGCCCCGGTGTTTCTGGCAGTGGCTGCAATATGCACCGCAGCATTTTGTAAACCCTTATGAAGGTGCTACATAATGGGTCTCATGTCTCATAAACTTCATGTATCTGTCTTTAATAATAGAAATAATTTCCAGCGCCTTGAGTACCGGTACCTAATTGTTGGTAGATACGTGCACTACATGTATATAAGACTCCAGTATTATTATTATTATTATTATTATTATTAAAAGTACCTGAAAAACCCCAAACAACCAAAAAAATAAGAACTACTCACAAATATGAACAGATAGCATGCCATTTACACAATGCTTGAGCTTCAACTTAATAGAGTGCAATAGGAATTTTACATCCTCCATTGTAATCAACAGTATTTTTTTCTCTCTTGATTTGTGAGTGCCGTGTGAATGCACTTTCGTCATATGTGCGTGCGTGTATGAAATGATCATTTGTTGCCATGGAGATAGTGCAGTCTTCAATGTTGAGATATGTCATTTCGGTGCATGCGTAATTACAAATGGGAAAATTTTGTAGCCGCGAAAACTCTATATTATATTTTCAGGATTTTTTTTTTAAGAATTGCTTTCTTTAAACATGTACATTTTTGTACATGCACAGTATTTAATACTTCAGGAAGCAGTAATGAATATAAGACATTTGCACATGCAGGAGTGCTACAAAGATTATGGAAATAAAATTAATTATTGCATTACTTGCTACCAGACAGTAGTTCCGTTCTCATGGGGTAGTTCCTGCCACACAGTATCGATAATGTACGGAGTGGTGGGAACTATAAGAAAAACCCTTTTTTTCAGAGGGTTAGAGATGCCCCTAGAAGGACAAAATAGGCTTTTTGGCAGAGTTGTAACGAGTCACTGATGTTTGTGACTCGAGTCGAGTCGAGTCGAGTCATTTTAAAGAAGTGACTCGAGTCGAGTCGAGTCATTTTAAAAAAGTGACTCGAGTCGAGTCGAGTCATTAGGTCAAAAGGTCGAGTCGAGTCGAGTCAAATATTTAGCTTGAGTCAATTCGAGTCACGAATATTTGAACAGTATATACCAAAATTTATAAAAGGAGGTCATAAGTTTAGCCAGCGTTCGAATCCAAGAGCTTTATAAGAAATCGCCCAAAGCCAATGATGAAACAGCGAATAAGAAAATGTGTTAAAAAATCTGGTTCCTGGATAGTATTTTGTGCGTTCTAGAACCATGAGGTGGGAGTCTGTGTCACGTTGTATATTTATACATGACTGCTATTCACAAAGCGAAGTGATCATAAATTTTGCACCGTAAGTCATTGCAAATACTTTTCGCAAAGTTGTGCTTTTATTTTTTGGGACTCGAGTCTTCTTAGCCTTCGCTCGAGTCGAGTCGAGTCTTCTGATGAGGGACTCGAGTCGAGTCGAGTCATTTGCTCGCAGTGACTCGAGTCGAGTCGAGTCATTTACCCTTAGGGACTCGAGTTGAGTCGAGTCACCAAAAATTGTGACTCGAGTCGAACTCAAGTCGAGTCATATGACTCGAGTCATTACAACTCTGCTTTTTGGTTGGACTAAAACATACAAGTTAAAAATTTTGAATAGAAAAAAAAATATCAAATTGAGTTTTTAGCTGTTTCTGCTAAGCAAATTTTGTTTGCTGCTAAGCAGATTTCGGTGCTCAGCAGCTAATGACATCAGCTCTTGGTTAATCCTATCGATTGATTGATGTCTATTTCTTTACCTATTCAGATGAGTGCATGAATGAAGACGATTGTAGTAATCACGGAGAATGTATGGAAGTCTCCGATGTAAGCTACACCTATCCCCGCTATGTCTGCTTCTGCAGTGATGGATACTTTGGACAACACTGCGAAATGGGTGAGTATGCTTATCTTGAAAGTCAAGTTGCTTAACTCAGTGTTGTAGTATGACTCTTTCTCAAGTCTGGTCGCAAGTAAATCAGTAGTCAATCCACAAGTCCAGCCACAAGTGTCAGGGGATGGACTTGTGTTTATAATTGAGGGAGCCTGTTCAATTACATCCAAATCATCCTCTTTCCATTATAAAATTAAAAATAAACCCCTCAGCTATAATTATGCCTCCCCCCCCCCCAAACAAAAAATGTGTAGAATTAATTACAATTGCACAGTAATTTTGGATTTTTGTTTGATAAACAGGGCTTGGTGAAATCTTAAGGGTACGTACGGTACTGGTAAAAGCCCTCTTTGGAAATGTGTGGATACGCTGGTGTCTTTGCCTGCTTCTCTTACCAGAACACGCTTGCATATGAACTGCTTTTGTGCTGTATAATATTTATCCTTTGCCCAAACTAATTTTGTCTGCTTCTTGTATTTTTTTAAAAGAAAATCCATCGGACTTCAAGGTTGATATGACAATGGAGGAAATGTCCAGCTACTACCACAGGGATCTGTCTGATTCAATGTCCGTGTACTTCACAGTACTGACAGTGAGTATTGACTTTTTGCTGATTTATTTGGATTTATTGGAAGGGGTCCAGTTGGAACAGCAATAACTTTCCTTCCACCTCAGTGTCCAAGGTTTGAATACCATGGGGGGGGGGGGGGCCTGACATGTGGATTGGGTTTCAGTCCCTGCCTGATCCTGATTCTGTGGGTTTTAAATTATTTCGTCGCCAACAATGTTGGTTTTCATCAACTGACACGCAAGCATGTTGCGGCAATGCGATTCAGAGAAAAACGCTTTGAAAGGTTTAACACGAATTTACTCCCTCCGTATACTTATGGGCTTACACCAAAATTTGATTGAAACTTTTTTTTTACTGGTGAAATAAAGAGCAGTTCTCAACCAGAAAATTGATAATGAAAAAAAAATCCATGGGAACAATTTTAAAAAAAAACAGGACGAAATAGTGTGTCAGAGCAAGGTACCCTTCTAAAAGATATTAAAATTTCATTGCGTACCACACCCCCCAAAAAAAAAATTCATGAACCCAAGTCTTAATTTCTAAGTTATTTTAATGTGATTAAAGCAGGGTAATGAAGATTTAAATTCTTGGATTACATTTGCAGGCCACAAATGAAGTTGAAGTGATTGTCAAGTCAACCGGCAAGGGCTGGATTGGATTCGGATGGCGTCCCAGCGGTATGATAAACAGAAAACAGGCTCTTGAAACAAACCTTGAGCGTAGTTGTACAATCTTCCTCATTTCTGTCTTCAGTTTGTATAAAATGTCAAATCATTCACAATTTATGTAGAGGAACTAATTGCCAAGTCAAATCTGATTTTTTTTGAATAATTTGTTTAGTTTTCCTTGTTTGGTTTGCATCGTTTAAATCTGGCATTACATTCTAAGTATTTTTTAGTCATTATTACAACAACAGCAACTTTGTTCATGAAAGAAAGAAACTTGATTCAGTGTCCGATCTTTTTGTTACAAAAGCTGCAGCTAACTTAGACAGTGAGTCAATTAAAAATGTAACACGAAATTCAATAAACGTTAATTGGCAGGTATGGACGGCACCTGTCGTAACTTCCCAGTGGCGTACACCTCAGGGGCCGTGCCGGAGGGGGAACCAGAGGGAGAACCTGGAGCTGAACCTGAACCGACGGCCGCGGTAATTAAGAGCGGTCATACTCTTGGAGAAGTCTGTTTACTGAAAAGAAAGCTAGGCTTGTTTTCAACTGAGAAAGATAAATCAGTCGATCAGTCGGTCAGTCATTCAGTCAGTCAGCAGTGTTGTAGTCAAGTACTTTTTCCGAGGACCAAGTACTACCGAGTACTTAGGTTGCCGAGTACGAGTACGAGTACGAGAACCTCCGAGTACAAGAACAGGTCACCGAGTACGAGTACTTGTACTTACGAGTACAAGTACGAGTACTTGTACTTCCGAGTACGAGTACAAGTACAAGTACTTGTATTTCCGAATACGGCCATACGGCAGATGGTTCATTGTGCGTAATTGGCCCAGGGCCAGTCAAATCGATATACAGACCCTCTCACAGCTAGCTGTTAAATGTGTTTGTCCAAAAATGCACAGAGGAAAATCAGGAAACTTTGATTTCTCCACAAGCCAAATCAACCATTTCAAACTGAAAGTATCGGTAAAATAAGTCTGTGGTATATAGTCAAGCTACACCATTTCCCCCGAGTACTGCTATTCGAGCACGAGTACTTTGATGATGAGTACAGTTTCGACATGTCGAGTACGAGTACTTTGCTGCCCGAGTACGAGTACCATAATTTCGAGTCTGAGTACTTTGACATTTGAGTACAAGTACGAGTACGAGTACTCCAAAAAGTACTTGAGTAGTACTCGAGTACAACTTAGTACCGAGTACGAGTACTACAACACTGTCAGTCAGTCAGTGGGAGAGTCAGTCTGTGAGTCAGTCAGTCCATCAGAAGACAGTATGCCAGCCCTTTATGGTAGTACAAAACATGTGTTTCTTCTGGAACGGCCTCCTTGGACAATCGGAATTCTTGGGACGGCACTTGTCTCCCCAGAGCTCTTCGTAGAACAAAGCCTGCCAACAAACATTGCGACTCTTTTCGTTGTTCCGATTATCCCAAATTGGGGTCAGTTTTGTAGAGCCAATTTTGGAAACTCCTGATGTAAGCATGGACAAACTTTGCTCGAGAAAAAATACGAGTAAAAAAAATTACCAGCCCAAAAAGCAGTGGATTACCAGTAAATTGTTCTCTGCTTTTTCTGCATTTTTAAAAAAATCTCTTTTTGATCTTGGGAGCTCTCTGAAATTAGATCTGGTACTCCTAAAAACCACTTCCCTTTCACACACCTTAACTCTTTCGCTACGGAATTTAATTTACCCATTTTGTCCCAACTGGACATAATAAATCGCTGGAAATTCCGCCGAGCGTCGATGTGGGCGCCGCCATCTTAAAATGTATCTCTGTAAACAAAACTGCTCACAATAACCTGAAGCGCACCCCGGCCAGACGGAGAGCCGCTGGCAGCGGCTCAAACTAGGGTCAGAGGTTATACGATATAAATTATGTAGATAAGGCACACGTCATGGGGATACCCTGTTGATTCACAGCGACGTCAACGAGCCGCTGCCAGCGGCTTGCCGTACGACCTGTACAATTTGTGTGTGCCGCTGTCAGCGGCTCGCCGTAGCGAAAGAGTTAACATCCCAAAGTTGTGGACAGTTTTGTTTTGCTTGATTGCATCACCTGCTTCATACCGGTATGTTCATCTTAATGTAGGGACGACGTCGTCGTCGTTCCGTCCGCTCAGTCCGCATTCCACGTGACTCCGACGGTGGCGGGATGGACATGGACGATGAGTGCATCCCGTGGGGCTCTGGGGGCGCCGAGCCAGGGGCGAGTGCGGAGCCAGAACCAGAGGCGGAGCCGACGGCAGAGCCAGGGGCGGTGCCAACGGCAGGACCAACTTTGGAGCCAGGGGCCACAGCTGAGCCAGCAGCAGAGGGAGAACCAGAGGGTAAGGCAAATCTCACCAAAAGACTCGCTCTCAATCTCTGCACATCCATATACAGATGCACTGGGATCGATTGACTCATGACACTGATGTGAATTTCATCTTGCAGAAATGTCCCACGTTATGTTGCTGTTGTGAAAATAAGGTACCGGGTATTGACATAAAACATGGGTGTTAAATCTCCATTCAAAGTACAGCTGTGGAACCATTGTTGGCCAATTAATTTTTCCCCAAAACACTTCGTTTGAAATCCACTGAGGCGAATCTCGCCAAATTACTTTCATATCTGAACATCCAAGAAGGAAATGACTAATAACTTTTTGTCTTTGCCTTCTCCTTTTCACCACAGATAAGCCCCCCCCTCCAGTCTGCCTCATTCACCAATTAACTACCTTTCTCTCCCTCTCCCCATCATTGACTTTGTCCTTTGTGTTCCCCACCTCTTGTGGTCAACCATCCCCTTCCCCCAATCCCCCTCCCTTTTGTTACCCTCCTTTCTGTTCAGCCGCCTGCTTTCTCTGTGTATTTTCCTCTGTTTTAGCCTCTGAAGAAGAACTTGCTAAGTTCGCAACGTCAGGCCACATTAATTTTTAGATTTATTTTCCTCTGCATCATCTATTTCCACTTGACTGCTTTTGTTACATCAGTAATGTATACATGTACCTGTTTATGTTTATAGTCTTGTCATTTAGCCTTCGAGAAAGACTCTGCTAGGGTCGAAACGTCAGGCCACTAACTATTTTTTTGCATTTATACCATAGGTCCTTTTGGTTGGTAAGCAGTTTGCAATGTTTTCAGCTAATTCTATTTTTCAAATTACTTTCACTCAGTCTTTAAATATCTACATATATATAACAGGGATCGATAGACTCGTGACATTCATCTTGCAGAAATTTCCCACTTACGTTGCTTTTGTGCAAATAAGGTATTGACATGAGATATGGGTGTTAAATTGCCGTCAAGTAAAGCAAGTAAAAGCAATTAACCCTTACCCTACTTGACCCTCCAATGCATGCCAATTGTGCCTCAAGAAAATCTCCTATGTTTTTTGCATGGCCCTCCAATATCTGCCATGTCATTTCAAGGGTAACTGGACAGGCACTCCAATACATGCCACAGAGAACAATGAGAGTCCTCTGATAACAAAGTGAGTGCCCCCAGCTGGTCAGTATCAGGCACCCTCCAGGGCCTCCAACTCCTGCCAATTGGAGCCTTCACTGTTAAGACTTGTTATCTGCCAAATAACTGCAGCTGGAGGGCATTGGCATAACCAACTGACATGCAGTAAACTACCCTCAGAGAGTAAGGGTTAAAGCATTTTTCACAAAATTTTCCTCGGAAACAGTTTGTTTGAAATCCACTGTGCTGTGAACCTATCACTTTAAACAGTACATATCTTAGCTGTTCCACCTTTTCCCCAAACTAACAAAAGAGGTGATTTATCTTTTTAATCACATTTCTGTCAAAAGGACGAATTATTTCTTACACACAAAAAAACCGACAAGAAAAACTCATATTTTTGTTCATAGTGAGGCCTTTGCAGTTCATGCTGATAACTTGTATTTCTTTTTTTTTTAATTCCACAGGAGAACCTGAAGCACCAGCAGGTAAGAGAAAAACCCAACATATTTACACGTTTATCTAATCAATGTCGAGTTGTTTACTCAAGGCGCCTAATGACAAGTTCTAATGTTACAAAATATGTTCCAATTAAAGAGGTTGTGGAATGCTCGAAGACATTTCCGTCATTTTTTGGGTATATGTAGCCTAAGGTGTGATGAAATAAAAACGACTATTGTTTCTGTCATGAAATGAGTACAAAAGGTACTTTTGAGAGCTGTTTTTCAGGTCCTGTTTCGACCCGAACGTGCAATTTGTGTAAAAGTCGTCGTTGCGGGCAGCAAACAAAACACAGTAAATCGTGACGTAATAAACAGGACTCGTATATGCTACTCTGCATCGGGAGTCCTGTTTATTACGTCACGATTTACTGTGTTTTGTTTGCTGCCCGCAACGACGACTTTTACACAAATTGCACGTTCGGGTCGAAACAGGCATGACAGGACTTGAAACACAGCTCTCAAAAGTACCTTTTGTACTCATTTTATGACAGAAACAATAGTCGTTTTTATTTCATCACACCTTAGACTACATATACCCGAAAAATGACGGAAATGTCTTCAAGCATTCCACAACCTCTTTAAGTTTGCTAACGTCCCACTGAAGTGGGTACGCAAAGCCAAGTTTGTACCCGGCAAAAGGATGTTGGGATTTAACATGCCGCTTAAGCGCATATTTCTGGCAGAACGAGTTTCCGGTAAAAGGTCGTTAGCATAAAAATTTAAATAACTTCAAAATTAGGTAATATTTTGATATAAGAATGCACAGTATTATTTAAATTATTAACGAATGTCATGAGTCAAAATCTCAGCCTTATGTGATTTTTAATTTAGAAATTGGAGCACAAAACCTTTCAACTCGACTATCTCCAAAAGTGTTTTTTTTTTTTTTTGTGCCTGGGCTGCTAACATCCTTTTCCTTGGCACCCGACAAATTGACAATAAGATTTAGCTTTTGTTATACTTGTGGTTACAATGCATCAGTTGTTGGTCCTGATCTTTGCTTAAATTGATTTATCCAGCTGCCTTACATCCGATGGACTGCATGGATATTGTCATCGGCATGGTAGATGGCGGGCTGTCCCGCGTTGGTGATTACTACACCCGCGATCGGTCCACGCCGCGACGCGACAGTTTCTACGGAGGAATGGAAAGCCTGACGGCAGCAGGAGGGAAAGAATACAACGATCGCACCATCGTCAAATTCCGTAGAAAGCTCACGTGTAAGTTTAGGTTTTACTTTATTGGCGCTTAGGCCAAAAAAAATTATATTCGGTCTCTGGTCAGACCAAAGTTCCGGAATTGACGCGGCGATGCGGCCTTTTTTTTTGGTTTGTTTGTTTTTTTTCTCTTCAAGCTTGGATTGTACAGACAAGGTGGGGTACTATTTTGCTTTTTTGGTGGTCTCATGTACATTGGTGTCCTCCATAATTTGCCTTGGTGCTTTCCATCATTTGCCTTGGTGCAATTTCCCATTCTTTGGTGCTCTTTGGTAAAACAAATTGAGGAGGTGCGGAAATAGAGGGCGCTGATTGAGCTACCGCGGAACATTTTGGGGAAAAAAAAGATCGACGCGCATGATTAAAATCGACGCGCGCGCTGACCAGAGACCGACTTTTTGGCCTTACCAGTAGGAATATTTGCAATTGCCTAGAAAAGTTCTTCATGATTTTAACGAGAATTTACTTGCAATAAGTGAAGATATGACTGGTACCAATTAACCTGTGAAAATATTTCGCCTGAAGCGGTATCATTTAGAAGAAAACAATCATTGAAGTCGGTTTAAGAAAGTGTGCCCACCAGCAGAGCTTTTTTGCATGTGTTAGCAATGCAATCCAGTTATGAGACTCCAAAACATGCGCTGCATTTTCTGTTTTCTCAAATTGTTTAGTACACTGAGGCCAAGTTCGCGCAAGGACTATAGTTGACCAATGGTTAACTAACGTTTGCCCGAACTCTGTCTAGTCAACGGTGGTTGACTAGGCTAGTCAACTATTTGGAACCAGCCCACTGGGGTTGGTTGCTTCGCTGGTAACCAATAGCCGCGCGCATTCATAACGCAAGCAGAGAGCCAGGATCCAGACGTTTTGCGATGCCATTTTGACCAGCGTTTGACTAGAGACATTCGCACGTTGCTATCAGTGCACAGGCGTAAGGTACGTCACAAATCAACCACTAGTCGACTAATGGCCCTTGCCCGAACTTGAGGTTTTGAATTTAGACTATTTTCCTCCAAGTTGAAATGTTTAAATATGATGACATTTTTGTTTCATGTCAGCCACTGAGCGTTCTGATCACAGCATCATGAACGGACCGATGACTGTCATCTTCGCTCGGGGCCAGGACTACGGGAGATACGTGCATAACCCGCCCAGCGGCGTCGAGCACTGCACGACTAGCCAGAGGTTCTACAAACGGTTTGAGCTGAAGTATCACGGCACTGCCCAAAGCCAGCGTGGACAGGTTCCCAACTTTAACTTCTACGGTAAGTTGCGATCATTATGCATCGTTGCATTTCAGTAAATGAAATTAGGCACAGTGCGACTATAGGCTTGCCTACTTCAGAATTACCACAGTACAGATGTTCACTTAAAGGTAAAGTCCATTATTTGTAATTTGTGCATTTTGTTCGTTTGAAGCAACACACCTACTCAAAATCTGAAGGAGGGTGCTGAACAACTAACCTGTTGAAGTTTCAGCTCAGCTTCAGCTCTATATTTCGAGAAAAACAATATTCTAGGATCTCGATTTCAAATCAAAAGTTGCTGAATCATGTTTTAAATCGGGCCTGAATTCAGCATCAGAGACAAGTTCTCACTGAGCCGATTGCAGCTAGGCGATGTCGCGCACTGATCCGACGAATTATAGCAACCACGCGCGCGTGTGCGTCGTGTCAACGCTTTCTTCGCGCTTCGCCGAATAAAAAAACAAACTACAAACGGAAATTTCCAACGGTGCTTCTTAAGACGCACCGTTGGAAAGGCCTTCTTTCGTTGATTTCTTCAAAATGACAGCTTGCCAGAAAGAATAATTTCACAGGGAGTTTAGTCCCCTTACTATCTTTCAACCAAGTATGTTTTTCAACAATAATTACACCAGTTACTTTTTGGATAGCTGCAAATGATGGACTCTGGCTTTAACACCGACGCCGTGTTGCTTCCCTTTCAGTTTTTAACCGTCATTACTTTGGCTGCTTTTCACAGGAACTGAAATATATCATGCCCAAATCTCACACACTCATACTCGTTGTACGAGATCTGCCACTAATGCTCACCCTTTCACAGTTTCAATACCTAGGTCTCGCCCTGTATCCCTCTCATCATCCTTTATTGTCCGTACATCCAAATTGTGGAACTCTCTACCACAATCGTGCAGCCCACCATCTTACAACTCAGTCTTTCAAGAGCTTCGACAAGCTCAATCTTTTATCACTTTCCTAGTCTTATTTTTCCTGTGTCAAGAGTCCTTGGGACTGTAGTGGCTTCCTGCCTCTTCTCGGTATCATTATCTATGAACAATAAATTGTCCTGACAAATATGTCAAATGGTTAGAAAATGTCTCAATGTCATCCTGTAATTTAAACCTCTGCAAATGTCGCATTTGGGAGTTATCATACTGTGCCTTCCACTGCTCCTGCATGGAGTTCTAAGCAAGCTACACGTTAAAAGATTCTTAAAAACTGGCACTCATACCAGCGGATTCACAGTTGTGCTAGGATTTTCATTGCATTCATTGTACCTTTTAAGTAACAGATGTACCTTCACAAATGAATCTTGAATGTCTGTTATTTCTCACCAATTCGAGTTCATAAGTTTTTGCAATTATATATGGCTATGGAGTGGCTTTCCCCATTTCTGGGACGCTCTAAAGCTCGCTATTCCCACAATGAACTCTTGGTTTAGAGAAATGTTCCGAGCTTAACAAAACACACGTGCGATGGACGCTCATGGATGGAAGTGTCCCATTAATGGTTGCCAGAACTATTATCATAATTAAAATATTTTAAGTTTTTAGTGTATACTTGCTGTGAGCAAGTATACTAATATAGTATATTAATATTCATTGTATTTTTATTTTGTCACTTCCACAACAGAGGACCCCAACGCGCCCCCACAGACCGGCCCATGCAACGGTGACTACTCAATGCCCATGAACTGCCAGGGAGACGCATGTGATTACAAAATCACTTGGACTTTCCGCGAGGCTGACGATAAGATCCAGTTCAACATTGTCGCTAAGACAGAAAGCAACAGGTGGACCGGTGTGGGGTTCTCTAAGCAAGGCGCTATGGTAAGCAGAGCCGCTAAGCGAAATAGAGAGCCAAGAAGAAAACAGTGTTAAGCAGAAAATGGTGCTAAGCAGAAAACAGTGCTTAGGAAAATACAGTGCTAAGGAGAAAACAGTGTTAAGCAAAAAATAGTGCTTAGCTGGAAACAGTGCTAAGCAGAAAACAGTGCTAAGCAGAAAACAGTGCTAAGCTGGAAACAGTGCTAAGCAGAACACATTGTTAAGCAGAATACAGTGCTAAGCAGAAAACAGTGCTAAGTTGGAAACAGTGCTAAGCAGAAAACAGTGTTAAACAGAAAACAGTGTTAACCAGAAAATAGTACTAAGCAGAAAACAGTGCTAAGCAGAAAACAGTGTTAAACAGAAAAGTGTTGACCAGAAAATAGTACTAAGCAGAAAACAGTGCTAAGCAAAAAACATTGTTAAACAGAAAAGTGTTAACCAGAAAATAGTACTAAGCAGAAAACAGTGCTAAGCAGAAAGTGCTAAGAAGAAAAAACAGTGCTAAGCTGGAAACAGTGCTAAGCAGAAAACGTACAGTGCTAAGAAGAAAAATAGTGCCCTGCAGAAAACAGTACTAAGAGAAAACAGTGGCATTATAGACCCCTCTCATAGACAGTCATGTTGGTAAGCAAATTACAACTGGGTGTTCAAAGCAGGTATGTGTGCGCGCAGTGTGCAAAATGTTCTAAACTTGTGCTCATGTTGCTTGAAGTTTCTTTGGAATACGGCACAAAAGTTTGACTCCCAAAATGCCGATGCATGTGACAATCTGTAGGCAGTGATGTCATTTGAGAGAGATATCTATTGCTATATCTATTGAGCTGCTCCACCTATAGTTGAGAATGACAACACTTTTCTCCGTCCACATTTACAGGTTGGTTCAGATGCCGTCATTGCCTTCAATGGAGCCAACGGGGTGGTAGTTGAAGACCGTTTCTTGGGAGGCAAGAGCGCAAACACGGTCGTCATTGACGATACCAACAACCTTGAAGAGGTATCTGCCTCTTACGACAACGGCATCATGACGGTGGCTTTCCGACGCCCCAGGGACACGGGGGATAATCAGGTAAGGCCTTCCAAATCAAAATAAGGAACTCAGCGGGAGAGGGAGCATTCCTGAAACTTGAAGCGCAGTAGGTTTGTCTCAGATTTTACAGCCGACGGTACCCTACCCAGGCAAGCACGTATGGTCAAGGCGCCATTGCAGTAGAGGGTGCTCTATATAGGCGGCCATATGGCGGTAGAGGGCGCTAAGGATGAATCAAATCCTGTCTTGGGAACTTTGGCACTGGGACACAAGAAATCCTGAGCATGCCTCAAGCAATCCATATTGCAGTCAATGCGCACTTGTGAGATATGCGTGGAATTTTGTGGGTCTCATTGCCAATATTCTCAAGACTGTATTTGATTCATGTAACTGATATAGCTCCCTCTACCACAGTGGTGGCTTGACCACACTTGGTCGCGACCTACTGCATGAGATGTTAATCCAAGCCCAGTCTTTGACTAACATTGGAGGTGGAGCTGAGATTTTCACCTAACCCACCCCCCCCCCCAAAAAAAAAGAGGTCGAGGAAACAGGCATAACATTTTTCAGACTGTAGTCAAAAATCAGACTTTTGAATCTGAGAGAATTATAGAAAATAAAATCATCTTCCAGACCTTTCATCCAGTTTAAGACTTTGAAAATGGACAACATCACCCCTTAGGAAAGCTAAAATTTTGGCTCAACGTCTGATAATCACTGTTGAAATCAACATTTTGACAGGACGTTGCATTCACCGACGACCCCAGTGGCTGCCTCCACTTGTTGATCCCCACCCAGGGAGGAACGTTCACCGAGGGAACACCCAACATGATCGGCTACCACGCACAGACTCCGATGGTCGTTCCAAAGGTCTGCATCAAGGCCTGCGATGAAGGACCAGGTGAGAGTTATTACTGCGCTCGCTACAGAAGGGCCAGTGCTCATTATTTTCCAAGTTCAGGATATTTCACTCTCCGATTTCATGCCTGCTTTTCATGCCATATTTGAGATTTTGTAGTAATCTTCACTGATCTCCATGCTGATCTTATTTAATCTCCTGTAATCTACTTACTATTACACTTATTTCGCATCATCTCGGGTCTATTTCACTGAACCTCGTTTAACCATCTCTGTTGATCTATAATTAATAATCTTGTGATTATCCTATCCTTTGCTATATTCTCAAGTGATCTCGCTAATCCTATTGCCTCTCTGATCCTTTCTGCAAATCCTAATTTTTTTTGGTGCTAATCTTCATCCCTATTGTTGATCTAATATTTGCAACTTCTAATCTTCAATAATCCCACTAATATCTATTATCTTTTGATCCTCGTTGCTTATCTTTATTTGTCTCATCTGCTAATCTTTTCAGTAATCCTTATTTGTCACTTAAGCAAAATGCAATCTCCATTTACTGCTTATCTATATTAAGACATTGTTTGTCATTTCTACTCCACTATTTCGTATTTGAAGATATAATCTCTATCCTCTAATCCTACTAATCTTCTTGATCCATTCCACTAATCTTCATTTCTTGCATTAATCTCTTGGTGAAGACTTGTTTGCACCCACTGAAAAACCTGGTGGTACTGCCTCTTCACTGGCTTCTCTCTCTGTTGGTACTCTGCTAGTTGGTTCCTATCTTGCTTGTCGCTTGCTTTTCAACTAACCCACTTACAAACAGGTTTGTATGCTTCGGCAAACTGTGTTATTTATTGTTTTGTTTTTTAAGTAGATACAGTGGAACGCTGCTATAACAAACATCTTGGGATCCACAGAAAGTGTTCGTAATAATGATCGTTCGGTATAGCGATAGTGAAGTCACTGAACTGGCATTTCTCACGTCCCGCCGCTGCACGAGGAGTTGTCACAAAACTTTAGCAACGGGTGGTTTTCCCTTCTATTCCTTGGGGAAATAATAGCCATCTATCGCTCTTCAACATTCAAACACGATGTAACCATGGGGGGTTTGATGTTCGGGAATTAAAATTGACCCAAACAGTGTTTAATACATGTACAACCGGTAGGTTTTTTTGTTTTTTTTGGTTAATCTGTTGACTTTTTTCGACAACGATGTTCGGTACGTTTTGTACATTAAAACCGGGAGCCAAGGATGATGTTCGGTATAACCAAATGTTCAGTATAGCGGTGTTCGGTATAGCGGCGTTCCACTGTAATACAAAGAAAAGGCAGGGAGCACCTATAGTCCAAATGGACTCGTGACACAGGAAATAAAGACTAGGAAAGTGATAAAAGATCAAGCTTATTGATGAAGCTTTTGGAAGACTGGGGGTTGTAGGATGGTGGACAGCACGATTGTGCCGGTAGAGAGTTCCACAGTTTGGATGTACGGACAATGAAATATTATGAGTGGGATACATTGCGAGACCCAGGTATTGAGACTGTGATTAGCGTGAGCATTGGTGGCTGATCTCATAGAATGAGTAATGTGTGTTTGAGATTTTGGACATGATAGATTTCGGTTCCTTTGAACGGCGACCAAAGAAGTAACGGTAAAAAAGTGAAAGGGAAGCAACAGTGGAGTGAGTTGGCGAGGCCGTCATTGTTGACAAGACGAATGGCCTTTGACTGAATTTTGTCCACAGACTCGAGTGGTAAATTGGGGGGGGGGGGGACACCACCCCAGATGTGACACATTCTAAATTTGGGACGAATTGAAAGGCACTTATTACAAACATTTACACCAAATTTCCAAAGATCTTTTTGTTATTTTTGGTATAAATATTGTCGAATCGTTGAAAAGTAATGCTTACCAGTTGCACAAATCACATTCAACTTCAATTGTATAATTTGGAGAAGAAAAAAAAAACTGAATGAACGCGAGGAATAAAGTTAATACCAGTAGGACAATGCTGATAATATTGTGCCCTTCAAACATAAGTGCTTTCCAAATATTCTTTTTCTGAGGTATCAAGTTCTAAAATTGGACCAATTGTACTGATTGTTGTTTTTGCTACACTCCTCTGTGCATTAACTGGGTCACGAGAGAGACATTTCAGTAAGGTATTCTAGTTCTCAACAATTGGCTTGATTCAATATTGACACAGTAAACAGCCTTTGATGATAGGGTTTACATACAGCAGTTTACTCAATTTGGCATTGAATGGTAGTTATCATGGCCGATTTGAGATTGACGTCACTAGATGCCATTTAATGAAGAGATCACCCCTGAAATACTGAAGAACAAAATAGTGAGGTGAGCAAAAAAGTTAGAAGTTTTTTTCCTTTTTCCCCAGGAACTGGTGATAATAGTGGAACCAATCTGTCGGCACGACTGAGCACTGTATTATTTATCATGGTTCTGGTATTCATCCTGAAGATGTAAACAACTGCTGAAGATGTAAACATCTACAAAAACTGAATATGTAAACAACAACGACAAAAGCTGAAGATATCAGCAACAACACAAGCAGGTTTGTCATTCATCCCACAGATATTTGCGAGAATAATCAGTAAAGCCTGTCGAACACAATGTAGCTTTAAAACAGAACCTGAAAAAGACTGTGCTTTGGAAGACAGTTTAAGTTAGATTGGAAGTATTTGTTTTTTAAGGCTCAATAAACGTAGAAAAAAACAGTATTATCTTGAATAGAGACTGGAATATCATAATAGTATTGGAGAAGGCTGTATTTTGGGAACAAAGTTAATTAAACTTTTGTAATTTGAATCAATTCTACCTCCTCAATTACATGTCAACATTGAAATTCTTTGGATAAAAAAAAATAAAAGGTTCGTGTAATTTGAGGCATAAAATGAGGCTGAAACGTGTGGCTCAACATTTAAGATTGATGCTGAGCCAAAAATATGAAGCTGATGTGTCCTCAGCAATACATGAAACAGCAGTAGGATGAGTACGTTGGGCGATAACTAGGAGTCTAGGAGTAAGGACTACAATGTGAGTAGTGGTATAAACTAGAACATGATTAACTAGGAATTATGAACAATTGAAAAGAACTTTGCTTCATGTTAAATTGGTTGTCGTGATTAATACATTTTTTCATAGCTCATTTTATTGACTTGTTCAATTTGTTGTGTATTTTGGATTCACTTATTTAACCATGAATGTTTGGTGTACTCAGAAATTTATCACATAAAAAAGTTGGTTTTAAATATTCACAGTATTTGGATAAAATTGTAAAAGTTCTCATTTTTCAAGTAAGGTGTTTAGTTTTTTTCATTATTTAGCTCAAGTAGTCTTTAATTCACTTTAGTTCAAAAATTGAGTATTCTGTGATATTTAAATGTAAAAAGTATTCGTTTTTAGTATGTTAATCGTTTTATGTAGATTTATAAAATGATACCCATACACGGTAATGCTTCAATAGCAACTTTTGCCGGGTCCAACTTATTGGGACAAAGTTGTTGAAATCTATGAAAATTTAAAGGAAAAGACCGGTTTTACGTAACATGATCAATTAATGGCCTTAAAATCTATCAATGCAAAAATGTAACATACCGGTGGTGCAATGTTTTAAGAAAACATATCACGATTTATTTTGACTTTATTAGACACGATTGGCTTTCAGCATGTGATCTGGTGCCTGCTCATAATGTGCCCTTACTTTTTAGTGAAAATTGGCAAAAAACAGGATTTTTTTTATTTTTTGACAAAAGTTGAAAATGCATATATAAAGTTTTTTTGTGATGTTGTGTGTGCCTTATGTCTTCATAGTAAGTGTCTTTCACTTTTATGCACATTTTGAAGAGGCTTTGATAAATATTACAGTAATCAGTGAATGTTTATATATACCTATAAATCTATATTTCAGCACTATTTTAGATGGTCATTCTTATTAAGGTATACAGTTAAAATGTATATGTTTGAGGATTTTACATATGTGTAGATCATGATATAAGAATCAAATTTGTATATTTTGGAAATTTTATCCTTAATTATATATATGGGCTAGAGTATTTTCTGAGATGTACGTTTTTATGAACAATTGTTGAAAGAGGGTTTTAAGTAAGATTTGAGGCTTTGCATGGTGGAGATACTAAATAGTGAAAGGTTTGCGGAACGAGGGTTTTGTTTCTTTTCATGACTAATATACGGTGGTTTACTAAGGATTGCAAGATATTGTAAAGCTGGATAATATATTATTTGGATATATTTAATGAAAAGAAATTTTAATGATTAACCTGAGGAGGGAAAAAGGCACAACTAAAATAAATGAGAGGCGTTCTGGCAAAATAAGACAGAACTGGGCACAGGCCGTAGTGGAGAAAAATGCCCCAAAAAAAAAACGAATGTAGGCAATTTTTTTGCTTCAACTTTCAGATATATGGATATTTCATTAACATGTGTAGTAGACATATCAAAGATTACAAATATCATATTTGTAATCTTTGATATGTCTACTACACATATTTCAAAGAAATAGTATAACAATCGTGGGGGAAAAATGTTTTTAAGGAAAAACAACAGGCATCTTTCATTTTTACAACTACAAAACTCAAAACTTTGAATTAAATGCCTTTTTCTCAGTATTTTACTTTTTTTAAGTGCAAACTTTAAACAGCCATTAGTTTCAACGAAATGTCTGATTGAAGTGCAACAAACAGTATTGCAAGGATAATTTTATTCTCTTTCAAAATACCTGCAAACCCTCATTTCCACCTCTACCAAGTTGTGCGTCTCATTTTGCCAAAATGCCTCACAAATGTTTGTATGCTGATGTAGACAATGATGAGCGTCTAAAGTTTGAACGTTTAGAAGGAAATAATGCAGACATGAACAAAGGCAGTCCCCCCCCCCCCCAAAAAATGAACCCAATTTTTTTAAGTGACGTCTCAATAAAGGCAGGCACTGCGTACACCACCATCTTTTCCTCAAAAAAATTGGTTAAAGTGGTCAGAAATTGCCTCAGATCGCACCACAGAGCGTAATTTTTTGGACCCACTTTTTGGGGGACCAAATGTTTTTTTGCCCCCCCCCCCCTCAAAATTATGTTCTGGATCCGCCCTTGGACATGAAAAACAATCCTTGAATAAAGATTCCATCCTGTGGGTTCGAATTTCTTAAGGAACACATCTCTTCTGTACTGAAATGCTACAGATATTTTAGACAATTTAGCTGTTTTTTTGGCCACTATTGTAATCACTCTGTGAATGTACTGGAAATAAAAGACAAAATTTCATTTTTATTTGTTGATGGATTTATTTAACAACCATTCCTTTTGTTGTAATTATGGGCGATGATGTTTTATTCGAAAATGCTACGGAGTTGAGGCTAAGCTACCATGTGAATAAACTTTACACACATATGCCTCACATTAGCCTCACATTAATCCATTTGCACCTGCACTGACAATAGTATGCTCCTGCAGTTTGGGGCGGTACAGTAATAGGCAGGGCGGTTTTGGGCGGTACGGTAATAGGCAGGGCGGTTTGGGGCGGTACAGAAATAGCAGGCATGCAACTGCGAATTTAGAAAAAAAATTGAGGAAATTCCAAACCTCAAAAGACTTTGTACAGTATTTTTCAATTTGAAATGGCATTCATGAGAAGTAAAAAACGAGGAAATCAGCGGATCTGAGGAAAGTTGCATGCCTGTATGTGGCAGGGCGGTTTAAGGTGGTACAGCAATAGGCCGGGCGGTTTGGGGTGGTACAGTAATAGGCTGGGTGGTTTGGGGCAGTACAGTGACTAAATAGGTGAGTACTAGGCAAGGCGGTTTGGGGCAGTATAAGGAGTAATAGGGCAGTTGGGGGCGGTACAGGGGGTAATAGGCAGGGCAGTTTGGGGTGGTAATAGAGAGGTTTGGGGCAGTACAGTGAGTAACAGACAAGGCGGTTTGGGGCAGTACAATGACATTGGTCAAGAGTCAGAAATGCTGACTTTTTTTGCACAGCAGACAGGTATCAGCTTAATGGAAATGACAATTTACGGAATGATCGTTTTTTTCTTCAGAATCTGAACATTGGATATAACCAAAATGGAACGCACAGACGCAGGCGTTTGTTTATGGTGTAAATCGAGGATTTTCTTTTGTTCCTCTTCCCTTTTCCTTTGTTTGTACTTGAACTTTTTCGCAACAGCTCTCATTGGTTTTGTACACGTTTTCCAACCGAGGAGTCCTCGATTCAGTTTCTGACCTCGATTCACCGATGATGTTGCATGTGTGAGTCCTCGATTTACACCATAAACAAACGCACCCAAGTGCGTTCACGCCGTCGATCGTGGACGTCCTATTGTCCCTCTTTTGTTTTAGGAAGACTCCCATATGTTTTGTACACGACCCCAATCGCAGACGTATGCTGGGAATCGTTGACGATATTGTTCTCTTTTGTTCTCTGGAATTTTTCCTCCACGGTTTGAATACATGAACACGCCCACACACACACAGAAGGAATACGTGATCGCAATATCTCCCTGCCTGGCTTGAAAACCAGGGGGATAAAAACAGTAAAACGCAATTGTCCTTCGTGGCTGTCCTTTCGTTTATTTCTTTGAAGGTTATTCGCTGTTTTATGTTACACGATGGATGACTAATTCATAATTTACATGCACTAATACTGAGTCATAAAACAGCGGCTGAACCTCGTGGACAGTTTCTTTCTTCTATACTTCATAATTTGATTTCAAAACAAAACAAATTAAAAACTTTGTTTAAAAATCGTAAGGAACAAAAGCATGATTTGTTTGTGGGTTCAAAGAAATGAATTCTCCAAAAGATCTCCTTTAAAATAAAAATTGTACTTGCATGTGTTTGGACAAAACAAACTTGTGTTTAACAAAGAGCTTTTCTTCTACCACACTGATTTGTCGGCCACAAGTAAAACAATACTGCAACGAGTAAAAACAATGATAAATTATGTTAAAATGATTGCAAACTTAAGCAGACAAATCAATACCGACGATTCATGTGATCTCTCCACATGTAAAAAAAAAATTCAACAAATTTAAAAAAATCATCGTTTAAAACAAGATTTGTTAATGACGCTGCACTGTCCTGAAAAACTGAACTCTTCCCAACGAATAAGGTTAGTAAGACATTTTCTTCCCACGTTTTATAAGGAAACAAAGTGGACCACGTTGAATTATTTTTAAAAAGGAGAGAAATACTCTGCCGTCACGTTACATATTCCATTGATGTTCTCATATGTATTAATTCTTTCCTCTATAATATTGAAGAATTTTTCTCCAGTACGACATCAACAATGCTGTTTCCAAATGATGCATTAGAGCTCAGTGAAGATTTTCTTCAATTCAGAATAGTAATGATTTACGTATGAGTTACTCTCCAATCTTACGCTGATAAGCTTCACAGAGATTTAGCAAGCTTGCCTTTTGATTGTACCTCTAGCTCCAACTGCCTGCTTCTTTCACCTGATGTGGTTGAACAGATTCAAGACCGACTTTGATTCCTGTAAAAAAAATATAAATAAATTTGACAACTCTCAAAAGGCTAATGACATGGAGCACGTGCAATCAAATTTGAACTGAATGTGTATTAGACTAAAGTGTTTTGATGTGAGAGAATTAGTGCTGAGATTGGGCACACGACAGAAGTGTCTTCTTCTATGGGCCTTTTCACACTAAACACATCTCGGGTTGACGCAGGGTGGAAAACATCCGCCGTTTTACACTTGCAAATGTTCAACCCCACGCCAACCCTGTGTCAACCCTGAGATTGATTTCGCCCCGGGTTGAACTCAACCCTGCTCCAGACCAGGGTTGAGATTTTCAACCCAGTTGAAACTCTCCCCAGGGTCAAAACAGTAGTAACCGAGCAAAATAAGCTCGGTTACACGAAACAAGTGTTAAACGACGCGGGGTTGAAATAAAAAACTTCAAAACTCAACCCAGGGCAGCGCTGGGTTCGCCTAGTGCCGAGTTCAACCTGGGTTGAGAGGCTCTAGTGTGAAAGGACCTTGAGGCGAAATAGATGGCATTTTTCGGCCACTTTTGAGAACCTCAGTTGGAAACCCAGTGTGTGCATACTGATTCTGCGAAAAAAAATGGGGGGTCTTTGCGCAAGTATCAGGTGCATAACGCAATCTGTCTGAATGTCCCTCCCAGTGGTCCCCAAAACTCTCCCTTTGTAGCCGTTGAGGGGGTACCTGTGCACTGTGTCTATAGCACTCACAGCAAACTTAAGTGAGAACCTTTTTTTTTAATCAGTGCCTAATGAAGCATTTGGCATCTTACCTTGGATGACCGTGACTTGCTGAAGACGTTCCAGAAACGAAGAGTTTCATCCCCGGCTCCGGTAACGATGGCCTCCCCGTCAGGTGACACAGCCTGACCAATGAAATTACAACATATTTTTCAAATCATGGACTCTACGAATTTTACATCAAATGTTGTCACTGACTCTGATCTCTAACTTTAGGGATCTAAAAAAAATAACTGGAGTGGGAAATTAAGCTGTTACTCCCAGAACATCTAATTAATTTCCAAGTGAAGTCATGTTAAGAATAAAAGACGATCCAGCACACCAAAAACTCTTAACAACAAATTCTGGTCCAACTGTTCTCATATCAAGAGGTGAACTCCATTTTACACTGAGTAAACTGAACAAACGCCACATGACAAATCAAAATTCAGTGGAAATCAAAAGTGAAATTTTCTAACACTTCTCCTAAGACAATGGGCCCTTCCTGCCCGTCAATCAAACACATTGACCAATCAGATCATAGATTTTCAGTCACGTGACCAGGGTAGCTCACTCAAACTTGGTCACAAGAACTGTGAGGCATGTTCACAAACCAAAGGTGGGCGGGGCTTATGATAAAATCCGGCATGGTCCATTCAGATAAGGGGTACGATACAGGGTTAAGAGGGTGATAATCTTACCAGATATAATACTCTGTATGTATGTCCTGTTAGTTTGGCTACCTCTACCAGCGATGGATACTTCCACACCAAGATTTGGTTCTGAGAGTAGCCATGGGTGCTAACCTGTAACCAAACAATTATACCAACAATATGAAATGTCACGTGGATAAATGTCAACACAAAAGTTTAAAGTTCAACTGAACAAAATCCACTCATTACAGTGATGTTGTTTTCTAGGTTTATGAGTATGAAGTTGAGCAATGTCTTTAAAACAATGCCTCTTTAAAGCATGATTCCTTCACTAAAATTTCTCTTTTCCATTCTGTGACATCACAAACTCAAATGGCAATAATTTTGCCGAAGAACATATCACAAATGCACTTTTTATTCCCCGAACAAGTTTTTTTAATCCCCCCTCCTTTCTTTTTTCACGTCACAAAGTTGAGTACGGACAAATTACAGATTTTTCAGTTTTTGGTTATGCATTTCTTAAAGTGATACACCTCTACAAACCTTCCCCCCAAAATTCACTTTTAGAGGCAAAATTGCTGTCGAGATTTGCAAATTTTATTTTAAGCACACACAGTTTTTTCCGGATCACAAATTTGCAAAAACCACTGAAAATTGGGCAAACAAAGTCAATTCACCATCGTTTTTTTGGTGTACCGCCATTTCAGGCACTGCCCAGAAGTTGCTATTTTTGGACAGAATGTCTCATGTTAAGTTTTGCAATCAAGACTTCCAATACAGGCACTTACCAACTCGTTGTCGTGTTTAGACCACGCCAGGTTGCAGACCTGGGACCCTGTGTCCACCGAATTGAGCGGCTGACCGGTCAGCGTGTTCCAGAATCGAATGCAGCGGTCAGCAGTACCTCCTCCGGACGCTAGCAGGCCGTGCTGGTGGGGTGACCACGCAATGGCTTTGACTGCCGCTAGATGGTCCGTGTACTGCTGGACTGGGCTGAGGCTGGAGTTGTTCCATACGAATAGCTACACGGATAAAATTACAGTCGACTCTAGTTATAACAAGGTCAATGGGACTAGCCAAATTACCTCTTTATAACAGGAATGTTGTTATAAAAGGACAGCGAAACAAAGAAACACAAAGAGAACCTGAGATTTTGGACCGCAGAATTTGCTCTTTATAAGCAGAACCTCTTTATAAAAGTGCTCTTTATAATGAGAGTCAACTGTACATGGATTTAAAAGTAATTGATGCTATTTGCACACATTCGAAAACCAAACTGCCACAATATGAAGTATCTGTCTTCATTGTCAGTATAAAATGATAGGATCAAGCATCCTGTGTAATCGTTGCGCCTAGTATGCTATTATTTTCAAGAAAAGAGAAATTACCATTATTTCTCGTGACAGTTTGGTCCGCAGCTTCATTGTGAGAAGAAAAAAACAAAATCTTCAAAAAGCTGCTCCAAAGGGAGGGCTTTCAATAGAAACTTGTTTTTTTTTGCGCTGAGAAAATGAAGGTGCACTTTCACAGATATTTCAACGTAGTTATCAACACAGTTATCAACACAGTTATTTCAAGTATCATATCTACTGAGCTGATATTTCGACTGGTTACTTTTTTTTTTAAACCTGCTTCAGATTTATTGATATTGTTGCTTCTTGATTCAGCAAATTACATTCTCTTTCTTGCAAAAGGTGTCCATTACCTTTAACCAAATTGGCACCCATTCTACATTTTATTACATTGAATTAATGTTGTATTACGTTGTATTACATTGTATTTAATTGTACTGCATTGTATTACATTGTATTAAATTACTTAATGACTCAATAAAACCACAGAGTGCTTGGGTAGATTCAGGCAGTACCGGGTGGTTTGAGCAGTGTCAGGACTAGGGATTATGGACCATGGTCCTCTCTTTCATACCTTGTTATCGTTACCACCTGACGCCAGATGCTGGTGGTCAGGTGACCATTTCAACCCGCAGACCTCCTGTCGGTGGCCAGCCAATCGTCTCTCGGGAGTGGTCGGGGTACGGACGTCTCTCTGGAGTATCATACGGTCCCTGCTACCTGACGACAGCATGTCCGCATTCCATGCCAGGGCACCTAAGCACAAACACAGCGAGATTAACCCTCCAAGACTTCTGCACTTCACAAGCCTTCCAGTTTGGCAAAACCATTTTTACCCATAGAGTTAGCACCCACACTTCAAATTCCTATGTAATCTTCAGTGGAGTATGGATAAATAACACTTCAAATTCCTGCACAATTCTTTTCTTTGGTTAAGCTCAGGGCAAGCAGGCAGATTCAGTCACGCTTCACTGCTCTCCACAGTGCTGTTTTGTGCAGTGACTTTCTGTGTGACACAGTTTAATAATACTTTAACACTTCATATCCCTTCACCTGAAACTGACCTGCAGGATTTTACAGGGTTTTACATATTACTCTGAATATTGACTTCCCACAAGGAGGGTTAAGGACAACAAATACATTCACATAGGTCACACTCCCAATGTTTTTAAATACATGTAGTGGAATGTGACGACCAGCGGTGTCACGATCACGCGCTAGCTGCACGCGTTCTTAAAGACAAGGCGCATGCACATTTTGCTATTCCTATTGGTGGAAGGAGCACGGAGTGCTGTGTAGTACCTGAGCATGACTCACGTGATCATTGCGCAACCGCAGAAAACGGCTGCTGCCGGATTTGTCTATACATACGCAGTGGGTGGAGCCTAAAGAATCAGTCTATTTATTCTGGCCCCTCTCATTGGACCACCTGCTGTACTGACCTACTCTTGCTGAATGACCCTTCAGAGTGTTGACCCGCTTCTGGGTAGACGAGTCCCAGACCTGTACCAGTCCTTTGTGCGTTCCTACAGCGACCAGATTACCCTGCATCAAACAGATAGAGCAATGGTAACTTAAGGTACAAAATATCCAGGTTAACACAAGAATCTAATACATTGAGAGACTGCTTTTTGTTTACAGGACACCTGAATGTGCCTCCAAAAAAATGTTTGTGATTTATCAAGGAATGTTTACTCACCCTTTCATTCCACGATACCGATGTGACAGTATCGCCATCAACTGATAAATCGCACAGCCTTGTCACCTGCAACAAATTAAACAAATTCAACAGTGAGTCCTCAGAACAAGTGATATTTCAATTGAGTGTTTAGTGTTTGAGAACTGTACAACATCTGTAAATGAAATATACTCTTTCATATTTTACTTACGACCAAATATAAGGCAATAGCGCAAATTTGTAATTAGTTCAAAGGCTGAAATGTACAAAAACCGTAACACAAGTCAGCTCCCTTACCTGGCTTGTGCAGGCACTCCATAGATAGACGCAGGTTCCTAGACCCACGCTGAGTATATTCGTCGATGACCAATCGACAAGGTTGAGATAGAAGTCATCCTGCAGCTCAGGAGCATCCAGTACTTTGAAGGGAATCTTGGAGATCTTGCGCATCGGCTTACGGGGCGATAGTAACAACTTTTGGCTGGGAGGAAAATAAATTTGAAAACTTTTGGTGAGAATGTGAATTTTGAAAAGGTGAATCATGTGACTGCATTGCTTAAAGCTATAGTCCATCATTTGTAATTAGTGCATTTTGTTCGTTTGAAGCAACAAAAGTGTTCAAAATCTAATGAAGGATACTGAACAACTTACTTTATAAAGTTTCAGCTCAGCTTCAGCTTTATATTCCGAGAAAAACAGCATTCTAAGATCTCAATTTCAAATCAAAAGTTACTGAATCATGTTTTGAATTGTTTTGAATTGCAGCTATACGCGACGTAGCGCACTGATCCGACGAATTATAACAACCGCGCGCGCGTGTGCGTCGTTCCAATACTTGTGCGCGCTGCGCTGAATAACAAAACGAACTACTAATTTAAATTTTCCTACTGTGCTTCTTAAGAATCACCCTTGGAAATGCCTTCTTTCGTTGATTACTTCAAAATGACAGCTTCCCAGAAAGAATAATTTCACAGGGAGTTTAGTTCCCTTACTATCTTTCAACCAAGTTTGTTTTTCAACAATAATTACGCCAGTTACTTTTCGGATGGCTGCAAATGATGGACTCTAGCTTTAATATAGCACTATGGATAAAATTTACAAGCTCACTCGGGTGGGACTCGAACCCACGACCTCCTGCTTACTAGCACAGACGTAACCAACTACTAACATCACATCCAACTTACAAACCTTTTGCTTCCGACCGGTGAGAGAGAGTAAGATGAGGAGTCTTCGCTCTTGGCCATGCTGGGTCTCTTGGCCTGGACGCTGTACTGGAACAGGTTGCGTTTAGCCTTCTGTGGACTGACCATGCGACGGTCCTCGCACTGCGGATCCTTGATCTTGTCGATGTTGGCTCCCAGAAGCTCGTTCTTGAGGAGGCAGTGGTAGGCCAGCATGTCTGTGGCTGTCGGTGAGACAGAGGGAGGTTGACTTACAAATTTTGTTTACCCTAAAATTCTCAAATCCTCGGAAATCCTCTTCACAAAATGGACGATTTTGCAGGGTTGAGGCTATTTGGCAAAAATGTGTGGCTGATTTTGGAGGATGCACTGTGTCCAGGTATTAGGCTGGATCTTGTGCTGTTTAATTTATGCCAAGTCATGCATAAATTCAAGCCTAGATTAAACTTAAAATCCTCCGCACTGCTCCAGGATGTCACTGGCTCTGCCTCAACACATTGACAGTGACTGCTGGAGAATTATGGAGGATTGAGGCAGTGGTCACCCCTCCAAGGACCACATTCAAGAAATAACGGAGGATTTGGGAGGATTGAGGCTGTATGCAATTTTAACATGGAGGCAGTTGGAGGATTTTGCAGGATTGAGGTTGCATCCTAACAATAATGCCTAGGGAATTAGGGTTAAACAGCTACACGTACAGAAAATATGCGTTCTGGTTCCCAGTAAGTGCTTCATGACCACTGGGACAAATGAAGTACAATTAAACACAGCTGTGCACGCGTTTGCATGTGTATGGCAAAGTATGCACAAACCCATGCATATGGGCAATTCCACACCAAAGTGGACATGACACCAAAAAATTCAAATACATGTGACTTAAACAAATTTGGCATCAAATGAAAGCTAAAAGTCTATATTTTCAAGATTTGAAGTCGGAATTTTATTTTTTATACATTTCAGTACCAAAAAATAGGATTATGTAATAATCCTGTTTTAATCCTAAAAATGTGATTAATAGTGATATGAAAGTATTCTACCAAAACACACACAAAAATATGTACTAATGCCATCAGTTTCTGTCATGAGAAAGTATTGGTCTTGAAAAACCGACTAAAACTTGTTTTTAACATTCTGCGTAATTTGCTTCGCTTCAGTGACTTCTAATATTTCAGCCTTCGAAAATGTCCTTCCATTACCGAAAATATACATATTTTTAATTTATTTTTAAAACTTGCAGTATGAATGCATTGAAAGTTATTGTGCAAAGCAAGTTTAGGTAGGCCTTCAATATGACATTATAACTGACACTGCTTTTCTTCTCGTTTTTTAATTACAATTAATTACATCACGTCCTTCCGTTACCAAATTGGTAACGGAAGGACGGTAACGGAAGGACAAATCGTAGTTTTATCAAATGTTACGATATTTGCGCTCATGTTTGAAAAATGAAAATCACTGCAAATACATGCATGTATAATGAGCATTGAAAGGACATTCATGTGACCCATCTTCACAAAAGCGGGATAAGCAGGGCAAGGTGTTTATTACAAAGGAAGGCACAGGCATGTACAACATGTACAATGTACATGTACATATATGCTGATGTACCAGTACTTGTACATGTATGGAGTTGTTGCAGAAAATCAAATCATAAAGTTGCTGCCATCAGCATTAATGGACAATAGAGAAAGATACGAATTCTGTGAAGCCATTACAGAAGCAAATTAAGTCAAAAATGAGATGGCAGAAAGTACCGGTACTTTGGGGCACTTTCATTCAATTTACATGTGTAAGACATGTGAGGTGCAATCTTTGACAAATTATGCCCAAATTAACAATTTCAGTTTGGATGTTTATAAATTAATTGTTACTACTCTAAATCATTGTAATTTGATTTCAAACATTGATTTTAGAGTTCAATTAAAAGCAACACCTAACTGAAGCCATCAGTACTACCGGTAGATGTTTTTACCTTAAATGTACATGTAGGCTGGTCGCCCCCCCCCCCCCCACCCTTTAGGTAAACCACTGAACCTACCGGTATTATTATTAAAAGTTGTTGGTGAACATGTAACCAATATACTCAAGAGTTGAAATACTGTGTATTTAAACTTTTAAGGATTGAGGTGATGGGTTTGAAGTCCATTTCTGTAGTTGTCTTGTGTTCGTGAATTATGTGTTTTGGGTTGTTTTCGTTTTTCTTTTGTTATCATTAATTAGCAGGCTTCTATCTTTATCTCAATAGTTTCTTGGGTATAATTATTTATGCCAGGTCTGCATATTGTTGATTTCACATTCAGTTACACATTTCAGCAATTTGTTTCACTTGTATAATTAGTGTAAATTCACATTTTGTTCATGCTGTAATTGAGGAAACCTTTTGTCCTTCCGTTACCGTCCTTCCGTTACCAAATCATAATCTGCTTAAAACGTTGTAATTATATTACCGAAACACTTAAAGTCAAATGAAAGGCGGTATAGTATAGATAAAGCTTCAGGGATTCCATTTCTTACCTTTAAAATATAATTGCCCCATAAAATTCACAGAGTTTACGCAAAACGCGAGTAAGTTGAAAAACCCTTGTCCGTTTTACCGTCCTTCCGTTACCGACCTCATTAATATTCATAATTCAAAAACGGGAGGCATTCTTTCCCCCTCAAAAGTGTGGAAAATGAAAGTAGCATTATAGCAATACAATTGTGACATTTGTTTGCTGTAACTATGAACAGTGTCTGTGATACACACATTTGAAATTTTGTTTAATGAGTGAAAACGTCCTTCCGTTACCGTGGAATTGCCCATATGTGTATGGTGACAACGCTCTCGTTGTAACTACATGTAAAGAGGGAGTAATCGTGCGTGGAGCCCATGCAGCCTCATTTCATTGAAGCCAGTCACGAATATCAACTCACTCTTGTTAGCGTCAGACTCGTCTTTTGCCCTGCGCGTAGCGGAGGGCGACTCCTCATTCTGCTCCTGTTTGGAGTTGAACCCGACGTACCAGTTGGTGCCTGCTCGGCTGGGTATGAACCTGCAAACGAGATAAGCACAGTCAGCGCAATACAGAGAAAATGCCTAGTTCACTGACTGAGGCCATGTCCGAAACAGGCCTCCAGAATTCTAGCTATGTCTATTGTCAGTATTTTCCCTCGTAATTGCAATGGACAAGGACCAAGCCAATAGCTCTAGACAACAGATTCTTATTACCAGAAAGAAGACTTCTCCAAATTAACTGGTAATGACTATGGCTATGGCCAGCATAAACACGCATGTCAATGGGTAGTGCATTGGGCTGCTTCAAGCTCATGTTTAATTACGAGCCGTAGCCAAGACATTTGCATGCAGTCGTACTCGCCTTCACACAGGCATCTAACAGCACGTTTGACACTACGTTGCTGACGTCTGACTAATTCTGATGATATGAAACAAAGCTGGTTTCATCGTAGCCTCATTAAAGGGAAAATACAACATTTGCAAACATCGAAAAATAAAACTACCAAGTTTTTACGAAATACCTTACTAGGATGTTGGTAAATGACAGTCTGAAGCATTCTGTAAAATTATGGCACCTGATGTGAAGTCATTTTCAAGAAAATGGTATTTTTGTATACATTTCCAACGGTGGTCGGCCGACCACCGTTGGAAAAACCTAACTATTTTTCAACTACTGCTTCATATTTACCATTTGTTTCAGTCCAAATTGTGTTTGCTATTGGTTACATGTTCATGAACGGGTGCAGGCCAGCTAGACTTGTTCCTTATACCTTACAATTTTCCGGCATCTATAAATTGATCCATTTCATTTTTAGTGGAGTCAGGGAACCAGACTACTTGAACATTTTGTTTTTCTTGGTTTTTCAAGCATTTTCGGACACAAAACTTCAAACATATCAGTGTAACAATATTTTGTTCTATTATACTACCCCTCAACTAGTTCATTTCTGAAAATTACAGCGAAAGCCAATGATGTACATTCCCTTTAATAGCTCAAATACTGGACTTCCTCCGTATAGTAAGCCACACAACCATGATACATTATGTGTGTGGAAAGGTCCGTTGCTGGGGTAGCAGATACAAAATCAAGATTGGAATGATTTAGTTACTTGACGATCACCCAGGTGGATACCGCTCTGCTTATAAGCAAAATACGTTGAATTCCGTACCCTCGGAGGTCTAGTTATCCTGAAATTTCAGGCAAAATTCATACAGTTTTCGGGCAGAAAAAAACACGGCGGCGTCCATATTCTTGTAATCTGTTTGAGGGCATGGGTCATGATACACGTGCCTTCCACTGGGCTTGCGTCCACTTTACTGTTATGAAATATGTCTGTGCATGGTAATGTACATAGGTTGGTAGCCTCAGCATACGTTGTTAGTTCTATTAAGGGGAAGGGGGGGGGGGGAAGGGGGGTAAGAGTTCAGCAGGTTCCCACTTGGCCGATATTTGCTTACCGGTCACTGAATCTGTCTTTATTGGGTGAAGCAGCCTGGCCAGGAGACAGGGGCTGTAACAATAAACAGCAAGAAAACAAAATTGGTTTTTGGTTCACATGTTCAAAGATAAGAAATGCTGTATTGTTATTTATTTTCCTTTTTTTTTCTCCAAATGTGAACTTTGCAACCCTAGGCAATGTTCATAACCATTCTGTCATACTTGACTATTACAAAGCGAAAAAGAGAAGCATGTTTCATTTTCTAATTTCTAACAACAGAATCGAATATCCCTGAACAACACACAATACTTAACATTTTGAACTCTAATCCCTTAAACCAACAAAACGTTTTCTTTACCAACAAGTAACTCATGTACTTTTTATGACTATCTTTGACACTTCTTACAGAAAAGTACTAACTTTTGTGATGTAGAAGTTACAACAGCGACATTTTTACCCCCCCCCCCCCCCCTGGCTTTGGGAGCCATGAGTCTTTACATTAGAAAACAAGATGTCCAATAATTTCAACAGTCAACAACTGCGACATGGTACATACATGTACCTACATGGTCAGTAGTCTGGTCCTACTTCTTACCATTAACGTTGGCGATCCGACTGATCCCTCGCCATTTTGTTGTCTTAACAGCCGTTTCTGATATTCCTGATCCATTTTGCTCAGCTTGAAGTGCTCTCAGGTGAATCAACCCAAAACAAACGCCACTTTGCTTCAAATCTTTGTGCTTATAAAGTCCGGTGACGAAAATGAGAGAACGCTGCTTCTAATAATCCTATTTCCATGTAGGAAAAATTATCCCAATGATCTTCTCTTAGATAACTTACGTGCCCTACACCATCTTGTTTTAAAGGTTCACACTACTTGAAACCTTTAAATTAGGATCAAGTTTAGAGCTTAAAATTCCACAAGGCCCGGTTCTGAACTAACGGTGTCTTGATTTTGCTTGATGATGGAGCAGGTTTGGGTAGAGATCCGTCTTCAATACACCTGCTTTGAGCTTGACGATATACTGACTGGAACGCTGTTCTGTGCCCCTCATCAGTCCAGCCAGGAATTCTTTTTTTGTATCTGGATAAAACAACAAAGAAGGTAGAGCTGAGATTCCTGTGACTTCGGTAAGCCAAATAGGCATACATGTAGTTTCACCGTCCACCACCATGCCATTGACAGTACCATTGGAAGCCCAGTACTCCAGTAGTTCATCTTTGACACGTTGAGTAGGTACATGTATCTTTATTAGACCGAGTCACTTGGATCTGGATCTGGAACTTGGACTCAACTGATAGCCATTTTGGAAAAAATTCCATACTCGGCCACCACTCAGAGCTCCTGCACAAAGTCTATGGGCCATGACAGAACATTTTAAAGTATTATCAAAGAATTTTTGCACTCCTTAAAGCTATAGTCCATCATTTGCAGCCATCTGAAAAAGTAACTGGCGTATTATTGTTGAAAAACATACTTGGTTGAAAGATAGTAAGTGGACTAAACTCCCTGTGAAATTAATCTTTCTGGCAAGCTATCATTTTGAAGTAATCAACGAAAGAACGCTTTTCCAACGGTGCGTCTTAAGACGCACTGTAGGAAAATTTAAATTGGTAGTTCGTTTTGTTATTCGGTGCAGCGCGCGCAAGCATTGGCACGACGCACAGGCGCGCGCGGTTGCTATAATTCGTCGGATCAGTGCGCGACATCGTGTATAGCTGCAATTCAAAACAATTCTAAACATGATTCAGCAACTTTTGATTTGAAATTGAGATCCTAGAATGCTGTTTTTCTCGGAATATACAGCTGAAGCTGAGCTGAAACTTCATCAGGTTAGTTGTTGAGTATCCTTCATTAGATTTTGAACACTTTTGTTGCTTCAAACGAACATAAATGCACAAATTACAAATGATGGACTACATCTTTAAACAGTGTTTCTTCATCAGATTTACAACTTTTGGTACTTTTCAGGTCATATATTTTTCAGCATTTGACCATGTCAAAATGTTACAAAAATAAGTTGGGTGAAACACCACAAATACTGATTTGCAAGAGTCATTTCAACAGTATTTGTACGATATTTCTTGCCACAACATCATATTTTTCAACACTCCAGGGTGTGCCCACGGAGAACTTCTAGAAATTTAGAAGGCACCTCTTGTTAGGTGACTTCTAATTCTGGCGATCGTGAAGTGTAGAGCCCCTGTTTTCTTTTGATCAAATTAGAGTCAAAAATGTTTTTTATTGCTCAAAAATCACCTTTACAATCAAAAGCAGACTTTTCTCAAATGACACCCGTTTTGCAATTTTGAACAGATTCTTGGGGTACGATTTTCCTGCGCGGTTTGTGCCTTGCGATTCAGCGCGCTGTGCGTGCTCTCGGTACTCCTAGAACTATGCTCCGCGTGCACAGAGCTCTGCGGAGCATCATACTGTAGTTCTAGGAGTATGCTCATGGTACATTGCGCGGTGATCACCATCTTTATTTTTCGGGTCGCGTGTTGTCGCTGCGCTGTCATCGTCATTTTACCCCCAAATTTCCCTCAAAAAATCAGAACCCTGCCCTCTATCTATGACATACCTGCATAGGAGTATGCTCCTGCGCGGTTTGTGCCTTGCGATTCAGCGCGCTGTGCGTGCTCTCGGTACTCCTAGAACTATGCTCCGCGTGCACAGAGCTCTGCGGAGCATCATACTGTAGTTCTAGGAGTATGCTCATGGTACATTGCGCGGTGATCACCATCTTTATTTTTCGGGTTGCGTGTTGTCGCCGCGCTGTCATCGTCATTTTACCCCCAAATTTCCCTCAAAAAATCAAAACCCTGCCCTCTATCTATGACATACCTGTTTATTGAGAATGTCACCAACTAGTTTGGTAGGTCCAATAATTTTAAAGTGGATTTTGTTCACTTATAGGCTAGCCCTGGTGGACTCCCTTTCCTCCCTACGTTAGTCGTATTGCAATGAAGACTTCGTCCAACCTGGGCTACCTTATAGGCCTACTATTACTAAGGAACCGGGCCCTACACTACATAGCCCCATAAATGTGGCCTATTTACTGGACTGCCTCCGTAAACATAGGCCACACATCCACATGTACAAAAATCGTGTCGACGGAGCCAAATTTTGATTTTCACATTTAGGCTTAGTTTGTAGGGTTTTTTTGCTTTAGAAGCATACTCACCCTCTTTACAGGCTAATCAGAAAGTGCTGCCTTTTTCAGATGTCTAATTTTTGTGAAATTTCATGTTGAAATTTTGATACGCAAACGTGTAAAAATGAATCTGGAAATTTCACGAAAAATATACATCTGAAAAAGGCAGCACTTTCTGATTAGCCTATAAAGAGGGTGAGTATGCTTCTAAAGCAAAAAAAACCTACAAACTAAGCCTAAATGTGAAAATCAAAATTTGGCTCCGTCGACACGATTTTTGTACATGTGGATGTGTGGCCTATGTTTACGGAGGCAGTCCAGTAAATAGGCCACATTTATGGGGCTATACACTACACGATCACCCTAATTGTAATTCTATGATGAAAACACACAGTTGAGAATTTATTTCATTATTTATCAATACGAAGTGGCTATCGTTACGGCACTCGTTGTTTAGCGCCCTCTACGATACTTTTTTGATACGCCCGCAGGTATATATTATAATTATTTGTTTCCCCACGTTTTAGCGAGCAGTGCGACAGCTCGGTCGATAGAGGGTAGGATTTTGCACCGGGAGGTTGTGGGTTCGCATCTCAGTTTTGCACTCGAATTCTTTTCCTTTTCTAACCTGAGGCTTTGGTAGTCCGAGTAACTTGGACCCAACTTATAGCCTTTTTTAACATTTGGACATGGTCTGGCTTACTATCGCCAGACCATGTCCAAATGTTAAAAAAGGCGATAAGTTGGGTCCAAGTTACTCGGACTAAGGCTTTGGAGGATTTTTTTTTAAAGGGAAATAGGCCTATAGTCCAAATTTCATTAGTCCGAGTAACTTGGACCTAACTTATCGCCTTTTTTAACATTTGGACATGGTCTGGCGACTACCTTTTTTAACATCTGGACATGGTCTGGCGACTATCGCCAGACCATGTCCAAATGTTAAAAAAGGCGATAAGTTAGGTCCAAGTTACTCGGACTAGAATTTCATAACGTTCAAATTCACTTTTTTCCTTCTAATTTTATATTTTCTTCTCATATTTTATAAAAGTTGCAGTCTACCGTAACGATAGAAAATGGGAAATGCGTTACGGCTGCCGTAACAATAGTAATAGCCACTGGCACTGCGTTCATTATCATGTTCTCAATTCCTTCCAGCAATTTTTCAAAAGTTTTAAAGAATAAAAGGCTTTACTTACAATCACAAAAAAATGCTTCACAATCTTTACATTTTCAAAGAATAAAATGAGTTCTGTGCTGTGTAGAGAAAAACGAACCTTCTTGCTTTCTTTTTCAAAACACAATTCGAATGCACAAATTTAATCGTTTCTTGTAGTCTGGTTCCGCGTCCATTATGTTATGCAAATGTCATTAAGATGATTCGATCACACGACCAGTGTCTAAATGCACCAAGCCTCCCACAGAGGGCGCTCTTTAAATTACTCAGTTGTTAAAAATCAATCATCGCCGTGGCATTCAATGTAAGTTCATGTGATGACTTTTACTTCGCAAAAAAATCAATTTGTACATCTCATAGCAAAACATTCCTCCATATTTCTTGGCAAAATATTTTTTACCACAATATATATATAATATTCTTTTGTTCAGAATAGCTGATGACTCCAAACTCGAAAATGATGTTTAAAAGATGATCTTTAAGTTGTTCAAACAATACAGTGGTTTTACTATCGTGGTCAGAAATTGCTTTTCTATAACTACATACGGTCTTCTCAACTAAATCCCCATTTACATTTAACTCCCCACATGTTCAACTCTAACACAAATACGCCCTACCCGATCTATGATTGGGTAAATCAGCTTATATATATATATACAACTTACAATAATTAGTCATGTAGTTTTATAATTTCGTTCATGAGATCATTCTAATTATTTATCATTTTGACATCCATCAACAACCGATATCTTCAACATTTGACATTGATTTCATTTTCCTTTGATCACTCAAACACATACTAGGCCTACTCAATTAAAAAAAACGGCCCCACATTGGCTTACAGGCATCCTCGAAATCTACGGGACTTGATTGTTCGAGCTGAAGTCCCATCCTTAGATGCATCCCCTCCCACCCAGCATGGTACTTTCAAGTGCAGTTCCAGATGTGTTGTCTGCCAGATTCATATCCAGGAGTCTGACTCCTTCTCTGGCCACTCTTCTGTCACTACCCACAGAACCATTGGTAACATCACTTGTAACACCTCTAATGTCATATATCTCATTTCTTGCAGGGTCTGTGGAGTGCAGTATGTAGGTGAGACTAAGAATACGCTCAAGAAGCGTTTCTATGCCCACCGGTCAACGGTCAACACCAAGAAACTAGACACCCCTGTTGGTCATCACTTCAACCTGCCTAACCACTCCATTTCTGATATGATTTTGCAGGGCATTGAATCTCTTGGCCATCGCAAGGACTCAGTTCGCCTCAGCAGAGAGAAAGTGTGGATGAATCGTCTTCGAACTATTCAACCACATGGTCTCAACATCCAACTTGGAAATGATTAATCCCTTTTTTTCCCCTTTTTTTTTTTTTTTTTTTTTTTCCTCCATTGTCTTCTGTTACAGATAATCCATCTGGTCTTCCTTGTTTGTGTTTTCCCATCTTCCCCCACCTTTCATCCCTTTCCACCTCCATACTGTCCCCCCCCCCCCATTATCCCTTCACTCTCACACTCTTTTGTCCGTTCCCACTCCCTGTGACCTTTGATCCTTCCCCTTTCTGGTCCCTCCCCTGTTCACACCAGACCCCTTGTGGTTTGCCATCTCCCTTTGTTTCTTTGTTCTCTCATCCACCCTCCCCTGCATCTTTCTACACCTTTCCCACTTAATCCTCCTTTTGTGTTTCTTCTTTCAGCCCTGCATGTTTGTGTGCACCCCCATGTTAATGTATGTACCTCTGTCATTTCTGTTTTAGCCTCTGAAGAAGAACTTGCTAAGTTCGCAACGTCAGGCCACATTAATTTTAAGAAGAAAAAAAAACAAGTTTAAACATGGATATCCAGTCATGAAACTCAATCTGATTTTTTTATGACATTATTTTGTCTCTTCCGGGTCTGTTAATGTTACGGCTGATGTAGCTAAAACTGTTATTCACTCCAGCTTCGGTTCTGAAATTCTTCCCTCTGTCACTTTTTGTCAGTATTTATGGTGATTCCGGGAAAATTCCCCCCCCCAAAAAAAATGAAGCTAATTTATTATTTTTTTAAGTGACGTCGCAATAAAGGTAGACACTGCGGGGTCCGCTCATAAGTCCGACGCCTCATAGGTCCGACGCCTCATTATATAGTCCGACAAATTAAACGCTTCGTTTTTCCGTTGTCGGACTTATGAGGCGTCGGACCTATGAGGCGTCGGACTTCTGATACGGCCCCGACACTGCACACACCACTATCTCTCCTCAAAATAATTTGGTTAAAGTGGTCACATTGCCTCAGATCGCACCACTGCCTCTAGAATCAAGCAATTTTTCACAAGAAAGTTCAGTGTTCTTTCAGCAAAACAAAAAAAAATCACATAGGGATGTCTGTGAATTGTTTTCGTTTTGCTGAAAGAACGCACACCTTTTTTGTGATCCGTCACGGTGGACAGAACTTTAAAACAGTGGTTGTGTTTAAAATTCCGTAACTTAAAAAGTACATGAGTGATTTGAATGATTCTTGTACTAAAAGAAAGCTTTTAAATTGGGCTTTCATGTCCTAGATTTTAAAAGATTATGAGCGACACGTATGATTACAACAAGTGGTTTTGTTGATGCATTGCTGACCATACCCGTCTTTCATCCCTATTTTTAGATGATGACGTGTTGTTATGACGCGGTGTACGCGAGTACGTGTACAGAATGCACGCTTACATGCATGCGAAGCTAAGAATAGAAGAAAGACGGTTGTATAAAAGCTGGGATTCCCGATATACGTGCTAGTCAAACGATTGGTCATTTGTTCCTCGATCACAATTTACCCAACAGCTTTTTCACAAAAAGATCGACGGACAGAAGTCATGTGGACAACAGTTAATTTTGCTCAAACTTGTTTGACATGTCAACTTCAACATTTTATCAATATCTTCAACATTTTATATTGATTTCAGTTAAAAAAAATAATATCTAGTTTATACATGGATATGCAGTCATGAAACTCAATCTGATTTTTTTATGACATTATTTTGTCTCTGGCGGGTCTGTTTATGTTACGGCTGATGTAGCTACAACTGTTATTCACTCCAGCTTCGGCTCTGTAATTCTTCCCTCGGTCACTTTTTGTTGTTCCGTCGGTCAGTATTGATCGTGAATCCGGGGAAATGGGAGGATCCGGGGGGGGGGGGACGGCGGCCAGGCCCCCTCTCCAAAAAACCAACAACACCCAATTGGTTTTTTTTAAGTGACGTCGCAATAAAAGTAGACACTGTGCACACCACCATCTTTCCATCAAAATAATTTGGTTAATGTAGTCAGAAATTGCCTGAGATCGCACCACAGACTCGAATCGAAAATTTTCCCGGGCGCTCGGGCCCGATCCCCTCGCCGTATTTTTTTGGACCCACTTTATTTTCTTTTGCCCCGCCCCCCCCCCCCCTCTTGACCCGCCCTTGTGGGAAATGGGTCATTAATTCTCATACGGAGGAGGTGCAATGGGCAAATGACACTCCCAATCCCCAGATACGTCCTGAAAGTCTTCCAGATGCCATGTTCCAGTCGCCTTCAGCACCGAATTGACGAGGTATCCAGTCCCCCTATACAACACCCCGTGTCTGCTGTACCGCTTCACGAAGCCTATCTCCCAAAGACCGCAGGACCACCGCAGCTCGCCGTTGTGTAGCACGAATTCGCCCGCGGAGTCTTTGCCGTGCCCGGTGATTCCATCACCCGGTGTCATGGAGACATGAAGGTCCATATTGTACCTCCTCTGCCCCACTGGCATCCGTGGGTCTTCGAACCACGCATAATAATCCTGCTTGCCTGCTTGAACGGGTGCCATGACGGTCAGTGGAGTATCCTAACGCTACAAAATCAAAAAACACCGGGAAATAAATCACGGTACGGGCACATTTTGAGCCTGGCTTACGATGGAGGAATTTAAAAAGTATCATAAATTTCGATCATATCTCCCCTAGTCATGGCCATTACATGTTTAATAATAAATTAAGCGTATATTTTAAACCATATACTACATTATAGACCCACCTTCCTTGGATGCAACCTTTCGTCACACTTTGTAAAAGATGACGTTTTTACCGACTTGTTGTCATAATCATCGCGAGAATGTCTGCCTCAATATTGCGGAAGATCGGACTCACATATGCATGTACTATAGCTTCACAGCATGCATTGCATTGTATGGTGTTTTCAAACGGATACGGACATGTAGAAATTATTGTCACCCCTATGCCGCCTCCCTAGCCGGTGTCATATGAAAATCAGACTCCTATTTGGACCTTTTTTACCCCATTATTCGTTAAACCCTGTCACGTGACCAGTCTTCTCCCTAGGCTAGGCACGCGCATAATTACCAGCACTGTACGTAGTCCGTATTTTTATGAAGTCATAAATTCACGCTACACCTGCCCTGTAAACCGTAGCACTGTGTGCATAATGCTTTGACATTGACCGTCAACGTAAGTATGGCGAGTGAATGAAACATGCTGTTGTACATGTTTGCTTTTAAAGTTCAGATAATTATAAATCCGTTCGTGATTTGCGAGAAAAAAATGCGCAAACGAATGAAATGAAACTGCGCCGAATTTACAAACCAAACTACTTATCGACTAGTTGGCAATGAAACTCGAGGGCCCAGTGCTACGTACGGTGCTCAACTTCAGAGCATTGGAAAAACGGCCATTGCCTCAGTATGGCTTAATTAGCACTGAGCCTCGATCGGTTTCAATGCTAATTTGAAATCCAGTAGCGGATCCACTGGGCGGGAGGGGATTTGGAGCCGGGGTCGCAAGCCCCCCCCCCCAGCTGTTGGTGACTCATGTTATGATACTAGTAAAATGGGGCCTAAATAGTAAATGTAAAGCTAAAGTTTTATTTTTTTTCTGAAATTACCTTAGAATCCTGGAGCTTATCGTAGTTCAACATTTTCCTGGGAAAAGACTCTGTGCACCCCTAATCTGACTTCGGCACGCCTTGACTTTTCACTCCCGGATTACATAACAAAATACTTCGATCAGTGTTGTGTGTCAACTTGAGATTATGGGCGCCACCTAATTCAAACAATTTTGTTTTGTTGATGCATTGCCGGCCATACCCGTCTTTCATCCCTATTTTTAGATGATGACGTGTTGTTATGTTGACACGGTGTACGTGTGCACGGGTACGTGTACACAATGGCATGTACGTTTGTCATGCATGCGGAAGCTCATAAGAAATACACATACAAGAGGAAAGACAGTTCTATAAAAGCTGGAATTCCCGATACGTGCTACACCTTTTCGTTTGGTCATTTTGTTCCTCGCAATTTATCCAACAGTTGTGCGTATTTTTTTTACAAGAAGATCGACAGAAGTGGATAGTAATTTTAATTACTCAACCTTGTTGTTTTACATGTGACACTGACAGCACACATAATATTGTCTAGCGTCCGATATAATTGTGAGCCACGGTCGACTTGACGTAAAGGCTGAGGAGAAACATCCAGCAAGCATGGCAAGCGACATGGAAACTGTCGATTTAACACGGTAAGCCTTTCTGATTCGTTGAACCATCGTTGTAATTAGTGTCCAAAATTAAATTTATTTAATAAAATAATACAAGACACAAGTACAATTAAGGCTTCCATTTTCAAAGCTGCGGATGGCGACAAAAAAAATTACAACACGTCCGCAGTTTCTTAAAGCGATCGAGTAATACTTGAATATAATTATGTTAATGATGATGGTGATTAATAATTTGAACAGTTCATTGATGATTGCTCTATACGCTTTTTAATGTACAGTTAAATGTTCACTATAGTTTGGGATCTTTTTTTTTTTTAACTTTGAGAAAACCGGCTGTCGTTTCAGAGCACTGCGTACAGTGTGAGCAGCGTCCTTCTTTTTTTTTTTTAAGATAGCTAGGCCTATAGTATTTTAGTTCAGATCGTTAGTCTTCATCAACTGTTTCTGTTCTTGATTATTGAAACGATGATCTGTTAAACAAAATGTTACGTGCAGTAGTATTGTGCATCGGGTTAGACTAAATAGGCCGACCAGGGCCGACCCGACAAACATTCAAGCAAAAAAAAAAAAAAAACGACCCAAACCCGAACGCGATTTCGGGTCGGTTTCGGTTTGGGGTCGCGAGTTTGCGCAACATTAACCTGCACTAGTAAAAAGAAGGAACATGGAATTTTCTGAAGACAATTTCTGAATATTATATTATACTGAGATCTAGATTTCAGACGATCTGTAAAGAGCACAGTATAGTCGAGTACTATTTAATATCATTATGCATTCCCCTAAACCTGAAAGTTGTTTTAATAATGACCTTCAGACGTAACAGCGACACGACACACCTTCATGATTTACATTATTGCTGATGGGACATCCCCGCCCATTACCCCATCAATATAAAACACACGTGTGGACGGTGAGGTCATCACGTCTCGTAACACGGCTCAGAGGATGTCTACGTTGAATTTTACTTGAAAGGACATAACTCACATCCGACATTGGTCAATATCTATTATTTTTTTGGCCTACATGAAATACATTGTATAGTATCTGTGTTGCGGGAAGAGCCCACGCCAATTGCTGACGTGTAGGGTACGGTGGTCATCTCGATATAGCTTTCAAAAACCACTTTGAAAATATCCAATCAGTTTGGACATTATACTTCATGAGTTTCTGAACAAACGAGCACATTTTTGGCGAGCAACAATATTTAATTACAATTATTTTTTTCGGTGTGGTGGTGGGGGGGGGGGGGGGGGGAGGGGGGGGGGGGGGGGCTAGACAGACGATATATCCGACTGGCGCGATTAAGCAAACAGCGGGCGCAATAAATTCCCGATTGATGAGGGTTCACAACATTTATACGCGAGCTCATTTGCATCAAATGTGCCCCCACAACTTTTTTGGAAAAAAGAGACCGTCTGGTTTAAAAAGCCGGGAATTGTGAAAATATAGCCGGGGATCTACTCCCTGGTTTTGGGCTATTATCTGAGGGCAGACTTGATAATTACGGTCAAAAAAGGGGTCATATTTTGCCCGAGACAATGTAGGGATGCCATTATCAATTTGGTTGCACGCATGCGGCTTGGCCAATATTTCCTTGCTCGATACCGTAGTTTGCCAGAGTGAAAAAGGTAAATAAGGGAACTCAAGGAAATATAAAAAGAAAAAAACAGAAAGAGAACGTACAATCACTAACAATGAGTGAAAAACGAAGTTTATTTCATTTTCCATTGCGATAACATCCAACTTCTTTTCACTCTGAATTGTTTCTAGTTTGCTTCATATAATTTCGCTTTGCTTAGGCCCCCTATACTCATATTTTTCTTCTTCATTGCGCAGAACTTTGAAGGTGCTATCGAAGAATTCAAAGCGGCCACGACCCGTAAAGACAAACATTATACCCCCGGGAGCAAAAGAAGGAGAGAAGACTGCGTTCTTTCTTGACAATGTCTTCACGAAAGAGGTGAACATCAATCACAGTCTTACATAATCCGTCTTCGTTATAATTTTTAGCCCTTTTGATATCATTACATGTATAAAGCGTTTAGTCAAGGGAATGTTCAAACAGTTATGTGTAAATGTCGAAATGAATCAACAAAGTAAATTATCTCCATGTAGTAAAGTTCGCTTCGGCGTTCAGCAAAAATAATCGGCCCTGTAATAATGTCCAGCCTATACCCACGAACTTGAAAGTTGTCTCATCTTACGTTCTAACTTAATTTTCATTATTTGCCATCTTAAAGGAATGTAAGGAACTCATTCGACGTTCTGAGGAGAAGGGGTATGAGCAAGCCTTGGTCAACATTGGTGGTGGGAGGTAATTTGCAATGTTTCGCAATATAGTTTCACACTACTCTAAAAATACTCTTCAAGTTGCAAAAAAAACACCTGTGTTTCCAACATATTTTTCCAAAATACATTAAATGGTTGCCAGTTGACCTTTTGGAATTACTTTATTAGGCGGATGTTTACATTTGGACTAACTTGTGCCAAGGCATTGAGTGTTTTGAAAGTTTCGCATAGTAGTTTTATCTGTTATGTTAAGAAAGGATCCCATTGTTTTTCTTCAAAGTTGCGTTTTATATGATCGATTCCATCCCTTTCTCTTTGAGTATTTTGGCACCCGTTAACGCGATCCAATGATCTGATCTCACAAGACACAGTAATGCTAAATTATAGTCTTATAAACAGCCGCTATATTTGTTGTAATTATTTAGACAGAAGCTGATGCTCTCGGCTCGCAACAACCAGCGCTGTTTGATCGACTCAACTGAGCTGGTCGACGCCTTCTGGGAGAGACTAGCCGAGTTCATTCCGCAGCCGTTTTACGGATACAAAGCCCTAGGACTGAACGAAAGGTGAGCATCATGTGTGTTTTCATGGGAACAACTGGTTATAATCTCGAAATATTCCACGTCTTTCAATTTGGTGATTTTTCATCTGTTTCTTTCCTTTTTAGACTGCGATTTCTGCGATACGATCCGGGTGAATACTTCAAGCCGCACTTCGATGGAAGCTATGAGCGCAAAAATGGAGAACACTCCATGGTCACTGTGCAGATTTATCTGAACGAGGTATTGCTTTGTTTTGGGCTGTTTGTTCGTTTATCGGTGGAGATTTAAATTTTACCTACTAGATAGCAGCTTAACATATCATCACGTAGTCTGTTAGTTATAACGTTGATATTGTCTATTGCGTGCTCCTACATAATGTTGACCGATTTCAACCAAATTTGTCAAAAGTATCAGTAGCCCGGCCCCAACATGTCACATGACTAAAATGGGGTCTAAGGTCATCATGGGGTCACTGCAGTCAAAAACCCGATTTTGTTTTTAAAAATAAAAACAATACCTTTCCAGAAAGTGTGTAGTTACATCACTGAAAATGCTTGATGAATTACGTTTGGTGGAAAAATTGTCCAAATTGTCAGTTGTCACAAGTATGGAAATGTTTCCAAAGTGGCCGCCAGTAAAAATTCCTGAAGTGCACCGGATAATAATGGCTCCCAGCTTCTTTGCGCCTTGAAGTACCACACGGTTGAGAGGCCAATTGACAAAAACAATGAATTGCATTTTATCAGAAAAAAAGTCTGGCAAAGATCCGGTATAACACCATTAGGATCAATCTCCGATTAGAAGGATTTGTAACGTTGAGTTGAAATGGCGGGCTCGAGTCGAGGTTTCGATGCAAGACTCGAGTCTCAAAATTCAGTGACCTGTTAAAACACTGCAACAGCTCTCTCAATCGAATTACCTTAATCAAGTCAATTAACGTTTCGTCAATTTTCCATATCTGAAGAATCACTTTAACAGTGCTTAAGATAATGAATTTGTATTTTTTTTGCCTTCAGGGATTTAAAGGAGGAAGCACAACATTTCTGCCTTATTTCAACAGTGATGATGACCCGCCAGTGGAATGTGTTCCTAAAATTGGTGAGATTAGCTTATAGCACATTTCTTTTTTTCTTTTTTTTTGAACATTGAATTTCTTTCTGGCGATGAAAACATTATTTTTTTTATCAATAACATTAACACACCAAGATTAAAATGTTAAATGATTTGATTCGTAAGTTGGCTTGATATTATAACAATTAGTTTCTCCCCTACAGTGGACAAACTTGACGAATTTTTCTACTCCGTGTATTTTTAATTTTTGTTTGGTTGCTGTTTATGATTTTCTAAGTTAGAAAGATGAGGTTTTGTGTCAAGTTAAATTGTGCTAAGGTGCATTTCACTCAGATGCTTCAGTAGCATAGGTTTCACGAAACATTGTATTTTCACTGTCTTTTTTTAAAGTTTCAAATTTTTGATCACCAATTGTCATAATTTTTGCAAACTTTTTTCTTCATTTTTCCTAATCAGGACGGGTTCTGATCTTCGAACATCGGTTGTATCACGAAGGTTCCATGCTGAAAGATGGCCGAAAGTACGCCATAAGGACGGACGTCATGTATAGCAGTGAGAAACAGGATGACGTCGAACACGAAGATCCATATTGCTAAATTGGATCCATTATGCAACATCAGAAGTATAATGAATTAATAAATAGATAATTGTGTAAATAATAAAACAATACACATAGTAGGGCCTACATGTTTATTTGTGTATTAGTTTTTATAAATAATGTAATGAATTATATTAATCTATTTTTTATATATTTTATATTTTGGCCGCTTTGCTTCCTCAGTTTAGAGTTGCTTTGTTTGATGTATGATTATTAAGTTACATTTCGTAATATTTTACAGCTGTCAATTCCAGTGTATCTTTTTCTTTGATTCATTTCGATTTCCATTTTCTGGAAAACTTGTTCTTTTGAAAATTTAGTCGTTCATATTTATTACGGTTAGAGTTCGTGGTTTTGGGGGCCCAAACATGATGCGACAAACTAAAAGTTGAAAGTCGACCCAATGGTACTAATTTGTATCACGCAGCTGCCTAACTAGAGTTAAGCTGCTAAGGGGAACCTGGGGATGCACCAAATTTTAGGGGGGGGGGGCACTGAGGGCAACGTATATTGTTTGTGTGCAATGCAGGAATTTAAATGGGGGGGGGGGGGGACCCGGGGGTACCTTCCCCCACGTCACTTGACCCATGTAACTATGGGGCTGACTTTTATGACATTAATGCTCTGTGTACATATTTCATAGAAGCAAACTTCTTGAGAATCTAATCAAGGCTTCAGGCAAAAACAATTGCGATTTGCATGCGGGTTTATTCTGTCATGCAGGTTTATGTAAATGTTGGACGCCATAGCAACCATTGTTTACTGTTGCGTGTGATCGTTATGATTACAAACAACATGCTTCCCAATCTTCATTTCAAGACACACAACTGAGGAGTAAATTAGCTGGTTTATATGCACTGTTTTTATTTTCGAATTAAATACCGTTAAATTTCGAATAAACGTTTCTTGTAGTCTGGTTCCGCGTTCATTATGTATTGCAAATACCGTTAGGCCTGCAGTGTGACTCGGTGACAAGACCAGTATTGAAACTAGACTGATTCCCTGTCCCTCCATTGTCCTCCGGAATTCGAATGTATAGGGGTCCACTGTACTAATTCAAGCCCCATTGAAAACAGTGTAAAATCAACAAAGTTCAGGGCCAAGTAACATGCAAGCCAACATCACTGGGGTTTCTGAAACAAAAATTAAATTATTGTCTTGTCTTTCATCTTTTCATTTCTTTTCAATTTTACGTACATTAGCCAATTACATTTTTAAATATTCACACCCAAATAAAATCACCTCCCGAAAAGTGATAGTTCCCAAGCCTGAATGTAGCCATTTGAAGAGTGGCACCCTTCCACTTTCACAGGCAAATAGGACCCATTTTTTCATCCGTGATTTTATCAAGCCTGCCCTCAGATGGAAGCCCCAAAACCAAGGAGTTGATCCTTGGGTATATTTAAACAATTCCACCGTTTAGCCATTTGAAGAGTGGCACCCTTCCACTTTCACAGGCAAATAGGACCCTTTTTTTCATCCGTGATTTTATCAAGCCTGCCCTCAGATGGAAGCCCCAAAACCAAGGAGTTGATCCTTGGGTATATTTAAACAATTCCACCGTTTTTAAAGCCAAACGGTCTCCGTTTTCAAAAGAAATTGAATTAGTTCAGTGCACCCATAGGGACGGGTCGCTAGTAATAAATCCCGAATACATGATCCTCCTATCTATACTACAATCACTCTATACTACAATCACGAAAATGATTGGGGGGCGCTGCCATTTTCCCGACCGGTCTCCCGTCCCCATCGCGCCCGTTGGCTGCGGGGATGCGGAACGGGGCCCGGCTATTTCCACCCCATTTCCCATAATTCCCTTCCCCATTGAGCCGGCCGCGCCGGCCATCTTGCGTACGGGCCGGATTATTGACGTGCCACGTCGTACCCGTATACGTTCGTTATGAGCATGGGCTGGATAATTGACGTGCCACGTATTGAGCATGCAGCGCACGTTCGTTATGACACGTATGAGCATGCAGCGTACGCGTACGGGCCGGATAATTGACGTGCCATGTATACGTTCGTTATGAGCATGCAGCCCATGATTTGCCCCACATCTCTTCAGCACAGCGTTGTTGATCTGTTCCTTGCTCCAGTTTTCTCTTTGAACGGTAAGTCTCATTTATGATATGTATTCTTTCGAACTGTGAAAAGTGGTATTCTTTCGAACGCCACTGGCAATGAGAATTAAGCATTGTTGTTTGTGAAAAGTGCCAGTTTGTGACTCCAATGATTGCGTAGGGGTCCTACTAAAGCGCGTCAACAAGCGTCAACAAGCGTCAACAAGTTTTAGTAGTCGTTAAGTGCGCGTCAACAAATTTTGTATAGGCCTTTGAACAATAAAAACAGCTTTATATGGTAGAAAAAGCAATAATGAACATCTTCTGCATATCAATTAAAGTTAAAATTACTTAAAAAGTGGTTTTCCAGCGCGAAATCTACGACGGGTTTTTCGGTTTAGTATTGGCCGCCATCTTGTTTGAGATCTACATACTACGCATGCGTGGAGTGTACCATTCACGCATAGGGGTTTCTATATACGTTACGAAATTAAGAAAACTATTTTTTTTTCAATTATAAATTATGCAAAACTTGGTCACGGTACTTAGCTAATTATGTGAAAAATATGCCGACTGACACTGTTCACAATGTCTGCCAAAAAATCCCAATGCAAAAACCAAACGAGGTTTCGCAAAGCTTGTTGACGCTTGTTGACGCTTGTTGACGCTTGTTGACGCTTGTTGACGCGCTTTAGCAGGACCGATTGCGTAGTCTGGTGGTCATTATTTACTGGACCATGACTGGACTGGACCATGACTGGACCATGACTGGACCAAGCTCAGTCTATTAATGCAGATACTAACAACTATCACTCAGCAAGCTGGACTCTGTTACTGTTAATAACAGACACACAATACACAACAATTTCATTCTGTCTTTTGCACCTCGGTTGAGAATACCATGGACATATTTTACAATTACAATCAAGTGTCTATAAATGATTTCATTTTGTTCTTTTTCTTTCATATTCAACATGTTCAATACATTTAATTTTTTTTTTAAATTTTGTTCTTTTTGTTTCATATTCAATATATTTCATTTTTTTGTTAATTTTAAGGCAACCTTAAAACAGTGTTGTTTATTTTCTCTTTGCAGAATTAATTGTCACATTTTAGTCCATATCTCTTTTTGTTTACTCTCTATATATTAGATCATTAATTGTCTCTGTGCTAAGTTCATCACCAAACCTAGCTTTGCTTCTACCAGTGACAGGTACGTATACTCATGAAATCTCGGTTTTTTAATTAAAAGGTCTGCATATTCAATACATTTCATTTTTTGGTTAATTTTAACAGACACACAATACACAACAATTTCATTCTAGGTTCAGCAGATATTCACATCAGTGTCTTTTGCACCTCGGTTGAGAATACCATGGACATCTTTTACAATCAAGTGTCTATAAATGATTTCATTTTGTTCTTTTTGTGTCATATTCAATACATTTCTTTCTTTTTTCAATTTTGTTCTTTTGGTTTCATATTCAATACATTTCATTTTTTTGCTAATTTTAAGGCAACCTTAATTTTCTCTTTGCAGAATTAATTGTAACATTTTAGTCCATATCTCTTTTTGTTTACTCTCTATATATTAGATCATCAATTGTCTCTGTGCTCAGTTCATCACTAAACCTAGCTTTGCTTCTACCAGTGACAGGTATGTATACTCATGAAATCTCGGTTCTTCAATTAAAAGGTCTGCATATTCAATACATTTCATTTTTTAATTAATTTTAAGGCAACCTTAATACAGTGTTGTCTATTTTCTCTTTGCAGAATTAATTGTAACATTTTAGTCCATATCTCTTTTTGTTTACTCTCTATATATTAGATCATCAATTGTCTCTGTGCTCAGTTCATCACCAAACCTAGCTTTGCTTCTACCAGTGACAGGTACGTATACTCATGAAATCTCGGTTCTTCAATTAAAAGGTCTGCATATTCAATACATTTCATTTTTTGGTTAATTTTAAGGCAACCTTAAAACAGTGTTGTCTATTCTCTCTTTGCAGAATTAATTGTAACATTTAGGTCCATATCTCTTTTTGTTTACTCTCTATATATTAGATCATCAATTGTCTCTGTGCTCAGTTCATTACCAAACCTAGCTTTGCTACTACCAGTGACAGGTACGTATACTCATTCCACAAGGAAGTCTGTATTCATTGCAAAGTGTTCAAAATGTCCCATCTCATTATCACGTTCAAACTTTGTTGAAATTGTTCTTCCTTTATGTATTACCTTCTTTTACCACCAACAACTGTTAATCTGTCAACACACATTACAATGTTGAGAAATTCCACATTTCACATGTCAAGGGGAAATTACTGCATGACATTGTCATATTGTTCACAATGACATCTTTAAATGTTCTCAATTTTGTGTTGTTTTGTTGTGTTCATTTGACGTCCTTTGTTGTTATGTTGTCTGGATTTTCTTGCGCACATTTATCAATTGTCACAAATAATTGTTGATAATTACTGCCAACCTTTTCTTCTTTTTATGTTCCTTTTACAGAACCACCAAGAAGCATTTCTATCTTTACATCTACAACAGTTGTTAATATGCACACATCATTAACATGCTTTTACATCATATTGTACATCTCTTACTTCTGGCATGTATTTGCACACATTTTGACTCTATAGTACCATATCGCCCTGTGCAAATGACAGTGCATTTTGTACAATCAAAGTACACCAAATCCTGTCATTCCTGTGTCACACTGAATTGGAATGCACAAGACCTTTCCTACATCTTTTGTTTCTTCACTTGCCTGCAGTCATTTGCCCTTCTTGATCCGATTCCTTTTCCCACACACAATGGCTGAGTTGGATTCCAGTCCATCAAGGAAAAAACAAAGACTTCTTCATTCCTCCTTTGAAGTCAACCAGATGGCGATTGCTCTTGATCACACCTACCACATTTCATGCGCTATTCCCTCTGTGTCTAGCAAACATATCTCTCCCAGTGTGATTGCTTTAGATCACACTTATAGTCATTCATGTGCTATTTCATTTGTGTCAAACAAACAGATCTCAACACAAAGCTCTACAGCAGTACAGGACCAAAGCATCATTCCCAGTGTGATTGCTGTAGATCACGCTTACAGTAGTTTAAGTACCATTTCACCAACTACGCAGGTATCAAGACTACCTTCACATTCGTCTATTGGCTTTGCTTTGTCTGATATTGATTCTTTTCAAGAGCAGACTATTCCTTGCAATCCAAATCAACCATCTGTATTGGCATGGCCACATAATTCTGGCCAAATGTCTCACGAATGCCCACATTGTCATGCACTTCTATATTCCAAGGAGCGTTCATCCACCAACAAGTTCAATCTCTGTTGCAGAAACGGTAAAGTGAAATTGACTCCAACACCAACACCTCCTGAACCACTCCAAACGTTCTTAACTTCTTCAGAACCATCACTCCTTGCTTTTCGCAAACAAATACGCACATACAATAATGCCTTAGCCATGACATCGTTAGGTTGCAATGAACAAACCATTCCAGGACAGTGGATGCCTCCCCTCACAATTCCACCATTTACAGCACAATCCTTAACAATTCCAACTCACCTACTTACATACAAACTTTCTTAGAACATTCTCCAATGTCAATCTAATCAGATTGCCAAAGTTAGCACACAAATACAGACATCTGTGGACTTCGCACTACGCCACATGGATAGTCCGAAACCCCTGCTTCGACTGCAAGCACGCCAACACATCACCGCACTGGGCGAAGAAGTTCCATCTGCACTCAACAAACTTTCAGCTTCACTCCGCCAATCACCAGGTAAACCTCTCCACCTTTCAATTTCCTTTCTTTACCTCACAACTCTCTCACACACATCCTCATTCAATTTCCCCTTACTAAGCATTCAAACAAAACACAAACTCCACACCATTCACTCATTAAATACTACCTACACATTATCTACACAACTATTCTATGCAAGTCCATGTTAAAACAATCATCTCCTCTAAACCTCCTCCAGTTCAATTCCATCACAAACTCCTTTCACAATACAGCCCTCACCACTATAAACCATTCACATTTCACTATTCCCATTCAAACACCTCACTAAACATTCAATGCAATTCTAAACTTCTTACAACATCAACTTACATTTTCAGGACAACTCCCCTCCCTAACCTCATTTACAATCAGTTATTCATCTCATACTCTTTACAAATTCTTCCTTCCAAATCCTTTCACATATATGTTTACTTTGAATACTTTTAATTTTTGCAATACATTTATTTCAAACCTTTCCAGCCAAAAAAAGACTGTTTCCTGCAACCTCTCCAACCAGTGTTGGAGCAAAGGCTTTGACCCTCAAGGCCAAGGCCAAGGCCAAGGCTTTGACCCTCAAGGCCAAGGCCAAGGCCAAGGCTTTGACCCTCAAGCCTCGAGGCCAAGGCCAAGGCTTAACCCTCAAGGCCAAGGCCAAGGCCAAGGCCCTGTTTTATGAAATGACCACTGATATAGAACTAATTATAGTCACATGAGTGACACATCATCACGCAAGGGCGGATCCAGAACACAATTTGGGGGGGGGCCAAGAAAATTTGGTCCCCCCAAAAAAAGTGGGTCAAAAAATTACGGCTTGGGCTTCGGGGCCCTTAAGTGGGCCCCGAAAAATTTTTGGATTCGAGATGCTCTGTGGTGCGATTTGAGGCAATTTCTGACCATTTTAACCGATGTTTTTTGAGGAAAAGATGGTGGTGTACTCATTGCCTGCCTTTATTACGACGTCACATAAAAAAAATGGTTTCGGTGGTTTTTTTTGGGTTTTTTTTGGGGGGGAGGGCATGGCCCCTTTTGGCCCCCCTGGATCCGCCCTTATCATCACGAATTGCTCGTTACGAAGAACAACATTTCTTTAATTGCAATCAACATGCTTGCATAGGCCTACACCGTTTTACGACTGCACTGTATCTATTAAAGTATAAGTTCAGGTCTTCAATATGGTTTAACTAAACAAAACAATGATTTACTTCTATATTGACACACAAGTGTAACAAAAGGGGGATCCAAGAAACTGATTTGGGAATTTTTTGTTTGCTGGCCCAACATGCTCAGAAATATCAGCATTATCTAAAACAGATACATGCAAATTTTTAGCACTTATCAGGGAGACATATACAACCAATCAGATCTATTCCATAGTTATATGCAATTAAAGTGATCATCTCATTAGCCCCACAAGTGTACGGAATATTTTTGCAGCAAATCTACTACAATGGTCACAAAAATGTGATGCTACAAAAGTGGAAGTGTGCCCAACACACAAATCTATAGGGTGCTTCCCTCCTCCATGGTAATACGATTAAAATGGTAACAGCAAAATTTCGAACAGATTTATCTGGAAAATGCAAAAATCTATGGGCCTTGAAGAGCCTTGACTCAAAATTGCAAGGCCCTGAACCCTCAAGGCCAAGGCCAAGGCTTTTGCCCTCAAGCCTTGAGGCCAAGGCCAAGGCCCTAAAATCCAGCCTTAAGGCAGCCTTAAGGCCAAGGCCCAGCATCAAGGCACTACATCACTGTCTCCAACTACTCCCAAAAGGAGACCCGAGTCCATTCCTCCTTCTCAACCAACAAAGGTGTACCTCCTTTCAAAGTCCCTCAACAAACAAACAGGTAACACACGCACTTTTTACTCCAAACTTCATCTGTTCTCACTACACATAACTGTTATCATTAAACGCAATACAATGGTTTCCTAAAATCATCATTCAACTTACAAACTATTTCACACACAACACAAAACACAATTTCTCACACTTCTCCAACATCAATGCACAATACACAACTTTCCTACTGTAACTTATTGCCACAATATAGATCCACCACATACCCAATTAATTCCTTGCAATCCGTTTAATTCTCATCCCCCAGACAACCCAAGTGATGACATTCTTTCTGAGGCAGGATGGTCCGACATCGAAGGTATTGTCAAAAAATCTCCTTACCATCTTCCTTTCATCTCAATTTTTTTATATCTCAATACCCCTATTCCCATCTTCATTACTCACCTTACACTCAACTCCATACATATACTTCAATTACTTCTGCAAATATTCATTTCCAACTAAAAAAACACATTTCCCACCCTCCCATACACATACTACCAATTACCCTATCTTTACCCACAACTTCCCCCAAATCCACTCTTCCACCATTTTACAATCCCCAATTCAGTATTTATATATTTATAACTTCAACTCATCTCAAGGACACAAAACAATAAGCATTATAATACTGCTGCCTTGATATCCAACATTTATAAAACCTTTCTCTATTTCTTTTCATTCTTTCTCCAGCACTGCCAGATGACGCCTTCAACGACGAAATTGCTGATAGCCCACTCACCGATATCCCACTCAACGATAAAGAAACTCCTCCAGAAACTGAAAATTAAACACCTTCTACAAAAGCTACTTCCCCAAACATCGTCTAGAAACCCCTTACAAACGTAGTTAGCCACGTAGTTTTTTAAAGTTGTATTACTTTTTTATTAAATAAATCAGTTACAAAATCGCTTCCATTTATATCATTATTAGCAACCCTTATTACAAAACACACACACGCTGTCCAAATTCTTTCTCAAAACTCGGTTCAAATTCACAATTTCCTATTACAGCTACAGTGCCATCCCCTTCAAACTCATACTCTGCCACTAAAAAAAAAAACAACTTACTCATCGCTCTACATTATAATTTATTACTTTTGTATTTTCTGTAATAAAAAACGCCATACTCCTCTACTTTTTTCCAATGTTATCCCTTCTTTTTCTATACAATGTGTACAACCCCTGGCCCTGACTTCAGTATCCGCAAATACAAAAATCTGTTATTCCATTCTTTCCTAAAAAGTCCATTTCTCTCTACTGGAAACGCTGTCCTGTGTCCTCAACAAAACTCTTAAGCGAAACAAATAGGCCATCAGCTTGGGAGTTTGGTCAATATCAAATCACAACATAAATGATTATAGTGCACAGGCACAAGGTATACCGCCCCTAAAGTGGTAACAAGAATTTTGATGGACATTTTAAAAAATGAGGTTGAAAACACCTAAACAACTGCCACCGCTGCAATGCTATCACATATTTTCCAACTATGGAGGTGTATAACTTGCCGAAAGTCGCAATGACGATTATTCCTCTCATTTATGATTCCGATTGCCAAAATATTTCACCAAGGCTGATCGCCTCAAATAAAATGAGTCAAAACAGGATTGTGTACAACACAGAGTCTCATTTTTTTTTATCTCACTTAGCAGTTGTGTTTAAATATCAGAGTGTAACTTATCCAGATTTTACTTTACAAACAATACCAACCAGTCAACTCGCGCGGCACCCCGCTAGTAATGTATGAAAATCCTATGCAGACTAGCCTAGGTCTGATTCCCGCCCCCCGAATACAACTTATTTATCACAACGATAATGTTTGCGTGGAACTAGCCTAATTGCACTGGCAACAAGGTTATAAATTACGCAGTTTCTCTGGCAACTATCAATAAAGAGTGGGGACCCTAATTTTTCAGTATTTGAAACCTCTGCAGTTGAAATGCCTGAAAGTGCATTCGTCGGAGACTAGGCCATTTTGCCTGTACTGTATGGTTGTAGTGAATGTCGGACACTTCGCCCCATTTCCACGTCGCCCCATGTCACTTCGCCCCTAACCACTTCGCCCCATTCCGAAATCGCCCCATCCCCACTTCGCCCCATTCCCACTTCGCCCCATCCCCACTTCGCCCCATCCCCACTTCGCCCCATCCCCACTTCGCCCCAGCCGTTACATGTAAAAAAAAAAAATCTCATCTATTTTTTTGGCTTAAAAAAAAACAATTTCAACAGATTCACTCATTGCTAACCAACGGAAAGAATTAGCCCATCACCAAATGAACAATTCATAACCAACCTCTCAAGCTAGGCTCTCCCCTACCGAGAAAAAAGCTTGAAGTAAAAGATCCAACTTTGTTCCCAACCCGGCTATACCAACCCATCTCCCACTTATCTGAGAACGACAATACCTTTGACATCCTAATTTCACTCTTGGAGAGTGAACGGAACATTTTCCTCAAGGCAGTGAGTTCCTTCACTGACCCATACCTACGGATTCTTTTGAATCCATCGGCTGATGATTTTATTCACAAGCCAATAGGAGAGGCGTCTCTGAATGGGATAGAGCCATCATTTCTCTCATCTGTGTCTCGAGAGTTTGTATTTTTCCTAAGTTTCTAGAATTGGGAGCATTTATTATCTAGGGTCTTTGGCAGTTTATTTGGTCTGCACCCCTAGCCTTCACCTTTTTTATACTAAATGGGGCGAAGTGGGGATGGGGCGAAGTGGGGATGGGGCGAAGCGGGGATGGGGCGAAGTGGGGATGGGGCGAAGCGGAGATGGGGCGATGTGGGGATGGGGCGAAGTGGGGATGGGGCGAAGTGGTTAGGGGCGAAGTGACATGGGGCGACGTGGAAATGGGGCGAAGCGTCCGACACCCGTGCTAGTATGACTATCATTGCCAAGGGCCGGAGTCACGATTGAAAAAAATAATCGCAACACGGCGTATAATGTACATTGTACTTGGTAAAATATTGATTTTTCATTTCTTAGCCAAACACTCCTTAACATTACTTCAAAACTTGGCAAAGTATTGATTTCTTATAAAACATTCTAAACATCAAGTTCTTGGCAAAATATAAATGGTTCAAAAGACAATCCTTTTTGCATCCATCAACGATTTTTATATCGATTTTGCGTTAATCACTCCAGCTTCGGCTGACGGCTCTGAGAAGTATTAATTCATCCCTCAGTGAATTAAAAATGAAGTTTTTATTTCATCGCCGTATCTTTTTTATGTTGATATTGTCTCTTCCATAATGCGACGATGAAGCCAAAATCTTTGTTCTCTGGCAACTTTGGCTTTGAATTAGAGGCTCAAAATCGCCCGAGTCTAATTACATGTACGTATTTCCCAGCATTATATTAATTTGATCGTACATGTATTCTCATGTGATCATGCAGCTGGAGGTGCAATTAGCATGTTACACTCCCAATTCCCGCTTATGACATGAAAGTTTTCCAAATGCCAGTCTCCAGTGACCGTCAGCACCGAATTGATCAAGCATCCTGTTCCTCTGTAAACCACGCCGTGTGTGCTGTACCTCTTCACGAAGCCGATTTCCCAAAGACCGCGGGACCGATTCACCGGGGTCAGCTCGCCGTTATGAAGCACGAATTCCCCCACGACGTCTTTGCCGTGCCCGGTGAAATTCCGCCACTCGGTATCACGGAGATTCGGAGATCCATGTTGTACCGTATCAGCTGCATCCGTCGGTCCTGGAACCATGCGTAATAATCGTGGTCTCCCATCACTCGCCCTTGAGCCACGACGGGGAATGGCCCGCCGGCGAAATTCCTTACGATCGAATACTACAACTGAAATGTAAAACAAGGAGAAATAAATATTCATAGATAATAAAAATAACTAGAGAATTCCATCTTATGAGTATAGAGAATTCTAGATGGATGAATAAAAAAATCATTTATTAATATATAATATTTAAAGCAGATCTCCCAACCATAATATTAACGGGGCATTACGGCCTAGCTTGGATTGTCTATTGCGGCTGGATCACAATTACTATAAAGCACCGAACAGCCGCCGATTTTTCGGGGTCAAAATTCGTTCTTGCATGGTTCTCGCAAACAATGACACATAAACACTCGTGTGTAAAAAAGGGTGGTTTTGTGGACGTTTATATTCTACTTTTAGATGCTCTTTCCATTTTTAATATCATTTCGTGGAAATTGCAATTTGTTGCGCATGGCCGTGAGCGCATTCAGGCCGCAACATCCCTTAGCGTACCTGATGTATAATCCTCCGTCGGACGCAACCTTTCACCCCAAACCCAGTGTGAAAGATGGAGTTTTCACCGACTCGTCAAGGCACAGTGCCGACGGTGAGAATCTTTGTGGAAAGTGTACCTCCATTCTGTAAGTTAAACAGAAATCTATAGCTAATTGCATCATGTCGTGCGCGGTAGGATTTCTGATGCCGTCATATTATCTTTCACTGCTTTTGCAACACGGATCATGAGAAACATGCAGCTTGATTAACCTTCGATCACTGCTCGCTAAACCCATGGAGGAAGGAAACCCATGGAGCTATAAACATCGAAGCCGGCGCGGCGCTAGCGGGCGCTACGATAACCTTTGACAATGACGGATTCACCGACTTTGACACCGACGGCAACGCAAGTATGGCGAGCGAATGAAACAAAAATCATCATAGAGTATAAACAAACCCTCACATAGTGCTGATTTCTCTTAATCCGTTCCTAGTGTTTGTTTAAACTGAAACTTCTATAGACCAATCCGAGCACGCTATCAATTATTTCACGAAGGCCCCCATCAATGGCGAAAGCATTGTGCTAGCTATTGTTCATATAATTGAACGGCACACTAGCCTTTTTAGTGTACAGAGATCCGGATTCGTCATAACTTGTTTCATTGCGCAAACGTTATCAATACCCAAAACTGCGCCGCACTGACGCAAGCAAAATGTATTAATTGTGTCTACAATAATTTTATACATAATAAAATGTAATAATAAAATTCTGCTGATGAGTGCCAATATGGTACGAAACAGTCTGTCCAGAAGAGAGATATGCCAAAGTTTGATTAGCTCATATTCTATTTTATTGCATGGTTATAGCTCTACAGAGATGTATCGAGCACTGTGAATTGTGATAGAAGACGATTTCATTGGATAATAATTATGTATATAACGTTATGATTTAAATAGCTTTTGTAATTCTTTAATATCATACCGGAATTACATATTCTAAATATACGAGTGTGTCGTAAAGGATAAACTTGAGGGCGACACTTTGAAACAAAATATGTCGACACTTAATTAAAACAAATATTTTGTTTTGTTGATGTAATGCCCACCATACCCGTCTTTCATCTCTATATTTAGACGATGACAATCAAGTATTTTATGAAGTGATGTGGCCCTACGTGTGCGTTTTCAACTCAAAGTTCAAAGCTAAAAATAACACGCATGGTGGGCATACTATAAAAGGAAGACATTGGAGTTGGGTAAAGCTATGTTTTCCTAGTGCTATACTCATTTTAGTAAAACGTTTAGTCAATTTGTTCCTCACAATTTGTCCAACAGTTACGCTAGCAGTCAACAGTAAATTGCTCAAGTGTTTGCTTTACAGGTGCCAGCAAACGTAATCAGTCAAGCGTACGGTATAATCACAATTGGTGTATTGTGAACCACCTGTGAACTTGACGTGTATAGGCCCACCAGAAATTATCCAGCAAGTCACATGGAAACTGCCGATGTAACAAAGTAAGCCTTTTTGTTTAATTGTTCCATTTATTAAATATTCTCAGCCAAATTTATTTTAATAAATATAGTCAGAAGTACAAGTTATGGCTTCCATTGTCAAAACTACGGATGCTGGGCGACTTTCGCTCGATATGTGACAGAGGGAACCACTCGCCGACCCCCCCCCCCCCCCCAAAAAAAGGGGGGGGGAAGAAAGAAAACGTATACATAAACTGAAATTTGGGAAAACAAACATTAGGGAAAACATTACGATAACTTGTTTCTTCGTTTGCTTCATTTAGTTGTTATTGTTTGCTTCACGTACTTTTCTTTTCCATTTCGAAGAACTTTGAAGGTACTATCGTCGAAGAATTCGGAGCGGCCACGCCCCGTAAAGACGGACATCACACCGCCGGGATCAGCAGAAGGAGTGAAGTTTGCGTTCTTTCTTGACAATGTCTTCACGGAAGAGGTGAACATCAATCACATGTCTTCATATAATGTCTTCGTCAATATTGTTTTAATTGCATCATTATTTTTGTCTTTAGCTAAGATAATTTAGCAGTTATATCATGTGTGGTATAATGTCGAAATTATTCAACAGAAAGCGAATTATCTCGATGTCGTAAAGTTTGTCATAAACTTTGAATCAACTTTTTTCCCGTGTATACAGGGTAGACAAAGGTTACAGGACCGATTTATAATAACACTGAACGCTTTGTTAAGGATTCTTCTTAATCTGGGCACGCTATCAATGCCATCACAAAGGCCCCCTTCAATGGCGAAAGCATTGAGCTAGCTATTGTTCAGATAATCCGTCACAGGGCAGTTGTTTTGTGCAATAGCGAGCCCATTGTTTTCTACATTGAAGGGGGCCTCGCCGTGGGTGCACGTGTCCGGATTATACGTAAAAGCCGCCATCATTGATTCAAAATTACTTCGTTTTCATGCTTTTCCATCTAAGGAATGTAAGGAACTCATTCGATGTTCCGAGGAGAAGGGGTACGAGCAAGCATTGGTCAACATTGGTGGTGGGAAGTAAGTTGGTTTCACAAAATTATTTCAAACGTAGACCTATATACTCGAAATACTCTAAACTGCTATACCAAAACAAAAAAATTGTGTTTCCAAAACATGTGCCAAATAAATTGACAACGTGGTACAAATCAGTGGGTTTTTCCAAATCTAAATGGACCTTTTGGAATTACTTTATTCGGCGGATGTTTACATAGTTATGACTAGATGTGCAAAGGTATAGGGGGACAGAGTGTTTTGAATTTTCCCGCATTTTATTTAATCATCTCATTCATTTGTTTTGTTAAAAAAATAACCCATTTGTTTTCAAAATTTTATTTGATAAAATCCCAGATTCAGAAAGAGAAGAGATCATATTTGTTTTCTTTTTTTACTTGTATAATTTGTTTAATATTGTGTTACATTTGAAGACAACATTTTGGCACCTGATCCCCAAATCTTCTGATATCTTACAACAATACTGCATGCAGCAAACTTGTAGTTTCTTAAACCGCCACTATATTTGTTGTTAAATTTAGACAGAAGCTGGTTCCCTCGTTCCGCGACTGCCAGCGCTGTTTGATCGACACGACTGAGCTGGTGGGCGCCTTCTGGGAGAGACTAGCCGAGTTCATTCCGCAGACGTTTAATCAATACAAAGCCCTGGGACTGAACGAGAGGTGGGTATCATTTTTGTTGCCATGGGAACAACTTGGTTTGGCGTTATCAAAGATAGATATATTTCAAGTCTTGCTATTTTGTGAAACTGTCGTCGCATTTTGTATTTGTCTTTTTCTTTTTAGGCTGCGATTTCTGCGGTACGATCCGGGTGAGTTCTTCAAACCGCACTTCGATGGTCCCTATGAACGAGGAGTTGTGGAACACTCCGAGATCACCGTGCAGATTTATCTCAACGAGGTAGTTGCTTTGTTTTATGTTTGTTGGGTTTGTTTGTTTGTGTGTGTGTGTTATGTTTGTTTGTGTTTTGTTGGTGTTGTTATTTTTAACATGTCTTTCCGGTATAGTAACAAACGTTGACATTGTCTATCGCCCCTACATATTTTGACCGATTTAAACGAGTGTATATTTGTCACAACTTTATACTTAAAGTCGGTTTGATGAACTCCCTCGCGTTTGGTGGGGGAGTATTTGCAACCAGCGACCTTTGTGAATTTTTGTTCTTCCAAAATGGCCGCCAGTGAAAATTCCTCATCATCGTAATCAAGTACGCCGGATAATAATGGCCATCAGTTTAGTTCGTACCCCCTATACACGATTGAAGGATAACGCATGGTAGTGAGACAATACTATGTAAAGATCGGGTGTGACATCATTAGGATCGGTGTTGAATCAAATCTCTGATAAAAGGAGGACTAATTTGGAAGGAATTCTCGCCATTTGTTTCATGTTAAATTGAAATGGCTCGAGTCGAAATTTTCGATTACTCGACTCGAGTCACTAATCTCATTGACTCAGTGACCTGCATTATGTTAATAGCGCTGCTTTATAGGGTGAGCATGGAGCTATAGCTCCATGGGGTGAGTAAAAAACAAAGAAACCCGTATGTCAGGGCCAATGTAGCACTTTCAAAATCTAGAATATGAAAGCCGAATTACTAAGCTTTCTTTTAGAAAACAATTCAAATAGGGGACGTATACGTACGTGATTTTGTTTTGTTTTGCTGAAAGAACACTTACCTTGTTTTGTGATCCGTGCATGGACAGAACTTTAAAACGGTGTTTGTGTTTAAAATTCCGTAACTTGAAAAGTACATGAGTGATTTGAATGATCCTTGAACTAAAAGAAAGCTTAGGAATTGGGCTTTCATATCCAAGATTTTGAAAGTGTAACATGTAGAACTTCATTAAAGGTCATGACATTTGGGTTTCCTTTTTTTTTTTGGACTGATCATATATAAGTTATAACTCTGTATTCGAACTTCTCAAAGATTCATCAATATTGTTCATGTTTGAAGAATCATTTCCACAGAGCTTAGACTAATTATTTTTTTAATTTTCATTCAGGGGTTTGAAGGAGGAAGCACAACATTTCTGCCTTATCTCTCCAGTTGTTCGGACCCACCAGTGGAATGTGTTCCTAAAATCGGTGAGATTTACATTTTTTGAAGATGGAATTTGTTTCCCGTGAGAAATTTTGATCAGAAACACTCCAAGATTACATTTTGTTGGGACAAAATTGAGGAATTGCACAGTTTTTTTCAATTTTTTGTTTTACAGTTTTCTTTTGAAAGATGAAATTAAATTCTAATCATGCATATTTTTTAGTGTTTTTTTTCTAATCATTTATTTCAGTATAGGCTACCTGAAACGCTGTATTTATCCACGGTTTTGTTTTTTAAGTTTCCTACTTTAGACTGTCAACAACTTTCATAATATTATGTTTTACCTAATCAGGACGGGTTCTGATCTTCGAACATCGGCTGTTCCACGAGGGTTCCCTGTTGAAGGAAGGCCGGAAGTACGCCATAAGGACTGACGTCATGTTTACGAATACGAAACATCAGGAATAAATCTGTACTGAGCACTAGGATCAAACACTTCAGAAGACACAGCGGTCACGATATACAGAGCAAGGCAAAAAAAAATATCAAAACCCAAAAATTGCAGGACCACATTTTGAATGAAGTTTTGCCTGTAGCACTTTCAAAATCTAGGATATGAAATCCCAGTCATAGGGATGCATGTGAATTGTTTTCGTTTTTCTGAAAGAATAATTACCTTTTTGTGATCCGTGGACTGGACAGAACTTTAAAACGGTGTTTGTGTTCAAAATTCAGTATAAACTTAAAAAGTCCACGAGTGATGATTTGAATGATTCTTGTACTAAAAGAAAGCTCCTTGATTGGGCTTTCATATCCTAAATTTTGAAAGTGCTACATGCAAAACTTCATTCAAAAATTGGTTATGCCATTTAGGTTTCGTTATTTGTTTACTCACCATGTAGATTGGATGACTGACAAGATCCACGATTATGCAACATCAGAAGTACATAATTCAACAAATAAATAGATAATTGTGCAAATAAAACAACGGTTTGCGGTAACGCGTTCCTTGCATTTTTAGAAGATGTGTGGTTCTGAAAAGAGCCGGACAACCAACCGGTTCTTTCAGAATTACCACACATCTTCTTAAAAGAGATTCTTGCACATTACCGCAAACCCTCCTGCTGTAACGTTTACACTATATACCGCCATCGGTACAGTTTCAAAGTTTCAAATCTTAAATAAAACAATATACATGTTTATTTTTGTAGATTAGTTGATTTTGAATAACTCTACTTTGATTATTTTGTTTTCTCAGTTGAGTGTTGTCTTGTTCGAACGTTCAAACGTTCGGATTGACTCACTTAATCATTTTGTAATATATATTTTGTTTACAGCTTTCTATTCCATGTATAATTTTTTTAGGGCTGATTCATATGGATTTCAATTTTCTGGCAACAAAATAATTTTAAAAATTGTGTAATGCAGATTTATTACGAGTAGAGTTTGCTGGGGTTTTTTTTGGAGCTCAAACATGATGTGGCCGTGAAACGTTGAAAATCGACCCCGGCCCCACTGAGCTGAGGGCTGGCGGTCGATTGACGGGACCCCACCAAACTAGATTCCCAATAAGTAATTATGTTTAATTATTCTTTTGGAAAAACAGCTCGGTTTGGAAGAGGAACTAGCCAGGCATAGAAAGACCTGCAAATCATCCAACAGACTGAAAAGGTCTGTCGTGGGTTTGGGGCGGTTATATTTTAGCAAATTAAAGTAGATGATGAAATGTATATATGTATAGCTTAACCTAGAAAATACCATCTAATTAAGCCTATACTAATCATACTACATAATAATAATAATAATGATAAGTTGGGACTTATATAAAAGAAGCTAGAATCATACTCTCTCTCTCTTGGGAAATCTTGAACTCCTCGAGAAAAATGAAACGCCGCTAAGTTTTTAATAAATTATTATTGTTCGTAGTTCTTCACCGCGCCTACGTAAAGTGCGCCCTCTATACTAACAAAATTACATTTTCTCGTGCATCGCAACATGGTTATTATTATTTTTATGACCTAAAATATTGTACAAGAGCAAACTTCTTTTTAAAAAAAAAACCAAAAAAACTTTAAAATCTTCAAAAATAAATTGCATGCGGGTTTATTCATACGGTTTATGTAAATGTTGCACGGAGACTCATGCATTATGCATACCGATAGACGCCCCATAGCAACCATTGTTTACTGTATCAGCTGTGTGCGTGCATACAACGTACATGATGTACATGTACACCAAAGATCCTGTAGTAGGGCTAGCGCCGCCGTACTGTTGGAGAACGTCAGTATTTTTTGTGGTGCAGTCGCGCACGCAGTAGCTGAAATTATCGAGTTCGTTTATCGAGACAAAGTTCACATTTAGCAAGACAAAATGGCCCAGGCTGCAGCGGCAGGACAGAAGACGAAAGAGAAAGAGCCAATTAACATCGTCCATCAAAATGCCATCCTGTGTGAGACGATAAAAAAGGAGAACAAAACTCAGAAGTTGTACACGAACTACAGCATCAACCCGTTCAAGAAAAGTAAGTCCATGTCTTTCTTGGCTTTATACGTGTTGGCATTCTGTTTCCTGATAATTTGTACTTCCTCCATGTTCCGTAGTTACTTAATCAAGGGATAGGCTATCTTAACCTGCATAAGTTTTAAGTGAAGATGGGCTTGGTTACAAGTAGTGACGGTGTATATATAATATTCTGTATTTTTCTTTTATATTTGGGTGGTCCGGGGGGGGGGGGGGAGGGGTGGCTATTTTTCTAGAGTTCAACTCCACAATTTTCAAATTGAAAAACGTGAACCACTGGTCACTGTCACTATATTAAAGGGCACTCTTTTATATAACCTTTTGTCACACACGTCTCATTTTACAGTAAAACTTAACAAGTGTAATTAAATTACGCTATAGGATTTCTTTCTTTAACTTTGAAAATTAAATTGTACTTTCTTTATTAAACTTTGGTAATTTCAGTCGGGCTAACAAAATATTTTGGAATGAATGTCGCATTGTGACACCTCTTTGTTTCATCTTATATTATCTCAATGAAGGTCAGTCTTTGCAAAAATGTTGAAATTAAGACATGAATCTGAGACTGAGAAACATTTCCAATTTTGTTAGAAAATACTTTGAAAATGTACTCCACTCTCCATAGACTTTGTACACAACCAAAGAAATGGCGTCTGGATGCAACGTTCTTTCCAATATGTTTTTTTTTGTACTGACATTTGTTCAGTGCAAAATCAATTTGGAAACTTAAATCAAATTTTGATTGCCTGTATGTTTTTTTCTCTCTTGACAGTGTACACGTTAACGGGGAAGCCCAACTCACTACACGACTCAGCTGACGGTGAAGAAGATGGTAAGAACGAGTCTATTGGCTCTATGCATGACTTAACGAGGGCGCTATACAGCCAAATCACTATCCCAAGTGGTGGGGCTTGCATTAAATTGCACTTTTTGGTAATGGTCCCTGCTCATTGGGCCATGATGCGTGCTCCTGGACGTTCACAGCCAATTGAAAATTCACATTTTCAATTCATCGAGATTGACATTCGTTTTAATGTGTAACTTGCAAAAAGAAACGTGTGTTCTTTTGGAACAAATTTGCTTGTGAACAAGATGGCTCATTATATTTTGAGCCCCCATGCGACGTTCATTTGTTAACATTTAAGTATCATCAAGGACCAAGGAAGACGGAGATAAGACAATCAACAAGAACCCATTGGGAGAGAATGGTTCCTGTTCACTGCATAGTCTAGACTTTGGAAGAAAGAGTGGTCTGTTTTCTCTTAAATTTCTGATATTTCCAATGTTTAAACCCTTCTGATGACGCGTTACACATCTTCCGTTTCCAGATCATTTTCTCCGAATCATCAAGCGATCTTACCAGGAGCCAGTGAAGAAGTTTGAATTCCCACAGACCGAAGCCCAAGAAGTTGGCTGGTACTACACCCCACTGGTAAGCTGCATTCTGGAACATAACTAGATCTGACTGTACGCTGAAGCTCTTTTCAAAAAAAAATATAACAAAGAAATCTGAAGTTGACCCAAATTTGAATTGCCTCCACCCACTGACACATGGTAAAAGTAAAGAAATGTAGCACTGTACAGCCGTTCACCCTCTAAGTTAAAAAAAAAAATGTTGTAGTCGAGACCCCCACAAGACCCACCCAAGACCTCCACAAGACCTCTAGTCTCAATAAGCCATTTGCGTGTTAAATTTGAATAAAATCTGGAACGCTGACTTAATACAATGCTTTGCACGTTTTAACCTAGCATTCTCCCGACCAAAGAGACTGTTACTATATCACGTGATTCGGGGCAAGCCTTATGCTAGCAACCCCCAGCTCCGGCATGGTCTGGTGTCTTTGTGCCATTCTCACCCATTGTGAACGATGTATTGGTGCTGAGCGTCTCTTACGTAACTATGCAAGAGCTTGCCCCGAATCATGTGATTAGCAACAGTGTCTTTGGTCTGGAGAATTCACAGTTAAAATGTGCCAAGCATTCTGAGCAAGTTATTGTACCAGACGTTTTTCAAATGTAAATCCCAAAGGGTATAGGTTACACACAAATGGCTTATTGAAGTCGCAAGCTATTCAAATGAACTGCAACAAAGGCATTCCTTTGCCATTGTTCATGCCCTATAACTTGTGGCTGGTCTTGTGAATGGTCTTGTGCTTGCTCGACAATTGGTCTTGTGTCTGTCTTGTCATGGTGTCCACTACAACACTGTCAAAGAGTTTCAAAGAATGTGATTTTGGCAGATGGAGGACGCTTCCTACCCGATATGCTCAGGGATTTCTGATTAAAGGGAAGATACAACATTTGCAAACATCAAATAACGAAATGATCAAATTATCACGAAATACCTTACTGAATTGTTAGGGAATGACAGTCTAAAGCATCCTGTAAAATCGTGGCTCCTGGTGTGCTGACATTTTCAAGAAAAACTGTATTTTTCCAACGCTGGTCGGCTGACCAGCGTTTGAAAAAACTTGCTTTTTTCAAAAACTACTCCTAGTTTTTCATATTTAGCTATTCCGCATTTTCTTTGCAATTGATTACACACCTGTGAAGGGGTACAAGCCTGCTAGACTGATTCTTTGACCTTACAATTCCCCAAAGTCTACGAATTGCTCTGTTTCATCTTAAGTGGGGTCAGGGAACCAGACTACAAGAACATGATTGGTTTTCTCTGTTTTTCCAGCATCTACAAGCCCAAAACGTGAAACAAGTCAGTTGAACAATATTTGCTATAACATACTTATCCTTAAAATTCATTTATTTATGAAAACTGCAGCAGAAGCAAATGTTGTACATTCCCTTTAATGTTGTATTCCTTTTGTCATTTTTCTACCCCAGCTACCTCAGGACCGAGAGGACCGCAGACTACACTTCCCACGACAGAATTCCGAGATCACCAAATACATGGATGCAGCGTGGAGACAGAAGGAACAACAGGAAAACTTGCAATAACCCTTCCCCGGTCCCCATACCTTCTCATATTTCAAAATAAGAGAGCTGTTTCTCAAACTCTATATCTTATTGGCTACAGTGTGTGGCTACAGTTTATAATTTCATGTACACTGCGCATGTGTTGCCCTTTTCAAATGTGTCACTATCTAAAGGACACAGTACAGTGAAATCTCGATAGGTCAAAACTCTGGGGAATTGACTCAAATTTTGGGTTAAGCAGAGTTTTGAGATATCCTATGGATTTTCTATTCAACAATTGACGGGAATGAGTTTTTGCATTGAGCTAGAAGGGTTTTTGAGTTAACAGGTTTTGACTTATGGAAATTTCACTGTACATGTGTATTTAGATTTTTGGAGTGTCGACATGCAAAGAGAATGTGGCATCGTTCTTCAGCTTGTGCATGTGCACAGTTGCTATGCGAGCGCGCATTCAGTGCTCGCATGATCAAAAGGGTTTACAAATAAGTGTTCACCTAAAATAAAGAATGCATGGGACATGCCTTTAAGATGTAACAGATCTTCACTGATTTCCAGATTAGTCAATTGTCATGTGATGTACATGTACATTGTACATACATATGCGTGAGGGTACAAAGATGTCTGGTTTCACATTATTGGTGCATTACACATGTATAAGCAGAGTTGCTCCACTAGTTTATCTTTGATTCCAATGTAAAGCCATCTTTTTTTGGCAATTTTTAATGAATACAAGTTCTGGCTTGTCTGTATGGATAGCATTTTCATGTCAGTATCTTGGATTTAGAGCAGAGCATGTATACAGTTTTTAAAATATTTGTGTATTTGTAAAGATTTTGTAAATAAAAAGGAGTAAATTGGTTCAAATTTTGCTTTTTGTGGTTAAATTGTATGAAATATTGTGTGCGTTCTGGTTTCTCTTCATTTTTGGGGGGGGGGGGCCTTAACAAAACTGACTCCCTAAATTTACAACTTGATTGAATTTTTCCTCTTAGGCCAAAAAAAAAAGTCTCCGGTTTCTGGTATGCGTGCGCGTCGGCAAAATGAAACAGTTTTTTTTTCAATGAAAGATGATGTCTCAAAAGTGCCAAGCTCACTGGTTTGACTGGAATCCTGCTGCTGCACAATTTTAATGTGTTTTTAGATGGGGTTACGATCGAGAATAAGCTTATTTGCACTAAGTTTAGTCGGGCACCATTTGCAGTCATCGGCCGACATTTGAAGAAAAAAAAACCGGAGACTTTTTTTGTGTGGCCTTACCGAGAACATAGAGTTGGCTTCTGTGGCAATCGCATCTAAAGCCCGTCTTATAGTTTATTTCCATGCAAATTCAACTTGAAAAACCTATACATAAAACTAGAAAGGCTTTTCTTGTCAACAGTCTGTTGGAAATCAAACAACTCATGGAAATAATTATTAACTTCACAGCAGGAGAAAAGACTGAAAATTACAAATATCCTTTATTGACACATTATCAAGGGGGAGATTAAAATTAAAAATGGCACTTCAACCTTTTTGTATTGACTTATCGCGGTAGAATAGTGTTAGAATCGCGTCAATGCAGCTTGTGAAATATTGTCCAATAAAAATGATATACAAATGGACGCGGAACGCGCAAAATCTGAGACAAACAAAACTTTTGTGTACACAAATTCCATAGGGTTGTCTTAGTGGCGTGGCTAACTCGCAAACGGTGATAGGTCAATTATATGCTAACTCTATGCAAGACGACGTCACTTCATGTACATGTACACTGTCAACTGAAGATGCCTGTACATGCAAGCTAGATTCACTTGTCCTGTAACCATTAAAATCAATTTGAAGATTTTGAGTATTTTGAAGGATTGATGAACATAGAGCCCAGCCATAATCACTTGAGATTATTTTTACACAGAACTTGATGTAGTCTTGGTTCAAGACGTTCTTAGCGGGGTAATTCACAGCATGCATGTTCCCGGTCATAGGGCCATCCACGAGCCTGACTCTGTCGACGAACCGTGCAGCTTCTTGGCATGTGTATAAAAGGTGCCCGCTTCACCACTGCTTAGTCCAATAACCTGTGCGCGTGCAAAAAAACACCTAACCGCTAAGAACGTCTTGGAACCAAGACTACACTCGATGCCTCACAAATCCAATTCAATTTTTGGAGGATTCAGAAAACATTCCTAACAAAATTCCAAGTTAGTGAATAGAAGGTAAATACGTCATGTACATGTATGGCTTATGGAGTCTACTCGTTGGAACTGCATTGTAGTCTGCTCGTTGGAACACTGCAGAGAAAGAGCATTTCTGGAGTACACCAAAGGTCAAAGTTCATATTCAAAGTTCATCGCACTTTTATCACTGTCATCTTTGGAGTTCCTGGCTTGTAGTCTCACGATTGTCTCACTTTTTCCTGCGTGAATTTGCCTGTTGTCTACGTGCCTTTCCTGGACGCTTCATTTGTTTCTTCATTTGTGCCTGATACTTCTTACCTGGCTGTAGATTGAAAAACAAATTTTTCAGTTTATTATGAAATTTCACACTTTTCATTGTATTCGCTTATCAAACAGACTTTAGGACTTTATGTACCACTCCAAATTCCACAAATGGGAACTCAATTTTCAAGTTCATAAACTCGGAGTTAGAATTCACATGATCAATATCTATGTAAATAGACTCCACTGTGATAAATATTTCCAAAAATATGGAAACATTCATTGGCTTTCTTCAAAACAAGAAGTCCATTAAAACTGATAAAACTTCTAACTTCAATATTCAAAATATATGGAAACATTCATTTGCTTTCTTCAAAACAAGAAGTCCATTAAAACTGATAAAACTCTTAACTTAAATATTCAAATGAATGCAAAATAGTTTCTTAATGTAAAATTAATAACCACATAACATTTTCCATCCTCAAATTTATTCTCAATTCTGCACAAGTAAAGCCCATAAAATGAGTCAATGTGATATTTTATGCTTTCAACTTCTCAAACCTAAAGTAAAGCTAGGAACTCTGACTGACTTCGGGTAAAACAAAACTTGTACCTTAAATAATGTGGATCCCTGTTCCCTGATTTTCTTGGACGTATTTCCGCGGCTTTCGTCATAGGCGCTCTCTTTCGTGTTTCTCTTTGTTCCTCTCTTCTTTCCACCTTCGCCAAATTTCTTGTCTCTGTATTCCCGCTTTTTGCCTTTTCTGAAAGGAAGAAAAACATCACAGGAGGAAAATATTACTTTAACATTCAGGCTGTTCTGAGATTTTTCATTAAAAAAGGACAGGCTTAAAAAAATTGGTGCAATCAAAAGGCAGGACGTTGACTGGATTGACCGCATAGTTAAGAGACATTGAAAATTTACCTCTAAACAAATTCTTAAACCGTTCTTGTTTTATCCATTTCCCGTCAGCAATGTGTAATTTTTTTGTTTCATAATTAATAGCCATAATTTATTACAAGATGAATGAATGAGAAGCATTTGTGACCTGTCACCATGAGCTAAAAGTCGGAAATTGTCATTTTGCAGTACAGTGGGAAAAAGCCAAAATTTGAAGGGGTGGTAATTTTTTTGGGGTGTTTTCAAGTGAACCTTAATCTGCAAGTCCTGTGCTACCTTTCTCCACAGGTTCAAGGTTTTTAAATGCCATTTTCTCAAGAATCGGTTTTACCACTCAAGTAAAGTTGGTGGTCTATATTTCCATTACTGCAGGGGCGGATTGCAATAACCGGTCTTAAAGCTGGCTATGCGCATTAGACAGTCTAAAAGCTCTGGCTGTCAGTCAGTCTGTAAGTTAGACCATTGCAATGACACAGTTTAAGTATTAAGACAGTCTTAAAATAATTAGCCTGGGTTGGGCTGGCTTAAAACGGTCTATAGTTAGGATTTTTGGAAATCATTGGTGTGTTGAATTATTCTTTCCCAAATTTTTTTTTTTTTAAGTTGATGAGTGTTTGATAATTCAATCTTAAAATAACAGAACACTGCTTGGAAGGAAAATTCACTGAGATAGAAGGGATCTTCTGGAAAAATGTAATGACACTGAGTTGTACTGCAAATACAATTTTCTGAACATAAAATTTCGGAATTGACATTTGACTTTGCATGATATGAATCACACAAACCTAAAAAAAAATAATTGTGCAGTCTCTCCAGTATTCGCCCGTAACCATGGAATGTTTGTTTGTGAATCATTACTCTAAGCGGGCTTATTAAAGACCAGCTTATTGCAATGGGCTAAGTTTGGTGTCTTAACCAAGACCGTCTAAAAACAATAGCCGGCTAAAATCGGACTGGTTTAGCCAGCCGACTAAGACCGCGTTTATTGCAATCCGCCCCAGATATGCAAATATCTCAATTTTTAAAAAATCTGATTTTAAAGCTCATTTTGTGATGCCAGACATTGATTGCTTACCCAAATTTCTTGACCGAGTGTTCATCTGGAACTCCTCGTTTTCCAATCTTGCTGCTCCCTGGTTTTCTATCGAGATCTTCTAAGATGTCTAGAGCATCCTTCTTGCCTATACAGAAAGGGGAATAGAAATAGACTTAATGTCAGACTAAGGCTGCATCTACCTGGCTATGGCTAGCAGTAGTACACAAGTCTATAGGAAGTGGCTGCAGCTGCTTACCATAGGCGCGTGTGTAATTTCAAGCCAAGTAATTTGGATTTCGGATGCGGCTTTTGGTAGACACTGTGGAAGTAGCTTCAGAATAGGCACTGGAGGAAAGCTAGGGAACCATAACTGCTGTCCATGGGCAACATACTTTATTGCAATTGCATGTTACACACACTGTCAAATCTACAGTTTCACGTTTTGGGGTTAAAAGCCATTTTCAGTCAAATTACGGGCTTACGGGCTTAACTGGGCAAGACATCAAGACCTGTATGATGGATAGAGTGGTTTGGAGATCTATCACTGGAGTCAGACCTTCAGAGTCGCCATAAGCAAGTAAGTCAAATTTGACATCAGTTTTCTTTTGTTTGGGGCAGCCTATCTCAAGGAGATTGATGATATCCACGAATTATGAAAAAGATAAACATTTTGGAAAATTACACAAGTACTGTGCAAGCTTAAAATTTCAGGAAACACTTTGCGGACTTTCAGTCACTAGGTGATGATCCTCTTATTCCATAAGATGTGTTTCACATTTTTACCTCTTCTGAATTTCTTGACGGATTCCATCAATTCTTTCTTCTCTTTTTGTCGCTTAAGGAGCACCTCGTGTTGAATCTAGAAATAGACAACCACATTAACAATATATAGGCCTTTCAAATGTAAAATACAGTGGGCTAACTTTCCAACAAAGTTATTTAAAATATAGGCCTAACAATGATTATTTCCGTTAGGGCTGTCCTGAATACACTGAATATTTGAATATTCGATCATTAACCGAATATTTGAATAGCTTTTTGCCTGATCGAATATTCCAAAAAAATCCACGCACGTACAAACACGACTGCAATGTTAGTTTAATCGTGAAGTTGTGATGCTTTGTCAGATGCCACTTTTGTCCAAGGTAATTTTTTTGTCGACGGTGGTTCATTGTTCCCATCCTTTTAGCGGGTTAAAGCTCTTAACAATTATGAAACACTGCAAAACTCTCTAGCGGCCGATGCTACTGATTGCTGCATGCAAAATGTAACCAGCACACTTTGCGAGCAGCATTTGCCTGGCGGAGCACGCAGTTGCAGCTGGCATGTGTAAAACTTGATTGGGAAGTTTTTTAATATTCACTCAAATGCAGTGTCGAGTTATCAAATACTGGATTATTCGAAAATGGACAGCTCCAACGTCCATCTAACCAAAAAAGTCTTTCCTGAAAATGATTTATGCTTAACTAAAATATATATACTTAAACATGGACATGGACAGAACCACACGCATCAACAGAACCAAGTGGTCCTGTGAAGAAAAAAAAACCAACCAGACGATAACAAATATACGCTTGCCTTGTTTGCACTTCCCCGCACTTCCCCTTCCAGAAAGCACACAAATATGAATGGGAAAATCTAAGCCAAATGTTCACACATCAATATACTCACCTTTTTACCGAACTTCTTCAGTTCTCGTAATTTCTTGGCCTTCTCAGATCTCTCTATGGTCAACTGCTTGCCTATGAGTCTCTTCCGGACCTGCCAAAAGAAACAGATTGAGAGCGTTGAGGTGATTATGCTAGGGAACATTCACCCGTTATCATATTCATCAAACACAAGGTCCTGGCTCCTTGCTTTGTAATATTATGCCCGCAGCTGGTTTGAAGGCATCTAGCATCATTTGTTTTGTTAATGCATTTTGTTCATCATTTCCAATAATAACATCACTCAAACTCCAAAGAAGAATGTTCAAAACCTAACCCGTTGAAGTTTCAGCTCAGTAGATATTGCAATTTTTGAAAAAACAGTGAAAAACCATGCTCAACCTGGTTGGTCACGAAACACGATTCGTCAATAGAACTCTTGATTTGCAACGATCAGTCAATTGCCTGATTGTGGAAATCACCTACATTTCTTGATTTCTTCTAAATGACAGCAAGCCAGAATAATTTCACGGGGTGTTTAGTATCAGTACGATCATTAATCCAAGTACGCCTTTTAAATGATAATTTAGTAGGTAACATTTGAGATAAATGCAAATGATCCTAATATGCCTTTAACCAACAATGTGACAAACCTAATTAGGCTCGTCCCGAATAATCAATAATCAACCAGACTAATTCAACTTTAGTCAATGGTTCGAGCGAAGATAGTCAAACTATGCTCAACCATATTTTTTTGCCTGCAATCTATTCTAGACACTTTTACCTTTCTCATGTGTTCATCAGTCTTGGCCATCTCTGCAAAGTAGTCTTCAGGTCTCTTCGTGGGCAGACCGAGTTTCTGTAGACGAGGGATCGCTTCAAGAGCTGCTGCCTGACCCTGGCGATAGCTGGCAAAATCAACGGACCAAATAATAATCAAATATGCTTTAGCACTCAATGCACAAGTTGTCATGAACGGTGAAACTGTGAAACATTGTTGTCAAGCAGTGGTATCAATAGTAAATTTATTCATGTTTGGGGGAATTTAAAATCATAGCTCTAGACAAAATAAAAGGTTGGGGACATTTCTGTACAGCTGGTGGAAGCAGAAATGCTATATCAGATTCGATCCAGCCAGCCGACCCCGGCAAGCTCGGTACTTGATTGGTATGACGTCTGCGCTAGTAAGCAGGAGGTCGTGGGTTCGAGTCCCGCACAAGCGATTTTTTCTCACAATCACTCGGGGGCAACACTGACAGTATACATACAGTGCTAATAAAAATACATCGGTGAAGGTCAAAATCCAATATTGACAAAATGATTTATTTTTGCCATGTCTGCACAGTTTTTCCAGAATGGTGCATCATTTTTTTCATCGATCTTAGCTGATGGAAATAATGTGAATGAAGAGTAAACCCAAAATTAAATTTTCAGGCCTTGATGTTTTGTGCCTGCAAATTGTACCACAATATCTTTTTGAATCACAAATTGCAGACCTCACTCACAATTTCATCTCTCGTTTGAAGTCATTGTGTACATCGTCAGCTGAAGTCATCTTCTTCAACTGTTCTTCTTCTTCTTCTTTGTCTGCGGAGCTTGTTCTGACGTCCTCGCTGACCATGTCAAGCCTCTCGATCCACGGAAGATCCTTCTGAAGCTCAGCGAGGGCCTCCTTAATCCCCGACTGCATTTGTACGATAAGAGGTTCAAATTATCAGAAAGGGTTCCAAGGGGGTAATCTACCGCCCCCCCCCCAAAGAAAAATATCGGTTTTCTATTTTTTAATTAAACTACAGAAGGAAAGAACTCAAATTGTTTTAAATCAAAGCTATACAGGGTGAGTAAAAAAACAACAAAACCTAAATGTCGGGACTATTGTTTTAGTGAAGTTCTGCATGTAGCACTTTCAAAATATAGGATATGAAAGCCCAATTCATAAACTTTGTTGTAGTACAAGAATCATTCAAATCACTCATGTACTTTTCAAGTTACGGAATTTTAAACACAACCACCGTTTTAAGGTCCTGTCCACGGATCACAAAAAAAGTGCAGTGTTCTTTCAGCAAAACGAAAACAAATCACATAGGGATGTGTGTGAATTGTTTTCGTTTTGCTGAAAGAACGCACACCTTTTTTATGATCCGTGGACAGAACTTTAAAACGGTGGTTGTGTTTAAAATTCCGTAACTTGAAAAGTACATGAGTGATTTGAATGATTCTTGTACTAAAAGAAAGCTTATGAATTGGGTCTTTCATATCCTACATTTTCAAAGTGCTACATGAAGCACTTCACTAAAACAATAGTCCCGACATTTGGGTTTCGTTTTATTTTACTCACCCTGTAGTCTAATATCCCATTAAAGGATCCTTCAATTATTATGATAGATAGAAAACAGAGTTCCCCCCCCTTCAAATTTTTTTTGCATTTTACCATGCCAGATTGTCAGCATCTTTCAATTCCCCCCCCCCCTTCCCCAAATATATAGGTTGGCATGGACATCCAAGAATCTCCTTATTTCATTCTAACATGCTTTTTCATGAAACTGGAGGGTTCTTTAGTCTGGAGTGCTGAATGGTAACACACAACAGCTGATGAAGACGCATGTGCTTGTAAACGGACATGGAAAGAATGTCAGGAAATAATAAAAGAAGTGGAAAGGTAATTTATCCAGATGCCACTTCAGTGGTCGTGTACAAAATCTAAGGAGAGTCAAGAAAATGTTGGAAAGAACGTTGCAACCTGATGCTACTTCAGCGGCTGTGTACAAAGTCTATGGAGAGTCAAGAAAATTGTCTAAGTATTTCCTAACAAAAGTGGAAATATTTCTCAGTCACAGATTCCTATCATCATTTTTGCAATGACTGACCTTCATTGAGATAATATATGAAGAAAAAGCAGTGTCAGGTGCAAACTTCATTCCAAAATGTTTAAGTATTTCCTAAAAAAATTGGAAATGTTTCTCAGTCCCAGATTCATGTCTTTATAACAATGTTTGCAATGACTGACTTTTACTGAGATGATACATCATATACGAAAAGAAAGTGGCATATGGTTGCAACGTTCTTTCCGAAGACATTTTCATCTGTGGACTCAATGCCACAACCGCCCCTACGATCCAATTTTCACCCTGTTTGTTGCTGCCTTACCACGTCATTGATACATTTCTTTGGTCCGTGGGTCACGACATTTAGACCAGGCTTCAGCTGTCCTTTTGCAAATGCTTTCTGCAACTGTGGAGGAATGCATTTATAAAAAAGGTAAGTATTCATAGTTAAGGCCGAGTAAAAAAAAAAGTTTCTCGTCCGGGTTTTTTTTAAAAAGGGAGGAAGCGGGGCTTTTTGTTTATTTATTTATTTTTTCCAAGATGACCGCCTTTTCAAAATTTCCTGCAACCGTTGGTGTTCCACTGTTCAAAGAAACTTTTAAAGATGAAAGACAAGTTGGACAAGAGAACTGAACATATTTACAGTGTCATTTAGAGTTGTATTGGTATTGGTATTTATTTTTCGATGAATTTGTAGACTTTTTCATTGTTTTTCTACTACATTTTTCAAAAATAATTAAAAAATCCAGGCGGCCTCCAAAAAGGAAGCGGGCGGGGACGAGAAACTTGGTTTTCTTTTTACTTCGCCTAATATAACTTGGTTTTTGGTATGTCGATTTCAAGCATGTTTGTCAACTCAATAGTGACCTTGCAGGCATGGGTTTGCTTGAATGATAGATCAATCGTGCAAGATCTTGCAAGGCTGCATTACCTGCCTTCCAAGTTCCAGCACAACTACCAATCAACTGATACAGCAGTCAGCAGTTTCTTGGCTACCTGATCAGTTGAATCATACTTATTTCTCCATGGTTGAATTATGGCAGTGTATATTTGACCGTGAACTGGTCCCCGATTTTTTTTAGGGCACAATTGCAGAATACCCCGCCACTCAATCTATGCACCTTGTAGCCGGCTACGGAGTCACGGTTGAATGCCCTCAATAAACGTTCTCAGCGCTACATGTATGTACTATGCGTCATGCAGTCATGCTCCACTTCACTCCCACTCCATATCCGGGCAGCCGGCAACAGGGTAGTTGGTTTGGACTTAAATTTTTTCAGCAACTCCCATTACTTTTGTGTTGCTTCGTTCTCAAGGGGGCCCCTACTCCTAAAACTATGGTAGTGGAGCCTCATAGATTTAGAACCCCGCAAAATTGTTGTCAGCACAACACACTAATTAAGTACAAAAACGTCCATCAAAATGCAGAAATTTCCCACAGAACCGCTGCACAGTTTGCCCCCAAACACTGTACTACACCTCATGACATACTCACAAAATATGTGCAGAACAAACATCGTTGGATTTTGTTGTTTTTTGGCTAAAATGATGAAAAATATGCTCTTTCCGCACTGAGCCAACCTGACACTTGAAACGTGCACGCATATGATCGAGCGATGATTTTTGGTTCGTTTGGAGCCCGCTGCGGGGGGTACGGTACACGCACTTGTAGGCATGCGCATACTATCATTTCGCTTGTACCGTACCCCCCGCGGCGCGCTCCGAAAATCATCGCTCGATCATATGCGTGCACGTTTCAAGTGTCAGGTTGGCTCAGTCATGTCAGTGCGGAAAGGGCATATATTTCATCATTTTAGCCAAAAAACGACAAAATCCAGCGATGTTTGTTCTGCGCATATTTTGTGAGTATGTCATGAGGTGTAGTACAGAGTTTGGGGGCAAACTGTGCAGCGGTTCTGTGGGAAATTTCTGCATTTTGATGGACGTTTTTGTACTTAATTAGTGTTTTGTGCTGACAACAATTTTGCGGGGTTCTAAATCTATGAGGCTCCACTACCATAGTTCTAGGAGTAGGGGGCCCCCACTCCGCATAGCTGGCAATGGACTTGAAATTAAATTGTTTCTTTTCCAGTGATTCCAACCTCGTAGCCAGAGAATTTAGGGGTGTATTTTTGAGTGGCGGGTATTCTGCAATTACTCCTTTTTTTAGGCAATTTAGCTCTTTTAGTAGTTACCGGGGTTTACCGTTACCGGCATGACACTGAACACAGTTACTGAGTGAGTGTTTTTCAGTGGCAGTGGATTTTAAACAACATCAACTGATCATGTTTGTGCAATCAACCATAGGCATACTGCGTGGTAGCACAGTGTGCAATCGACCGACCGACAGCGCAGATCCAAAGACATGAAAAATCATACATTACGTAATACCGCTACTGGTTAAGGTAAATAATGCACATCATGGACAAAAAAATATTTCGAATATTCCCCGAAATCTTTGATCCAAAAACGACATTCTTTCGCAAACAAAGGTAATTTATTAATAAATATAAACCTCAGCATCGGAATCCTCGCTTTCTTCCGCCGAACTGGAATCGAATTCGTCTGAATCGTCCTCTCCCACGTGGTCACTCCGCAGTTTCGCCAGCTTGCGTATGGAAGTCGCCATCTTAAATATCTTCGACGACTGTTTCCTGACGAAAACGTAGTCGAAAGAGGGCGCACTTACTTGTAAATGGTTGCAACCTGACAACACTTTTAATAAAGGTCAGTAATTGCAAAAATCACGGACGATAAGACGGCATTAATCTGGGACTGAGAAACATTTCTAATTTTGTTAGGAAATTCTTAAAAAATTGTCTGGCCTCTCCATAGACTTTGTACACAACCGCTGAAGTGGCGTCAGGTTGCAACATTCTTGAGTCCCGCACTAGGCTAATCATTGGAGTAAAAAAAAAATGTAATCAAAAATATACACGTCCAACCACGGGTTGCAAAACTACGGAAGGTCCAACACTGCAAAGATGAAGAAGAGTTATTACAGATAACCAAAACATTATTTGATTGATGGAAATACAACATTGTCAACAAAGCCACAACATAATTCTTAAACATGCCTTTTTACTTTGTATTGAGGGCGTTATGGGGACTTTTTTTAATTATTATTTTGGAAAAATATGTTGCCAACCACGGCTTCAATTTATGCGCTTGCGGCATAAATGGCGCCAATGTTTACAGACAGAAGAAAGGTCTATTGTTTAAATAATAGCCTGGTTATCCAATCAAATTGGCCAGAAACTGATACTGAAACAGGCCGAGGTCACCTCTTAAAATCTGACCAATGGCTAATCATCAGTTCAGTCAGCTACATTTACTCCCTCTGAATAATTTCCCTTAAATCAAAGTAGGGCCCAGCCCTTTCTAAAAACAAATATGATTCTTTGCGTAAGTTAGACATTTCCTATATTTTCTTGAAAATTATTCACTTTAATAATTTATGTAAATGTTTTCCCCAAAAACTAAACGAGAGAATCGCGGAATATGCCGTGCGTAGCAATACATGGAGCACTCGCCAAAATCAAGAGCTTATTCAGATGCGCGCACGTGGCCTGCATTCTGCATGAGCCCTTCATTACCCACATTGGAGTTCACACGGGAAGGATCTCCAGCGCAACCCACGTATCGCTGGGTATATTTTTGCCATTTTTCGCATTGAATTGTTTTCGTCACTGAAGCTAATAAGACACTACCCATTCGCCTTCACTGTGCAAGTGACTAACTGGCACTTGCAAGGCTTGAGTGGCAGTTTCTCTTCTTATTTGCTCGTGTTGGATTTAAAGTACAGAAATGCTCGGCCGGATGCTTCCAAACTAGCGGCCACGCCCCAGTCCAACGCCGTAACGCACGGTGGGAACTCGGCGGAGTTTGTGAGACACTTCCCTGTACACTTCGGAACTTCGAGTGCCGGCGTTGCATTTCTACAAGTACTTTTCGAAAGGCTCGAACACTTGAACAACTTCTGACAAACAGAACTGAAAAGTAGGCCTACTATTAGTTTTAAACATTTGGCACTGAGCCTGAATATTTTGTGACTCTTGAAAACCAACTATGGAATGGGAATCTTGCGATTGGAATGAATTTGTGATTTGTGTGTCGAATGATCTGAATGACGATTTTGGAGATGGACAGACTCGGTGAGTTGTATCTTTTCTAAGAAGAAACCGAGGTGAGCAAATGAATTCCATTCAAATTTCGTTGATTGGTATTGAAATTGAAATGTACGGAGCAGTACGGTCTAAATTATATTCCGAATCTCAAAAAAGACATAAAAATGGGAGTCAAAGTATTTTACATTTAAAGTACCTTGAAAGATAAAACCGTACGCTGTATGTTTGTTTCAAAACCGTACGCCGTATGTTTGTTGTTGGTAAATAACAACATTTTGAAAAATATTAAACGTATGAAATAAAATACAAAACGGGCGTCAAAGTATAAATTTCTATAAGAAAAGTGACAGTGGTGAGTCTGCTGTCCAAGTGAATAATTATCAAATGGTTGTCAAGGTATTTAGCATTTCTTTTTAAAGTACCTTGAAGATAAAACCGTACGCCGTATGTTTGTTTCAAAACCGTACGCCGTATGTTTGTTTCAAAACCTTACGCCGTATGTTTGTTGTTGGTAAATAACAACATTTTGAAAAATATGAAACGTATGAAATAAAATACAAAACGGGTGTCAAAGTATAAATTTCTATAAGAAAAGTGACAGTGGTGAGTCTGCTGTCCAAGTGAATAATTATCAAATGGTTGTCAAGGTATTTAGCATTTCTTTTTCAAGTACCTTGAAAGATAAAACCGTACGCCGTATGTTTGTTTCAAAACCGTACGCCGTATGTTTTTTGTTGGTAAATAACAACATTTTGAAAAATATAAAACGTATGAAATAAAATACAAAACGGGCGTCAAAGTATAAATTTCTATAAGAAAAGTGACAGTGGCGAGTCTGCTGTCCAAGTGAATAGTTATCAAATGGTTGTCAAGGTATTTAGCATTTCTTTTTAAAGTACCTTGAAAGATAAAACCGTACGCCGTATGTTTGTTTCAAAACCTTACCCCGTATGTTTGTTTCAAAACCTTACCCCGTATGTTTGTTTCAAAACCTTACGCCGTATGTTTGTTACAAAACCTTATGTTTGCTTCAAAACCTTACGCCGTATGTTTGTTGTCGGTAAATAAGAACATTTTGAAAAAAACGGGTGTCACAGTATAAATTTCTATAATAAAAGTGACAGTGGCGAGTCTGCTGTCCAAATGAATAATTATCAAACGGTCGTAAAGTATTTCGCATTTCTTTTTAAAGTATCGTGAAAGATAAATCCATGAGTCGCGAATGTTTTGTCGGTAAATAAGAACAGAATGCGCTTTTTTTCAAAGAAAGGGCCGTCTATGCCTTTTGCCCTTTTGTTGCTTTTTTTCCTACCTCCATGGCTTTAGGCCTAATCATCTTTTGTGTTAGAAGAAAAACGTTCTCTTTAGCTTTAGCTGCGCGACCCAAATTCAGTAAGCAACTCAATTAAAGCAAACACCTGGACCGCAATTGTTGTGACCAATGAAAAGAAGCCTGGACCGCATTAGCGCGTGAGCGGGCGTGGTCCAGCACGCGTAGCGTTCTTTTAATTGGTCAGCGCACAGATGATTAATTAGTATTCAACAATTTGGAGCTGTGGAATGCAGCCAGGTGCAAACGTTGCACGAGTAGTGGGCGGGGCTTCCTATTCCAATTAAATAATAACATATGCTTCTATCAGAAAAGCGGCAGTGGCGGGTCTGCTGCCCCAATTTAATCATAAACTTTCTATCAGGCAAATGGCAGTGGCGGGTCTGCTGCCCCAATTTAATCATAAACTTTCTATAAGGCGAATGGCAGTGGCGGGTCTGCTGCCCCAATTTAATCATAAACTTTCTATAAAACAAATGGCAGTGGCGGGTCTGCTGCCCCAATTTAATCATAAATTTCTATAAGGCAAATGGCAGTGGCGGGTCTGCTGCCCCAATTTAATCATAAACTTTCTATAAGGCAAATGGCAGTGGCGGGTCTGCTGCCCCAATTTAATCATAAACTTTCTATCAGGCAAATGGCAGTGGCGGGTCTGCTGCCCCAATTTAATCATAAACTTTCTATAAAACAAATGGCAGTGGCGGGTCTGCTGCCCCAATTTAATCATAAACTTTCTATCAGGCAAATGGCAGTGGCGGGTCTGCTGCCCCAATTTAATCCTAAACTTTCTATCAGGCAAATGGCAGTGGCGGGTCTGCTGCCCCAATTTAATCATAAACTTTCTATAAGGCAAATGGCAGTGGCGGGTCTGCTGCCCCAATTTAATCATAAATTTCTATAAGGCAAATGGCAGTGGCGGGTCTGCTGCACAAATTTAATCCTAAACTTTCTATAAAACCAATGGCAGTGGCGGGTCTGCTGCCCCAATTTAATCATAAATTTCTATGAGACAAATGGCAGTGGCGGGTCTGCTGCCCCAATTTAATCATAAACTTTCTGTAAGACAAATGGCAGTGGCGGGTCTGCTGCCCCAATTTAATCAAACTTTCTATAAGGCAAATGGCAGTGGCGGGTCTGCTGCCCCAATTTAATCATAAACTTTCTATTAGACAAATGGCAGTGGCGGGTCTGCTGCCCCAATTTAATCATAAACTTTCTATAAGGCAAATGGCAGTGGCGGGTCTGCTGCCCCAATTTAATCATAAACTTTCTATAAGGCAAATGGCAGTGGCGGGTCTGCTGCCCCAATTTAATCATAAACTTTCTATAAGGCAAATGGCAGTGGCGGGTCTGCTGCCCCAATTTAATCATAAACGTTCTATAAGACTAATGGCAGTGGCGGGTCTGCTGCCCCAATTTAATCATAAACTTTCTATAAGGTAAATGGCAGTGGCGGGTCTGCTGCCCCAATTTAATCATAAACTTTCTATCAGGCAAATGGCAGTGGCGGGTCTGCTGCCCCAATTTAATCATAAACTTTCTATAAGGCAAATGGCAGTGGCGGGTCTGCTGCCCCTATTTAATCATAAACTTTCTATAAGGCAAATGGCAGTGGCGGGTCTGCTGCCCCAATTTAATCATAAACTTTCTAAAAGGCAAATGGCAGTGGCGGGTCTGCTGCCCCAATTTAATCATAAATTTCTATAAGACAAATGGCAGTGGCGGGTCTGCTACCCCAATTAAATTATAAACTTTCTATAAGGCAAATGGCAGTGGCGGGTCTGCTGCCCCAATTTAATCATAAACTTTCTATTAGACAAATGGCAGTGGCGGGTCTGCTGCCCCAATTTAATCATAAACTTTCTATCAGGCAAATGGCAGTGGCGGGTCTGCTGCCCCAATTTAATTATAAACTTTCTATTAGACAAATGGCAGTGGCGGGTCTGCTGCCCCACTTTAATCATAAACTTTCTATCAGGCAAATGGCAGTGGCGGGTCTGCTGCCCCAATTTAATCATAAACTTTCTATCAGGCAAATGGCAGTGGCGGGTCTGCTGCCCCAATTTAATCATAAACTTTCTATCAGGCAAATGGCAGTGGCGGGACTGCTGCCCCAATTTAATTATAAACTTTCTATTAGACAAATGGCAGTGGCGGGTCTGCTGCCCCAATTTAATCATAAACTTTCTATAAGACAAATGGCAGTGGCGGGTCTGCTGCCCCAATTAAAT